CTCTCTCTCTCTCTCTCTCTCTTTTCCTAGCTGACTTCCAAGATTTAAGTTTGTCAGATCACTCAAATTCCTCAACTTCCTCGACTTCTTCAACTTCTTCGTCAGACGATTCGCTCTCGGAATCGCCCTCCGTGTCACTCTCGATCAATTCTTCAGACACCATAATCTATTCCGGATCCAGATGCTTCACCGATCTTGGAACCTCGCCTTGTTCCGACCGTTGCACAAGCTGAACCATGTGGCCCCAAACGCCAGGAACCGCCGCGAACGCTTCATCCAACCCCCCGCCTTGATAACAGTCGAATGCGAGCTCTGCCAGCAGCGCTTTGACGACAGGCGACTCCTCAGGTGTCGTCTCAACGGCAAGACGCATGAGATCAGCACTGGGCAGTAACTTCGGCACAGCCTTGAGTAAGAAACGCATGGCCGCATTCTGCAACTTTGGCACGTGAATCTTGTTACTGAAGCTCCACAGGCGAACGAGCATTTCTTTCGTCTCCACTTCATCGTCTGGACAATCCATATCTCTGAACCCGCTCTCCTCTTTTGGAAGCCTCTCTTTGCGGAGCCAGAAGAGGAAGATCTGGAAGGTCGTCTTGTCGGTGTTGGGCAGCTCTAGGTTGGCTCGAGAGGACTGATCGAAGAAGCCTGACAGCTTTTTCGAGAACACTTTGGATGCGTTGATCAGAAGATCTTTCTGCACGATGTAGGTGGCATCCGAATCCTCTGCGACAGTGACGATGACGCTACCTTCAGCAGGTTTGAATTGCCTGCACGCTTATTAGTAGGCAGAAGTGCGTCTATTTGTGAGCGAGGCTCACTCGACGAGTTCTTGAAACTCCATGGTATGGTATGTGATCGCTGGTATGGGAGAAGTGGATCGACCTCGTTGGAAGGTGTTGAAGGCTGTGATGGTGGGTGCTCAGGTTCGCCCTTGAAGGTGGAGCGGAGTGAGGAAGAGGCTTAGTGAAAGAGCAAGATGAGGTTTCATTTGTGTGCGCTGTGTCTATGCACATTAACGCCAGGCTTGCGGAAAAGAAGCTATCACATGCTGGCGGATTGTGAATCCAGCTGAACGACGAAGGACTGGCAGCCGGCAAGTGAAGATGAGCAGCCGCAGCTCTGTATGCGTTTCTGGTGCGATTGGGAGACCTCGCTCTCGGTTCCAATGCGTACTTCTCACGCAATCCTTCGCCTCTGCTCACTTTTCCCTTCATCAGACTGCAACGGGAACTGGGCCAATCTGTTGCTGGACCCATATCCCGCCTACCCATCCACAAAGTAATCTTTGTCCTCCCCGTTCCCCAAAGACACCAACCTCGAAGATATCGGTATTCCGTCATCTGGTATTAGGCGTTCGGTGAGCTCCTTAAGCGCACCAGGGATTTGACCGATCTCATCCTTCCACTCCTCGCTCATTAGATCTCTCGCATGGTAGAAGAAAACGGCAAATTTGTCAAAACACAATCTCCAAAGTGCAGAATCTCGAGGCATGGTCTGAACCGCCAGGCACAGTACCTCATCCGTGATTGGGCAAGCCTTGGAGGATGCGCACAGCGCACGCATTGCAACGTCCTGCAGGACGGGCAGCAGGCAAGCGTCTCCGAAACACCAGGTTCTTACGATGAGCTTCTGCTTTTCACAATCTTCGGAGCGTCTCGCCCTCATTGTAGAGACGTCACGATCCTGATAGCCGAGACCTCCGATCACCTGTAGCGTAGTCGGCAAATTGCCTTTACACAGCCAGAAGAAGAAGACGTCGAAGGTGGCAGAGTCGCAGCCAGGCAGCTTGAGTACTTGTTCGGTGCTCTCGATGAACGACCCTTCTAGAGCTTTGACAAAGTACTGCGAAGCATTGTAGAGTATAGCCTTCTGCACGAAGTATCTCCCGCCATCCTCCAGAACTATTTTGACCTGGGGCTCACCGACCTTGAAAAAGGCCTGCAAACGTGTTAACGTCACTCACAGCCGGCTACACTGCAGCCTTCAAGAGAGTCTCATTTACCTTGTCAACTTCGCAATCTCCTCCATGTCTTCCATGGTGTGCTCGCTTCTTCGCCGGTGCTCGAGGTGCGATGAACTGTGATGTTGAGGCTAGAAGAGTTCAAGTTCTCTAAGCCCGCAAGGAAAGAGCAATCTAGAGACACTGCTCGACCAATGAGAGAAGACCAGGTGGATGTTTCCGAACTCACGTGCTGTCACATGAAAATGGCGAAAGCTAGCAGCATCCGCTTGCTCCAATACTATCAGCTTGGCATACAGGAGAAATTGAAGTCAAGGGAAAATAGATGTGAGGTGAGGGACGTCCCTGCTCGGGAAAGATTCTTGTTACTTGCACCTCTTTGAAGGATCCACGGTCATACCTCGACGCTGGAGATCTAGCCCGTTCAATATGTTCTCTGCATAAAACGCCTCTATCGTCCATTCGGTGGTGGTCTAGGGGTGTACTCCGCCCACGGCCCAGGTCGATCGCGCTCCATGGTCCGCACACCCTTGGGACGTTCCTGTTCTGCTCGCCCGCCAGAGTCTTTGACCACTCTGAGTCCGCGACAAAATTTCCGGATTCAATCCTCGAGCACCATCCAGTCATCCATATAGTAAGTGTGACTTGGAGATCTCGGCACGCGCTCTTCGGAGACGCGCTGCAACTTGGCGATGTCGACCATGAGTTCGAGCGTTCCTTCAATATATTGATTCTCTGATTGTTGAAGTATGAGCAGTGTATAGCTCTCGTTGCAGCGGACCAGAGCATCGACTCCCGAGGAACAATATCCACGAGGACACCCATCGCAGCTTCGTTCAGCGATTGCTCGTCGCACTCACGGAAGAAGCAGTGCATTGCCTCGTTCTGCAATCGCGGCATCAAATACGCATCATCGAAGGTCCAGAGCCGGAAGAGTTGGGAGACTTTAGCATCGGGAATGACATCCTCGGCCGGAGGGTTTGACACCTCTTCTGGGACCTTTCGATGGCAGAGCCAGTAGAGAAACACTTCAAAAGTGCCAGTGTCGCAACCAGGAAGCGTGAGCGAGAGTTTCGATGACTCCGAGAAGCCCCCGTCAAGCGCCTTGAGGAAGTAGGGTGACGCAGCACAAAGAATGGCCTTTTGTACGATGTGGACATCTTCGATGCCTTCGAGCTTGATGGTGACCAGGTCATCGTAGTCCTTGAATCGCCTGCCGGTGAGTTTAGCGAGGGGTCGATTGGATAGCTTCAGGAGAATACTCACTTTGTCAGCTCACTCGCTTCGCCCATGGTTAACCATGCGATGGTGCTTCAATGTGATGTATGTGGGTTGACCAGTGCAACGAGATCGAGGTGAAGTCCAGGTTGAAAGCGCGGACTGTGATATTGTCGAGTTTTTCAGTGCACTAAGACTTCAGGAGGGAAAAGCCGCTAGCGTTTAAAATGCCCAGAGCGGCACGTGAAGGCACGTGGCTCACCATGGAAGAATACTCACGCCGCAGGTTGACATATCCGGTCGCTGAAAGGCGATTAGCACTGCTTTTGAAGGAAGCAAGGAAGACATCAACAGAATGTGACAACGCATGGAGAGATGGCGATATGATGATAGCTCAATGAATCGATCGATCATCGTGCATGGACGATCTAACTTAGCTGAGGCGGAGTTATTACCGTCCGAACAACACACGCACTTTGCTCAACGCTCGATGCTCTCCTAGACCCTTCAGTTCTCCATCAAAGTCTTCTCGAACACCTCATCCAGCGCACCCGGCTTCTCACTCTTCACCTTCGAGTGCCCCAGACCCTCCTTCGAGTAGACGGCAGCGTACGGGTTGAGACGCAGCAGCACCTGCTTGTTGCGGAGCGGGTTCTTCTTCTGCACGTTCCCACGCTTCGTGACCGCACCACCCTTGACCGGGCGCAGCACGCTCTGCACTTCCGAGCTGTTGATGAGCTTGGTGATGTCTGGCTGGGCGACAAGGTTGGATGGGAGGAGGAAGTCGCGCTTGAGCTCGCTTGGTTCGGTAGTGCTGCCGTATATGCTGTCAAGGGCGGCAAAGGCCGAGGAGGTCCAGATAACGAAGCGGCCAAGGTGACCACCCGGCGCGAGCTGAAGGAGGTTCAGCGCGTAGACGGAGCAGGTCTCCACACCGGGGATGTTGCGGAAAGCGAGCGACATCTCCTTGCCGTCCTTGGTCGGGTCGTAGACAACGAGCGGACCGCGACGCTGCTTGTGCCTCCTGCCCCTGAGCTTGCCCTTGCCCGCACGCAGCTTGCGCGAAGCCTTCACCTTGTCGACGTCGGGACCGGCACCCACCTCGTGAAGCATCTTGACGGCGGCGGAAGTCTTGCGAAGCGCGCCGGCCTCGAACGCCTTGCTGGAGATGACGAGTGGGACTTCTGGGATGGTCGAGATGTGGTGGCCACGGGCGAGCAGAAGAGCAGCAGAGGAAGAGGCGGCGATGGCAGATGCAGTCGCGAAGCGCTTCTGGCCGAGGTTGATCTTCTGGTGCCACTTGCGCCAGACCTTGGTTGGTGCGAACATGCGGCCGGAGCGACACTGGTTGCCGAAGGCTGCTTGACCGGCACGGTGAGTACCGCCACCAGAGACACGCGGAATACGGGCGACAGCGCGGCCTGTGATCCGTCAGTATACATCCAAATGCACAGCTGGCATGGCAAAGTGCAAAGACCCAGGTCTTTCAAGCTCTTCATGTAACGTACCGGTACCCCAAGACTCAGCGCTCGTCTGGTGACCCGCCTTCTCGCTCACCGCATACGGCTGCCTCTTGTTCTTCGCCATGCCGGTGTGAACAGCCCTATCATATTGTCAGATCAAGTCTTCCTTCACTTCGGTGGTATTGCGCATACTGGACGATGTCTGGACGGATTGGCGCCTTGAAGACGCTCGGGAGTGGGTGCGTGTCATTGCTTGGGTCGCCATCGGCGCCGTGGATGGTAACGGTCGGACGGCTCGTCATCGTGGGTGGTTGTGATGGTGTTGTCGACGCTGGTGTCCGACTTCGAACTTTTGTGAGGTGCGAGCTGTCCTATTTGTGGTGTGGCAGTGACTAAGCACGGCTTGGCAGATAAGGTCACGTGCGCCCCGCGTTCTTCCAACACTTCTCGGGGAGCTTCGAACGCTTTACTGTTGAACATCAAGTGCATGTAGTGCTTGACCTCACTCGTGGTCATGGCCACGGCGCCAGTACTCGTGCGCCAGTATGCAAGCGCGCCTATGCCGCTCCCACCATCGCGCACCAGTCCAACCCAGTCTCTCCCTCCAGTCGCATCTTTCGCATTCGCGGACATCCTACGTACAGCAGACGGCCCCGAGCTACAGAAAGCAATAGACGGCATTGCCGAGATCGCTGCAAAGAATCGAATGAGTCTGGCGGACGAGTACGCATCACACATGCCTCCGCTTGGTACGATTACTGCGACGAATTCATCGATTGTCCGAACGCAGCTGGGAAGACCTGGTATGCGAAGAGCTCTTACCAGCGTGCCCGAAGCGAGCTCTGGTAGCAGCGAGGATAGCCACCGCAGCAAGAAGCAGCGAACTGGACTGTTTAGCTTCAAGCGCGAGCAAGCTGTCCAGAGCAATCCTTTGAGGGTCATACGTATTGGAAGCATGGGCCGGACGATCTCTGTCGGAAGCACTATCGCCCTCACTACAGCGCTCCAGGATGCTCCCGATACAGTCTTTGATGCTGCTGGAGTAGACTCTCCGCCGCGGGCTGGGACCACAGCCTCACGGCGACCAAGCGACGCGGCATCCTCGCTGCAGCGCCTTCTTGGCCAAAATCAGCAATTGCAGAATGGCTGAAGCGAGGACTACGAAGCGGCGTACCACTCTCGTTCAAAATGCTGACCCTTGCGTCAGGGCAAGCGCAGGCATGTGTCTGGCTCGTTCGTCATCTCGCAGCTACCAACGCCGCTTCTGAAGCAACAGCTCATCGCTTAACTGCATTGTTATGTACTCGGAGCCCGGGGTTTAGCTGCGTCAAGCCAGACCATGCGTACTACTCGTCACGGGTATGCCAGGCAGCCACCGGCGGTTATATGTCTGGACAAGGAGGTTATCGATGAGGTGCACAGTCCGGCTTCACCGCCCATGCCGTGTCTTGCGGCGTCCCACGGGAAGTCAATACGGCCAAGATGTCGAGGCTGACCCTTTGTTGCATGGCCGAAGTACTTAAAGAAGAGGATAGCAGCCAGGCGGACAAGCCTACCGTTGACCGATCGCATCCGCTTAATGGGAGATGGCGAAGAACTATGGAGAGCTCGACGGATGTAGGGTATTATAGCTTGCTATACTCCTGTACACAATAACTTCCTAAACCACTGGATGCAAGCTCGTGATGTTGTCTGTTTTCTGGTATGCATCGAGACGGTCGTCAACAGTCGATTTGTTTTTGCCAAGACGTCGGCTGAACATCGGCACGCTAGCCCACTGAAAGTCGATCTCGAACTCTTCCAACCTGGCACTTCTGCTTCCACTTCAACGAGAAGCCTTTGCTTGCGCCAGCCGCGAGCTCATACCGTTAGAGGAGACATGGCTGACCAAGATGATATCAAGTTAAAAGACGCAGCCGACACGCCTGATGAGGTACGTCATCTCGTAGACAAAGCCGCCGAAGCTGTCAGTTCAACGCGCCGCCCGAAATTGATACTGTTTCCTGTCGGCTTCGAAGAGAGTCTCGCTTCCTATCTACGCAACAAAATCGAGCAAGAAGACCTGCACCTTTCATTCGAGTCTCCCCCAGAAATAGTCCCTCACCTACCACGTACTGACGACAAGAAGTCGACTCCTGTCGACGACGCAGCCAACACCGCCGAATCTTTAGCAGAGCTGTCACAGAAACAGGTATGTACTTGCGACTGACGGCTCAGCCGGGCTTGAGATGAGCGCGAGCGCGAGCGCGACCCACTGTCCAATTTTGTATCCGTGGCCACTCTGCTCGACGCCACCGAGGACTTGTAAATCCATGCTCTTCCTTACAACCTTGCTGACAGCTCGTAGGCCGAAGCAACGACCGGGAAGAAGATATCAGTGAGTACTTGTGCACGTGGCGTTACCCACATATACATCATTTTCGTTCCTTCTTCCTCGGCAAATTTCTGCTCCTGTCATATGCCACCCTCCCCATGTACTAATAGAATTGCTCCAGCCATCGGAGGGTTCAGAAGACGGCGAGGCAAAGTCGGCCTACGAAGCTCAAATCTCGAAGTACCGCTGGTGCAAATGCTCCTGCGACCCAGCACAATTCTACGGACACGACCACTACTACGTTCACTTGGACACCAAAGAATCACGCTGGGACGAGCCGACCGAGTTCTACTGGCTCTGGGACACCGACAGGCAAGAGATCGACTCCGCTGGCCTTCAACGATCTACGAAAGGACCGCAAGAGCCAACACCAACAGCAGGCCAGTCAGACCCAACCTACTACGGCTACAACCCCAAGATCCACGGCTCCTACGACCCCACGGCTCCCTACGCTCAGTACCACAACCAGAAGCGCAAGGAAGAAAAGCAGGCTGCGAACGTCGCCTCCAGCCAGATGCCATCCAGCGACAGCACAGGCTACGGCATGACCGGCACCTTCAACCGCTTCACTGGAAACTTCCAAGGCGGCGACAGGTCCGCCGAGCAACACAACGATTACAACAAGTCCGGCCGGCAGATGAACGCGTACTTCGACGTAGATGCTGCAGCCAACGCGCACGCGGGGCGGTCGCTGAAGGAGGAGCGGAGGAATAAGAAGTTGTCCAAGCAGGAGCTTCGGGAGATGTCGGAGAAGCGTAAGGCCAGGAAGGTGGAGAAGAGGATGGAGTTCTACAAGTCTTAGGAGGGCTCGTCAGAAGTCTAGCCTCTTCTCGCCACGGCACTTCTTGTCACGGCATCTTTTTGATACCCTGCAGGCGTTGGGCGGCGTTTAAGAAGGAAAGGGCAAGGTTCACGGGAATGCATTGCCAGGTGCACAACTGGGAAGGCGAGTCGTCCAGCAGCAGCACGCAGCGCACACACACATGCGCAGAGCGTCACCTACTAGCATCACGACAGAATGCAGAGAAAAGGTGCACACATTCAAACCATTGCGTAAACTTCTTCATTCCCATTCCCTCCATCGCCACACGCCTTCGCTATACGTTCCAAAGTCTTCCGAAAAAAGTGGCGCACAACAGCCGAATCGAAGTGAATTTTTCCGCACTACAGCGGCTCCGTCCCACGATCATACGCGTCATACCCCACCGCCACGCCATACACCCCAGCCTTCCGCTTGCAATCCAGATCCTTCTCCTCATCCAAATGCTGCGCGTTCATCGTGCAGCCAAAGTACGGCTTCCCGTTACTCTCCGAGAACAGCTTCTGCACGTACACGAACTCGCAATTCGCGTCCTGCTGGCAAATGGCCTTGCACTCGTCGGTGGCTTTCCACATGTTCGTGATGCTCGGGTCAAGCGCTACGGGGCTTCCAGCTGCGGTGTCCGCGCATCCAGCCTTTGGCCCGTAGACTTGCGTGAAGGTTGGAGCGGCGTAGGTTTCGGTGAGGGTGGCGGTGGTGCAGGCGGTTTTGTGCTTGGTCATGGTCTTCTCCGGGCGGACGGTGAGGGTTTTCGTGTGGCGGACGATGTGGAAGATGGTGGTGGTGGGTGCCGTGCCGTCGATGGCGGTCGAGGTGACTGGGACCGGTTTGGCGGTTACCCATTGGGTGGAGGTGGAGGTGGAGAGACGGTGGCCGAGGCAGGCGCAGGCGGTTGCGAGAGTGTCGTCTTCCAGGGAGCCGAGAGCCAGGAGTGCACGGCGGGGCCGGCAGAAGGGCTGGAAGAGAGCGGTTCCTGATGGTGCGGTGGGTACGTAGGTCGTTAGGGTTGTGTTGAGAGTGTTGTATTTGGTAGAGGTGCTTGTGATCAGTTTGACCGGGCCGCTATTTCAGTCAGCACGTAGTTAGACGTTTGGCAGGCGTCTCAATATACCGAGTAATGGTCGTCGTAGCCATCTCCGTCTCTGTCGATTGGACAGTGACTTGAGATTGTGCATGTTTGGTGAGGGTTATCGAGTCGACATCAAGCGTTGTTGTCGTAGAGGTAATTGTAATGGTCGGGTGCGGAGCCTTCGAACACAGCGACGCAGCACCGCGGTTGCTCGTAAGGCAGCCCAAGGAGGCATAATGGCCGGTAGCGCAGACGGTGTCATTCGCAGCAGAAACGAAGGAAAAGGAAGCGGCAAGCGCTGCGAGAACAAACGAAGACAGCATGCTGTCTGAGAGGGTTAAAAAAACGAGTGTGATGTATTGTGCTGTTCAACACCGACGTAACCGGACGTCTAAGGTGAGAAGAAGACTGCACGTCAACGAGCGACTGTGGAAGACCGAGGGTGATCGACTGCGGAGGGCAGAAAGCGAAGAGAAGGCGACGAGAATCTCCTTGCCTACATATGGAAATTGGGACACAGATCCGGGGAAGAGCGCAGTGACCTACCTCGCGTGTGGTGGCGTCCGATGTCCGGTCCTGCGTCGATTTGGGCCTGGACAGCGCCGGGGCTGGATGGGAAGGAGGTGGTCCACGAGAACGTGTTTTCGCAGGGGCCCGGCCCGATCACGAGGCTCCGCCGAAACAGATTGCTACAGGGCTCTATTCGAGTGCCGAAGCGCCGCCTTTGGAGCGCACCTCTAGACGGCAGTCAAACCACGTCTGCAAGACCTCGTCACCGTCGGAGAGCCGGGCATGGTGAGAGAATTCCTTGATCTGGCCCGAATGGTGAGATCCACGCAGCCTCTTCTGCAACAGGTCGAGGACGGAAGAGCGGAGCTGAGAGCACGTTGTGAAACAGCATTGTCAAAGCCACGCAGGAGAGTCAGCGTCTGGTCTACCACCCCTTGGCGCCACTCGAAGACCAAATTGGCGGAGGAGGTCGAGCTGACGTCCCGAGCCCCTGCGCCTTCCGAAGCTTTAGCGCGAGCGGATCGGGTGAGCTTAAAATGGCAGCCAATGTGGACTGCAAAGAGGACGTGGACCTGCATGATCGCACAATCTACACACGTATCTATATGAATGTTGAGTGACTACATATTATCCAGGGCTCGTACTTCCATCACACTTCAGTGAGGGCTTTCGGTATATTCAATTCGCTTCTGCCAGCTACAGTGTCACTGTGAATCTCTCCACTGTTTCAGGGCTGACGAGTCGTTTCAAGTTGAATAAGATCACCAGGAAGTCCATGCTAGTGGACATCACCACTTTGCGGAGAAGTCGAGACCTCCTGTGCTGCGCAACCACGTGGATGTGGTCGCACTGACACGACAGAATACAGCGTCGGGCAGATCGTCTACAGAGCCTCGATCGTCCGTGGCTGAAGTCATGACTGCATCGAGACGTGTCTGGCTGCAGTGTAACAGTTGGGCAGAACGCCGAGAAGCATCTTTGGTTCAGCAATGCACCATCGAGTGAGCAATATATCGTATATTGAACAACGTCTTTGCGATCCACTTCAACACCCATCGTAACCCAGCGCAGATCTCAGCAAATTCGTCATGCCACCTGGATTAGAGTCTAGAATCTGCAGCTCAGCCTTGGTGTGCATCACGAGCATCGATTGCAGCGCAGTTCTCATTCCCGGGTCATCGCACCGCTCAAGCATCTTGATTGCCCTCCTTCTATCTCGTGTAGTGAGCGTCAGCAAAGCTTGGTTCGGTATCAGCAGATTTTCTTCGGCCAGGAACTGCTCTCGGCGAAGACCCAGCCACTGCAGTCTAGGAACAAGTAGATCTTCGCCTTCGTGGGCAAGAGCGATGGAGCCACTCTTGTAGACAGACAAGATGGCCAGACCGTCAGGATCATGATCGACCAGACCGTAGACAGGCGGCGCCATGAAGCCATTCTGCGGTGAGGGCGTGCTCATGTAGCGAACCATTGCTCGTGTCGCAATGTCAGGATAGCCTTTGCCAGTCACAATGACACCATCCGTGGCAACAGTGTCCCAGAATTCGGAGGCTGCGATTGACCGAAACGTAGCTTCTTTCTCGATCACCAAGATCCACTTGACCTTGGACACGTCGCAGGACAGCAGCTCCCTGAGAGCCGCTATGAGCATACCTTCCCTGTCTGTCGATGCCGAACATATGGAACCATCTCTGCGACAGAAACTGACAGCCCCGGCGAGAAGCCCTTTGGCAGCGGCAGCGATGTTGAGTGATGCTCGCGGAACGCTGAATGTGTATGCGATATCGTCGACGTAGCGGTCGACCTGTGTTTGGCTGCCGAAGAGGGCCGGATCGCGGTAGTAGACGTCCCTACCTTGATGAGCAAAAAAAGCTCGAATGTCAGTGGGAGGGTCAGTCACCTCTTGGAGATGACAGCGCCCGTCCGAAGTGTTTCGTGAATCAACTCCAGGATGCGTACGACGACAGCTAGCCTCGATTAGTTGTGACTGTCAGAAAGGGTGGTATTGACGAGGTCCTACTGAATCTCCATGCCTCCTCCGCAGTCTTGCCAGGAAAACGTACATGTCCACGGCCAGCATCAGGACGGTGGCCGAGAACGGGCCGGTTGGTTCGTGGTCTTCGTTGCAGCTCAATTGCAAGCTCGTCCTTGGTTGACGAAGCCTCGAGTACTCGTTCGAAGACTTCCTCGATGCGGTCAAGAACATTGACATCAGTAAGCTGTGCTGTTAGTGACTCTTGCGATGAGCCTTGGAGCAAGTCCGCCTCTGCGAAGAGGTCTTCAAAGTCTTCGTCGTCCATCTGGACTTCCCACTTCAAAGTCGGTGATGGTGAGGTGAAGAGAAGAGCAGGTGAAAGCAAGTGCTGTGAGTGCGGAGTGAAGTCGAGGTCCGAGCTTCTTTTTAGCGCGTTTCGACGCGTCTGCCTTCGAATTGGAGCTTTCCTGGGAAGCCACTCCACCGAATCGTACAACACCATTGACTTCATTTGTCGTCGTTTGAGCGTGTACTATCTGAACGTGCAAGATACGCTGAGCAATACACCATGGAGGACATCAAGTCAGCGACGTCGTCACCGAACCCACGCAAGAGAGCAGCACCAGACGACGAGTCCATTGAGAAGAGACCACTGAACTTGACGGGCTCCCAGTTCTTGCCCACACCACCGGACACAGATGGATCGAGCGACACGAGTCCAACATGCACGAACGAGATGACCGCCCGCCAAGGGTCACCAGCTCCCAGTAGCTCAGCATTGAGCAGCGTTGAGGTCACCGGCAGCAACACCGATCAAGGCACACCTGGAGCAGCCAACGTACCTCAGAGCTCATCGGCGCCTCCAGCGAAGAGACGCAAGCTCTCGCCAGCTGAAAAGGAACAGCAGAAGCAGGAGAAGGAGGCCAAGGATGCTGAGCGTGCGGCCCAGAAGGCCAGGCGTGAGGAGGAACAGCGTGTTAAAGACGAAGAGAGACGGAAGAAAGCGGAGGATCGTGACGCAAAGAAACGGGAAAAGGAGGTAGCAGACGAACGCAGGGCGCAGGAGAAGCGCGCCAAGGAAGAGGAGAAGCGTGTCAAGGACGAAGAGAAACGCAAGAAGGCCGAGGAGCGTGACGCCAAAAGGCGCGAGAAGGAAGCCGAAGAAGAACGTAAAGCGCAGGAGAAGCTCAAGAAGGAGCGAGCTCAGATGAGACTCGGTGCATTCTTTCAGAAGCCTGCCACGCCCATCAAGCAGTCAGAAGATGGTGAGGGTCAGCCGACTACTGCTAGGAGGAAGTCGCTGTCTCTGGAGCCATTTGATGCTATGGCCGACATCCTTCGGCAGTCACAGTCGCCCTGCAAAGAGACGCCTCAGCCTCAAGCCAAAGGGCCAACTCCGGCGAAGCCCGTCCTCTCCGACTACCACAAGCACTTCTTGCCATTCGAGCTGAAAGCACACTGTTCAATGGTGGCCCCAAGAGTTCCAGATGACCCGGACGCTGCTCAGGAAGCGTTTGACAGAGAGCTCTCGGACCAATCGATCCAGATGAAATACAATCTTGGACTTGTCGATTCGTATGTGAGCCTGGAGAACTTTTTCGCCACCGAGTCGCCGTACACTCGTGGAGCACCCTTACCAAGCACAAGGAAGCTCGTCGATCAGATTCAAGGAACGCTACAGCAGCCTGTCGACCTGACCAGTGATGAGACCCCGGCCAACCCAATGGCAGCGTTGCAAGAAACTCAGCGCCGCTACTTGGAGTTTGACGAGGATGTGCGTCCACCGTACTTTGGCACCTACAGCAAGATTCGCTCGCCACGAACAATGGCCAAGCTTTGTCGGGCGCCCTTGACCCGTGCAAGGCCGGACACAAACTACGACTACGACTCAGAAGCGGAATGGGAAGAGCCAGATGAAGCCGACGAGGAGTGCCACGATGATGACGAAGATGAAGCCGAGAGCCAGGGTGACGCCAATGAGCTCGACGAATTTCTGGACGACGAAGACGATGCTCCCAAGAACAAGCGCAAGATGATCACTGGCGACCTCGTTCCTGCATCCACCGGCTTGTGTTGGGAAGACCCAGCAGGTAAAATCGTGCCGAGCATTGAGAGCGAGCTTTCGACGGCGTTCATGAACGACATGCGTATCGGCGTGCTGCTGCCGGACTTCCATGGGTCAACAATCGACCCCTTCTCGATGAAGTACTGGTCTGGCCCGGCTCCCGCACCTCTTCCAGCACTGAAGGTAGCGCCGTCCCCGTCACAGGCATTCGACGCCATGATGCGGCCACCTTTGCAACCGCGCTCCAACACCAATGCCAATCTCGACAACGTGCTTGTGGGAGCGGCTGAAGGCATGAGAGGGCCCATTACCTCTGCGGCTGGCACTCAATGCGGCACACCCAAGCCGAAAGCAGCGCCGAAGGTTCTGAGCAAAGAAGACCTGGACGAGTTCAAGGATGCTGTCGTGGGGAGTCAACTGACCAAGGCCGACATGCTGAAGGGACTGAAGGCCAGGTATGTGACCTCTCGTTCCTTTCAGGGGTTGATAAAGCATGCTGACCACGCAACAGATTCCCGAAGACTACCATTGAGACCATCAGAGCGACGCTCGGCGAGCATTTCGCACAGGTCGGCGCCAACAGGGCGGACAAGAAGTGGGTGTTCATCTCCGCTGCTTGATTGAGCGAGCGAGCATATTTTCTATGCTGGCATCTGGCTGCAACGTGTTGCATGTACCAAAACGACATCGCTGTACAGCGCATCGATATGTGAAGCGCGAAGACATGGAGATATGTGTGTAATGAAGCTAGCTTGTTCATGTGGTATCTCAATGAATGTATCTCATGAAACAGCCGAAGGCGATCCATCCTTATCAGAATGTTCCCCAACGCCTCGCTGATAGTGACTTCTCGAGCATTTTCTGGTCTCTGCTCATCTGACCGGGCACTCACTTGAACAACCGTCGTCCACCCGTCCGCGGTGCCGCCATCTCTCTCCCCTCGAGACTGAGACCGGTGAAGCCAACCGTACCGCCTTTGTGGGACGCCTTGTACCGTCGCAGCGCTTCGCGCAGATGGTCCGGTTGCAATGGTCCTCGGTCGCACTCTTCGATAGACCTGCTTAGGCCTGCCGCACCGCCCGGGGACAGCCCTTCCGCAGCCGCATCATCTTTCGCTGCAGGCGGTCCGTTAGGCTGTGTGCCAGCGTCCGTAGGCGTAGACGTCTCCTCCATCTTCATATTCCTCATGCTGGCACCACTTCCAGACGATTTCGGCCGTACCTCTTCCACCTCGTCATCATGCTCCGCTATCTCACCTCCCCCATGCGCGCGCTTCAATCGCTTAAACGCCACATTCCCCTCCCCATCCGCCCTCTCCCTCTCCACCGCCATCCACTCCGCCTGCACCTCCCTCGCCTCCTCGATCAGAATCCCCGCAAACATCTTCGTATACGAGTTCACGACTGTCACCACATTCGCTGGCACGGACTGCGAGAGCGTCTGGTTCACCAGCCGCCGCACATCGCTCGGCTTCAACTTCGCGCGGTTGTAGACGTCGTAGCGATCACTCATATCCCTCCTCGTCAACCCCTCACGTCCCGGGGCGGACAGTGGCTGCGAGTCCACGCGATCGACGTATTGTCTGAACATCGCCTTCGCCTTGGAATCCGTCTCGTACTCCGCCGCCGTCATCTGTCCGCCCTCATACAGCGGCGCGCGTCCGCCTACACCCCCCGCTTCGTCCTCTTCATCGTCCTCGTCTTCCTCATCCCCAGCATTAGCCACACTTGGTGCCCCTCGCCGCGGCGTCGCTCCCTCGTCCCCATTAACCAAACTCACACTCCCCGTCCTCCCAGCCCCACTAACCTTCTTCGGCCTCCCCTTCGCGCCTTTCTCCCCTCGCTTCCGCTTCCTCGCGCTCGCGCCATCGCCGGTGGGTCCGCTAATTGCGCTCGCGAGCTCGCTTTCACTGAGGTCGTCGAGACTCTGTTGCTCGGAGGCTTGGCTGGGCGAGAAGCGCGTTTGTGCTAGGGCGTGCTGGGCTTCGAGGCTGTCAGGTGGGAAGGAGGTTTGGCGGAGGGGATGCGCGGAGAAGGTCGCGCTGGCGATGGAGGGTTTGCGGCTTTTCACGCCGCCGCTGGGGAGGGCGAGGGTGGGACGTTGGCGGGGGAGGGCGAGAGGGGAGGGGCCGGGTGGTGATGTGGCTGCTGAGCCTGGTGGTGAGGCCATGTTTGAAGGTTGGTGTATTATGGGTTTGTTGACATGTTCCGAAGCTGAGTTGGGGGATGAAAGTAGGTGAGCTTCCGAGGTGAAGTTGTTCGCCGCAGTGGTGGTCCGAGCGTCGTTGCATGTGAGACAACATTCACTCTCACTTCTACTTCTACTTCTACTCCCGCTTTATGTTATGGATGAGTCGTTCGATGAACCCTGTCGCGGACACGTGCATGCTCCTTTCGACAAGAGAACGTTGTTTCGAAAGCGAAACTCGACAAAGGATGGAAGCATTTCATACACATGTCCAAACATTGATTTGATAAGTCGAAATGCTACAAGCAGCGGCTTCAATCAGGCTTCTTCCTAGTACCCACTACAGAGCGTAGTCCAATCCTGTATCCAGCGCCGTCGCTATGCAGTCACAACCATTCCACCTAATTCCTTCCCCTCTTGTTGTTCTTCTTCTTACTACTGTTGGCATCCCTCCCCTTCACCCTGACATTCCCACCACTTTTCTGCCTCAGCCACCCTCGCACCACACCCTCCACACTGCCGACATCATGCCGCGACTGTCGCATATAGTACAGGTTCGCCCTTCTCGCCCTCTTCTCCTTCCTCTGTACGACCTCAATCGCCTCCACATTCGGACTGTACACCTTGAACCACATCTCCACGCCTATTCTCGTCAATTGGTTTCGTAGCAATATCGCTGTATCGATTGGCTGATGCCGTTGTCGTATTGAGAGGCAAACACCGGAGAAGGGCTCGCCGTTACGTAGCCGGACGTGTAGGATATCGCCTGGTTGGGCGCGATCTGGGTTACTGGGTGCGAAGAGGCGGGTACGAGCACCGTTGGGGTCGAGGACGGTTAGTTGGGATTGGGTGACGGCCTGAATAGGGTCGCGACAGGCTTTGATGGTGGAGCGGGGGGGTGGTATAACCGGGATTTTGCGCATGCCTTCCTCGAAGCCTGGTGAAAGTTAGTTACTCTCCTTAGAGTGTGGAAGTTGCCATTCTGTACGGTTCTGCTTAATCGCTTGCGACGGCCGGAAGCCCGGCGAGGGTGGAGGATATCGAGGCTGGAGGGATGGGTAGAGGGCTTCCGTGCTGGCGTGTCGTCGCTGTTGCTGTCTTTCTGCGCGGCATCGTCGTAACGCTTGTTTGAGAGGGCCCAAAGGCCGCAGTGATCGCGATGGGGTGGCCATGTTGCATGTGTATGGGATGGAATGGTAGAAGTGTAGGTAAGGTTGGTACAGACGGTCATTGCGGCGAACGCGGAGGAGCCAAAAACAGAAGGAGCTGCATTGAAGGAACATCTCCTTCATCCTATCCACGCCTCCCAGATATCTTGAACCATACACAAACTCTCATTCCGCCATGTCGAATCTCTGCACCCGCTGTGCTCTTCGCCTCCAACGCGCTGCCGCTGCGCCCTCCCATACCACGACTACCCGCTCCCTCTCCACCACCCCCATCCGACCTAAAGCTTTGCCAACCTTCCAATCCACTTCCTCCCCTGAACTCGATGACATCCTCTCCACCTTCCGCAGCAAACACATCATCCCGCGCATGCTTTCGAACCATGACCGCAACCTCATCTTCTCCCTCAAAACGCGCAAATACCTCGAGGAGAATCCACAAACCGTCACAATAGGAGATGAAGACATTGACTTGCAATGGATCGACCAGCGCACCGAGATCCCAAATCGACGAGAGATGATGTGGCAGACTATGCGGCTGATGCGGGAAGGAGAGCCGGGAGACTGGAACAATCTGCCAGCGTTGCTGGAGGGGTTGGCGAAGGTGAAGAGGGGAGCGAATGAGAGGCAGATGGCGAAGATGGTGAGGCTAGCGAGTGAGAGGGGGAGATTTGGAATCGTGTTGCAGTGTCTACACCAGGCGAGGAGAACTGGGATGACGTTAAGGAGGGAGGAGGTGTTGAACGCGGTTGTTTGGGCGCTGAGAGAGATGGGAAGGGCAGGCGTCAATGTTGAGGGTGGTGAGGTGGACAGGGGGAGTTGGGAGCGAGCGGGACTTGAAAAGGCGATCAAGGATGCCAACGAGATTGCTGTCTTGCTTGAAGAGCCGGAGCATGGCACTGGTAACATTGTGCGACAAGGCGATCCCAGGACAAGACCAGAAGTTCTGAGCGTGTTTCTGGAGCTCAATGCGGCGTATGCGTATCGATTCCAAGATGGCAAGGATGTGGATGGCAAAGTCAGAGCATATACGGACAGGCTACTTGCAAATATAAAGGGAGCGGAAGGGGTGAGTTCTTATCAAGCCCTCCCAATCCATATGACTCTGACTAACGATATGCAGCCCGCGACAATCGAGCCAGCCTCGACTGGCCCCCAGACTGAGATGCTTCGAGGGATGCCAATATGGCATGGCCTGCAACTCGCGCAAAAGATCCTTGGTAACCAAATACCGCAGCCAGACCTTGTGAAACAAGTGACCAGTGCATGGGAGGAGGGATTGGAGGCTCTATCCAGCAAGATTCAAGCTGGGGACGTGGAAGAAGGCAGCTACGCGGCGCAGGCGCTCAAGGTGTGGAAGGACTGTATACGAGAGTAACCGATTGCATCGACCATTCCATCGATGGTTGGAGAATGGACTGCCGTTCACCGACGGCGAAGCCCACACTACGATTCGAAGAGTGGTGAGCATCATTTTCAATCCACATCGACGGCACCTTTACCAGAGTCATGCAGCAATTTTAAGCTCCAGCCAATCCCACGACTCACCTGGAGAACAACCAGGATCTTGCGCTGGGCTTGCAGAATCAATACACCCACCTGCAGAGCATGACTTTGCATCAGCATGGACCGACTGTTTGTAAGAGCAGCAACTTCTCTTCTTCAAACCTCTTCGTGTTAAAACATTTTCATCGACATCATATGGCGTTGCGAAGCTGGAGATGGTGAGCCATCGTGCAGTACTCTGAGGCATCGTTCAGGGGCGGCATCTATCGGATCATCTTAACACGATGCTCAATCTACTGGGTTTCCTCGCCTTCCTGGCGCTGCAGTTGTGCGCCAGTGCCGCTCAGCGAGTTGTGGTCGCAGACATCTGGAAGCCAGCACCGACGCCCACATCCTCGAACAGTACCTTGCAGCGAAGAGAACTCAGTGTCCCGCTCACGCAGGCCTCAGACAGGACTCTCTATCGAATCGACATTACAGCAGGAACGCCGCCTCAACAGCAATCACTGCAACTCGACACCGGCTCTCGACGGGTTTGGCTTCCTGCCATCGGCTCTTCCATCTGTTCCAGCTCGTTAGTCGACTGCGCAGACCTTGGCTCGTTCGACAGCTCAGAAAGTTCCACCTTCACTTCTTCCGGCCAGACAGATACGATTGCTTACTCTGATGGCAGCGGCGTCACCGGGCAGGTCTTCACCGACACCTTTCGTATCGGCGGTCAAGCCGTGAGCAACCAGGTCAGCCTTCTCGGAAAGCAAGGCACGGACGTCCACGAAGGTGTCCTAGGAATCGGCTTTCCAGCATCCGCACCAACGATCAACCACAACCTCGCCGCTCAGGGTACAATCTCCAGCAATAGATACAGCATCCACCTCAACAGCCTCTCCTCAACGACTGGCGGGACGATCATCTTCGGCGGAATCGATCTCTCCAAGTTCGTCGCGCCGCTGCTTCGCGTGCCTGTCCTAGGTTCCGACCTGCCAACGGTGGCACTCACTAGGGTCTCGACGTTGAAAGGTCGGGTTCCTACAGTTCAGACGGGTGCAGGGTACTCCGAGCCAGCTATCCTGGACACCGGCACCACTCTTACGATCCTTCCCACGGCATTGGTTGACGATATTATCGCCGTGATGGGCGCGCAGTACTATCCAGATGCTACGAACGGCGTCACCATCATCCCATGTAGCGCGTCCAGCAGAAGCCTGTCTATCAATTTTCACTTCGGTAGTTCTTCCGCGGGCCCGACGATCAATGTCCCGATCTCCCAACTCATTCTGGGAGGTCTAGGCACCTTAGATGGAGTGGACATGTGTCAGTTCGGTCTGTATGCAAGCGATGAGAGCAATGGGGCGTTCCCGACGACGCTGGGGGAGACGTTCTTGCGGAGTGCTTATGTGCTGTTTGATCTTGATGGAGGGAAGATTGGATTTGCTCAGGCGGTCGTGGATGGTGTTGTTGGCATAGCGAGGAATGTTGTGGAAGTGTGAGGTCAATGTCGTCTCAGTATTTTACTCCAGTGTTACCTCACTGAACTGGTTATCTCTTATTTCTCACAAGGCTTTTCTCGTGAGTGCCTCGGCAGCGTTCATAGGTCGAGTTGTTCCCATCATACTTCGCTATACAACCTGACTGGTCACCTGTCCACCCACGACTGAGAGCACGATGGAAAGTTGTGTTCTGATGTCCATGATCGACGAGATGGCGACTGCCAGACAAGACCGCAAGACCGCCCGGATAGGAAGGCAGCAACTCGGCTCTCGGCGTACAGGTACTCCTCGCGCGAGCGGAGATAGAGAGGCGTTATTGCCGCGAATGATCGACCAACCCATTAACCATGGAGTCCCACGGCCTGCTCCATGATATGATGTCTTCGGGCGTACGCCAACGTTGAATATACACACGGCGAAGGCGAGAACTACACGGACTGGCTTCGTCAGGGGAACCAGAACCGCGACAGCAAGGACATTCCACTAGCCTCGGTGCTCCAACTGCCCAGCAAGGCAAACCTTTCTACCAGGGACTAGGCGAGCGGGAGGATGGTTTCTTCGCAGACGCTTCCGAACAGAAGTAACACAGCTCTTTCAGACATGTCCGACAAAAGCACCTCAGGGCCCGATGGAGGCCAAGACGCGGACGTCGAGAAGCAAGACCTAGATCATGCTGCTCTGGGGATAGACACTCCTACTGAACCGCCCAGAGATGAGTCCTTGGTCGAGTTCGATGGCCCCAATGACCCAGCGAATCCAAAGAACTGGAGCAAAAGAAGAAGAGGGGCCATCACTGTCTCAATGTCTCTCATGACGTTCGTGGTCACTTTCTCGAGCTCCATCTTCGCCTCTGCGCTGGGTCCCGTGACTGAAGAGTACAATATCAGTACCACGGTGGCGGCTTTGGGTGTTGCTTTCTTCTTGCTGGTATGCTCAATCACCCACGGCTACAGAGGAAGGTCTGCTGACCACAGCAGGGTTTCGTGCTCGGTCCCGTACTCTTTGGACCAGCAAGCGAGGTGTATGGCCGCAAGCTACCATTGTTCATCGGCTATGCGATCTTCGCTATCTTCCAGATACCAGTCGCGGTGGCGCAGAATGTCGAGACGATCATGCTTGGTCGCTTCTTCGGCGGTCTCTTCGCGAGCGCTCCTCTGGCTGTCGTTGGAGGCTCGCTGGCAGATATGTGGGATCCTATACCGAGGACATACGCTATCTGTGCCTTCGCTTCCGGCACCTTCTGCGGTCCAGTCGTCGGTCCGATCGTGGGAGGTTTTGTTACGGAAAGCTCGTTAGGCTGTAAGTCATAGTATTAGAGTGGGAGGAGGTGGATTGGATGTCCGAGACATGTACTGACATTCGTTTTCAGGGAGGTGGACCGCTTGGTTGACCCTCATCCTTGCCGCTTTGTTCGGCAGTATCGGTCTGTTCGTCATACCGGAGACTTCTGCACAGCGCATTCTTCAACTACGGGCTAGGCGTTTGAGATTCCAGACGAAGAACTGGGCCTTGCATGCGAAAGCGGACGAGCACGAGATCACGCTCCATACCATCTGCCATATCTACTTGATGAGACCGTGGGTCATGCTGGTGCAGGAGCCCATCCTTGCGCTGATGACTGCGTACATGAGCTATCTGTACGGGGTGCTTTATCTCTTGTTCTTGGCTGTAGGCATTCCACCTAGACTCATCGCGCGAACGTTGCTGACCGCTCGCAGTACCCCATCTCCTTCCACGAGGAGCGAGGCTGGTCTTTGGGCGTTGCGGCGCTTCCGTTCATTGCCTTTATTGTCGGTATTTTCATGGGGACTGGGATGATGGTTTACTCGACCGCGACAAACTACAAACGTGCATATCTCAAGTATGGCCGGCCGGTGCCTGAGGAGAGGTTGCCGCCAATGGTATGGTTACCAAGCCCGATAACTATGAGGCGTTTACTGATGATGGCTGATGGTGTAGATCGCTGGTGCTATCCTTCTTCCAATCGGCTTGCTATGGTTGTAAGTGTTCTTTTTGGGACCTCACCTTAAGATCGCACATTGGCTGACCGGATTCAGTGCCTGGACTTCCTTCCCCAGTGTGATATGGGTACCTCAGGTCATGAGCAGCGCCTTCATCGGCGCAGGCATGCTCGTGACTTTTTGGCAGGGAATCAACTATAGTAAGCATGGCCTGCAGCAGCGGTGAATTAGAGATGGAGCTGACATTGACGATTGTCTAGTTATCGATTGCTACGCCTTCTATAGCAATAGTGCGATCGCAGTCAACACGTTCATTCGAAGCATTGCTGGCGCGGTGTTCCCCCTCATCGCGCCCATCATGTGTAAGTTGAATGGCATGGTTGAAGCGCCAACGCGAGAGCTGACTGTTCGGCAAAGACCATAATCTCGGCGTACGGTGGGCTACTTCATTGCTGGCGTTCCTCTGTATAGCATTCATTCCAGGTGAGCAGGCTCAGTCCTCCAAACCTCTCGTAGAAAACGGACCGAGACTGACTATTCCGTTAGCACCAATACTATTCTACAAGTACGGCGAGAGGATCCGAGCGAAGAGCAAGTTTACGCCGACTGGTTGATGCTGCTGTGTACTTCCATAGAAATAGAGCGTATACGTGCATTGTTCCGCCCACCATACACACTGTTGTTCCAATTTCATCGTTCTCATGGTTGAAGGGACTTTAAGCTCTCAAATGACGTCATCGTGAAGCTTCTTCAAGCTTCCCCGACTGCAACCAACTTGAGACTGAACATAATCAAACGAACGGACCTGGATTCAAAGACTGGTACTGAAAAGCAGCCGGGAAATAACAGAACTACAAGTAAGAGAAATGCCGGAGCTACCAGACAACCCTCTGAATCGGGAGCCCGAGATACAGCAACTGGTCCAATCTTTCCTCACTGCCAAAGATGACGGCTATGATCGAAACCACTGTCTTCATCCACAGCTCAATGCGGACACGCATAGAGTCACCCTCGACGGAGCAGTAGACAAGCCCATCGAATTCACCATGGACAACCTCCGGAACGACTTTGAACAACACTCCGTCGTCTGCGCTCTCCAATGTGCCGGCAATAGACGACACACCATGCGTACCAAGATCAAAGAAGTCAGCGGAGTTGATTGGTTTGACGGCGCTGTGATGAACTGTAAATGGACTGGTCCGCGACTTTCTGATGTCCTTCATCGCGCTGGCGTGACGATCGACGACGGGCATGTCGCATTTTCCTGCTACGCCACTCCTTGCCAGGACGATACTTGGTATGGGTCCAGTATATCGCTCGACCGAGCAATGCGGAAAGACATGGACGTCATCCTCGCGCTTGAGATGAACGACGAGCCACTGACAGTAGGGCGCGGGTACCCGGTTAGAGTCATCACGCCCGGGATTGCTGGTGCCCGGGCGGTGAAGTGGCTTGACCGTATCACTGTGCAGAAGGAAGAGTGTAAGAATCATTATATGGTTTATGATTATAAGATCCTGCCGGAAGAGGTTACGGATGCGGAGAAGGCGAAGGACTACTGGGAAGTTGTTCCACCGGTGCAAGATATGCCTGTCAACTCGGCCATCGGCGTCCCCAAGGGCGGTGGCACTGCGAAGCGAAACGCAGATGGTACGGTGACGGTCAAAGGCTACGCTCTTCCGGGCGGCGCAGATGGCCCAGTGACGAAAGTAGAGGTGTCCGGCAACGACGGCAGGTCATGGCAAGAAGCGAAGCTGCTCGATTGTGAAGGCGAGACCAAGTGGTCCTGGAAGCTGTGGGAAGCCAGGATCCCTATGGAACCTGGCTTTGACAAGGCCATCTACAGCAAAGCTACGGACGCAGCAGGCAACACTCAACCGGCTAAGTCTCGCTGGAATTTCCGAGGAGTTTGCTACAATGGCTACGGAGATTGTACAGAACTTACTGTCACGTAGGAGAGCAACTGCCCTCCTTATCGATGCCCGTTATTGATACACATTCGCCCATGAACTTCCTGTCCAATGAAACCCTCGCTTGCCTTTCGATTGAGACTCCAACGCCCGGCCAACAACGAGCATTCTCAAGAGTTCTCCTTCTCCACACGCACCCAGTCGTGATCAGTTGAATCCGCAGTCTCATCGACTTCACCTTCCGAAACAGCCTTCTCGCCATTGTTGGCCGACTGCTCGTCCGAGGCCTAGCCACTGTCCCGCTCGCGCTGTGAGGGCAAGGCCTGACCCCCATACACATACGTCTTGGCTTGTTTTGGTGGAGAATGGAAAGGGAAGAAGGTATGAGAAGTCCCGGAGCAGGTTATATAATCTACCGAGCTATCGTATTCAATGTATCTAGTGTTGGTGAATATGGTTGATCGATGTATGAGGTGTAGGACAGCCACGGTCGTGCTACGGGACACAGACAATACTGGAACCTACATGAGTGCCACATCTCGGTTCATGTAAACATGTAGTGTCAATGCTCGACAAATGCTGTTGGTAGTTATGCAGACAATGGGATGTAGCTAGAGAGGAAGTGGTCCAGATTAGAGGCCCGTGCACTCAGAGCTCAACTTCACATGAAGCGCGCCGGAGATTTGTCTAGCAGAGGACGTGTCGACAGGATTCAATGCCTCCACGTCTACCACTGACGACTGCATCGCTACTCAATGGCCTCAGTGAACGATATGTCTGCGCGTCGTGCGCTCGCAAGGCCACACGAAGCCTTACTTCACCGAGGACCGAACCCGCCAGACAAAGCAAGCATACGTCGACCGCGCCGTTGATACGACTGCGCGACGGTAAACCCCGCCGACAAGCATATGCGAAGCAGGATATACAAGGATTGCCACGGCTCGCCCGAAGGCATGCATCAAACGCGACATTGGCGTCCGCGACAGCCATCAATGCCCCATCTTCTGTTCCGCCAGCATACCGCGAGCTTCACCAGAAGCTGATCGCCCTACAAGAGACCGCAGGAAGCTATGTGGATCTAGCTCGACTACAGCTGGCGGCTCGGAGCCTAGAGGGGGATGACCCGGTAGTAAGAATAGCATTGCTGGGCGTAGGAAAGAGCGGTCCTTCAGCGGCCAGAAAGTTGGCTAGGGTACTGCTGAGTGACGCGCTTTCGGACGAGGAGCGGTGGGAACAAGAGATACTGGAAAGCATTCACGATGGGAGGGACCTTCTTCTGAGGTATGGAGACACGGATGAGACGGTCCAAAGCAACCCTCTGGTCAAGACGCTCAATGTTCCTTCGCCATACTTGCGGCGGCACAAATTGGAGATCCTAGTCACTGGTCTGAGTTTCAGCAGCGGTCCGTCGACATCGAACGAACGGCGGGCACTCGAGGATGCAGTTCTCGTGCCATCCCTTACAACACCAAACTCTCAGGGCGGCCGTGTTGGTTTCGTGCGCTATCCTGTTCACAAAACTATCCTGGTCGCTGAAGGGATCTCTAGTGCGGTGCAGTACGGTTCGCTGCCACCAGGACTCGCAGACGGAGGTAACATCACCGCTGCCTTGAGCGTGCCTCTTCGATCTACATCTGGAGCGGACTCAGCGGAAGAAGAAGCATCCGCAAATAGTGTTGACATCGATCTGGCTGTTCATGCATTGGAGCTTTTCCGGACCAGCAAGGCCAATGGTGCCAAGTTCAGCAAGGAGTGGCAGACCAGTCGGGTAGGTACTTTGGCCGAGTGGATGGCAGGATCTGCTGAGTCTACGGCGTCTGGGCTGAGACCGGCTGTCCGTGGCCTGGTCGCCTCCGTTCTGTCGGACACATCGAAGTCGATCTCGCAAGCCGAGGAAGCAGGAAACACAACAGTCATTGCTGGCACAGTCTCAGACACAAAACGCCAGAGTCTTGAGTCTGCAATAGCGAGCTGGTCTGGCAGCTCCCACCGAGATTTACAGCTAAATCTTGATACCGCATTTGCAACCTCGCCCTCATGGCGGAGGACGACATGGTGGCGGCTCTTCTGGCGCATCGACGATGTCACTGTGTCGGCATCCGACGTCCTGCGTCGAAGCTGGCTCACCGAATCAGAACAAGCTCTTGCCTTCTTGAGTGGGCGCATTCTTGAGACAGGACTAGCGACACCCGAGCAACTACGGGACGCCGCACCACAGTTGATCAAAGGGAGTGAGCCGGCAGAAGCAAATAAAGCAGAAAACCCCGCACAACGTCGAGAGTCTGTGGCCGAACTTCTGCAGATTCCATCTATGCTTGCCCGTGTGCAGCAAGAGAGTGGCGTCAATGCTCAGTTCAGCCCTCCCTGGCCACAGTCGATCAATCTGAGCCGGCAGTACATGATACGTACACTTGTACCGGAGCTGCATCGCAAGGCCCAAGCCCTTCTATTGACGAGTCTCAGCACCATCGGTGGATCCGCGGCACTGGGAGGCTGGTTCTACTTGGCTACCGGCGGCGGAGGGCTGTACGAGTCCGGCGCCATCGTGGCATTAGGGCTGGTATGGAGCTTACGGCGCTTGCAGAAGAAATGGAGCAGCGAGCGCGAAAGCTTCGCAGTCACTATTCGCGAAGATGCTCGAGGAGTGCTTGGAGAGGTGGAGAGCCACCTGCGGAAGCTCGTGGGTGAAGGCGGCCGAGCGACGGTCCGTGCTGAGGACGCGCAAAGCTGGCAGGTGGCGAGGCAGGCGCTGAAAGAGTGCGAAGGTGCTTTGAGTAAGATTGAGACGAAGAGGTAGATCTCTTCTTCACTGCTTAAGACGGTATAGCATCCGGCTGCTTCAGCCTCATCTCAATCCAGGCGCCAAATGCAGAAAACATTCTATCCTCCTTCCACTCCCCACAAACTTTAAGCAACGCCCGATACCGACCCTTCTCACTCGCCCCACTCGCCCGAAGCACCTTCGCGAGATCCACAGGACACAGATACGGAGGCTGCCTCGCATCTTCCGCCAGGCTCGCGGTCCCCTGCATGATGCACGCGTAGTACATGCAATGCGCAATACCGAAGCAATGACCAAGCTCGTGAGATGCAGTCTTGCATACCCTTCCAAGCCAAAGCGCACTCAGCTGCTCCGTAGTCCTCGGCGCTTCGCTTTTGTTCGCCGCGAGTACAGCAGCGGCTATAGCGGAGCCTTGCTTGGCTGCCAGGTCTTCTGTAGTGGTCAAGTGATTGTAAGCCAACGGCTGCGTACTGTACTGCCGCGCGACCCACTGCAGACAGTGAGAGCCCGGCCACGAGTGCTCACGATCGAATTCCTGAATCTCATCGAGCTCAGGGCGATAGCGCGCGGTGCTCACTATGGCGATTCTGCTACCTCCATATGCTCGACCGCAGCAGAAGTCATCGTCGTCGTTTTCGTAGATGTCGTGGTCCACGAGCATGAGAAGGGCGTAGGCGTCTCTGGGCAGGATGGCGATTGCGACGTCTAGGAGGTCGTCGAGGTTGAGCTGGGCTGGGAAGACGGAGTCGCCGGATGGACGACAGCGGATGCGGGTGGCTTCCTTGCCTGTTGAAAGGCCGATGTGTTGAGGTACATCCTGCTTGGGTTGAGCCCTTCGTTTCTTGGTGGCGCCGCCCTCGTTCCAGGCAGTGCATGCCAGAGCTGGCTTCTCCAGAAGTTTGACCGGCAAGCCGTGGTAGAAGGCTTGCAGATACTCCATCACATCCCTCGTCTGCGGCGTCTGAGCTGCTTGCTCTGTCTCTATCGACTTTCCGTGGAGAACAGGCACCGACCAGTCGTCGAAGCACCTGACGTCCTCAGAGAAGGCGGGCGGAGGCACCACATAGATCGTCTTTCTCCTGTTCGTGACCTTGTTACGGTGCTCCCCATCCACCCACTTCTGTACGCTTTGTAGTGGATCATCCGGATCATCATAGATGCCGTCTCCTGGCACGACGACAGGAGCAGGGAACGTCGACACAGGCGGCAGTCCAGAAGCCTCCGCGCTTCTCGCTGGCGACACTGTCCTTGCTCTCTTTGCCTTCTTGCGGGATGGCTCACCCACGCGTAGAGCTTTGGAGATGGTTTCTTGCTTTGGTGGTCTGTATTTGAATTTGACCGAGTCGATCACATCGAACGAAAGGTATGGATGAGTGCAAGAAGACATGTTGATGATCTGGAAGTGAGAAGAGAAGGAGAAGTCTCCTACCGGAACGTAAATATACCAAGGGAAAGACCAGGCAGACGTCCTCAATCGCCTTGGCTTGGCCTCACTGTCCACCCTATGCCGTTTACATCGACCTTGCAGGTGTCTGACTCAACTCGCAGGTCTGCGCATCTGGTGTCGAGCTGATGAGTAACGTTGAAAGTCAAGGTAAAGCTCGGTGGAAGTCTGCTAGCCCGCGTCAAGGAGTCTCAGGTGAGCTCGAGCGCATCTCCTTCGACTTTGGGAAAGAGGTACCGTCGAGAATGTAGGGAGGGCACCGTCTTGCAGCCACGATGATTGCTAATGCTTCAAGGTACAAGGCATGTATAAATACGCTCACGATGCGGCGATTGAAACCATCATTCGCAGTGCCAACCCCAGCAACAACTTCAGTGTCCAGTCTTCCCACATCACCACACCAACACCACACCTCACAATGCCCACCCCAACCCCCATCCTCCTCACCGGCACCACAGGTGGCCTAGGCGCCAAAATCCTCTCCTCCCTCCTCCACACCCACCACATCCCACCCAACAGCATCATCGCCACCTCCCGCACCGCCTCCAACCGCTCGCGCTACGAGTCCCAAAACCTCCAGTTCCGCGTCGCAGACTACAACCGCCGCGCCACCCTCGATGAAGCCTTCGCGAACGTCGAGAACCTGCTCTTCATGTCCAGCAGCGAGCGGGACAACGAAAAGCGGAATGCTGAGCACGCTAATGTCATTGAAGCGGCGAAGAAGGCTGGGGTGGGGAGGGTGTGGTATGTGAGTCTGGCGTTTGGCAGCTTGGGTGATGGGAGTAAGATTGGGTTTCAGCAGGCGCATTATTGGACGGAGGATCAGTTGAAGTTGTGAGTGCACTTTTCCATTGGGAGGGACGGACTTACTAACGCAGTACTCCAGCTCTGGTCTCAACTTCATCTCCCTCCGCGCAGGCTCCTACTCCGACGCCTTCCCGCTCGTCCTCAACTGGTACCCTTCCACCCGAACAGTCCTCATGCCGAACCTCAACCCCCCAGTAACCGAGAGCAAAGTCGCCTTCGCCTCCCGCGACGAGCTCGGCGAAGCCATGGCCACACTACTCGTCAGAGGCCTGGAGGCACTCCCGAGCGTTCAGCCAAGGACCGAGAAGAACATCATCTTGCTTACTGGGCCGAAAGCAGAATCTATCGTCGATCTTGTGGGAGCAATCAATCGTGGACGCAGGACGGATGTTGGGGTTGAGTATCTCGAGCCGGAGGAATGGATTGAAGCAAGCGCGAAGGACGATGAAGGCGGGAAAGGTCGGGCATGGTTCGAGGCTCGTCTGGTGTTTGTGCAAGGGCTGTGCGACGGTGATGCCGAGCTCGTTGATCCGGCGCTGGAGACGTTGTTGGGCAGACGACCGGAGAGTGGGACTGAGACTGTTGAGAGGTTGGTGAGTGAGAAACCAGGATACACCTGGCATCAGAATCACGCTCGTTGAGCTGGCAGTACCTACCTTCCATAGTTAGTAGCACAGATGAGGATCTCGACATTTGGTACTTTGAAGGCTGGGAGTGTATCATGAATCGCATGCATTGAACTTGCCTGGAGAGACGGAAGAGCCTCCCATTACCATTACTCCAGTGCTATTCACAGGGGACCGTCCATCCTATGCTATATCAGCCATAACATGCTCATACGTCCCAGGAGCACCTGGAGGGACAAGCGCGTCCTGCGGCTGTCCATTTGTCATCATCCTCGCCCGTTTGCCATCCGTCGTGTCATTACGAACAACAACCCACGATGAGAGACCCTCTAACTCTTCCGGCTGCGACTGCCGGACGACCTGCCGAGTACGTTAGCGCTTCACGTTCGCTCGTCAGCAGAGTTCAAGAAGTCTTGACTCACATCGATATCCTCCTCGCCACACCCGCCAACTGCGTATCATTCTCCGCCTCGCGACTGGCCCGCTTAAGCGCCTCGTCCCTGGCCGCGTCACTGCTCCTACGCACTTCCTCATGGCTAGGCGGCAGACGCTCGTTCTGCAAATCAACCTTTCTCGCATCCTCAAAGTTCGTGATAGCCTGCTTGATACCTTCTGCGCCAAGCATGAGTGTGCCCGCTGGCAGCCGACCACCAGCTGCTGTCTTGAGCTCCGTAACACGCTCAGACTCCTCGCGCAATACCTGGAAGACGCGCGACATGCGGCCGATGGCTAGGATCTTGTTCTTGATTGCTCGGCGCTTGTACTCGATGCTGTCGGGATCCATGCCAGCGGTAGTCTGGTGGCCGAGCGGCGGCGATGCTGGGCCGGCCGACGATGGCGTGTCCTCCTCCAGCTCCTCTTTGCTGCAGGTGTTCAGGATCGCAATGAGCATATCCGTAATCTTCTCGCCGACGAAAGGAAGCGACCAGGTGAAGACATCCATGAAGTTCGGAAGCCAGTAAGGATGAGGGGTGCAGTTGAACTGCCGGATGTTCATCACGTTATTCTCGTATTTCAGCACGGCAGCCTTGTTGTTGTAGACATCCAGATAGTTTGGCGCGGAGAAGATGGTCATGACGGATGGGAAGCCGGTCGTCCTCGTCTTGCGGTACATGCGGTAGCCTGCATCTTGCGCCTCGTGCGCGCGGATGATCGAGAGCAGGTTGTTCTTCTCCAAGAAAGCGCATGCTGCAGGGTAGCTGAAGAAGTACGAGCAGCCTCGGACATGGTTGTGCACGAAGTACTCCTGCGTCTTTTCCTGGCCAAACTCTTCCAGTGGATCGGCCCAAAGGATATCGCACATCAAACCATGAGTTGGCGGCTCACGGAAACGGTCCAGCGCCTTCAGATCTTCCAGCGTGTGCAGCTCAGGGCTCAATCCGCCGTGAATGCACAAGAACTGCTTGTTCATAACAGCAGCCAATGGCAAAGAGCAGAACGACTCCATGCAAGCCTCATACACCTTCTCACTATACTTGTGCTTGCACTCCAGCTTGAAGGTGAAGTAGTCGGTCAAATGGCGACACTCATGGTTCCCGCGCAGCAGCCACAAAGTATTCGGATACCACATCTTGAGCGCCCACAAGTACAGCACACACTCAATCGAGAAGTATCCTCTATCCACGTAGTCGCCCAAGAACAAGTACCGCGTCTCGGCAGGGTCGCCGCCAACCTCGAACAGCTTCATCAAGTCGAAATATTGGCCGTGGATGTCGCCGCACACTGTTATGGGTGCGTCCATCTCCAGCATATTCGGCTCGGCGCGCAGCAGTGCTGTGCCGGAGTTCAGGATCCATAGCGCTTGCTCTTCGGTCAGGCGGCCTTCTCTGTAGAGGTGCTGCTTCAGGAACTGGAGGTTGGGCTTCGATCGGTCAGTGGGCGAGACAATCTGCTCTTCAGTAGGGCAGCTGAAGGCGGGTGCTTGTACGTCTGGGAGAATAGCACAGGTCAGCTTCAGCTTATCCTCAGTTTGTTGCGAAAGCGTTTGTACGGCAGTAGCCACACTCCTTGCGTGAAGTTGAGCTCTACACACCTTTGCATACTCGCTCCTGCGTGCTCACTTGCGTACCATCCTCCATGGTATGCAGCGTAAAGTCAATCTCGGGCACCTGACGTTTGTTCTGCACCGCCTGCACGGCGCTCTCGATATACCCCTGGTCGTCCATCTTGCCGAGTTCTACGACCCGTTCGTCGCTGCCAATGACAGGCGCGATGCGTTTGAGAACTGCTCTTGCTGCTTTTCTTTCTCTTTCTCAATTGGAGTGTGGCTCGTGACCAAGAAAAGGTGGCGGAAGTAGCGAGCGTCAGCGGTGAGGAAGGAGGGGCGTTGGCAAGGGTCAGCACTGCTTGCTACACAATTTCAAGCGGTATGGCAATGTGTTTCCGTATGGTCTGCTGGTGGTCTACCACTGCTGTCGTTGGTGTTCAGGTAGAGTTTGCTGCGTCTCCAGGTTGTAGTGTTAGCAACTTGAATGTAAGGCTGACCCTGAGCTGGTTCTATGGCACTACCGGGTGTACCCGCAGTTGAACCCCCCTCGCCTCTCAACCACGACAACCACGAACATTAGGTTCACATGCAACTTAGTCTAGGCAATGACATGTACGACGAGAGCTCAGCGATTTATCTTATGGACTTGTGATTAACTCTCACTTCGTAGCCTCCCGCGAACGCATCTCAATATCACAGCGACCTACAAGCACTCCACTGCACGACAGAGAAACGTTATAGACACAGGTCTATTCGTGGCAATGCCTTTCATTCAGCTATACTTAAGCACATGATCGTGCAACTTCAACTCATCAAGCCCATCCCGAATGCTCGTCAATCCCACCGACCCGCCAAAAGGTGTATCATGAATCATGCAGACCCGCCCGTAAACCTATCCAACCCTCCCATATAAACAAGCCCACCGCGAAGACAACGCCATGCTATAGCCAAACCCCCAACCCCTTAAGAACCCAAGAGCCGGAGAAGCCGACTCAGACATGATGCCTTGCCCCATGTACATGCCTCCTGACATGGTCCCGCTTACGGATCTCGCCAGCCTCGCAGTGCGTTCCCGCTGCAAGCGCTTGAGGGACGGCGCAGTTGTTGATGTTGCACAGGCCGAAGGACTTGCTGCCGATGCAAACGACGCCGCCGGGGTTTGAGCAGGAAACGGCGCCGTCGGCGCAGCCGCCCGAGGACGAAGTGCCTGATGGGGCAGGTGCGGCGTAGGAGGAGGGCGCTCCTGAAGGGACTGCTGATGCAGGCGCAGAGGAGGCGGCCGCTGAGCCTGAAGTGACGGTCTGCATTGTCGTCACGGTGACTAGACCACTGCCTGAAGGCGCGGGCGCAGAAGCGGGCGCGGAGTAGGCTGGCGCAGATGGCTGAGCAGATGCCGGAGCAGACGATGCTGGCGGGGCAGAGCTGCCGCCATACTGAGGCGGAGGAGCACCACCGCCGTTCGCAAGGCCGCCCGGCGGAGCTCCATCGTTCGCACAAGAAGCTCCACTGGGCGCGGCGATCGGGTAGGTGGTCGGGGTCGCGAATTTCGCCTGCGCGCCGGAGAAGGGCAGCTTGGTGGTAACGTACTTGCCAGGATCCGGGAACTTGACATTGGTCTGCTCAGACGTCGGGCAAGAGTTGACGCTCGCCATGTTGGCGACAAACATGCTGGGTAGCTGCGACATCTCAGAGCCATCGCCACCCGAGATCTCGGCGGAGATGCAGTTCATGTAGAGCTCACGGTTGCCGATGGTGTTGTACCAGGTCCAGGCGATCGTGGCGTGGCCGTTCTTGAGACCGTTCGGGATGGTGAAGTTGAACTGGTTGACGCAGTCCACCCCGTTGGTCTTTGGGTCTGTGCAGCTCAATGCGCCGCTGTAGCTGCCAGATGGTCCGGTGTAGGTGGAGTCCAAGTTTCCAACTGTATTCGATGGACAACCCCCCTCGATGCTGTAAATGACATACCAGTTCTTCGGGTCCTTGACCTTGGCCGGGTCAGTCTCGTAGGTCACGGACATCTGGCAGGACCCGCCACCGTGAACAGCCGTATTCGCGCCGTCGCCGAGGTCCCACGCGAGGAGCTGCGAGGAGCCAGCCGGGAAGTGTTCGCCGCCAGAGGTAGGAAGGGAGACGCCGTGGCATGGGAAGTTGGAGCCGGAGGGATCGAGCGGGTCCTTTGGCGCAGAGCCTGGAATCGGAGCTGGTGAAGAGATGAACAAGTGCGCGGTGGTAGTAGAGGCGAGCACGGCGGCTGCCAGAGCTGCTGTGTTGAAAAACATGGTGGAACGTTTCGATGCTGTATGTCGCTAAAGGAGTGGACGCGAGAAGTTCGTGAACGATGTGGAATCGCTAGACCTGCTGGCGATGTGTGGTGTTGGGTGGGTCTGTGGTTGTATGAGTGTGTGGTCAGAATTTGGTTTGCGCAAAGGGTCTAGAAATATCGCGAAGAGGAGGAGGTGGTGAATAGGGAATGACAGGTGTCGTGCTTTCGGCAGTATTGAGACGTTTTGAACAATAAGCCGAGTGAACAATGGTCCACGTGGCCTGCATTGTTTGAGATCGCATTCACTGGCGATTCCCTGTCTCCGCTTGGGAATGCGATCTCTTTGTCCATTGCCATTGGGTAGGATGCAGCAGAGAACAAAGAGACGACAGTACGCGTAGAGGATTTCGCCTCCAGATGTGGCGGTGTTGCGCTCGCAAAAGGGTGATTCACATACCGTGCTGTACACGTGCGCCGAGACCCTGTCTTTCAAAGTTCTTCGAGACAGCGTCGGTGTCGTGACTGCGGTGTGAGTCTTCGTGGTTGTGTGGAAAGGCGATGTGATCGAACAGAAAGTCTCGCAGAGATGTAGTGAGCGGCAGCGTTTGCACCAGGCAACGCAGAAATCAAGCGGGCGATGCGGCGGCAGTGGGAGTGGTGGAGGAGGAGTCGGGTGAGGTCGCGCGCACACCTACACTTTAAAGAATCTAAAGACAAACGTGCCCAAGCCGCATTGTGACTTCTTCCACTCACTCTTTCGCCTCGCTCTGGCCGTGATAGGCGCGAGTCACCCATGGAGAGACTTCAAACACTACTACTGTCGGAGGTAGATGGCAGGGAGTTGCGGCGAAGCGTCTATGCGGTTCTCGGCGGTTGCGATGATCAGGAGGCGAGAATGCGCGGCAGGAGAAGGCAACCCAGTCAGCATGCAAATGCACTCCAGCATCCGGGTATTCCATCGTACCAAATCTTGCTCGCTGCTTGGTACAGGTGACGAGGTATCCTATCGACGGCCGATGTGCCTCCAAGGGCCATACCAAGAGGTTGAAGGCGGAGAGTGTTTCAGCCAATGAATCGGCAGAGTTGGAGTGGAAGTCGGGAGAGGTGAGACGCCGTGCGGCTAGGCCCGAGAGGCTGGTGTAACCGTTGTGAGCGCTTGGCCGGCACGTGACTGAGATGTAAGGATGTTACTGCATTGAGGGTACAGTACTGCTGTGAGGACTATGGTATGCAGAAATTGGAGATGTAGTTGGGATAAGAAGAGAGTTCTGCCTCGTGCCGATGATCCTGCTCCCAATCCCGTGGTCCTCAAAAGCTTGGCCCACGATGATAGCACTGGAAGTTTGGCGCAACCAACCCGCTCCCGTTGAGGCTCTCGCAAAGTTCAATGACACATGAATGAACTTGCAGAACAACAACGTCCATTTCAGACCTTAACAAACACGGAGACAACGAGACAAGCTGCTACAACAGTCCGGGAAGCTGACAAGAATGATGCCAGAAGCTGCAGGGCTTAATCCAACCAACTGTGCGGCGCCTCCGCCGGGAGCCTCGGAGAGGTAGCCGAGTACCTGTCCAATGTCGATCTTTGAAGCCTTGATACACGTGAGCCTCTGACCACAAGAGTCCCGACTACACCCTGGCGCATCAGCTAATCAATTCGCAGGATGCTAGCGGCGAGATGGTGGGAATCAAGACCGTCCGCGAATCCAATAGCAAAGGAAAGCAGCTCGAAGGCCTAGTCGCGGTCTTTGTGGGTGGCACTGGGGGCATTGGCGAGAGCACGGCAAAGGAGTTTTTCCTGCGGACCACCAAACCACGGGCGTATATCGTGGGGAGGTATGCCATTTTCCTACCCATTGAGTTCAATCGCTGCTAACGCCTCTATAGAAGCGCAGAACGAGGCAACAAAATCGTCCGCCAACTCAACCAGTCCAACCCGGGCGGCGCCGCCTTCTTCATCCAGAAAGATGTCTCCGTCCTCCGCAACGTCGACGAGCTCTGCGTCGAACTCAAGCAGCGCGAGCGCAAAATCAACTCCCTCGTCCTCACCGCCGGCTACATGACCCTCCGCGGCCGCACGGAGACCGAAGAGGGCATCGACCAGAAAATGAGCGTCAACTACTACTCCCGCATCCGCTGCATCCTGAACCTGATGCCCATGCTTGAGAATGCCTCGAACGCCGGCGAGCTCTCCCGCGTCATCACCGTTCTCGCCGCTGGGTCGGAAGGCGAAGTGCGCTTGACCGATCTCGAACTCAAGCAAAACTTCACCCTCCACGCCTGCCTCGCGCACTGCGTGGTAATGACCGACTTCACAATCGAAGAGCTCTCCCGCCGCTACCCCGGCACAGCCTTCTCGCACTCCTACCCGGGCACCGTGAAAACCGGCATCGCGAACCAACTCTCCGGCCCCGTCCGCCTGGCGGTCAAGGTAATGTACGCCGTCATGTCCCCCTGGATCCTCGACGTGCAAGAATCCGGCGAACGCCACTTCTTCCAGATGACGTCGAAATGCTACCCCGCTGCTCGCGGTGGGGTGGGGATCGAAGTGCCGGACGGCATGTCCGTGTTCAAAGGCATGGACGGCGTTGTCGGCGGCGGGGCGTACCTGCTTGACTGGGACGGCAAGACGTGTGGGGATGAGAGCGTGCTGTCGAAGTACCGGGCGTTGGATATGGGGCCGCAGGTGTGGGAGCACACGATGAAAGTTTTCGCGCGCGCAGAGCAGCATATGCGGAAGGACTCGAAGAGGCCGGCGACGGAGGATGCGGAGGGGAGTGCGAGGCCGATACCGAATCCTATCGGGTGGCGGGCAGCATGAACACACCCAGGAAAATGTAATTATAGCGTGGGCGCTTGGGTGTTTGACAGTATTACTACATGGCTGGCATGACGGGACGACTGGGAAAGGTCGGGAAACAATGGACCCAGAAACATGATACCCTACTAGCTGTATAGACGAACGCCACTCGCAAGGAACCAAAAAGCATGCCATTCAATTACCCTTCTAATCATCCATCATCGCGAGGAAAAGAGACATTGCCCGAAAGAAAAAGCACAGTCAAAGAAACCCACCCCACTGGTTCTCCCCCAACCTCGGCGCACCTCCCTTCCAATCCTCCCTCTCAAAATACCTAAACACCAACTCATACCCCTCAAGATCATGCACGATCCGATCAACCCGTCGATACCCCTCCACATGATCCATCCGCTTATCCTTCTTCGCCGCTAGCACATCATTCTCGCTCTTCGTCTCGAACAGCGTAACGCTGAAGCGGCCTGGCTTGAAGATACCCACGACCTGCTGCACGACCTCTACAGTCTCGCGGCCAGCGTGCTTGGTGGGAACGTTGGTTTCGAAGCTGGCGTAGGAGCACTGCGGCTCGGGCGTGACGTGGACGGTCCAGTAGTTGGTTGATTCGCCGTCGCCTGGCATCGGGACGACGCCGTTGGCGGAGTAGCCGCAGGGGGTGAAGAGGTAGGAGTCGATGCGGGCGTCTGGGTACTTGGAGGTGGGGTAGACGTCGGCTAGACCGCAGGTGTCGGACACGACGGACCCGAGCGTGTGGCCTTCGGTGGTCAGCTCTTCGAAGAAAGTCAGCGCTTCGTCTTCGCCGTCCGAGTTGGCCGCTGAATGGTCGGTCGATGTCTGAGCGAAGACGTCAAAGCGCGAGTCCTCGTTGACGAGGGTGTTGCCGGAGATGCTTGGGTTGGAGGAGTTGGCCTCTTCAATCACGCCGAGATGCTCGATGGCTTCCTTGCGAGCTTGATGGACGCGCCGTGCGTTGTCCTGGGCAATGGAGCTGGCGTGCTCCAGGTAAAACTGGCGTGCATTGTTCTCCTCCAGATCCGTCATCAGTATCTCAAGCGTCTCGTCACCGCTGTCATCATCCAGCGGATCAGCCACTTTCGGAATCTGACCTTTCTGTGGAAGCGTGACATGCTTGGTCGGCGTCTCCATGCGCTCATCGTCCGGAGTCGCGGGCGGCGTCAGAACAGTTCCCGGGCCAGTGATATAGAGATACCAATGCTCTCCGTTCATCTTCCCAATCATGTAGGCACTTCCGCCGACGAACATCTTGTCCATATAGCGAACTTCATCGCGCCAGCTACGGTGCGGTCCGCGCTGCTGATCAGGGTAGAGAAAGTTCTTGCGACTGTAGAAGATGCGGTATGGAGTGGCCGCGGCTGGTATCGCATTTGGAAGATTGGCTTTGACATGTGGGAATCCAGCGTCCAGCGCAGCTATCTCTAGCATGCGCGGAAGGCCACAGAGCAGAGTCGTAGTACCGCAAGTCTTCAGCACCACCTTGTGTGGAAAGACAAACATGCTCGATTCGGAGAGCAAGTAGGCGTCGACATTGCGCGACTCAATCACGGACAGGACCTTGCAGTTGACCAGATCAAGCATGTCCTTCCACGCTGCCTGCGGGACGACCTTGAGACCTTGCGGAGAAGCACTGGCGGGCAGCGCTTTCTCCGACGCAGCAAACCATACTTCTAGGAGCTTCTCTGGTCCTTCGAATGCATTGCTGGACTCGAGATCAAGAGTTGATATGTCTCGATTGATGGTCAAACTGGGAGTGCCATTGAATGACGATGGCGAATTTGTGTAGTTGACTGGGATCTCAGTATTGACCATTTCCAGTCTGGTGGTCGGCGTCTCTTGCAGGTTCAAAAATGGGTTGGTATATATCTCGTTGTTCTTGCTGATCACTCGCTCCTCTCTAGCTAGTGAAGCACTTCCTCTGCCCAGTCGAACTATTACGTCCGAGTTGGGGGAGAAGGCCCACTCCTCTTCTTTTTTTCTGGAGGCTGGCTTGCGCCAGCAACAATGCTCGATCGAAGACGGTGAACGACCTTGAAGGACGTTAGGGAGGTCGGGCGGAGAGTGGCACGAAGGCGGTCTTGTGGGGCGGAATGTTGCCGGCTATAGGTACTGACAACGTCCTAGGGCTCCGATACCTGGCAGTGATATCGGGGGTGTATGAGGGTGTATGGCAGTCTGTGTAGTCTTGTTCGTTTCCAGCAAGTAGCTCGTGTTATCGCGGCCTTGACTGAGGGTTAGCGTGCGGTATGGCCTTCGACACCGACGTCTGCTTACTTCTTCGGCTTGCAGGTGACTTTAAGAAGGTCTTCTGGACGCATTAAATGCGGTTGAGTAGACCTAGATGTGGCAAAACGGAGGAGACTGGCTCTTCATCTAAGAGCGAGTCTCGGGTGACAGTGAAGGACGATGTTATGTCGCCCCCTTCGCAGGTATGGGTTATTGGCACCGGTGGATGTGTGAGGTCGTCTTTTAGTATACTTCTGAGCGCAATGAAGTGTACTGTCAGGTGTCTAGGTTCAAGATGAAGAAGAACAAAATTTCGTCGAGGGAGCAGCATGTGCGCCATTTCTTGTCCACCGCCACTCACCGAATGAGCGGTCGAGCCAAGGCACAGCATTACTTCAACATGCACTCATCCATCTCCAAGTACCTAACTCTTCTATCGAGCAGTCACGAGACAGACGGAGAATAAGGAGACATTTCATTAATACCCATTCGTAACAGCAGGCCCACCACCCGTCAATCCCAACAACCCAGCAAACTCCCTCAAATCTATCACCAACTCCGCCGGCCGCTCCCACGCAGGAAACCTCACACGCCCTTCGCGTCTCTGCACCATGGCGACTCTAAAATACGCCTCTGTCCACTGCGGCGGCGTCTGCGCGTTCGCCGACCCAGGGTCATGAAAGTACGATATGCCAAGCGGTACGCCACAATGGCCCAGCCAGAGCGACGGCACGAGTTTCGAGGAGTTGACGAGCCAGCGTAATGCGACTTCTGGTCCGGGGAGCCAGTAGAGCATCGTCCAGTTGAGAAGGGCTGTTGGGTTCCATGCTGAGGCTAGGTCGTTTAGCTCGAGGTTTTGAGGACTGTGGGATGCCGCTGGGTTGCTGGGGGACCTGCCCGTTTGCGGAGTGGTGTATGTTTGAGGACTTATGGGTGAACGCCCCGGTGTCTGGGTGCGAAGGTATTCGGGGCTATTCCCGCCTGGGGATGATTGTGCTGGCGAACGCAGCGATGGTGGCCGGATCGCGTCCAGGATGAAAGCTAACAAACCTGAAGGAGAGTCGGCGAGGGCGTAGGCTGTCGTCTGCGGCCTCTCTGATATCCATTGACCAGCTCCTGGCGTCAACGATGGTGTGGTCTGGGCCGACCAATCTTCAGGGCCATAGCCAAACACCGACCTACAGATGAGATAGGTCAGCTTGACCAGTCGAAGTTTCAGCCAGAGGAATGGTGATGCCGCGAACCTCGGTGCCGGTACGTCCGGATTGACAGTATGTACAGCTACGCAGTTGTTTGGATGCGTCAGAGCGAGGATCCGGCAGATGTTGAAGCCCCTGTCGACAGTCGGTGTCAGCTCACGACTGGCCTTGTATGTGGAAGCGCTCATACCATCCTGTCCCATGCGCGATATATCTGTGGTATCCGAGCCCAGCCATAAGTGTGTTGAAGACTTCCGCGGTCGCCTGCATGTTGTTGCCAGCCTCTGCTATTGGATCGCTAAAGCCGAACCCAGATATGCTTGGGACCACGACGTTGAAGTTTTGAACGTCTTCGTCTCCGCGAGGCGGCGTCGCAATCGGGTCACATAGTGCATCGACGACCTTCGCTGCTGTGACGAAGCTCTCAGGGAAGCCGTGGACGAAGAGCAACGGAAGAGCATTGGGCGACTGCGACTTTTTGTGGACGAAATGGAGGCGCGTGCCATTGACCGGGACTCTGTATTGAGGCAGGGTATCGTTGTAGAACGACTCTTGAGCGCGCCAGTCGTAAGACTCAAGCCAATGGTCGATCAATGGCTCGAGGTCGTTCTTCGACACGCCATATTCGCCGGGTGATTGCGCGTTTCGTGGATCTCGAGGCAGGCGCGTGAGTTGCAGCTTCTGGCGGGTAAGGTCGAGGTACTTCTGCGACACGCTCATCCGATATGGCTGGATGCCATCGACTCCTCCTGTTGGCCGTGAGCCTGAAGCCATCTCTTCGTCAGTTCATTCGACTGAATTGCTTGCTGTTCAACCTCGGTCGGATCAGGCGGGATACGGTCAAAAGGAGCGCGCATCCAAATTTCTGTCTGCGATAGTAACCGAATCGGCGCTTTATGCCCTGTGACGGTCGTAGGGGGTCGAAGATGTCCTGTGTGCAAGAGCATCAAGCTCTGATCGGAGTCAACGGTTGACGGTCAACAAGACAAACATGGTATGTCCAAACTTCAACGATTCAAGACAATCGCAGTTCGACTGGCTCCGACATAACCTGCTTCGGACTTCAGCCGTTTATTATCAACGGCCCAGCATATCGAAGGGTCCCCTGGGCCTACAGACCCCAGGAGATTACCACGGCTGCCAAAGTACATCAAGCGACTACCCATTGACGTCGTCGTAACAGCACAGCCGAGAATTCGGGGCCTCCGTCGTGCACAAGACGTGGTGAACCACTGCGAACGTCGTTGTGCCATTGAAGTTTATAAGAGAGAAGGAAAGGTCATTGGTTCGGGGAGAAAAGGCCAATGTTGATCGACGCCGTTGTTCCTGGTTCAGGGCGCTTTTGCCACAGAGCACCGCCACAGGCGTGGCTTACGAGCAGGGGTTCTAGGCTCGAAAGCTTCCAGACATTCGTCTTCCTCCCTGCTATTTCTCTCTCAACAGTCCGGAAGAGGCAGTCCTTCGCTAGTATAGCAGATGTGCTACTGATGATCGTCTGGCGGACACGAGTGCGGTCGCTGAAAGTCGTCTAAGCGATGTAATCGTCACGACAAGATGCATACACTGACCAGCTGGTGCTCTGCCTTGGAAGGCTAACGTGGTGCCTTGCGTATCATTGCCATCATACCCTGCAGGGCATCTCTGTGGAACAACTAATAAGTGCGCCAACGATGAAATGTATGGCAGAGGTCGAACGAGCGTCTGGAGGCAGCGAGGCTGGAAATGACAAGGTAGCTTCCCAAAATGGAAGCTGTCGATACCCACGCAGCCTTGCACGGTCGCGAGTGCTCAAAGGTCAGGAACAACCATGTCTACCTTTACACCTAATCCAGAATTGGGGACGAAAACGTCCTCGTGAAAATTCCGGTTCGGGCTTAAAGCTTCGGCACAGCGACGATGCGCCTCATCAATCTATACACTTACGAGTTCAGAAGCTTCTACGGCAGCGAGATCCCGCAATATGCCATCCTCTCACACTGCTGGAGCGCGCACGAAATCTCCTACGACAAGTTCTGGAGACAAAAGGCCAGCTTTGTCGAATTCTGCCAGCACGTCCGGCGTCTAACCGGAAGCAGAGCAGTTCATTCCAGCACAGGGTGCGAGAAGATCGTCGGCTTCTGCCAATATGCTCGAAGTAGGCCTGCTCGAGCCTGGAATGAATCTGAGATGGACACACGGGAGACCTGGCTGGAATGGGGCTGGGTTGATACTTGTTGCATCGATGTTCGCAGCAGCGCTGAATTGTCTGAAGCTATTCAGTCTATGTACCCGTTTTACGAGTACGCTGCGGTGTGCTATGCATATATCGCAGATGTGCCTGCCGGGGCAAAGGCTGATACAGACTCTTTTTTCAACAGTAGATGGTTCAGACGAGGCTGGACTTTGCAGGAACTACTCGCGCCTTGGGATGTCATCTTCTGCAATGAGCAATGGGAGCTCATGGGACACAAATGCACACATGGCCCAGCGATACATGACGCCTGCGATCTACCGTCACACCTGAAGCTTCAATTTGGCGACTCCATTAAAAAGCATATTCAAAATGCATCTGGAATTGATGTCAAGTATCTACTAAGTCCACATGCTCCTCTGGCTGCAAGTGTGGCATGTAGGATGAGCTGGGCCGCACAGCGAGAGACCAAAAGAGTGGAAGACCAGGCTTATTCCCTGCTTGGAGTTTTCGATATCAACATGCCTATGTTGTACGGAGAAGGAAGGAAAGCTTTTCTACGACTGCAGCACCACATTCTTCAAACCTCCAACGACTCTTCCATATTCGCCTGGAATCGGGATTCTGTCCCAGGCCAGTCGATGGTTGCGTCTAGCCCGCAAGACTTCTCAGGATGTCGGGATGTGTACCGTGTCGAGAATGGTCGAGCTACCTTCGACCTCACGAAGAATGGCCTTGAGTTCCGTGGCACCGTCATAAAACGGAATAGGAGTTTCTACGTGATCAGGCTGGACTGTGTCTCGCCAGGCGGAACGCTAATCGAGGTGGCCATTCCGAATGCTATGACAATGAACGATGCACAATTCCAGCGCTTGAGCTACGGTTCTTACTTGAATAAAGCAGCCGGAGAGAAGCATTCGAACACGCAACAGGAGCCGGACCAGGCTGACTTCCTCTGTCTACGAGCCTCGGAGCCCATGCCGGGACCGCAGATCTTGCGACAACTATGCCATGAGCTCGATGTGGCGTTTCTTTCAAATAGCCTGCAAGGGCTCTCCCAAACGGTCGCCCAAAACTTTCTGCGGGATGTTGATGTAGATGACCTGAAGAAGCACCCCGTGTGGAAGCACATCGGCTGGGTTTATGACGCGGTTGCAGGAAGAGCTCTGGATCACGGCCAACGCGAGGGTGCCACTGATGTCGAAGAGTCAAACGCGGAATCGTGGCACGGTATCTTGGATAAGGCACGTCGATTGGCTAGTGCAGCCAAAAGGCAGTAAGGCGTGTTGTTGGACATTGACCAGGTTCGCAAGCAGTTCGTAAAGACCATTGTCTTGAAGACTGCAGTCCGGGGTAGGCCTCGGACAATCAGATCTTACTCCCACCACTAGCAGCACGCTTCCTCGCCCCATCCATCAACCTCCCGTCCTCAATAATGGCTCGCTCATGCCGCGCCTTCCCAATCTCACCGGCGACATCCCTAGCCACGACATCAAACAAAAACAGCTTGCCCTCCTTTCCAAGAAAAGTCGCAGTGACACTGACATCCTCTCCAACCTGCGTGGCAGCCGTATGCGTCATATCAACCCGAACACCGACGGACAACTGTCCTGGCGCTAGAAAGGCAACCAGCATTCTCGCGCTCACGACCTCCATCCAGCCTATTACTCGAGCGGTGGCCAGTACCTTGGCGTACACATCTTGGGGATTGGGAGACGTTTCGCTGGCTAGGTCACATTGCTGGACTTTGAAGTGGCCGGTGAGTGTTGAGCCGTCTTTTGGTTGTTGTGAAGATGCCATTGTGAGTCTTTGTTGGGTAGTGATTGCGAGTAATGTTTATGATCTGACAGCTCGTGTGCTGAGCGTGGTCACCTCGAATTCATTGCAACGGGGTCACATTGATTGGAAAGATGATATCTCGACACTTCCAAGGAAGAATGTTATCGAAGTCGCCCCCGCGATTCATCAGTCTGCAGCTGCCATGCGGGGCAGTGGGATGGCTGTAAACCACATGCAGGTACCGACCTTCGCGGAAACACTTAACCATGAGCCGATGAGCAGCGAGGTATCGAACAAGTACTCAAAGTATCCTCTTCTCCCGCGTAAGGTCTTCTAAAGCTCCGATTCAATCCCTATCTTCTACATTTTGCAACCTATTTTCTTTCAAATATCTTCTCGAAAAGATCTATCATCATCTCTTGGTTTAAAGCAGCAAATCAATTCGAAGACTGAATCGACCCATCATGGCACCCGCTGTCCGTCGCCCAGTGCGGATCGCAGGAGCATCTGGAGGCTTCTCGGACCGCGTCCATGCGATATCCAGGATAGCGTCCAACGAGGAGGTCGATGTCATCGTAGGAGACTGGCTCAGCGAGATGACAATGACGATACACGGGTCAGGCAAACAGAAAGCTCGCCAGGACCCTACAGCCGCGCAAAACGCCATGTTCGCCGAAAACTTCATGGACTGCTTTGAGCCCGCAATCGGAGACCTCCAGAGCAAAGGCATCAAGCTTGCCGTCAACGCCGGCGCTTCCGACACCGAGAAGCTCGCGCAGATTGTTAGAGACGCTTGTCATTCTCGCGGCTGGAACGATGTCAAGGTGGCGTGGATTGAGGGTGATGAGCAGACTGATAATGTGAAGAGGCTGATCAAGCAAGGCGAGACTTTTGAATCTCTCATGCATGGCCGGAAGATCCAGGACTGGGAGCACGAGATCATTTGTGCGCAATGCTATCTCGGTGGATTGGGTATTGCGGAGGCGCTGAAGCAGGGAGCCGATATTGTGATTGCTGGTCGAGTGGCGGATGCCGCTCCAACTATCGGTGCGGCTGCGTGAGTCTCGAATTTGTTATCAGAGGGAAGGCTCCGATCGACTGACCAATATTGCCTCGTAGGTGGTGGCACGAGTGGAACAACGACGACTTGGACGAACTGGCTGGCAGTCTGGCAAGTACTTGGCTAACCCTGCAAGAGTCACGACGTGCTGACTGAACCAGGTTGCCGGCCATCTGATCGAGTGCGCCAGCTATGTTACTGGCGGGTACTGTGCCGCCTTCAAAGACTTGATGAAGAAGAACAAGCACGTCAACCTAGGCTTTCCGATCGCCGCTGTGAACAATAAGGGCGAATGCACGCTCACCAAAGAGGCCAACACGGGCGGCATGGTGACTGTTGATTCGGTTTCCAGCCAGCTGCTGTACGAGATTCAGGGACCGCTGTACTATGGTTCAGATGTTGTCGCCCAGCTTGAAGGCATCCAGATGGAGCAGGTCGGTGAGGACGAAGTACGAGTAACTGGAATCAAGGGGGTTCCGCCACCGGACACGACGAAGGTCGGCATTTCTGGTTTCGCTGGCTGGCAGGCTGAGTATCATATCTATCTGGTCGGTCTTGACATTGACGAGAAGTGCAAGATGGCGGAAGGTAAGTCGTTCAGTCCCGAGGGCAGTGCTCCTTGCCCTTCGCTGATAGTGGTGTGCAGACCAGATCAAGTGGGAGCTCGGCGAGGAGAGACTCAAGAAGTTCTCATGTCTGAAGTTCATGCGCAACGGCGAGAGCCCGATCGATGCCCGGAACCAGGACATCGCCACGGTCGACTTCCGAATCTTCGCGCAGAGCAGGGACAGGGACTTGCTTCGCATGAGAAATCCAGAAGGCTTCTTCAGAATCTCAATGGTACCGATCGCACCCGACTTTTGTTGGACACTGCTAATCCTTGCTCTCTTCTGTGCGCAGGTCAACTTCCTCATGTCATGTCCTGGCGCCTCTTTGGGCAACGACATGTGTGTTCCCAAGTCTTCCCTCTTCACTGCTTGGAACCTGCGCTGACGCTTTTGATGAATAGGCGACAAGCAGAAGGAAAGCCGTTCTACGAGTATTGGCCAGCTCTTCTGCCAGTGAGTTCGAGCTGTCAATCGCAGGACGATTAAGACCTTCAAGATGAATACTGACCAGTTCTCTTCTCGTGCAACAGCAAAGTGAGGTCCAGCACCGTGTGCACATGCTCTGGAGTGGCGACGTGATCGACATGCCCGCCCCGACCAACACCAGCAAGCACAAGCGCCAACAGCCATCGTACGAAACTGAGGGTGCCGTTGATCTCTCAAAGTACGGCGAGACCGTTCGAGCACCACTTGGTAAGGTTGTGCTCGGTCGCTCCGGAGACAAAGCATCTGACTGCAATGTCGGCTTCTTCGTGCGCCCTTCTCCGGACAACGAGCTCTGGGACTGGCTGCGGTCGACTTTGACTGTGAAAAGGGTGAAGCAGATGCTAGGTCCTGAAGAAGTGCACAAGTTTCGCAAGCCAGAGTTGAGGGTTGATCGATTTGAGATGCCTGGGATCCGGGCTGTGCATTTCTTGCTGCATGATCATCTTGATCGGGGGTATGATAGTTGTTCGACGTACGACACGCTTGGGAAGAACTGTTTGGAGTACTTGAGGTAAGGCGTTGACCCGCAGAAATGCCCTGTCAAGACACTCGCTGACATTTTTTTGCAGGGCCAAAACGGTCGATATGCCGAAGCATTTCCTGGAGCAGTATACCATTTAGGCTGTCAACCGAGGTGTCGTTGTATATAGAGCAAGCCATTGCTTCTGTAGGCTGGGTCCAGACAGCATCTATTCGGATCGATCACCCATGCATCTTTCATCCGTCCAGTAGGCCAAAGTCCAGCAGGACAGGAAACTTGTCGGCTCCAGGTGAATCTCTCCTCACGAAGACGCTGATGCCAGGACCGTGCGCAGAGAACAAGCCGGAGCCTTTTCTGTCGATTAAGACGTCTTCCGGGGCGTAGCCTAAGACATCAAACCAGCGCTCTCCGGGCTTACCAATCTGCATCTGGATGGTGTTGACTACCCTTGGCTGAATGCTGAGTACCACCACACAACCTGGGTGCGAGCTGTCGCCGGCACGTGTCCATCCGATGCAGCTCGGTGAGGTCCAGTAGTCTTGTTGCGGCCCAAAAGCGAACAGCTTCCGGCACATCATCAACTCTGCCAGAAGACTTCTCCTGGCGGTGCCTTCTACGTTGAAAGCCTCACGTGAGACTCCTACAGGAGATTCAGAGAGAGGACCCTGCGTCCCGAAGAGGTCACCCCAGAACAAGCACGGCAGTCCATCTTTTCGCAGGAGGATGAAAGCGTAGAATAGCAACTTGAGTCTCGAGTCGATCGGTGTAGCTAACGCCTGTCCAGGCTGCGTATCATGGTTCGTGATTAGCGTTGCTGTCTGATCTGGTCGTGCTGCGAGGAGGCTGTTGCGAAGAAGTGTCCGAAGGTCTGGGGTTTCAATGGCTGCTGGCCGTACCAACGGGGAGCGGTTGGGCGTGCTCTTAGGGTGACTAGCTTTGGAGATGGCGTCTGACAAGTTCGCGAAGTTGTAGAACAGCGGCGCATCGAACGCGTACACCCGCGGACCACCAGAAGGCTGCTTCACCGCGTCTAGCCACTTCGTGATTCGCTGTACTTCTCCAGTCCAGAATTCTGCAACGACAAAGGCCTCCTTGCCAGTCTTCTCTCGCTGGGCCTTGCCGATCGAACCTATCCACTCGCGCATAAAGGAGTAGGAAATGTGTCGGGCGCCGTCTAGCCTGAAGCCGTCGACTCCAATGGAATCAATCATCCATGTGCCCCAGTTGAGGACATCTCTCCTGACTTCGGGATGTGTGTAGTCGATGTTACTGAACATCAGAAAGTCGTCATTGCCGTCCAGATCATCCGCATCCTCTGACCAACCTTTACCTGGTCGTCTTGGTGGTGCGATCTTAGTAGACCTGCTTGGAATAGTGGCTCCAGGACGCTTTTTCGCGCTCTGTCGAATCTTTTGGAATAGCCCTCGTGGAGGAGTCAAGGTGTCAGGTCCAGGCGGATCGATGAGTTTGAAAATGGCCTTCTTGTGCTCCCGGTGCTCGTAGTCCGTCCCATTGAAGTGTTCAGCACGCCACTGCATCTTACTATGCGACGTGTCAGCCTGCTGACGCCCAGGATAGCTGAAGCGCAGCCAGGCCTCGATTTTCTTGGGCGGGCAGATCTCCACTCGCCGGTCTGTATTGCGGGTACATCGTCAGCTTGGTACAGACCAGGCATAGTGTCGGTGCAATGGAGGTCACGCACCCTGCTCGTCAACTTCAACAGCCCAAACCTCCTCCGTAGCTTCAGCACCAGCTTTGTGATTGAGTACGGCGTCCCAGATGATGTCTATCTGAACTTCGGCAGCTTTCTTGATAAGGCTGGTCAACTGCTCAATGTCGCCCCATTTCGTCCTTCGTCTTCCTTGTTGGTCAAACTCTCCAAGGTCCCACAGATCGTAGATATCGTATCCGTTGCCGTCCAGGTTCATCGCCTTGCAGCCAGGCGGGAGCCATAGCGAGGTCACACCAAAGTGAGAAAGCAGAGGCAGTAGCCGGGTTAAGCTTTCGTAGTGATTGTGCGAGCTGTGCCATTCGAAGCCTTCCATGAGCATCTTATTGGATGTTCCCGACATGATAGAGATGGTGATGCCTTAATAGATGTAACGAAGAAAGAATGCTAATGAAGAAGAACAAATTTCTCTGCACACCTACCGCGCCTCGTGTCATCAAGCGGGCCGCGGCCTGGATGTTCCATACAAGATTCGTGCACCGTAGAGCGACTTTGACGCACGATCTTTACCGCAGTGACGGGGTTCGAAAGAGAAGACAGGTTTTCTATGCCGCGTCTGTGAAGGGGAGGCGCGTCAGCACAGCCCGAAGATTTGCCGCTGCTTCACGCGCATCCCATGATCGTCATCCTCTACCCTTCACTCAAGCGTATTTCCGACAACAGGCGATACATCGGACGAAGCCACGTAGATGCCACACCAAAGGAATTCTGTGAGGCACATGGAGTGAGTAAAAGGTAAGTCGCTGCTCTGTTTTCCTCTTCCGTGCTTGGCTGTCAAGTAAGAGTACAGTGTTCCGCAAGAGCTATGCTATCCCTTTATCAATTCTACAGCTCATTGGAACGGTATATCAAGAGCAGAGGGCTTTCCTTTCTATCCGTCGTGGTTGACAGTGTCTTAGGTTGCCTTGCCACCATCACCTCGTCGAAGCTTTCCTTGATGTTTGTGAAAGACCGGACTGTATCCGAACTCTCGAGCCCAGACAAGCTCCAAGGAGCCCCATGACGAATCCCAAGCTCATCTCACCCATCTCACTTGCTCGCCGAGCAGCCGGTGGAACATCACCTGAAGACGCCGACCCAGCCCCAGCCCCAGCCGCCATCTTCTCACTCAACCCAACACCCCTCCCAGTCGTCGCGAGCACAATCCCACTCCTACAGCTCGTCAAGTCCCGAGCTATCCCCACATCCCCCCAAAGAAGCCAAAGACAATGGACCCAAGCCCCGACCCACCCCCTCTGGCTCCAGGATAATCCGGCCCCGAAGACCCAACGACCCCAGGCGCCGGCGACGCGGCAGGCGAAAGCGAATGATAGACTGTCGCGATAACCTCCCCGGGGCGACGCGCATAGCAGGCCCAATCCCCCGCGCCGGGCCCGGAGGCCGGGGCGAAGCAGCCGGCGGGGCCGATGTTGTTGCACTGGTGTCGCGTATCAGTCTTAAACCCTTCGTATTGGAAGGTGGCAGAGGGTCAGGGTTTTGATTAGGGGAGGAAGGGAAGTACGCACGCAGGTACCGCACGAAGGAAAATAAGCCTGTCCGTAAGGGCAGGATTGACGTTTCTCGAAGCTGTCCTTTGGGGCTGCAGAGACGAGGGAGGCGAGGGCATGGAGGGCAAGGGCGAAGAGGAATTTGCTGGCTATCATACTGGAAGGGAATTAATGCAACTCGTCGTTGTTGTCAACCAAGGCTTTGGACGAGAAGATGCTTACAAGGTTCCCGTCGCATGAGCGCAGCGCCGGAAGCACTTCTTATAGGTACGCAGCCACTCATCGCGGGATGCGGCCACCCACGCATCGAGGCCAGGTTTTCCTACCTCTCTCCCTCTCCCACGTGAAGAAGGGCACAGCTCTCCAGCGCCCTCTCCTTCGCTCGATCCGTTTCACGTAGGCGAAGCCACGTATAAAGTCGTTGCCAAGCCATGTAGAAAGGGAAGGATGTTGCTTTTTTCGAGGCGCTTAACGTAGATGACAGGGTATCTGCGATTCATGGGAAAGCAGCTGCATGTGCTCGAGCGAAATCCGCCTATAACAGCAAGCCTTTCGAGCCGGGACCCAAACACGTGACCGAGCCAGCTGCGTCCACAAAGGGTCCAGACCCTGAGGTGTCCATGGCGACTCGCCTTTCTGTGCCTTCCCCAGTAGGCGGGCCGCGGGATGTTTTCTCATCACTTCCGTGACGATATTGTCTCAGCCTTGCGAGAAAGGTGCCCGATCGCTCGCTTTATATGTCGCTGGGGCCGAGATCGTCCTTCCGGGAAATGTGTGAAGGAGCAAGTAGACAGTAAGTTCGCTCTACTATTCCTCTCGAGAGCTATCACGTAAGACTACAGCGTACCGAAAGAGCTATAAGACTACTCTGCCACGCCTTTAACGATCCTACATTACAACGAGATCCCGTGGCCATGGAGGATAGTGCAAGACACCCTTTGCGTCCAGCTCGAGCCTCAGACTCTAAAGCTGTCAACAGACCAGCGTCCGGACCTGAGCTTTCCTTCCTCATATTCGAGCCCTTTCATCCTCCCTCTCAAGCCCAAAGAACAGCTCCGAGTAACCCCATCACCAACCCCAACCCCGAGCTCACCCCACCCACCCCTCTCGCGCCGCCAATAGCCGGCGGCAGCCCACTCGAAGACGCTGCCCCAGCCCCGTCCGCCGTCGTCGAGGGAAACCCAAAGCTCTGAGTCGTAGTCGGCACCATCCCGCCACCACCATAGCTCGTGCTCGACCCTCCCCCAAATACGTTGGAGGAGCCCCTCCCATACCCCGGTGATGAAGGCGAGGATGACGTATACGCCCCACCACCCGTCGACGACGACCCATACGAGCTCGATGTAGGAGAATAGTACGGTGTCGACGAACTCTCACCACCGACTCCCGCGCTCCCCGAAGCAGAAGGAGAGGGATAGGTCGCGCTACTCCCTCCCCCCACCGCACTCGAAACAAAGATCGTCGCCACGACTTCACCGGGCGGATACGGATAGCACGCCCATTCTCCGGCGTCCGGGCCCTCGACTGGGGCGTAGCAGCCTGCTGTGCCTAGGTTGTCGCACTGTATGACCATGTCAGTGCGTGCTGGATGGGAAAGGGGAGGCAGGGGGGGGGAGTGACGCACGCAACCACCACAGGGAGAAAAGTAGCCCTGTCCGTAAGGGCACGTCTGGCGTTTATCGACGCCATCTTTCTGCGCTCCGAAGGCGAGTTGGGCGAGGAGGGCGAGCGTGAGGAGCGCGATAGCCATGGTGGTAGTATCTTTGGGGCGGAGTGTTGTGAAAGCAAGGCTGTAGAGATGCGCACAAGGCTCGCCGAGCATAAGTGCAGCGCAGGAGGCCCATCTTATATAGATAGCCTCAGTCTCCCCCTCACAGCCTGATCCCATTACCTCCTGCACCGCCGCCGCCACATGAAAAGACAACACCTGCATCCTGCATCTGCAGCCTTCTCGCGCTGTTTCAAACCGCGAAAAAAGTATCCAAAATCGTGGCCAAGTGCCCAAGAAGGAAGGGAGTTGCCGTTTTGAGATGTCAATATAGCCTCGTGGCCTGATCTTTGTCTCAGCCTTGTGGGAAGGTGGACGATCGACCATTTCAATTCGCTGGAATCGAGGACGAGGTTCCGGGGAATTCGGGGGCTGTGACTCGTTAGATACATGTAGAGGAAAGTAAGAAAAAAGAAGCGTCAACAAGATGGGGCACTGGTACAAGGCTGACAACCTAGCAATCGAGCACTACACGTGCTTCCACGAGCCAACGCCTTGCTGTCAAAATACACCATGCCCAAGAGTCTCTTCAGCCAGAGCTCAGCCGTCAAGGAATCGCCAAACACCACCCAAGCCGACATCCAGTCGCTCATCTTTCCCACGAGACTGGACACTTTCGATCATTCACAACCAGTCGACCATAGCATTCTCCCTCGCCAACCGCCTGGCTCTCGCTGCCCCATCTTGCCGCTCGTCGTCAAGACCATCATCCTACAATGCCCTCGCCTTCCCCTTCCCCTTCCCCACCTTCTCCGTCTCCCCGATCAACCCCATCCCCTTCGTGATCACACCACTCACCCTCCCCGTCCCCCCAGGCAACGCACCATCGTACGTCGGCTCCTCCGCCTTCTCCAGATCCTCCCAGCCCTCCCGCAAACCCCACGCAAACCGCAGCGCATCCAACTCCCGCACCGGCATCCGCTGCACAATTTTACCGATCCAGCTATCAGTCGTATGCATCATCACGTTCTTCAGCGCGGTGCGACGCTTCTCGAACCAGAGCGAGCCTCGGCTCGAAAAGCGCTCAAAGCTGAGGAGGGCGGATTGGTCGAAACCTCCGAAGTTGGGGAGGAGGACGTAGCCGCAGGACTTGAGCTCGAGTGTTTGAAGGGCGGACTCTGGACGCTCGGGGTGTTGTTCCTCCCATGCTGCTGGGGCGGGGAGGTAGTCGTTGAAGACGGGGCCGGGAGAGATTTTGTTGAGAACGTCGGGCCATAAGCCTTCGCCGTGTCCGAGGCTCCAGTGAGCGTTGAATTCGACGGGGGCGGGGTGGATATTGAGTGGGTTGATCTGGATTGGAGCAGCACCGTTCACACCACCAGCTTGAGCCGTGAGAGCGAAGTTAACCTGGGTCCAATTCGGACCAATGGCCTGGTTCGCTGGAGGTACTAGCGGATTCGGCGCGTTCTGGTTGCCGTTATGCCCAAACACTAGTTGCTGCATCTGTTGGTTCCCCTGCTGAATTTGCTGCAGGTGTTGATGTACTTGCGCAAAGAGTGCGGCATGCTGACCTTGTGCATTCTGTGGGACGTTGAAGTTCTGAACGGCCGCGACTGCGTTGTCATTAGTAACGTTCCGTGGATGCGTTGTAAGCGACACCGAATCGAGCGTGAGCTTCTTCAACGCCATCCCCTCATGCTTCTTCACTAGACTCTCCAACACAACCGGCGTAACCCAGCAGTTGGACAGCGTGAGATGCTCAACATGGCTGAACACCATGACATGCATGCCGCTGTTCTCGGTACAGCGGTTCCGCGGGATGATGGGTGCAGGAAGGAGACCGTTGTTGCGTCCGCAGATGCCTTCAGCGTGCTCACCGCCACCGACCCAGCCGATGGTGAGTTTCTTGATCGTCTGGCGTTGGGCGATGCGTTGCTGCAGTAGGCCGTTGTGGAATTGGTCGACGGCCGCTGATGGCCACACGGGTTGCTCAACCACCGCAGCGGAGCTATCCTTGTCGACGGAACGCCAATCGGGGCTGATTTGCAGATTCACGTCGGCGAGACAGGGCAGTGCGGCCCAGATGTAAGGGCGGGACAGCATGGGAACAAAGCGGCTGGAAAGCTTTGCGATATTGAGGGTCGTGACCTGCTTGAAGATGTTCGGGTTGTCGATAACCGCCAGCATGTAGGACTCCAGGAATGCTTGCTGGGCCCACTGGGTCTCGAGCAACCACTCTTTCTGCTCCTGCTTCAGGTGACACGGCGCAAGTGGCAGTGTGCCCGTGTCAAATCCGCAGTCAGCTCGGTCGGTAGTGAAGACAACGCCGTCAGCATGAGTAGGCTCCTTGGGGCTGTCTGTCGAGACGATCCTTGATGCCGACACAGTTGGCCACAGACCGACGTCTGAGTACTCCCCAAGCTTACTGAGACTGAGCACAGGAGTTGGCGAGGTGTCGAGCGTGATCTCCTTCATGTTTGACGTCGGGTGGAAAGCAAGTTGAGAGTTCTTCAGAGCCGACCAAAATTGACCGGCAGCTTGAAGCGCATGGTCCGGAACGTTGTAGACCGAGCCAAATACAGGGGACTGGCGCTCAAACACTCTTGCCCGCACCGACTTGTCTGGCCCGCTCAGCCACCCGAGACCGCTGTCGAGCGCAAGCCCGAGCTCCCTGACATGCTCAAGGTTCGAGAAAGCGGCTTTCATGCGTGAGGTCTCGTCGGCGGTGTTCTCCAGACCGGCAAGATTGGCGAAACGTGCGTAGTGCTGCGCGGGCCACTCGTATGAGCCGTGGTACGAAGTGACTTCGTCAAGCACCTTCTTATTGAGTGGCTGACAGAGCTGCTTCTCCGACACCTCGAAACTCATGCCGAAGCGTCTAATGTGTGGGCCGAAGCCCTGGAAGACTCGGAGGCCGTGTCCCTTATACACCTTGCCATCCTGGTCGACCTTTGCGTTCTGCCAATGCAGGCCGGGCGGGTCTGGATATTGCTCAACTACCCTCGCTTTGCCCTTGCCTTTGTCGATAGGTCTTGTTTGAGATTTGGCGAGCTTGTTTCTGTCATCGATCATGTCGTAGAGCTCGGTGTTAAAGGGAACGACAGACGTATGGAAAAGCGAGCGCGAGACCTTCTGCTCGAATTCTCTGTTGACCAGACGCATCGACATCACGTCATCGCGGGCAAGACTGTCGGTAATGAGATCAAAGAGCTCCACCGGAAGCCTCTCGCGCGGCCAAGCGACGCTGCCGGACTGCTGCGTCTGCTGCGTCTGTTGCGTGTGGTTCCGGTGCTCTGGTAGGACCGTCAGATAATCGCTGTTCTCAACATTTATGCGACCTCTGGATGCTGGAGCAAGCGCTAGATACCGGACCTGATCAGAAAACTTGGGAGAAGTGTTAGACGTAGGACAGGCTTCGCTGTGGCGCGATACGAGCACGGCGGAGAACTTTCGACCTTCCGCTTCCCGACGGCGTTTTTTGAATGCTTCTTTTGTCCGGAATGCGGAGGTTGAGAAGACGTCTGCGTTGGTCTGGAAATTGTCGGGAGAAGGGCCCCGAGCGACCCGCTCCAGTATGTCGAGTGCGATATCTTCATCGTCCGAGTACTCCTGCACCTGTTCTGATAGATCTGGAGTTGCGCGATCTGAACTGGTGAAATCACCTGTCGCGAACACCTGCTTCGCCTCGATGGTAGGGACGTCACCGTCATACTGATATCGGCTCACAGCATTGGAGCTGCTTTGAATGGCCTTACCAGGAGGCTTTTCCGTCGGCGACGATGCTTTTCTCTTAGAGCGCATGAGGCCTGGCGGATTGAATGGCGCGGCCTCTGGGTTGAAGGGCGAGGCCATATTGCGTCTTTCTGATTGAGCTTGCACCCAGCGCGTAGTGCTTCTGGTATTGCGGCCTCTCAACATGTGAGAAGGGGCGAATTCGCCGCTGCGCACAACGGCGCGACCGTAGATGCCCACGTCCAAATCCCTGGCTGGTCTCAGATCGGGACTCCCAGCATTGGGTTCGCTAGCTTCTGGGGGTGGTGAAGAGGTAGTAGTCCAGGACATCTGAGAGGAAGGAGTCTCGGGTTGATCCGGAGTGATGTCCATGGTGAAATGTGACCGGCCGTGCGACATTCACACAGCGTCACGTGCAGCGGTCGGTGGATCTGATTTGGTTCGAGTGAACGTCTTTCATGCGCTTTCACTATTCTAATGTTGGTGACAGCTTTCCTGGCACGCAAACGCAAACAATATCGCCGTCTGTGAGGCAACGACGGCGGTAATGTCAATGAATGGCTGTTCCAACTGCGACACGGTCACTGTCATGTGACTTCTGCTCTGAACGAGAGACGCAGTGCTGACAGCGAAGTGAAGTGAAGTGGAAGATGTCTGCAGACTGACTTTGTTGTTTGCTGAAGTTGCTCGAAGCTGCACTCTTAAGGAAGGCATGAGTGCCAAGCCTTGCTGATGACCACCCCCTCGCTGCTCTATCTCGACCTTTTCCAACAACCTGACGACTGCGAGCTCGCCAATTGGTCTCAATCCTTTCAAGATTCACTCGAGCACCATGGTAACATGATGCGCCAGAACAACTATGACGGTAACTCGCAGGGCTTCATCTGGTGGTAAGACACAGCGAAGATATGGCGGTTCTTACCCAACGGTCTCACAGCGCCGGATGAGGCCGCGATGAAGCAGGCCTTCTCTGCATGCTATAAGGTCTGCCGCAGTCTCGGGAACGTCTTGCAGAGGACACGGTCAAGCGGTTCCGATATGCATCTGATGTGGTGGCCATCGTGCCGTGCCACGGACAGCGACGCCTCAATCCCATACGTGGCGCCAAGCTGAGACATGTGCGCTGCACGCGTGTTGCATGGGTACGACGTACTGCCATCTATGTAATCTTGTACATACTCAGCATAACCATACATATCAGACACCACCGCTCTTCTTCTGGCCCTGTAGTTCCGCGCCCAAACAGTAGCAGCAATACAGGTACACAGGCGACAGCACGCCCGCCGGCAAGATGAGCAGCAAGATGAAGGGCATATCCCGCTTCACGGGCTTCTTGGGGCGGTCGAAGAGTAAGAGGGCATGCCTTATGAAGTATCTAAACAGCGTGTAGACTGACAATACTGTTCTGTAGGCGTCGCCTCACCGTCCAACTCCAACGCCGCCCCGCGAGGCACCCTCTTGGACGCCCCCGTCGACTCGCCAGACGCAAACGTAGTAGGAAGTGTCCGCCAATTCTGTGAATCAGGCAGCATGTCACAAGGAGGCGAGGAAGTCCTACATCTCCCAGTCATCGTGGAAGCAGCAGAGTCATCCCCCACAGCAGCAGCATCAGCGGCGCGACAGATCCGTACATATCTCACCCGGGAGTGGTCGGTGAAGTCATACGTGCAGTACAACGCAGTCATGTTGATACGCATACTGAGCGACAACCCCGGCCCGAGCTTCACGCGCAACTTCGACAAGGCGTTTGTGAGCACGATCAAAGAGGTGTTGAGAAATTGCAAGGATGGAAGTACACAGCAGATATTGCGGGAGACGCTAGATAATTTGGAAGCGAACAAGTCGCTGCAGGAAGGGCTGGAAGGTTTGATCATGATGTGGCGGAAGGAGAAGGGTAGCCAGGCGAGGCTCAGTCAACAAGGCCCATATGGCGGCTTTCCACCACCGCAGCAGGGAGGGAATGTGTACGGTCAATCCACTTACGACGGACGACCGCCATTCCAGCAGCGGGCTTCGTCTCATCGACAACTACCACCGCAGCAAGAACTTGCCAGCCGGATAGAGGAGGCACGAAACACTGCCAAGATACTACTCCAGCTCATCCAGTCAACTCCACCAGAGGAAGTGGTGAACAACGACCTCCTCGCCGAGTTTGCGGATAGATGTCAGTCTGCGCAGAGGAGTATGCAGGGTTTCATCAACTGCAATGCGCCGCCCCCAGACGACGACACAATGTTGACGCTCATTGAGACGAACGAGCAGCTCAGTCTGGCTTCGTCGAGACACCACCGAGCACAGTTATCAGCGAGGAAGGCTATGGGACTGAGCCCGAGTCCGCACCAGCAGAACCTCAATGCGGCGGCCAGTCCCGCGAATGGACCATATCAACCACCCGCAGCACCTCCGCCAGCGCAGGCCCAGTCTGACAACCTCTTCGCACAACCCCAGCCGCCACCTCAACAACCACCACAGCCCTACAATCATAACCTGTTCACCCCCAGCAGCCGTCAAGAAGAGCCCATCCAACCACCACCCGGCCCACCCCCCGGTCTCCTCGACCGCCTCAACTCCCGCGAAGCCCAGCAATCCCCTCCGCACTCCCCACCCGCCCAATTCTCCTCCACCCAGCCCCCCCAAGCCAGCAACCCCTTTGCCGACCCCGTCGACCACGACACCTACCACTCCCAACCACCCTATCCCGCCCACCGACCACACAGCCAAACTTTCTCAATAAACGCTGAACCCTCTTACCCTTCGAATTCAGCACCGGCTCCGCCGCAGCAGGAACGTCCAGCGCTTGGGGCGTGGCATAATAGTACTATCACCCCGTCGTTTCTGGGGAGGCAGGATGATGCGGCGCAGGGGATGACGATGCATGGGGCGGGCGCTGGGGCGGGGGTGGAGGAGATTGATGGACATTCCGAGGTTGGGAGGACGGGGGCGTATGATGTTAGTCCTGTGGAGGCGAGGCAAGGGGGTGGGAGGTTCGGGGGTCGGTAACGGAAGAGGCATGATAGATGAACTGTGTAGTGAAGCGATTGTGCGCGCAGATTGACTTGAGCTTGGACGGTGAACATGGAAATACGCAAGATACCAACAAATCTTAACAAGACTGAATGCTCCGACCGACTTTTCACCTTCTTCTTCAAGGCGCTCCAAGATACGTCCACCCCAAATCCCCATCCCCCTCCCCCAACCCCTTCACCCTCACAACCTGCTCATCCCCCGGCACAACATCCAACGCACTATCATGCACCAACACCCCCTCCCTCTCCTCAAACACCAGCCCCTTCGTCGGCTTCCCTGCTCTAACGAAAATCTCATCCCCTTTCCTCGCGACCTCCACCCCTCGATCGCTGAAGTCGAGATACTTCAGCGGCTGCGGCCAGTCGCAATCCCTGCTCACCAGCTCGCCGTCGACCCAGACGCGGGCGGCGAGGACGTGCGGTTCGCAGGCGGAGTTGTCGATGGTGCCGGAGAGGACGGGGGTGGTGCCGTTGGCGGTGATGGTGAGGTCTTTCTTCACCAATTTCTCCGCGATCTCTTTGCCGGTGGCGATGCTGATGAAGCGGACTTCGACAGTACCAACCGTGTCTTGGGTTTTACTGCTTGCCACCCAACATTCCCACCCCAACGTCTTCGCCGGCCTCGCGTGGACGACGCTCCAGTCATGATGTTCCCGCTTCACCGCCACAGCTACGGGAGCCAGGACGCGGCGCATAGCGTAATACGCCGGTTTCTTGCGCAAAAAGTAATCCACGATCGCCCAGCTCGTCACGGGCCAGCAATCATTCAACTGCCACACCAGCGCGCCTCCACAATGTCTCTGCTCGCCCCACTGCTTCCTCCAGCCGCGGTAGCCGAACATCAACGCCTCCGCCTGGCTGAGCTGCGTGAGATGGATGAATTTCTCGAGATCGGTCTGCGTGCGGAAGTTCTCGACGACGTACGTCGCGATCCTCCTCTCATGCCCATCAGCTTTATTGTGAAAATCAATCATATGGCTCTGCGGGTACAGCTGCTTCGGGTCCGTGACGTAGTGCTTGATCGTGTCGATGTGCGGGAAGGCTTCCATGCCGAACTCGCTGTTGAAGCGACCGCCGAGCGTGTCGAAGATCTGGTATTTTTCTTGCGTCCCGTGCCAGACGTTCCATTGGTGCATGTCCCCGACCGTGGTGTCGGAGGAGATTTTGCCGTCGCCCCAGGGGGAGCCTGGGTGGTAGGGGATGTGGGGGGAGTGGGCCGCGACGACGTCGGGGAGGAGCTGGAGATTGTCAGAGTGTGTCTTTGAGACGGGGGTATCGCTTACCTTTTCGTAGATGTAGCGGGCCGGGAAGTCGGTCTTGAGCCAGCTTTGGGGGTCTTTGTCTTCGTAGTTGTAGGTGAGGTCGTTTTGCTCTTGGATTTGGTAGTCTTCGTTGTTGCCAGCGTAGATGATCATTGAGGGGTGGTGCCGTAGGCGTTTGGTCTGACAGACACATTCCTTTTCAATGGAGTCCAGGATCTCAGGGAAGGCAGGGTAGTTGCCGCAGCCAAATAAGAAGTCCTGCCATACCATCACACCTGGAGTGAAAGGATTAGCAAGTGTCTCGAGGCTGGGTCCCGAGTGCCCCAGAGCGGTGGTCTTATTCTGATGCTGTTTCGGACGCTTTCGTGCAACTTACCAAGCTCATCGCAAAGGTCATAGAAAACATCTTCTTCCCATATGCCACCTCCCCAGACCCGGATCATGACCTGATAGCCGTCCACCATCATCTCAAGCCACTTCCGGTACTTTGCTTCCGTGATGCGTGGCGTAAAGCTGTCGGCTGGAATCCAATCGCTGCCCCCGCAGAAGACGTCGATGCCGTTGATGCGGAAGTAGCTGCAGCACAAGCAAGACTGTCAGCATACGTCTCATACAGCCGGTGCTCTGATGGTTCAGAATATTACTCAGAGGACTTGTAGCAGAGGTAGGAGATGGCTTTTTGAGCAAGGATGCCGCACGTACAAGCTCTTGCCTATCTTGTCAGGCTCCTGGATCAGCTCGCCTTTGCGGAAGCCAGTCCGTTTAGTGACAGAGTCCAATGTCTCCTGACCGTTTGACACAGCTGCCGTCACACCATACAGCGTCTGAGCACCATAGCCATGAGGATACCAGAGCTTCGGCTCGCTAATGTGGAACTCAACTGTAGCCTTGCCATCTCCGTCGACTTCTGCCGTGCCTTTGAAGACCTCGTTGCCTTCCAACTTGGCGCTGAAATCAACAGTCTTGCCGGAAGCGCCCTCCACAGTGGCTGTGATAGAGCCGGTAACTTTCTTGAAACTCGAGTCGACTTCATAGTCTATCCTCATGTCCGCCACACGAGCCTCGTAGGTCTCAAGTCGAACGGCTCGCCATGGTCCACAGGTGATAAGTACTGGTCCCCAATCCCAGCCATAGTGGTATTGCGCTTTCCTGGCAGCTAATCTGGCCATATCACCGTTGGAGCCCAGCCACTTGTGCTCCGGATGAGCAGCTTTGATCCTCTGTGACTCCGGCAATGCGGCCTTGAAGTAGATCTCCAGCATGTTGTCCTTGTCTGCTAGGAGCTTGTCGGTGACATCGATCCGGTGCATGATGAACATATTATCGCTTTCCAAGATCGTCTCATCGTTGAGTTTGACGGTGGCGTAGGTGTCCAGGCCATCAAGAGCCAGCACATGTTTCCTTCCGTGCTTCGATGAGACGGAGGGCAGCTTGACTCTGTATATCCAGTCCTTGTCATGGATCCATTGGCAGGCCAGCTCGTTGAAGCCTAGGAAAGGATCTTCGATCCTGTATTTCCGTTAACTTACATCGGCCAGCTCAGAGGCAAACGGGTGCGATACTTCTTGTTGTCCATCAAGTCGAGATGGAGATTTGTTGGTACTCGAGCAACGGGCAGCCATTCCTGCGAGTCTGCCTGTTTGAACTCCCATCCTTTGCTCAGGTCTTGAGCTGCCGATGCCGCCATCGCGATATCCCGTCACACCGTCGCACTTCTATACCACAGACGAAGGAGATATCGAGCATTCACTTGCCAAGACGTCGGTCGTCGCACGAAGAGGTCAGCTTCCACGTGAAGACTCTACCTCGCAGCGCTGGTCAAATTATAGTCAATCGACTGGAAGGCAACGACGCAAGAATCTTTGAGCCGCCATCGACAATGTTCCACTGCGGTTAAATTGAAGACAGTTGATACGTCAACAGCGGCGGCTGTTCCTGGCGCCCACGTGCTAGCGACAGCACGCGCTTGCCCGAAACGTGCCCCCGGAAGGAAAGTGTCCGGGATGAGTTGGGAAGGCGCCTCGCTTCCAACTTCTGCCGCAGCGCAGGGCAATGACAACAGGCGTCTTGGCCTGCAATGTGATGTCTTTGACCTCACTTCCTTCTCACTCATCCATCCATCTACATCACCTCATTTGCAGCATAATAGCGTTTCCTCACCTCACGAATACATGTATAGACGCATCTAGACTGTTCAGCTGGTCTGACTGGCTCCTCACCTGACGCCAACCATTTCAGAGCATCCTTATCCGGACCTGTTGGCGGACTTCTCGATTCGCGACGCAGTGTAGGAACGCGTTTCTGTCAAGTCGAAGACCAAGAAGAGGGAACTACGCAGGAAGACCTCAACCCTCTCTTCGCGGACGAAGCAGCAGCGAAGCCGGCTTCGATCTTTCCTACGCCGTCTGGAAAGTCATCTTACTCCATCCGGCGCCTGTCTCCCATCCACTGGCGTTGATCGCTGAGACGAAGCCATGGAGTGTAGAGTGCTCCTACTCATCCTAACATCCCTGGTCCTCCGGAGCTCGGGCGAACATCACATGAAGCAACAAGTCGAAAGGCGACAATCCAGCAACAAAGACACCCCCATCGTAGTCGCCAACTGGTGCGCCGACGATGTCTATCCAGCCATGTTGACACAGAGCGGCGGCGGGCCCACCGAACACGGCTTGCGCTTACAGTCCGGCGAGAACCAAACGATCTACGTTAGCGACGACTGGCAAGGCCGTGTTTGGGCGCGCACGAACTGCTCTTTTGACGACAGCGGACAAGCTCAGGGCGGCAGTGGCTCAGCGTGCAGCACTGGCGATTGCGGAGGGGCATTGGGATGCCAGATCGCGGGCGCTCCTCCGGCTACCCTTGCGGAGTTTACGTTGCACGGCGGGATGGATCAGACTTACTACGACATCAGCTTGGTCGATGGCTACAATTTGCCTCTGGCGATCGTGATGCTTGCGAACGGGAACAGCGAGCTGGAGCAGATGCAGGGCAGTAAGACCAACCCTTCCTGCGTCGGCAGCGTGGGCGATCTCGCACCCCAAAACTTCGACCCGTATAAGAACGGCCAGCAATTCCTCGGCACCAGCTCCAACAACCCAATGCCATTCGAGACCAAGACGACCTCAGACGACGTCGAGCAGTGGTGCCCGTGGGATCTCCAAGTCGACGCACCAACCGCACCCGGAAATGGCATCTATCCTTACCCCGACGGTAACGTCCAGAGACCCGTCTTCGACCCATGCCTCTCGGCCTGCGCCAAGTACAGCGAAGACCAATACTGTTGCACCGGCAAATACGATGGTCCAAGCCAATGCTCGACCAACTACTACGCCAAGGCGGCAAAGTCTGTGTGTCCGGACGCCTATTCCTACGCCTACGACGACCAGGACAGCACGTTCATTATCCCTGAGGGCGCTGGGTTTCAGGTCATCTTCTGTCCGGGTGGGAGGAGCACTAACATTCTCGCGACGCAGTACGTATCTCCATCATTCATCATTGGATGCAAAGCTGACAGGCCGAGCAGGGGTGGACAGTCTTCCGGATCTTCTTCAAGCGGCTCATTGTCAGAGTTGCGACTCGGAAAGCTAGTGATTGACGGAAGGGTCTGGCGGACGGCCCTTGTTGGAGTCTTGGTTGCAGCGGTCCTGACCTAGTGCTTCTGGACATGCCTCTGCTTGGACGGCTCGACGATGGTACGATATTTGACGTCCTTTAGCGGCATGACGATGATACCCTGTGAATGTATGTCGGTTGTTTAACACCTGACTACTGATCTTCTTCGTATTCACGTATCCTACATCGCCATTGTTATATTCGGCCGCCTGCCCATTGTGCCTCCAGCTGACCGTTGCTAACCGTGGACCCCCACGCTGCCACCCACGCCTTCATCACCCGCCTGCACCGAGCCGTTCGTTCCGCCGCGGGTGGCGCTCTCCACCTGCAGATTTCTCTCCACGCTAAAGTCGGACCCCTCTTCTTGTCCTTGACTTTCACGTGAACCACTCCCGTATGTCTCGATGATGCCAGTCATGCCAACTTGCCAGTAGCTTCTGCTCCTCGCCTTCTTCTCGGAGCCAGCGGTAACCGTGTGTTAAAGATAACAGAACAGTCCCGGTTCCGAGAAAGTCCACACTTCAAAAGATGATGAGGCAAGGCCTTCATCTTTCCTTTCGTGTCTTTCACACTTCTTCAATTCCTGGTTGAGCTTTGCACCATACCGCACACACAAGAACAAGTAGCAGCACCAGTTACGGCGTTGGGAGGCAAAGGGGGAGTACAACGTGACTGAGAGTGTACGTTCAGCATGTTATGGTTGCCTCATGAGGCTATCGCGAGGCGACAAAAGCAAAAGCAGAAGGCTGATCATATAGTAGCAGACCGCTCGAACAACCACAAGCAATAGCCCACCATGGCCGTCTCTACCAACAGCGACTTCGTCGACTTCATCATTCCACTTCGTGAACGCATGAACTTCTACGACAAGACCCGATCGCCTACCGACCAAGAGAAGAACGATGCGGCGGACCCGGCACGCTCGCTCCCACAAGGCTTCATCGATTCGATGATAATTCGCGAGGCGGTCTATGTGCAAGAGCAGGGAGTGCCGCTCGAGAATGAGCTGGACGACGAGGACGCATTGGCTTTCCACTGGGTTGCATACGCTTCAGTGCCGGACAAAGTTCGCTCAGACCCCAGCTCACCAGAGATGAGCCCTCAAGGCGGCAGGAAGGACTCGGGAAGACGCATAAGCACAAGCACCAAGATGCCCATCGGCACCATCCGCGCAACACCCGTCCCCTACCCGCAACAGCACCCTCATCCGAACGGCAAGTACGAAACCGCCGTCCACAAGAACAATGAAGCCTACGTCAGAATCGGCCGTCTCTCCGTCGTAAAAGAATTCCGCAAAGCAGGCATCGCCAAACTCCTCGTCGACACCGCTCTCGGTTTCATCTCCGCCCACCCGTACGAAACGTTCGCCTACTACGACCAAGCCGCCACCTCGCAAGCAGGCAGCGGAGCGCAGAGCGTCGATTTCCGCGGTCTCGTGCTAGTGCATTCGCAGACGGGGGTGCAGAAGGTGTGGCGCAAGTACGGGTTCGAGACGGATGAGAGTATGGGGGAGTGGGACGAGGAGGGGATCTTGCATGTCGGAATGTGGAAGCGGTTGGATCTCAGCAATGCTAGTAAGAAGAATAAGATATGGCTGCCTGGTGGGCCCTCGTAGTTCGGGGAGTTTAAGAGGTGTGGCTGGGTTTAATTGCTTTTTGCATGGTTATGGTGGTATTTGATGACACGGCGCATGGTGGTAGAGGCTGGTGTGATACCCTGGAGTGGTTTGAAACGCAATCATTGGGATGTGCATGGAAGGAATACTGGGAGGAATCGAATGATTGATGAGACATGAACTGTGGTCTGCAGACGGCTGGACCGTGCTGCTACCAGCAGAAGGATAGACATACCACTATTGCCTCTCCTACTGCACATATTCGTGCCACAGACTATTACTCTCTTGTCTTTCGAACAACTCGTTCGTGCTTACCTTCCAGTGAATAGTGCCAAGACCGTGAAGTCGTGCAAGCCAAAGAGCAAGCGACCTCACTACTAGATCAATTCTAAGGTACGAGCGGTCCACCGTACTGCTTTGGTGCTACACTTCTTGCTGAGACCTTTGGTGCAGTATGAGACCAGGCGACTAGAAGATTGTTAGCTTGAGTTAGCAAAGATGCCGACTTCAACGCGTCGACAGGCACGCGCGCGTTCGCTGGATGAACATGCTCAAACGCCACCTGGCAGCGTGAGTGAGCTGCAAGATGTGAGCACAGACGCGATAGTCGATCAGGAGATGCAAGACGATGGACAGCCTGTGGAAGAAGAAGAGGAAGAAGAACAAGGTAACTTCCTATCACCGCCCTCAATTCATGCTTCACCATTAACAGCCTTCCAGAAATCGAACTCGAACCCTTCCCACCCCCAGGCCTCAAAGAAATCTCTTCCCTCGCCTCCTGGACCGTCAGCACCGCCAAACCCGGCAATGGAGTCGCCGCCCTCCGCTCCCCAGACACGTCTCTCTTCTGGCAATCCGACGGTCCGCAACCGCATCTCCTTAGCATCCACTTCTTCAAACTGGTGTCAATCGTGCACATGCGCATATACCTGGACTTTGAATCCGACGAATCCTACACGCCAACTAAAATCCAATTCCTAGCCGGGATGGGCGTGCACGATATCCAGGAGTTCGCGGAGATGAGTTTCGAGCAGCCGACCGGATGGTTTGACGTAGATTTCTCCAATGTCGGACCGGTGGAGATGGAGGAGGATGAGGATGAAGATGCGCCGAGAGTGGTGGATTGGAGCAAGCAGCCGGTGTTGAGGGCGTTTCTGGTGCAGGTGAGGATTCTGGAGAATCACCAGAATGGGAAGGATACCCATTTGCGGGCGGTGAATTTGTTCGCGCGGGATGAGGCGTTTGAGGCGAGGAAGGAGAGGAGGGCGCCGAAGAGGGTGGAGAGGGAGGTGCTGGTGAGGGCGGGGAAGATGGGTGGGGAGCGGAAGAAGGCGATGGAGGGGATTAGGTTGGCGAGTTGGATGATGGAGCCTGAGCTGCGATGAATGCAAATGGCCTACGGACTGTCCATACCTACTTGGGGGGAGCTGGCTACAGCGCTATCATGACTTCCTTGCTCTGCTCACACCCACCAACCCTGAGCGGATGAACCGGTTTGCTTGAGAAGTATCCCTAGGCTACAACATCGCGGACCAAGGGCATACTCATCCTGATCAAACTTCTGCGTTAATGGCTCTACCTACGGCATGCCTCCTACGCAACCATCTCAAGGATCTCCTGCACCTGCTCAGCTTTAAGCAAAGGCACCGGGTTCGTAGGCGACCAAAAGTCAGCCAACGCTCGCTCCGACAATCCAGGAATCCTGTCCGACGAGATGTCCATCTCCTTCAGCGTCCGCGGCAGCCCAAGGCCACGAACATACACATGAAGCAAATCTCCAAGGTCAGCCGTCGTTCGGTCGATGCCTGCCTGGTCGAACGTCTTCGAAACTTCCGGCTCGGACCATAAGATCTCCTTGATGTTCTCCTGTCTCCTGGCGATCTCAGGCTTATCCTTGCCGTGTATGATATTGTACTTCATCACGGCAGGATTCAGGATACAAGACGTCACGCCGTGCGGAACGCCCAATGGACCCAACTGGTGACCTATGGCATGGCTTCCGCCCATTGCAGTACCTGTGCGGACTGACTCCATGGCAAAGACGACCGCTAGCTGGCATTGCTTTCTGGCTTCGATGTCGTTTGGGTCCTTCTTGCATTTTAGCAGACTAGGTGCAAGCAGCCGCAGGCCTTTTTCGGCTTTCTCGTCGGACCTGGGATTTGCTTGTAGAGAGCATAGTGCTTCAACGCAGTGGTCGAAACTTCGGAAGCCGGTGGATAACCAATGGTACTCTGGTGTTGTCAAGCACAGTTCCGGGTCAAGAATTATGAGTCTCGGACCCATGCCAGAGTGGAAGAAGCCGTGCTTATGGTGTGTTGAGTCCTCCGTTCCGCCGGCGAGGGAGAAGTACTCGCCACCGGATAATGAGGTTGGGATGGTTATCAGTGGCACTGTCGGCTCTACGACATGCTCGGGCTTGTCCTTGCTCTCGACGGAGTATCGAGCGAGCTCTACCGGGGTGCTGATATCGTTCGCGAGAGCCTACGCACGTCAACATTTACTACTCCCTTTGACAATACTAAAGACAAAGCTCACCAACACAACCAATTTACACCCATCCGTCACACTCCCCGCCCCCAGCGTGACCACACAATCCACCCTCTTCTCCCTACACTCCTTCGTAATCTGCAGAATCTCCGACCATGGCGTATGTGGCGTGATTCCCTTCTTCACACCTACCACAACGTCCTTCCCAATGGCTTCGGTGAGTTTCTCAAGCTTGTCGGTGTTTGCGCAGAGGGATTTAGACGCTACGATGTATACTTTGGACGCATTGTAGGACTTGATGTGTTTGGCACAGGCTGAGTAGTAGGGAAGGCCATATGAGATGTCTGGAGTGAGGAGGTTGAAGTCGGTTATGTTGATGCCGGCGACGACGTCGCCTGGGGGGTCCGTGAAGGCTGGGTGGAGGGTTTCTTGGGCCATTAGAGTTGTGTGAATCGATTCTATTCAAATAATCTGGATGCTTGAAATGTTCTAGGAACTGTGAGGCACAAGGTAATCCTCTTGTCGTCGGTTCAACGTTGTTCAACATTCAAACGGCTGCTGACCCCGCTCCAGATGATTTGTTCATCCCATCAACTAATCCCATCCAATTCATTCACGAACTGTCCAGTGTGTTTCCTCCGACCAAAATGGGATTCTACTCCCAGCGTTTTGCCAATGGGAGGGCGTCTCGGTGGAACCAAAAAACGAAACCTCCAGCCCAAACTGCCAGATTTTTGGCAAAAAGGTCAGGACCAACTGGGGTCTTACAGTGCGTCGCTGTATATTGATTAGCACATGCTAACGGCATTGATTAGGGGTAACACGTACGCCGGGAATCGAACCCGGGGCTCATCGACGGCGCGTTTTATGGCAACGATGAATTTTACCACTAAACCACCAACGCTTGCTTATTGGCTGATTGTGGGACTGGAAACAACATTACCGTATATAAAGTGGATTAAAACCGAGCCCTGCCAACGATGGAAGCCGCTCCCAGCCCGTAATGTTTCAATGGCTACTGTGATCAAGGGCGCTGTTTAGAGTGATAAATAGAAGGTGCTATCAACTTAGGACTCCGGTTGCACGAGACAAGAAGGCCTTGCGAGACCTTGCAGGCGGCAGTGGGCAATATACTGAATTTCCGCAATACTTCCGCGGTACCCAAGACTGGCTTCAAAACAGTCACAGCCCAGGGCGCGGCCCCATGCAAGTCCAATGCTGAGGAACAGTGACAAATGAGACGAAATCGAACGTACTTGACTGTCGACCATGGTAGGTATACCACTATAATTGTATTTTGTCAGTTGCGGTGAGATGAAACAACTAAGAAAAGGCTTTGTAGATCGTGGGAGACAGAGAAAGAGAGGCATAAGAAGACCTGCCAAATTGAGTGGTAAAAGAACGCCAGGCTCTTGAGTATGGATCTTGGAGAGTGGAGCCGGACTGTCGCTGGAGATTGCGTATACAGCATAATGAGCCTCATGATGCACTCTTCTGCCGAGATAGTGTTCCAGTGCTGGTGGGAGCGGACCAAGCACTTCCTAACCATCCTCGCTACATCAGATGGTAAACTGGAGTCATATCTGCCCTCTGCGGTGGATACTTCGGCCAGAGACCAATGTTGGACCAGGAGGTGAGGTCTAGGGGAGTGTCCGTGCTGACTAAGCGGGTAGACCCCTAATCCGCGAGCGGCGGCATTGTCTCTTGAGGTACCAACACGAGCTGTTCACAGATGGATTGACTGCCGATTTTGTGCCGTCGAACCTCATGAGTGGCGTTGTGCGTATGAGAGGAGCATGTTTCGCGTGCCGTACATATCGCCATGTACGGAGTACACCAGCTCGCATACACCATCAATCCTCCTTCTTCTTGACATCCCCCGCCTCACTCTCTAACTCCTCCCTCAGCTCCTCCAGCATCTCGCTCACTGTCTGCACAATAATCGCATGATCCTGCTCTTGCCGTAGCCCAGACACAACCACAACCGCGACAATGCCCTCCACCCCCCGCACCCTCACCGGCCAGCCTCCACCATGGATAGCGTACTTTCCCGCCTCTTGTCCCAGCGCAAACTTCGTCGCAAATGCTGCCTCGTCTCCAACGAACTTGTTATGCATATACCACGTCGAGCTGTTCCATCGTAGAACTGTATTTCTTTTTCGAGTCACCCAGATATCATTATCCGGTGCAGTCCCCGAATGTGTTGTACAATGGAACAGACAATGGCTCTGGTGTGCTAAGGAGATATCGATCACCGTGCTTTTCGAGAACTGCACAAGCTTGCTTCGTAGCAGTGATCCCAGCGTCCAGGCTGTCTGAGAAGTAAATGAGGGGAGAGTAAGCGATTCGTCTATGAGCTGGATCTCCTCGAGGTTTCGCGATGGGAGTGGTAGCTGTGGTTCGTTGTCCATGTTTGGCATCTTTCCCTGTAAATAGGAGTTTTTGAGAGATCAATGATCGTCTGTTGTTTTCCAGACTCAGTACTTATTTGAGAGACGGTCCCATGAGGCAGTACAGAGAAGATGAGAAGCACGAGGCATTGGAACAGAACAACCCGTCATTCCCACTGAAGCTTCGGGCGAAGCATTCTCCAAGACAAGGAGATGCTTGGTCGCCGCTTTCGTCAAACTCAACCTCGAGCCAACCTCACCTTGCTTGAAAACTTACGAAACAAGAAGTGCCTTGATCACAGACATTTCTCTCCGAGGTCGTTCTTGATTAGCACGGCCGCCAGCAGCCGCCGTCCCGGTTGTCTTGCGACTCGGACGCGTACACTGCCAAGTTTGAAAGTTGGTCGCGGACTGAACACATCCAGCTTTAATTACGCTTGACGTAGCGCCTCACTGGTCGCGCTTACCGTACTATATCACGTTTGGCAAGGCAAGGTAGGAGCAAGCAAGGTCTTCGGTTGCTTCCTTTCACAACTCTCCTTCCTCCTCCTCACCCCACCCCCCTTCCCCCCTCCCCCTCACCTACAACCTCGAAGATGCCATTCTTCAACCGACGCTCTCGCGCGCCAGATGTCAACACCAGTACGGCAGTGGGCGGTGAGAAGCATGGCCGAAGAGGCATCATGAACAAAAGCGACCGCAGACACACAACCAACACGGCGTCCTCGTACTCACGGCCGAGCTTTGGACAATGGATCAAAGTCACCTGGCCTGACATCCTGACGATGATTGTTATGGGCGCGATTGGATTGGGCGTATGTGTAATCCCAATACCGCGGAATGACTTTCACTGACGCTGAGGTACAGATCTACACAGCTCCGCCCGCTCCTTCACGCTCCTTCCCTGTCTACTTCCCTGATGGCGACATCGTCTACCCTGAGTTCGCCTACCCACTACGCAAGGAGATCATCCCTATCTGGGCGGCGGCTCTACTCGCAGCCTTGGTCCCCATCTTCTTCTTCCTGGTCATGCAGATCCGCATCCGCTCGTTTTGGGACGTCAACAATGCCACTATCGGTCTGCTCTACAGCCTCATCACAGCGGCCGTCTTTCAGGTCTTTCTCAAATGGCTTATTGGAGGATTGAGGCCCCACTTCTTAGGTGAGCATTCGTCCTCGTGAGCAGTGGGCGATGAATGGCAACAGCTGACTTGTGCAGACGTTTGCAAGCCTGCAGTGCCTATCGCGGGAACACAAACAGGCAACGGCCTCGGCAACATCATGTACGACAAGAGCGTCTGCACCGGCAACGAAAGCGACATCAACGATAGTCTTGAGAGCTTCCCAAGCGGCCATACCACGGCGGCTTTCGCTGGTTTTGCCTTCCTCTACCTCTACCTCAACGCCAAACTTAAGGTTTTTTCCAATTACCACCCCGCATACTGGAAGCTGATCGTGAGTGTTGCCAACATTTGAAGGATTTCAAGACGTTGCTAATGAAACTTAGGTGACCTACATGCCAATCCTCGGTGCTGTCCTGATCGGCGGCGCTCTTACCATTGACGAATTCCACAACTGGTGGGACGTCTTTGCCGGAGCAGTCATCGGCACGACAATGGCCTTCTCAGCCTACAGAATGGTCTACGCGAGTATCTGGGACTTCCGCTTCAACCACATCCCGCTCATCCGAAACATGCCCTTTACGTACGGCGCTGGCTCGGCAGCTTTCGACGCTTTTCATGCCGCCATTTGGACGCGACAGGCCGGATGGGGTGCGAGCGAGGGTGGACCTTGGAGCGGAGCGCCGTTCGATGCTGCCGGTGGGGGACCAGTAGGAGGCGGTGGTGGTGTGCTGGGTGGTGATGCAGCTGGAAGAAGGTCGGCGGACGGCTATCAAGGGCGGCGCAGCATTGGTCGCAAGCCTGTTGGCGCCAGCCCTCGGAGACCGGGTGATATGGTTTGAGAGGGAGAGTTCGAGGCTAGCGAAGACGTTTTGGGGCATCTTGCGGAAGGAATGGCGTTACGACTTTGCCACACATTGGCAGTACTTGTTCCACAATGACATCCTTAATGCCTCCTCTCTACGCTCGGGTTGTTTCATGATCGTAATGCTGGCTTCAACTCTGAGTACGAGTGCTGCGATGCTTTGGCGGGACAAGTCACGGGATCTGAGCCCAATCCGGAAAGGTCGCGCCAAGAACCTTTCCGCGGTTTTTCTCACTTCCTGCTCTCAGCTTCGACAACAGCTCACCTCTTCGACCGTCTCAACGCTACACACTGTGAGTATACACCTGCATCATCCTCAGCTGCCTATATGATGAAGCAATGCAACATTCACAGACCTGTTCTGAACTCGATGTGGACACTTTGCTTGGAGACCTCCTGATTCGCACACTCACTCCATCGTTCTCAAACTATACGGATTATGGGACTTGGGCTAATAGCTTTTCTTAGGTACTCCTACATGTTGCTTTACACCCCTCGAGGTTGAGAGGCTAGAGGAGTCGCTGCACCACTTTTGGCAGAATGTTCAAGCATTCGCTGGCTTGCAAACTCGCAATCCTGCAAGCAAAGGAACCCAGCGCAGCCCTCGCAATTTTGACATTGAAGCATCTCAAGCGGTTCTGCTCTTACCATCCTGGAGGCCTCCCTCGAGTTCGAGCGTTCTGTGGTGTCCACTCTTTGACCACCAACAACACCCAAGCTTGTTCCTTCCTTGTCCGTTGCTCAAAGGCTCGTCGCTATCTTTTCTTTCATCTCAACAATTGGGCTATTTACGTAGCCATCACAAGGGCCTTCACGGCACCTACGGTACAAAGAAGACATAATATCACTTATACAAACGAGATTACTACTCGACCATACACCGCCGTTTCCTACCCGTGTATCCTACAAACTCTCCCTCTCCATATCGCACGAGTCACTACTCTCAATACAAGCAACGACTGGTTCGCTGCTCACCGATACGGACTCGATCTCGAAGACAGTCAGTATATTCTACTACCCTAGCTCCACCATCCCAAGCAGCACGATCAACAGCATGTCGGATTTCCAACCGCCACCGATGTCCGATGAGGAATTCGAGGCGCTTATGAACGACCCGAAATTTACCAATTCGATGAACGATATGTCGACGCTGCCAGACGCACCAGTAAAACACAGGTACGTGGACCTAACACCGAACGTCAACGCTAATGAAGACATAGCCTTTCTCGCACAGATGGGAGTAGAACAGCAGCCGGCACCCATGCCGATGCCTGTGCCTACTCCTATAGCTGCACACACTCCACAGATGCCACCTCCCATCCCAGTGAACCCAGTCCCGATGACTGCGTTCGGGCCCTCCTTTGACCCCCGGATCGGGTGGTATTATCCCGCCGTCGCGGGAAACGGTGCAACACCCTATGGCATGCCTCAAGCAGGCTACGCTTCTGCGTACTCGAGCACACCAATGTCAACAAAGCCTAAGCGTAAGTATGGCCCTGCTCAATTCCTTGAAGAGCGGGCGAGAGACTCTGCAGCCACTGCCATGTATACCTCCCAGGCCAGCTCGGGAAACGACCGTGCTAAAGCAGAAAAGAACGGCGACAAGTATGTCGGTGCTCGCCTCAAAAAGAACCAACCCTCAGTTGTACAGGCATGTGTCTGCAACGACAAAGAAACCCTCAAGATCAAGAGGCCGAGGAACGCCTTCATCATCTACCGCAGTCAAAAGTCCGAGAAGATCATGAAGGATCTCGGCAAAAAAGACAACCAAAAGGTCTCTTCCCTCGCCGGTCAGGCTTGGAAGGCCGAAAGCGAGGAGGTGAAGGCTCACTACCATAGACTCGCCGCTGAAGAGGCAGCGAGACACAAGCGTATGTACCCTAACTACCATTACCAACCAGGGCAAACATCAAAGATCAGGTTTGGATCGCAGAGCTGCAAGTGCGGAGCATATCAGGTTAACATCACAAATCTTAGGAACGCCAATCAAGATGGACAAGCTGACGAAGCTGACGAGACTGATGTGGAGGACGTATACGACCCTGCAGCAGGCTACCAGCAGCAGCGCCAGCAGCAGTATCAGGCGCCGACTGCGCCAATGGCTCCCGCTGTTGCTGGTCCCTCAAAGCGCAAGCGACAAGCCACCGTAGCCCTTGACCTCGAGGACGAGATTGTGGAACAGCCCATCTCCAAGCGTACCCGAAGCTCACCACCAGTCGCCTTCCAGCAGCCACAGGAGTTTGGAGACCCACTGGCCGGCCTTTTCCATGGGGACCTCTTCCAAAACGCCTACGACCCTAACGCCTTCGCCCCAGACAGCGGCTTGAATCAGAGACGCCGCCCATCACCAATCCACACTGTGGGTGGCAACGCAGCTGCGCTCGAGACAACACCGCATCCACAGGCCTTCGCAGTCGGCGATAGCACAGCACGCAACACTCGCTCCAAGTCCCGGGCTTCTCAGGAACTTGAAGATGCTTTTAACGCTTATCAGCATACCACCTACCCTGGAGGCTACGGGCCTGGCATCTATCAGGAGGGAGAGGAGTTCGTTGACTTCGATATGTTTGGCGCAGACCTCACAGGTGCGGAAACTTTCGACTTCGGCAATGAGTTTGATGTACCTGCTCCCGTTGAACATGGGCGGCGCAGGTCCAGCAGGATATCGCCGAGGAGTGCGATTACGCCTCACAACAGGTAAGGGGTGCAGCGATGATAGGTAAGTCATGTTTCTTTTCTCGAGGAGGATGAGCAAGGTTCTCGAACCGAGTAATGATGTGAAATGATCGCAAAGCGCCAATTTTAAGTCGAATAGTGGCTCGGAGAAGACTGACATTCATCGATCACGCTCAGTCAGAGGTAAGTACTCTACAATTACAGACAATACGCATGCGCTATCAAACTTCAGTAACTTCCAGCGTCTCCATCGTCTTGCGAACTACATATCCAGCTCTCACGATTTAACCCGATCATCCACATGATCCGTGAGTGCATCTGCTGACCATGTCGGCGAGGTTGTTTCCCTGATCGTGGTAGTGGTAAAGTATGCTGTTTGGGAAAGTACGAGTTTCCGAAGCTTTTGCATCACCCTCTACCGTAGAAGACGACGCATCGGGTTCCGTACTCATGTGCATCTCATTAGTTTTGATGGCATCTTGTGAATGGATGTCGAACGGCCCTGCTGCTCGACGGGATGGATCTAAAAAGGCAGTGTCAGTCAGCAGATGTGTTGCGTTCGGTTGAGGATAAGGGTCCGTACCTTGCGTGGTAGGGGGAGCAGTTGACATGCGTATTGCTGGATGTGGAACATCTTGCTCGATGGATACAACGACGTCTAATGCAGTATCAGCGAGTTGCTGAAGTTGAAACGTCTACTACTGGACGCATGAACTTACCACCAAACGGGTCCCGTGAGGTTGCGAAGGCTCCACCAGATGAGCTACGCGTGGCTTGCAAGGAGGAAGAGCGCTTGAAGTGCTTCGCTGGACGAGCCTCTCCGTCTTCTTCACCTGATGTCGACCGCTTCCGCAACGTTTGGGAACCCGCTGCCTTGCTCTTGCGAGGCCTGCCAACCTTTCTCTTCGGTGGCGCGCTTTCGCCTTCCGAAGGCCAGCTCATCTGGCATCAGGCTGAAACTTACTTTCTGTGAACTGTGTGAGTACTCTACGACGGCGTTGACCGGGAGTTTGCAGTCACCTTCTGGCCTTTCGCCGTCGCTCTCTGCTTGCTAGGCTCTTTGTCCGATACTGAAACGTCTCCACTTTCGTTCAACAGCTGGTGGATGTCCATGTCTAATATGTCTCTGGCCTGGTAGAGCGTTGCCGTCAGCAGATGCGTCAGATTGGACACGTGCCGGAGGGTAGCTCGCTCGGGATCTGGCTTACCTTGTCGAGTATTTTTCCTTTAGAATTGCGAAAGGTCTTGCTGAAGAACACACAGTTGTATGCGCAATTAGTGCACGTTGAACGAAAGATACACGAGCGAACACAAGCGGCGCCGGCTTGAAGGAGGCGAACAAGAGGGCAACGGCGGTTGTGTTGTTGTTGTTGATTTGGATCGAAAGCTTTGAGGAAGCCTAGAACGTAGCGTGACCCAGATCAGCGTCATGCAATCCCCGGAGTTGACATGTGAGTGACAGGTGAGGGCCTCAGATCACTCACTAGCAGCGAAGGGGAATGCCCCAGCTTGTGTGAATATCCCTGTGACAAGCATGCCGTTCTTGAGGATAGCGTCGAAGTGAAAGTGAAGCAGGATCTCAACATCAGAACAGTAGACCAGCAATAATGAACATGAAAACTGATACCCACTCCAGGCGATGAAAGCGATCTATGATCCAACATCAATACCCCTTGCACCCTCTCTTCGCCATACCAATGAACCCCTCCACCCCTGCCTTCCCAGCGCTTCCGCCCGCTTGGCCGCCTCTCGAAATCCAGCCCCTGAGTCTACTCTATCCTCTTCTGCGGCCCCTGGCGCTGATTCCCAGGCTCCCGCGCCGCCACACCATCGAGTCCATACCAAAAAGGAAGCCCAGAGAGTCTATCGATCTCCCCGTCCAGTTCTTCATGCTCACTTTCCTCCGTCACAGAAGCAAGAGGAGCCGTGTCGCGCTGGGGGTTATATGCAACAGGCCTGGAACAATTATGTCAGTTGAGATGTCTCTACAACGTCAAGGGGGGGCACCGTCTCGTGATAGGGGGGGCTCGTACTGATGAATCTGCTGCTGAGGGTGTTGAGCTTGACTCTGCTGCTGCTGTTCTTGGTGCTGATGCTGTTGATACAGCACAAGCTGCGCCGCCACCTGCTGCTGCTGATGCTGCTGATACCCCATTCCCTCCTGCACCTCCATCCCCTCCTCCGTCGGGCTCGAAGCCGGCGTAGCACTCGTCGGACGAGACCTGTCACCCCACGTCAACACCAACATCCCACTCAATCACTGTCCCAAAAGTCAAGACAATCGCGCGACTCGCGTCTGCGAAGTGGAGCAGCAGCCTCATACCCAGGAATATGCAGCGGAGCGGGCGGCACGACCGAGAACATCCTCTGCGCGATCGAGTCGTTGCGGTTCGAAGGCGGGGTGCGGGATTTGCTGGGCCGAGGGTCGGAGCCTGGGTGGTTATGGTCGCGGGAGCCGTCAGTGCCTAGAAGAAGTGGATTTGTTTAGCAGGGTTGTCAATGTTAAATGTTGTTTACCATCTGGGTGCAGATGAGACCTGTCAGGAAAGAAGAAGAACGGAAGTGCATCTGCCCAAGGGACAGGAGTGTGGTGGGTAATGTGTTGATAGGTGACCTGGGATATCTAGTGCAGTGCAGTGTCCTCCTCCAAAGTGATGACGAGTGCGGTGGTGCAAAACGGGGACAGTGATCCTCTCTATCCTCCTTACTCCGCGCCAGCGCCAAGGTTTCCTCCTATCGCTATGCATTGCTGGAGCAATATCTCATTCCGACTGGTGACAGACAAACATGGGTATCGATGAACGGGCTGGTGACAAGGTGGCCGGGGCGTCATGCTGGGGCGTTTCGAATCGTTGGGCGTACGTGATATGGGCGGTGTACATGCTCGCGGTGCATTGGTGTGGTTGCAGGTGTGGAGTTTTTGGGGCTCGTAGTCAGTGAGGGCCGGGTTCTGGGTAGCCGTGATTGATAAGGTGGGGTGTGGATTCGTGGTGGTGGCTGGTGGCTGGTGGCTTCGTTCGAGGTTGGGATAACCCGAACCAACTCGATGTGGATGCCACTCGAAGCGAAAAGGCGCCGTGCAAGACATGCCCGAAGGATACGGCTCATCATCGTAACCAGACCGCACCGTGGGCATAGGTCATCGTCGGCAGCTTCTTCCGGGGTCGCCGGCAGCATGTATGATGAAATGCTGCTTGGCCTCATCCCGTGAGACCTCATCTGCCCCGTACATCCAAGACGAATCCGCGGCCGGCCTCTGGGGGCCAAGGAATGCTGCCGCAGTACCTAGGCTTGCTTTAGGACATAGTCACATTGCCCGCAGCAGCTTCCATGAGGGGTTAGTGTGTGTGCATTGTGCAGGGATAATGATATAGTAACGCAGCGATCACGATCTCGAGCGACCGGTCCAGCCCGAAGGACTCTTACCTGCTTGCCGCTTGATCTGCTCCCTCGCCCATCTCGCCGTCTCCTGGGTCCGCGGCGCAAAGTCCTTGTTAGCCCGGGTCTCGCGGCACATGTTCGTCAGCCAGTCGTTGCGGAAGTACTGGTTGAACTCGCCGCCTGGGAAGGCCTCGGAGATGTCACCGACCACGCCCATGGAAGAGCGGAGGAGGGATTCGGTGCGGTTCGGGTCTTGGTATACGGTCTGCAGTAGCTGGAAGATGGATTCGACGTAAGGCTGCAGGAGGTTGGCTTTGCGTGATGTTAGCATGATGTCGGAGTAGGTCAACGGCAGTTGGTAGAGGCTCACCTTTGTTGCCGGCCCTCATGGCCATAACGATACCGCCCCAGGCATCCATGATACCCTCTCGCAGGCTGACGACATAGTCGAGCATCTCGAAGTTGTTGCTGTTCTCGCTCTGCACGGTAATACCAGCTGCTTGCTGCAAGACCTGGGCGACGACCGAGAGATAAGTCTCGAATTCTCCGCCAATGGCTTGTGCAACATCTCCGAAGCACTGCAGAATGGCGGGCTTGAACTGGTTGCCAAGCGTCGTGCTCTGCAAGCGAGAGACATTCAAGTCAGCTATTGTTCCCTCTTCCTGCAAGATGCGGCAGTAGTGCTCGTAGATGGTAGTATGACTTACTCGTAAATTGTTCAGCAGAGCGTTCATGAAGGAATCGCAGAATGGCTGGACCTTGTTCTCCAAGGCACGGGTGATGTCAGATACCAAGCCGATCGCCATGGCGCACAGCTGTGGCTCCTCCTGGTTGTTGAGGGCGTTGAGGAGGTAAGGTGAGAACGACTGCATATACTTCTCGAAGTCGGTCTCGAGGGCATTGGCGAGGGCACCGATCGCAGCGAAGATAGTGTCTGGCACAGAGCTCTTGGCACCGAGATTGGTGAGAAGGTTGAGCAGAAGCTGCATGATGCGGTCCGCTTGAGGCATGATCTCCTTCTCGAGACGCTGGATGATGGCCATGATGACTGAGGTGAGAGACGTCTGGATCTCCTCGAGTGTAAGGCGGTCTTCGACAGAGACGACCTGGGACTGCATAGGGATGGTCTTTTCCAAGCGATCGACAACCACCTCACTCAGACTCGCAACCATGTGCACGGAGTCGTTCGCCGCGTTGGTGACGAAGGCATTGAGCACCTCGTATGCTGCAGTGCGTAATTGGCTGTCTTGCGTCTGTTCAGTTAGCTGGAGCAGATGCTGTACGCTGGCCTGGAAGTGCTGAGACAGAGCATTAGTCTGACATCCCGGCTCTCCAGCAAAGCGGTCGGCCAAGTTCATCAGAGCCCAGCAGCACGAGCTGGCCATCTTGGGGTGAGAAGTGAGGCCGCCGAAAAGTGCGGTGATCAGTGGCTGCAGATGCTCGTTGGGGTCAATAGCCTCAGAGACGGCTTCGCAGATGCGGCCGAGAGCATAGGCTGCCGAGTCCTTGACCTGCACGGATTGATCGTCCATCATACCGATGAGGACAGGCAACGCTTGCTTGACCAGGGGATCGAGCACCTTCTCGTCTGGGCCTTCCATCATGGCGCCAAAGGCAGACACAGCAGCGTCGCGGTAGTGCCAATCTTGGTTGCGCAGGTTGGCCTCTACGAACGCAAGGATCGAGGGTACAACATTACTGCCCACCGCTTGCGACCACAGCTGAGCGCACTGGTACGCTGCGCGGGAGACGTTGTATTCATCGTCTGCAGCATCCTCGTCCTGCTTGGCAAGCAGCTCCAGTAGGACAGGCACGACTTCCTGAGTGGCGACGCGGGCAAAGTTGAAGTACGGCCTAAGTTCTGTCGCCTCCGCCTGCGCTTGCGCGTTGTCGTCCTCGATGCTGATTTCTTCTTCGCACACAGTGCACCAGAACTCCACAGCAAGCTTCGCCACATCCTCCTCTTCGCTCTTCATGCCCTGAATGGTCAGGCCGAACAAGGCCTTCTCCATGTAGAACCTCATCTTGTCGTAGTAGAGACCCATGATCCTGTTCAAGCAGCCGTACGCACCCTGCTGGATTCGGCTGTCGTCCGCCTGGGTTGCTTCGCAGATGACTTGCATGATGTAGTTCCGCTCGCCCTCGTTCTCGAAGTTCGTCCTGACAAATTCGAGGGAGTCGCCTAGTGCCGTGATGGCTGCATTACGGATGTCGTTGTTGGGTTCTTCTTTCCGCGCGCCTTGAACCACAGCTGTCAGAATGGCATTACTATGCTGTGCCAGGCTCTCTCTGAGATCTTGATCTTCCGTCTCGCAAATAAAGCCAATGCAGGTTAGGGACGACTGCTTCTTCTGGTCGGATCCGCTGCCAACATTCTCTACAAGAGCGGGCATAAGATCGGGCCATAGCTCGCGAGGCAAGTCGATGGCGGCTATGGATGCGATGAACTGTGCTGAAGACTGTCCGGCTCTGCTGTCTGAGCTGCCCAACGTCTGAAGGGCAAAAGCCTTGACCTGATCCTTGATCTGGGGATCTATCTGCTGTAGCCATCTTTCTTGCACTTCTCGTAGGCGTGCGAAGTCGCGGGCGGAGAAGGAGTTCTTGAGAGCGAGACCGGCGGCTATACGGACTTGCGACTGTGCTTCTTCGTTGGCGAGCTCGCGGGAGAGTGTAATGAGGTAGCCAGGCTGTGATCACGTGCGCGTCAGTATACGGACTGGCGGTGGGCTGTGGGATGCCAGGGGAGGGGAAGGATGTACGAAGTCTGCCTCCGAGGCTTGTGATAACTGCTGCTCGGCTGCCGACCGAGTTGCGGCGTCTGAGAGGTTGTCAGCTGGTTTGTTTGGTGTTTCGAAGGGCTTTCACATGCGCGGCCGGCCAGGGGAAACATACCAGGCGAGAGGGTCCCGGTGAGGACAGCGTTGACGTCCATGCTGGGCCGCAGTAGGCTGCTGGACTGTGTCGGCGCGTAGGACGAGGAGCAGTGCTCGTTAAGGGTGCAGACTCATGTGTTGAGCAGCTGAAAGCAAATTCTGGTGTCGCACCGCCTTTTGCAGTCGCGCTCAAACAAAAAGGCGTCGACTTCGTGGGGTGCCGGCTTCCTTGCTGTGAGATGACGCAGGGTCCGACCAATGTTGTGCTGCTGATATCACACTGAGGCTCTGTGTGTCGAAGGCTGTATACGACGAGACCAGATCTTTGAGTGTGTTGTTGGAGAATTGCGCCTTCTGAAGATTCAAGATGCTGTTGTTGTCCCAATCCAAGTTCCACTTGTTTAGGCGAAGCGTCATCAACGTCACGTGCTCAAATCTGTACATTTCAGGCACACTTTCACAGTTCTGGCGTTCAAATGCAAGAATGCTTTTTGAGTGGGGAGGAGACCACCGCGGACTCAAAGTGTGGCATACTCAGGGTAATTCCACTCTGGACATTCTGCATCTACATCATAACAACACTCCTGGGTATCCCAAAGCACGCTGAACGCCGCACTAAACGCCCCGCCCATTCGCCCATGTTCAGTTCAACAGCTTCATCTAGATTCCTTTGAGCGCACCCGGCTAGCCGTCATCCACCTCCATCCCATCCAGCGGCGCAAGGAAACCTGCTTCCTCGAAGTCATCCCCACCAACAATCCGCACAGCACCTCCCGAAGCAGTCCCCTTCAAGTTGGCCATAGGCCTCCCAGCAGGTAGCGCTTGCTGCTCCATCGCTTCTGCCACCTCCACCTCGTCGAAGAACGCATCCATCTCCTCTTCCGCCTCCTCCTCGTAGCCACGCTTCCTGCTCGGTGCCGCTGGCGACGAGCCAAGAGACAGATAACTGCTTTGTGTAGACGAAAGCGTACTTTGTGATCCCATCAAGCCCGGCAGACCTTCATCATCCGTCTGCATCGCCGCCGGTGCTGAAGACGTAGGCAGCTCCTGCGCAGCCCATCCCCCAGTTTTGTGCAATCCGCAGAACGGCGTCAATTCTCTGGTACTCCTCGTATTCGTATTGCTTCTTGCAGGCGCTGCCGGCGGCGCAGTACTAGGGAACGGGAATCCTTGTGCTGGCAGTGTTTTGTGCGTCTTGTAGCCCTCTGGAACCGATTTGCGCACGCGCATTCCTACGCTCAACAACGAGGCTTGAGTGTCGGCTGGTAGTGGTGGTGAAAGTGGCGATTGGGATGGTCGTAGCTGTTCAAGCGTGGTGCCATTCGCGCTCCGGTTGTTGAAGTAAGAAGTGATTGAAGGTTGGTACTGGCGTTTGCGAACGTGGCCGTTGGAGGATGTGGTGGCCATTGCTCGGGTTGGGTATTTCGGTGCTGTTCTGTTCGGCGATGGGCGTACGCATTCAGGCGCGCAGGTTGTTGGCGTTATGCTACCATACACATAGAAAGAACAAAGGAAATGGACAGCCGATCTGTTCGAGATTCGCGAGACGCGGAAGGCACGCGTTGAGAGATCGTTCAGGCGCTTGGGCCTCTTTACCTTACAATCACTTGCCCTTGATATCCAGAAGCTCAAAGGAACATGCCTCCCAGATTGCGCTTCAATCAACAGCAGGTAATCTGAGCGCTTTCACTGCCTCTACTGTTCGCAAACCGAAATGCAGCGAGACGTCGTCGCGGCGGAAATGGGCAGTCGCGGAAGAGCAAAGAGCGAGCGGGCTGGACCCTTGTCTCATCAAAGTCTCGCCACTGCGTCCGTCGACTTCCTAAGATTACCTTTTCGATAGGAGAAACACTGCAACCCGATCTCACCGACTATACATACACGAACCAGCCACATTCTTGGACTTCCAACGCGTTGCATTCACCGAGCCATAGACCCGAACAGCGAAACTCGCAGTTGGATATCCGAAAGCCGCACTGCGACCCTACGAACCATGCCAGGTCGGACTCTCCCGACTCTGCCTTCTGCAGAAGTCGCGGCGCACAACACCGAGAAGTCCTGCTATGTGACGGTCGGCACGAAGGTCTACGACATCACAGACTTTCTAGAAGATCATCCCGGCGGCGGCGACCTCATCCTCCAGTATGGCGGGCAAGATGTCAAGGAGGCAATGGAGGACCCGATCTCACACGCGCATTCAGAAGCGGCTTGGGAAGTGCTGGATGATTGCCTGATAGGATTCGTCGCGACGGAGAAGGTCTTGAACGCCGTGATGAAGAGCTCGGATCCGTTCGCGGTGCTGCCTATGGAGCCAGGTTCGCAGGGGATGCGGGAGTTGGAGAAGACAGACAGTGCTGCGGCAGACGAAGTGAAGGCGCGGGATCAAGCTGTGATGAATGGTGTCGAGGACAGCGACAAGACGGTGTACGAGACCACGGGCATGAGCTCGGCAGACGACCTGAGCAAGGAGACGGACCCGACGCAGGACTTCAAAAGGCACAAGTTCTTGGATCTCAACCGGCCGCTGCTGATGCAGGTGTGGAACGGCGGCTTCAGCAAAGAGTTCTATCTGCAGCAAGTCCATCGACCGCGACACTACAGGGGTGGCGACAGCGCGCCTCTGTTTGGCAACTTTCTTGAGCCCTTGTCGAAGACGCCCTGGTGGGTGGTACCGACCGTATGGCTACCTCCTGTCGTGTACGGCACCTACCTAGCAAGCCAGAACTTGCACCCTATGGCACTCCCCGGGTACTGGGTCTTCGGGCTCTGCTTCTGGACGATTACGGAATATGTTTTGCATAGATGTCTCTTCCACATCGACCAGTACCTGCCCGACAACCGCGTCGCTCTGACCGCCCACTTCCTCCTCCACGGCATCCACCACTACCTTCCCATGGACCGGCTGAGACTGGTCATGCCGCCTACGCTCTTCATCGTGCTGGCCACCCCCTTCTGGCATCTGGCACACACGATCTTTTTCTACAACTGGTATGCTGCTGTGGCGGCGTACTGCGGTGGCATCTTTGGTTACGTCTGCTACGATCTCACCCACTACTTCCTCCACCATAAGAAGTAAGCCATCCTTCCCTCGCCATCTCACTGAGTTCATGTGTGCTGACAATGTTTCCAGCCTACCTCTCCACTACCGCGAGCTGAAGAAGTACCACCTCCAGCATCACTTTATGGATTACGAGAACGGCTTCGGTGTCACGAGCAGATTCTGGGATCGGGTATTTGGGACTGAGCTGCCGCCACCACCCATGCCGAAGGTGTTGAAGACGCAGTAATGTGCATAGCGTTGTATGAGAGCATCGGGAGGCGTTCTATGAGGGAAGTACTGGTCAGGCACGTTTAGAGGATAGACAAATAGTATAATGCCTAATGGTGATACTGTACAAGAACTTGTCTTCTGTGTCTGCTTCTCGTCTTTTGAAACTGTCCATCGAGTCACGTGCTGATCCTCGACTTCTGTCGCTCCGGACACGACTTTAATCCACCTCAAGTGGATTTCAGCTTTTAACGACTTCAGCTCATCAAACTCTTCCACCCGCACACCTGCATCTTCGCACAATCACGCGCAGAAGAGGTGTCGACACAAAGTGTCGAGTATATTGACTCCGCGACATCAGGCAGGTGAACACGCCTCTTTGCTGTCACAGTTCACTTTCGGATCGAAGCCCCACGAACGTTCTCACAGAGTCACAGCTACCCGCGACCTCACTCAGGTGACAGCGCGACAGAAACGCACTCTCACTTCGCAGATCACTTTCACACCCACCACCTCCTCGCTACACACCTGTGAGCCAACACACATCATTACAAGAAGCATTCACCGTCAAGATGCAGTCGCCACTCGACAGCAACAGCGACATCCAGCGAAGCGTCGAGGCCATGCTCGAGGAGGAAGAGCTCAAGCACAAGGCCAGAGCCGCCGGCAACGTCAAGAAGGAACCACGCGAGTTCGAGTCCTACGGCAAGCTCTTCGACCAGACCAAGGACTTCGTGCCGCTCGAAGACAGCAGCAGTAGCGACCCACGCAGCGATGGACGCGATCGGGGTGGCCGTCAAGGGTCTCACAACAAGAACAGGTATTCCACCGAGCGAGAGGAGAACGACGAACGGCGATCCCGCAGGTCTCGAGACTTGGCTGATGACGATGATGTCAAGGGGAACGTGAAGGATGGCAGCGAAAAGGGCAGTGCTAACGGAAGTGTCCGTAGTAGGAACAGGAGCAGGAGCCCTGGCCGCTACGATCGCCGCGACCCAGCCAACTATCGCCAGCGCGATCGCCTCGACTCTTATCAGCCATCCGGCGGCCGTAGAGAGCGCGAAGAGACCGACAGCTATCGCCCAGGCAGTAGTGGCGGACGCTCAAGGTACCGTGACGACTACCGCGATCACCCCCGCGACCGCGACCGCCGTGATCGCGACAGGTACCACTCTGACCGCGACAACCGTCGCCCCTCCCACTCTCACTCCCACGGAAGCAAGAGGGCGCCAGAGCCTACTGATGATGAGAAAGACAGGCGCACCGTGTTCTGTCAACAGCTCGCCTCAAGTCTCAAAGAACACCAGTTCCACGAGTTCTTTGAGCAGGTCGGACAGGTGATTACGGCTCAGATCGTGAGGGATCGCATTAGCAACCGCAGCAAGGGGTGCGTCCAACTCTATTCCACTTGGTTTCGATCGTTTACTGACCATATCGCAGTGTTGGCTACGTCGAGTTCAAGGAGGAAGAGTCGGTGCCGAAAGCCATCGCACTGACCGGCCAGAAACTGAACCGCGTCCCAATCATCGTTCAGCTCACGGAAGCAGAGAAGAATCGCCAAGCCAAGACCACTGAAGGCACGGCCACCCAGTCGAACGGCGTCCCGTTCCACCGTCTCTATGTCGGCAACATCCACTTCTCTATAACAGAGGGAGACCTCCGCGACGTCTTTGAGCCGTTCGGGGACCTGGAATTCGTGCAACTGCAGAAAGAGGAGCAAGGACGCAGCAAGGGCTATGGTTTCGTACAGTAAGTCGAGCGTCGTATGCCAATTGGGTGAGCAGCGCTGACCGCAATCTCCAGGTTCGTCGACCCGACCAAGGCCAAGGAAGCGCTCGAGCACATGAACGGCTTTGAGGTCGCCGGCCGCCCCATTCGTGTCGGGCTTGGCAACGATAAGTTCACGCCTGAGTCCACCCAGTCGCTCCTTCAGCGTTTCGGCGCTCAAGCTCCTCAACAGGGTTCCCAGTTCTCTGGCATGGGCGGACGCGGCGCTCACGCTGGAGGCACTGCCAACTTCGACCGCGCGAGTGGCAAGGAAGCTCAAGAGAAGACCGGTGGCGCCAGTGCGCTCGACGACTCGGACGTGGCAGGTGTTAGCTTCTCCAACTACAGCCGTGATTCATTGATGCGCAAGCTTGCTAGGACCGACGAGCCGGAGCAGAAGATCGCCGTCAAGGCTCCGCCGAAGAAGGCACCAGTCGAGCAGACGACCAAGACTCGCTGCGTGTTGATCAAGAACATGTTTGACCAGGCCGAGTATGTCCCCCTTTCCCCAATCTACTTCATGTCCACGCTCACATCATCGTTACAGGGAAGAAGCGTCCAACCCCGGAGGCTGGCAGAAGGAGCTCACCGACGACGTCAAAGAGGAATGCGACAAGAAGTATGGCGTCGTCGTCCACATCGCCGTCTCCCCGAACTCCGACGAAGGCGAGGTGTACGTCAAGTTCGACCGCATGGAGGGTGGCGAGAACGCGATCCGCGGCCTCAATGGGCGTCGCTTCGCTGGGAGGGTGCTGTCTGCGCAGTACGTGGTCGATCACATCTACAACATGATGTTCCCGGCTGCTTCGAACAAGTAAGTACCGTTGCGTGACTCGTCTTTCGTGTGATGTGGGACTGGCATGGCATGGCAGACGGGCAGGCGATGGGAACGGTGGACGGGCAGCAGGAGGGAAGGATGGAGCGTTGATTGATGGATGCATGGAGTGTGGTGAATCGAAGCGTGGCGTGTTTGTGGACGGAAGCAAGCTGTTTGGGTGGATGGAAGATGTGAAGAGTCAAACTGGGATGGGCTTGGTCATCTGGGCGGACTTCTCACAGCGCATCGGCACTGTCAATGTTTCATGGCGTTTTACGGCGGGTTGGGAAGACAGGAACTGCACAGGTCATCAGCGGCGGACTCATCATGCTCTCTGGTCAGAATACTGCGAAGGGTCTTTGTGTAACAGCAGGTTCAGCTCGACCAATCAAGGACGACCTTCCGAATGAAGTCAGGTCACGTACTCATGCACTCGCTCACCTTTTTACGCTCTTCCTTCGTTGCTTTTCTTCTTCCTTGACACGACTACACTCATCACTACCTTTGCTCCACGAATATCACCACATCGCTATCCAGTCAGATTCGTCGGAACACATCACCATCACCAGCAGTGAGTTTCACCCTTCCCCCGTGATGCTGATTGTCGCAGTCACATGAAGTGACGACACTGAAGCTGGAACCTCACTGACGGTGCAAGCAGTTCTTTTGCAAGACGGCCACTCTTCTTCGCAACATCATCCTTCTCGCAGGACGCAGGTTTGTTCGCCTTGTTTGTCATTCGCCCTTTCATCCACCCCCTTCACTGCACTATCTGGTGGCGGCATGGCCGGCATGGAGAAGAAGAAAGACGGCGGCGGCTTCGGTGAGGGTGGCGGTTACGTTGTGGCGGACTACAGTGGTGTTGGCGGCTACGGCGTTGAAGTGAATGGAGGAGGCGCTGCGGTGTATGGCGGTGGCGGGTGAGTCTGGCTCTTGACTTTCACCCACGTGACGTCACAGTGCTGATGAAGTGGCAGATTTCCTCAGTATCGAGCTGGTGCGGGTGCTGGAGTGGGAGGGAGTTTCGGTGGTGGTAATCAGTGAGTGATTTAGGACTTCCTCATGATTTGTTTTCACGTTTTGCTGACCGCGGTGCAGAGTCTTCTGCTTTCCAGCCATGTACAACAGCGCGCCAAAGCAGGCCAGTTTGAAAGGTCTCGGCTCTGGCATCGCGGACATCGGCCAGCAGCTCAGTCAAGCAGTCAAGCCTCAAGACGGTCAGCACGTCGGCCAGCAAGTGAAGCCTCAAGTCGACCAGCAGGTCGGCGAGCAAGGCGTTCCAGTGTCGATGTGGTCCATGCGCAGCGGATGCTCTGAGAACGACGACTTCTACTTCCCGACGCCCGCTCAAGCTGCCCGCGAGAAGTACCTGGCACGCAAGGCCGAAGAGAAGAGGAAGCGGTCGCCGGAAGAGAAGAGACAGGCTTCGTTCGAGAAGCACCAGAAGAGGATTTCAGATGAAGAGAAGAAGAAGCAGAAGAACAAGTCGTCGGCCAACAACGTCGTCACGAACTCCGTCACGAACTTCAAGCAGCACGCGGTGGCGACTCAGCAGGCTCCGCTCCTGCAAGCCACTGCTGCACAAGCCGGCACTCGTGTCCAGAGCGAAAACACCAGCAAGGACAACGCTGCCTTCTACCAGCAATACGTCAAGACTCTGATCGTGAACCACGTGACCGAGCTCACCGAGAAGGAGTGCCAGCTCATGAGCGCCCAACAGGCGATGACTGCGAAGAACAAAGCCATCGAGGAGCTCTCAGCACGCATGTCAATGCTTGAACAGCACGTGCTCTCTCAACAAGCGCACATCTCGATGATGCAGACACCGCAGACGATCGTGTACCACCCTGCGCCTGTCTATGGACATACTCCATCTACTATCGGCCCCAACGAGTCGGTATCGGTCGCCCGTGTGAACCATTCGAGGCTTGAGCAGCAAGCACAGCAGTACCAACGGCCAACCTCACGCACGCCAGACACTGCTGACGACACAGCCTCCGCATCGCACCGCACTCCATCGTCCGACTTGACCAAAGTCTCTCCGTCCACGAATCCGTTCCTGACGAAGCCACACTCGTGCGACGACGTCTTCGGCGGCACCTCTCCACCAACAGTGGCACTCACACCCGGCGCCTGGAGCCCAGCTGCAGAGTTCGCGAAGAAGCCCCTCCCAGAGCTCCTTTCGTCCTGCTTCAAGAAGGTCGAGGCCTCTCTTCACGCCCTTCCAATCGAGCCCATCCTCCCAAATCACGGCCACCGCCTCTCCGGCCCGGAGTTCGAGATCTGGAAGCTAGCGCAAGAGCACCTCCAGAACAACAGAATGGCATCCATTCAGATGGAAACCCACGAGGAGCGCTACTGGCTCATGCTCGGCATGCTCTCCCAAGAAGTCGTCAAGCAGATCTTCAACGACTCCATCCTCGGCCACTTCCCAGGCCGCCACGCCCAAGAGTTCGTCCAGCTCTGGGCCGAAGAGCAAGACCTCCGCCGCCCGCAGAACCCGCGCTGCATCGATCTCATGCACCGCCACAAGCTCGCCGAGACCCGCGTCGACCTCGCCAACACCATCGTCAAGATGCCCGGCTTCTGGAAGTGGGTCCAGACCTTTGCGGCCGACAAAACCGACGCCATCATCTCCATCTACGCCCCGGCCTTCCAGCGCAACCACCTCAACACCCTCCACGCCCGCCTGCACAAAGCCGTCGTGGAAGCCACCAAGATCGCCATCCGCATGCGTCAGGAGCCGATGATCTTTGAGATCTTCTTCCCGCGCCACGGCATCGGTTGGGGCTCCAAGTTCATGGTGCACCGCAACAAGGAGCTCGTGGGCCAGGAGATCTCGGACGAGAAGTGTCCGTATGTGGTGAGGTGCACGGCGTTGCCGTTGGTGAAGTATAAGTGGTTTGGAGAGAACACGGCGGATCCGGTCGTGTTGCACAAGGCGGAGGGGACGGTCGGGGATCGCAAGACGAATTTGCGGCCGAATAAGCAGAGGGTGCGTCAGTGAGGGTGAGTGTACGGCCATCATGCGACATCAACAACTACCATCGCGACGACGGACTGTTACGACTACTATTGTGCGACAACTGGCATATCAGCGCCATCATCGAAGAAGCGTTGCGAACGCCGCAGCACAACAGCTCTCATACCAGCATCTTTATCGAAACGTCTCGAACATCGAAGGAGCGCATCGACTTCCAGCAGCGCATCCAGACGGTCACTGACAGCTTTCACACACGAGAAGGTGTCTGAGCAGCTATCTTGTAGACAGCTCGTGGCCGTCTGTATGCATGCATCTCGAACGCGCATACTCGTTTCCAGGGCCGCATGAACCGGCATATGACCTTCCGGACACATGTGGCGGTGGAGAGGGGTTTTCGAGACAGTCAACGGCGTTCTAGGTGGTCTTTTCAGAAAACAGCATATCTTAAGAAAATGTGTGTGACAGAACCACGTCTGTTTCACGTGCCAATATTGAGCTGCCGTGTGGTTAAGCATATACATGAAAAGATACGTAAGATGTCCGGCTTGAATAACCCTCAACCTCCGCCAACCTCAACATCCACCTAACCGTGGAACTGTCCAACAACACACTGCTTCACAAGCGGCTGGTCCGTCCACGAGTTCCCATTCTGCGTCGGCGTCTCACCCAGCACATAGCTCGCGTCAAAGTTGCCAGCCGACCAGCCGGTCCACCCAAGGTACACATCCCCGTACTTGTTCATCGTAGCGAACTGCTCACACAAAGCCTTCAAACAGCTCGCCTCGTTCGCCCCACCCCCGGTCTCCGTCAGAATCGCCTGCCTCTTCTCCTTGCGCAACCAATCACCCAGCGTCGTGAACGCCGCGACATTGTTGGTCGTGCACTCGGCGTGCGTGCCGCTGTTGTCACTGTCGAGGTACTTGTGCACGTCGAAGATGAGGTTCGTCGTGCTGCCGTCGGGGTTGGTGACTTTGCTGAGGGCGGCGCCGGAGCCGTTGTCGAGGAAGGCTTCGGCAGACGCATAGTTGGTGCCGGGGAGGAGGATCTTTTGGGAGGTGGCGCCGGCTTTGCGGATGGCGGTGACGGCAGCTTGGACGGAGGTCGCCCAGGTGCCGATGTCGAGGTCGTGGGGTTCGTTCATGATGCCGAAGGCGATTTTGGACTGGGACTTGTACTTGGTCGCCAGCTGGGACCATAGGTCGGCGAATTGGGCGTTGGTTGGCCCGCCCTGGCCAATGACTTGGCCGTTCCAGCGTGCGTAGTTGTGGATGTCGATGATACAGAGCTCGGCGCCAGAGCTCAAGCAGCCTTGCATGAGCTTGTCGTATTTGCCGAAGTTGGTGGAGTCGAGGTTGCCGATCTGGCCGTTGACGAGGTATTGCCAGCCGACGGGGAGACGGAGGGTGTTGAGGCCGTCATCGTTGACGAAGTGGTCCATCTGGGCCAGACCGTTGGAGTCGGTAGGCGGGTATGCTCCAGACACAGTGCAGGTGCCGTCGGTGCCGCATCCGAAGTCAAAACCGGCGATGTTTACTCCAGCGTATGGCACACCGCTACCACTACCGCCAGTTGGAGAGCTAGTCTGCTGGGTGGTTGTCGGCTTGGTCGTCGTTGGCTTAACGGTAGTTGGTTTGACTGTCGTCGCTTTGGCCGTTGTCGGCTTAGCGGTCGTAGTCGGCTTGTGGGGCTTCTTGGTAGGCTTTTTGGTCGGTTTGTGGTGTTTAACGGTCGTCTTAGTAGGCTTGGCCGGGCCAGAGGACGGGATGCATTGAGCATAGTATTCGTTGGTTGTGTGGCAGGTATAGCCCGAGACACACTTGGTGCTGCCGGTGAATCCCTTGCCACCACACTGCCCCCATCCTTGTTGCTGAGCGATTGCAGTGCCAGCTGCCGCCGTCAACGCGAGAAGTGCTGCCTTCATCTTGAGTTTGGTCGGTTGGAAAGAATGTGATGCGTGAAACGAGTGGCACGCTGTTGTAGTAAGGAGTGGAGTGAAGTCACAGACTTCAAGAAGACAAGCTCGAGAGAACGGCAAAGGTCAAGGCCTGTGAAGAAGGTGCTGAGAGAAGAGAAGGACCTTGGCAGACCTTATACTTGCCCGTTGAAATGAGTGGGAAGCCATCGTTCCGCAAGATGTAACCGAGATGGTGCACAGGCGTCGCGTGTAGAGTAGATCTGTCTCGAGATAGAGTCTGGATGGCGCTACGATCTAGCATCCTGGTGGGGATATCGTGGTTTGACAGCAGTTTTGGGATCGCTTACGGTGATTTGGAAGGCTTGCATGTTTCTAGATGGCCCGCACCGGCGCATGTGCCAACTTGAAACAGATCCGTAGAGACGCTGCCAGAGGGATCTACCAGCGTGGCCTAGGATCTTTCTTTGCTGATCATATGAGTTCTAAGATGTTGTTCTTGGAGGCCAAGGTGGCTCGCATATGCAGGCTGCCATGTCCCATGGACGATAAGAAACCAGCGTATCGTGGTCCAGGCCGTGTCGGAGGATGACATCCTTCATCAAAACAAGGGGTAGCGGCGTGGGACCTGGGCTGAAACCGCCCAATGTGGAAAGTGCTTTCATCTCGTCTCCATGCTTCCGCAAAGATCCGTTCGCTCCATCTATGGCGAGCGTCAAGAGACGTCACCTGCGTGTGTCTGTAAATGGACGAGATGGCGACAAACGGCTGTCACATGTAAGTGTACGAGAAAAGAAGTAAAGGGTGTGTCGATGCAAGGTAAGCCGAGCGTGGCAGGAGGGGTTGAAGTCAAAACCAATGTCGACCTCACCTCTTGACCTCACGTGAACATCTTCACGGTTATTCTCGAAACACCCGTAGAACGATACTGATCTCATCGGTGTCTTGCGAGTCTGCCACGAACCGTGCGATAACGAGAAGGCGCTGGTATACCTCAACGACAGCACACGATGCCTCAGAAGCTCAAGCTAGCCGTCTCCCAATCCCGCAGTCTCGCCAATGTGAAGCAGACACTCGCCGATCTCGAGAAGACCACAAAGAATGCAGCATCACAAGGCGTCGATCTGATCCTCTTCCCAGAAGCCTACCTAGGCGGCTATCCGAGACACTGCTCGTTCGGTGCAGTAGTAGGCCAGCGAAGTGATGAGGGCCGGGAACAATATCTACAATACTTCAAAGGCTGCCCCGACCTGGGGGACACCCCAGCGGGAGCAAGAGATGACTGGGTCGACCGAAAGCTGCCGGTAGCGAAGGGCCAGGAACACCGGGGTGATGGCACGAGAGAGACGTTGGAAAGAATTGCTCGCGAGACTGGCGTCTTCATTGTCACTGGCCTTGTAGAAAGATGTGGAGGGAGTCTTTACTGCGCGGTGCTGTACGTTTGTCCAAAACAAGGCTGTCTGGGCAAGCGTAGGAAGGTCATGCCCACTGGATCCGAACGACTAGTATGGGCACAGGGTTCGCCGTCAACACTACGTGCCGTCACTACGACGATCAAGGGAGTAAGGCTTTGCATGGCGTCCGCGATTTGCTGGGAGAACATGATGCCCCTGCTGCGATATAGCTTGTACTCGCAAAACGTTAATCTTTGGCTCGCACCTACAGCTGATGCACGCCCGACCTGGTGGCCATTGATGCAGACGGTTGGTAGTGAAGGGCGGTGCTTCGTGCTGAGCGCCATCACGTGCGTCAAGAAGAAGCATCTTCCTGCTTGGACGTATGGCATTGAAAAGAGTGCACCGACAGTGGTCCAGGAGAAGAGCATGAACGGCGCTGCGTCTCCTCCACCTACTTCTCCTACTCGGCATAAACGAAGGAGCTCGACTTTCACTTCCGAGAACCATGAAATTGTCCTCCCGGCAGTGGACGAGAACGCCAGCCAGTCGAAGTCGGCGCTCACTGATGGTTCAGGCGAAGAGTTCGCATGCAGAGGCGGGTCTTGCATCATTGGACCTATGGGTGATACTAAAGTCGAGCCGCTGTGGGAGGTTGAAGATGGCGGTCTCTTGATACACGAGGCTGATTTCGAAGACTGCGAGCGCGGACGTCTGGATCTGGACGTTGCTGGAAGTTATTCGAGGAACGATGCGTTCCATTTGACGGTTGATGGGCTGGACATCACGCCTCCGCCATAGTTATGCACTCCGCAATATTGCTGGCTACCCTGTACGACTCCAAATCACCAAGTGAGAAAAGGGCAGTAAGTGACTTTCAAACATTGCATTGGCTATCGATACTTCTACTCAAGGAATGCAACAATGTCCCAACAGCAGCCCAAACAGAACTCCAAGCATGTCGAACGCTGAACTGCACAGCAGCAGCAATAAGCAATAATCAACGGCCAACGCCAACAAAACAATACAATTGTCCTCCCAATACCTGCTTGTCACCAATCCTGATCTTACAAGCCCATCTCCACATCCTCGGACCCAGCTTTGGCTGCACTGTCATTGTGCACCAAGCCGCTTCCGCTTCCGCCTCCAGCCTTCTGTTCCTGTATGTTCACAGTCGACAGCAGCTCGCGGCTCCGCTGCTGCATATCTTGCTTCCACTCTGCCTTCGTCTTCGACCCAGCTCCTTTGGCCGCCTCTGCAGACTGGTTGGTGACGTCTACGTCCATCTTGTCGAGCACTTCTCCGCCGGACTTGCTCAGCGCCACCTCGTGCTGCAGGCGCTCTATCGCTTCCTTCCTCTCCGCCCGACGCCGAGCATTGAATGCCCGAATGTCAGCCTCCGTCCTAAGCTTCGTGGACTTCCTAGCCTGCGTGGGCTTGACGAAGATTCCGTCCGCGAAATTCTCATAAGCACCACGGCGGCTTGTGCAAGCAGAGCACCTCTCAAAGTTTGTCTCGCCGTGGCAGGATGGGTGAAGCCACTTTTCGCAGTCGGCGCACTGCTCGAGTCCTTCTCCCGTCTCGAGTTCGCAAGTAGCGCAGTGGCGTTCCTCCTCGAAGTAGGTGCCATCAGCTTGAATGCCGCGCGCATTGTTGCCGTCGAACTCATCGTCCTGATCGCCATCGCCGTAGTCTTCGCGAGCTCGAGGGAGCTGCTGCTCGTTGTCGAGGCCCTCCGAAACAGTAACGCCATCCTCTTCTGCCAACATGCGCTCGTAGTCACCGGCTGGCATGCTTGACATGGCTGAGTGCTTCTTGCGCGTCGTCGACTTGCCATACGACCACGGCTTCAGATCGCTCTTGCCGACCTCCAGCCTACGATGATCCGGACCGTCCTCCACAGAGCCGCCCAAGAAGTTCTGCTTTGGCCGGAGTCCGAACTTCAAAGCGTCCGTGCCATCGGTCTTCAGCCGCTGAACCTCTTTGGGCAGACGCGACAGCAAGGCTGCAGCCTCGAGCTCGTCTTGGTATGCGTACCCGGCATGGATCTTTGAACGGGTCCTCATGTGTCTACCGGCCTCGCTCGCGACCAGCTTCATTAGGGCAGGATCAGCCTCGATGAGTTTGTTGAGCTGTCGGAGATCCTCGTCGCGGTCGAACTTCTTGGGTTTGCGTGGCGCTTTTTGTACGCGGGCGGATGAGCCGAATCGCTCGCTTGGAAGTGCCATGCGCTTCTCACTGGCCCGGCCTTCACCTTCAGGAATGAACAAGCTGTCCTTCCTCGCTGGTGCCTTTCCCTTGTTGACCTTCCTCTGTGCATGGGGAAGGAAAGGGCCTCGATACGAAGTTGTAACTCGAGACGCAGCGTTGCGCTTGGGACGCGAGCAGGCGTAACAACCGATCGGTGCTCCGTACGCTTCGGTGATTGCTTTGGCAGAGAGCTTGCACGACGATCCGCACTGCCTGGGATGGGTGGTAGTTGTCATGTGCCCACAGGCCAGCATGTGTTGCTGCGGGAGGCTGCGATATTGATCCCAGCAGACTGTTGGCGCTTCGATCGTGTCCCCGAAGCCGGTCTCGCTTTCCACGCGCTTGGTGGTGGCACGCTGAGTAGGCGCAGACAAGAACGAGGAGGATGGCGTCGCCTGAGATACTTCTTGGTTCGAGGCGGGTGCCGGTCGGTGAGCCAGACTGAAGGTTCCAAATGTCATCGCTGGCCTAGTTGGATCGTATTGCTCGGGCGCGGCGGTGGAGGCCGGGTCGTAAGCGACTGGTTTGGGTGCTGGCGCTGGGGTTGGCGCTGTGGCCGCCGCCGTCGCTTTGGCCAGCTCTGCCTGGAGCCACGACGTGGAGCCGACCGGGCCGTGCGACGCTGCCGACGCAGAGGGAATGGGGTTGTAGTGTTGTTGCGGTGGCGCGTAAGGGAGTGGGCGCGACGTCCGGACCGGGAGCGAGAAGCTGGAAGTGTGCTGTGCGATCTTTGGCGTATTGCCGACCGATGGAGGATCGTATCTCTCGTCCGAATCAACTGGCTCTGTCTTCATCGCGGGAGACTGGGCTTGCGGAGCCATGGTATTGGGTGTGTAGGTGGGATCGTGGCCCGCCATCGCCGCGGTCGTCTGGTTGTTGTTCGGTGTGGTTTGCGGGCGGCTCTGTGCGTGGGTCTGGAGTCGTCGAGGGAGCGTAGGAAGTGGACAAGATGGTTGTCGCAGCTGTTGTGTGGACAGCAAGAAGCCAAGTTGGCCGGGGGGGCGCGTTGCTATTTAGCGCGTCAGCAAGGGAAACCGTGAATCGCAATCAACACGACGCGGGCTAGGCGACGAGGCGGCAGTTGAACGTGTGAAGTTCGTTTGACACTTCTTTCAACAAGGCGATTGTGAAGTTCACCTCTGGTCAAGGAGCCCCAAAATGCATTGTTTACGCTGCCAAGACATTATGTGCTTCGCTAATCGTCATTCGCCGAATTGGGAAGGAGGGAAGTCCCGCTGCGCATACCTCAGGCAGGCATTTTCACGTGCTATTATACTTGTTGCATGTTGCTGGTATATACGACATACTGTCAAACTACCCGATCTGTCAGTATCATCCTGTCCATGCCAGCAGAAACACTTACATCTCAAACTCCCCCCCATCGCCACTCCTCCCCTTGGCCGCCCACCCTCGATGCGCCGCTACAAGCCACCCACCGGCGGCCATGCGCTGGACCTCCGCCCACCCTCGATATCTCCCGAAGCCAGCTCTTTATCGCATTGTAACCAAGGGCTTGTTTGAGCGACAAGAGACATTGTCTCAGCCGAACAAAGACGGGACAGACCTCCAGCCATGCGGAACAGAGATGTCTCGGACAGAGACAGTGTCTCGCAGCAGCGGCGTGCGTCTGTATGATGTCGTGCAGAGAGAGACAGTGACTGCATTGCATGTTAAGAGACTCTAAAGCGCAGATTGTTTGCCTTCTTCCAGATCAGCGGGTGATGTTGTTGTAAGGATGCAGGTCAATCAGTCTCGTATCCAAGCTCCGCCTTCGCGTTTGCCTCGTTGTATGCCCGAGCTGGACACCAAACCGAATCCAGCGCGAATGATCAGCTCGCGAATCCCTTCGAGGCAAGTCACGGCCTTGATGGGCAATCAGCACAACACGCAGTGCGCGCCATGTCCCTCGACCCGCGACTTGCCGCTGAGAAGCAACACCGCACCCACACTGGCTGCGGCACCAAAGGTTGTCATAGCTTCCATCTCACCAACCGCCTCCCCTTATATTGCTGCTCATCTAGGCGACCCTTGCACCCTCGGCGCCCTCGACCACCAGCTATCTTGCGGCCACAAGATCTTGACGCCCCAGCCTGAAGAATGCGCCAGCAACTGCCGCCAACCACGCTCTGCACTCATCAACCCTCGACGTCTGGACCAACCCTTCAACTGCCTCGCCTGCATCACAGAGTCCATCCACAGGAAGCACACAAAGAAGACGCTGGACTTCTGCGACGAGCTCGAGGTGGTAGCGAGAAGTATCGGCAAGCCGGACGCTGCGGCCTGGAAACGGGAGAAGGTTGCGATCGTGGATATGGCGTGGCGGGACCATGCGCTGGAGGAGATCGTGGCGAGGTTGGAGGGCGGGACGGGGTGTTGGGCGTTCTATGTCGATCCGGAGTACGAGGAGTTGGCAGAGGAGGCAGTGCGCCGGAAGATGGAGGCCGGGGAGGTTGAAGAGGTGGCGACGAAGAGCAAGCCGGTCTTTGGACCACTGCCTCCGCCACCGCGAGGAGAAAAGGCCGACTTGAGTCCGCCGCGCTCGTTGTCGCCTTCGTCATCCTCGTCCGGGTCCGGTGCGAGCAGCAGGTCTGGCTCGAGACTGCCGGTGCGGAGGAGATGAAGCTGTAGTAAGTAGAAAGAAAGGGCACATGAGAGTCGAAGGAAAACGCTGCAATCGCTGCGCTTGGTGGCGTATCTATCCAAGTACACAGACACTTTTGTCAAGCTGGAAACTGTACACACTGCAATCCATCAGCATTGACCTGCGCGCGACTCTGCATATTTTGTACTCAACTCCACCCTCCAAACGCCTTGCCAATCGAAACCTCATCCTATACAGCACTATACCCACCCCTTGAGTCCCCTCCCTTCATCCTATCCGCCATGTTGCTTCCCCAGTCCTTGACAATATACGGGATATCCCTAATCGTATCTCCATGCGGAATCAAATCCCATCCTCTCGCGCCATACCGATTGTAGTTCAGCCAGCTCCCGAAGATGATATACGCCGCCACGAGCATGAACAGCACGATCAGGAACCAAGTGAAGAAGCCCCAGCCGCTGCTCTTCTTCGAATCGTCGTCGTCAGGGTCAGGGTTGTCTTTGGCGCTCTCGCAGGCGTACTTGGTCTTCCAGCGCAGGCGAAGGACTTCCATGTCGCCTTCGGGTTTGTAGGAGAGGAATTTGAGGTTCTTGTACTCGTCGGGGTTGGGGAGGTCAGGCCCATCATCGTCGTCATCGTCTTTCCTCTTTGTCATCACACCATATGCTCCTGGATCTGCTAGGCTCATGCCCTCTTCCTTCTCGAAGCCTTCATTCCCGGTAACGCTCTTGTCGCAGATGAACTCGATGATGGCCTTCTGCGGCGTCCCACTCCGCTCATTGGGGTATTTGCCTCCATGCAACTCTACCAGCACACCCTCCTTGTTCTCGCTATTCCCCGCCGCGCCCTTCAGTCTCGTGATCTTCGGATCCATACTCCGGCCGTGGCTCGTCTTGTACTCTCCCGCGATCTCAATAACTTTCTTCACAAACCCCTTGCCAGAGCTGGGGTAATCCCACTCTCTTGCGCACACCTGCGTGCCCGTGAGGCAATTTTCGCCCTTTCCGAGTTTCTCGTCCTTGGGTAGCTTGCCGCAGATGTCCAATGTGAAGGTGGTGTTCTCGATCGAGGGCCGTTCCCACCGGATCCGATGGACTGTCTTGGGGCCGCCGAGCTTCTCGAGGTTCCAAGATGCGCCATCATCGCGGATATGCTTGCAGTCGAAGGTTATGGCAGAGGTCAATGTGGGTAGGAGGAGGAGCGCGGTTTGCCATATGAGAGGCATCTTGGATTTCCGGTTGTGATGCTCCTGGTCGTGCCAGTTGCCGCGGCTCGGTTGATGCGGTGTACCGCTGTTTGGCAAGACGATGTCGTTGGGTTAAGGAGCGACAAGAATCGAATAGAGTCAAGGGTGAGGTTGAGATGTGGTGATGATATGTTTGGTAAGCTCCTGCCTGGAGAAGCTGGAGGAAGCTCGCTGCACCAATGACATTCACGCCTCGTCCCTGTCAATGCCAAGAGCTTGTATACATTCGAAGCGACTACAGCAGCAGGCAGACAGGCGAATTCGTGTACATGAAAAGCAGGGGAGATGAAGTCACTCGTGGTTGGAAGCAGAGCTTTTGTCATTCAGCTACCGACAGCGCCTCGCTACTCAAAGCAGGCAATCCAGTCGGATACTCTCCTCCTTCCCATCATCCGCCTAGTAGAAGAAGCCGATGATCTTGCCCGCGACGTGCTTCCTCCTCGCCTCCTCGTGGTCCATGATGCCGGCGGAAGTGGTGAGGACGATGTAGCCGAACTGACGCGAAGGCAGGAGGTTGACGATCCACTTCTCCATATCCTTCAGCTGGACGTTGAAGCGCGGGCTGATGACACCACACTTGTTGAGACGGCCGTTCAGCTGGATGACGATCTTGCCGTTGCGGTGGTCGTCGACCTCCTCGAACTCGCCGATGTAGCCTGGAAGTAGCTCATGTCAGTGGGATGTCGCGAGAGATTTAAACATGCACTCTTCAGCAAAGTCGTCAGAGGACGTGTAAGATCCTCGTATCTTCAATCTTCCGAGTACTTAAAGGGCGTTGGTCGTGGCGATGATCGAGACCATTGCCTAGTTATCAACCCGGTGTGTCTCTGGTCTTACACGTCTGTGACCTTCGCCGAAGAGCGCGTAAGATGTAGCTGGACATACCGTGCTTCTGCATGACCTGCAAGAACTTGACGATGACCTTGGAGCTCGGGCGGATCAAGACTTGACGCTTGCCGGTCTTCTCGGCGTTGTAGATGCTGTTGAGCGCATCGTTGAGGACCGATGATTTGACCATGTTGGCGGTGGAGATTCTCAAGGCGCGGTGTTTGCGGCGTGAGGTATCTGCGTTATACAATTAGCCTTCAAGAGCCATGACGAGCAGAGAGTGCCCTTCGGTGCATGAGCATCGCGGGTTCTTCAGCTCGGTGTCTCCGGCACAGCAGTGTCGCCGCCATTGCTGGTGGTGATGTGCTGTGCCATGGCTACCCGAAGGGCATCTCTTTCTGTCGGCGACGTACCTCTGATGAGCGGCGAGCTTGTCGGTGGTGGTGGTTTGGTGAAGCTGTTGGCGAAGAAGTTCTTGAAGCAAGCCGGCACATTGAGAATTTCGGCCTTATTAGTGGGCTTGGCAAGGTGGCAGCGTGACATTTGAACTCTGGACCCTCCGGTCCATGCCCCACCACCACTACTTCTTCGCTCTCCAATTTTTCTTGCGACTGCACCAACACAGTCAGAACACCCACACACTCTTTACAGCCCTCTTCACACCTCCAGCAACCGCCAACATGATTATCTACAAGGTGCGGCCACCAATCACCATCCTCGAGGCTACAGCGCACTGCTAGGTGGACTTCCGCATACTAACGGTCTGACAGGACGTGATCACGGGCGACGAGCTCATCTCCGACTCCTACAACATCAAGGAAATCGACGGCGCCGTCTACGAAGCCGACTGCACCAAGATCGCGATCGGTGGTGACAACATCGATATCGGTGCTAACCCCTCGGCCGAAGAGGGCGGCGGCGACGACGTCGACGACACCAAGCAGCAGGTGATCGACGTGGTCTACTCCTTCCGGCTCCAGGAGACGCAGTTCGATAAGAAGAGCTACCTCAGCCACTTGAAGGGGTACATGAAGGCGGTCAAGGAAAAGATGAAGGAGAGGGGCGCCAGCGACGAGGCGGTCAAGGAGTTCGAGACGGGCGCAAGCGGGTACGCGAAGAAGATTGTGGCGAATTTCAAGGACTACGAGTTTTTCATTGGGGAGAGCATGGACCCGGATGGAATGTGAGTGGACAATCTTGCCTGGATCGTGGGGGTACGGTATGCTAATGCGAATGACAGGGTCGTCCTGCTCAACTACCGCGAAGATGGTGTGACTCCTTTCATCACGATCTGGAAGCACGGTCTGAAGGAGGAGAAGGTCTGAGGGACGGGAGAGCATGACACCCAGCATGATACATGGTTCTGTTGCGAAAAGTTGCTTTCAGGCATGACAAGACTGCAGGTGCTCTCGGGCATGTTACGTGTTCTTTCTGCAGCGGATATACTTGATATACGAGTTACGAGGTCGGTTTACTCAAGACTGATCATTTCTTCTGCCTCAGCGTCCAACCTACCATACAGTCCACCCTCCTTCCATCTAGGACTCCAGTCTTACTGCGTGTGCTGATGTCGGCCGTGTTGCTCTCTGCTCTCCTGTCATGCTTTCGTACGCTCGCGTCGAGACCAACATGTGAAAGCAAACACTCTACGCGCCTCACGAGCCCAACGCCAACACGTGCGCTTATCAGGCAGCCTTGCGCAAGGTTCGCTCCGCGGCGCTGGCCGTCCCTTCCCCGCTCCTTTAGCGCCCAACTCTGCTGTGTCCAACACCTCAGGTTCACCCTCTTCCTGTCTTTCCCACGACTTCACTCCTTTTGACAGCCCTTGGCTGGGGTGGTTGGGTGTCTTAGACCATTCGTTACAGGATATATCGATCGTGTTCATTTGCTGGCAGCTTTGCTGAAGGGGCGGGGTCGGTTCACATGACCAATGGCTCAGGTCATGGGAATGAAAGTGAAGAAGCGAACGAGGTTACCGTGGGAGCGTCAATTGGACCCAAAAGTCACCAACACCACCAGTCATGCTGCCACTACCCCTTCATGCTTGAAGGCTGGCCCGGGCGAGAAGATCGGTGACTTCCTTCAGAGACTGGAGAAACATTATGGATTCGACCTTCCGGTCCGCAAAGACGAATCACCAAGCAAGCGACGATGCTCTCCGAACCACGAAGCCGTCAACTATGTCCGCTACCTCTTCTACCAAGACCGCGACAGTCTCGATCGGGCACTCAATCGGTTCCACATCGAGTCGCCGTCCAGCAAAGAGGCTCATGATCCGAAGCTCACTCGGTTCCTCAGCACTGTCAGCGATGCCGTCAAGACCTCGAAGGCGAAGGCTACTGTCACACCAAGGTCATCACAAGTCAAGAATGCCAGGACTCCGGGACTATCTAACGAGGCAAGTCTGCCACCAGAGCCGCCATCACCGAGTCTGGCTGTTAAGCACGCGCCGCCCGTCGCTACTAGTACTGTCGAGTATCCAAAGCTACCTTCAGCAGCCAGTGGAGAGGCTACTGGAGAACATGATCTCATCAGGCCGCCTTCAGTCGATATGAACAAAGCCTTCGGAGACATTTCAGCAATCCGTTCATCAAGCTCACTGTTCAACACTTCTGGCGTAAGATCAGCTGATAGATCCTTCACCTCCAACACTTCCTTCCCTAGCTCAGGGAGCAAGATAGCGAATACATCGTTCGCAACCTCAGGCCCCACCACGGCCAACACTTCCTTTGCCAGCTTTGGCAATGGCTCTGTGAACAACTCTTTCACTGGGATAGGCGACAAATTTGCCAGCATCACCTTCGAGCCTGAACCGCCGGGAGCACACCGGCGATTTTCGACCGCATCCACTATCAATATGGACGGCGCGAATGACATTGAATGTACCCCGCAGACGTATTATGGGTCGTCTCCTCCCTACTCCCAGACTGATTATCCGAACGTCGAGGCAGCAGATGATCACCCACCAGCGACTCAATATTCTGGACCCTTATCCTCACCGGGTGTTGGGTCGCTCCATGACTTGCACGCCGGTCCGGACTTGCAACAACGCACTCCTCCTACGTCGAACCTTTTTGGTGCACCGATAGAGCGTGGTGATGCTTTGGAAACGACCCCAGAGATGGCCTCACAAGCTTCGGTATCGCCTGGTGATCTCTCCAAGTGGGGAGCGAAGAGGATTGTGGACGATGACCTACCGCACGTCGGGCTTCCAGCATCCTTTCAAAGTCTGCCATGGGCACTGCGGTGGGAAACACTCCGCCTCATCCAAACCAAACTAATCTCACCACAAGCTCTTAAGATCAAGTGGCGCCATCCACGTACGAGGAAATCTCTGTACGCCTTGGTCGACCAGATGAATATTTCATTCCACAAGACTCCGGAGTACGGTCTCTGTGAGTGTTCGTACGCAGCACGGTTGGTGCCAGATACCAGCAAGGGCAATGACGTCCCTCACTTCAGTTTGGAGCTCAACGCTCCCATTCGGCAAAAGCAGAACGGTTTCGAGCGAGAGCTTGGGTGCGAACGTGTCATCACTGTCGAGTGCCACCCAACGAAGGGAATGCCGGCTGGGCTTAGCGAAGACGATGCTAGAGCTGCTGTAGCTGAGATGATTACCAAGTCCCACGAGCTCCTTGGTCGTGATTGGGTCATGTTCTTCTTGCGAGAGAAGAAGCAAAAGAAGCGTCAGGGCAAGCCTGCCAGACCCGGAACTATGGAGTTCTACTTCTTCGCAACGAGCGGTGACGATATCGACCATGTCTCGATCTCGGACTTCCTCCAGCGGCTGATACCTTTCCGTGAAAACGCCAGTCAACTCAGCGGCAAGCTTTTCTCCCGGCTGGAGCTGTTGGCGTCAAGGACCACCAAAGGCCCAGTGTTTCGCAGGGACCAAATTGAAGTGCTGGACGATCGAACTGCTACGGATGAGCCCGATGACCTGACCTTTGCCGACCGATCTCTGGACTTCACTGAAGAGTTCGACAGCACAGCCGTCATGACCGATGGTTGTGCTCCGATCACCGCTTACGCCATGCGCCTCATCTGCAACTCATGCGGCTGGGAGCCTGATACACCTCTGCCGTCTGCTGTCCAGGGGAGATTCTTCGGGAGCAAAGGTATGTGGGTCCTGCAGAAGGACGCCACACTCTTCGACCCTGATGCACCTGCACCTGCGAAACTTATCAGTGTCTCTCGCAGCCAACAGAAGGTGGCTCAAAGGTCAGACCAGAATGAATTCACGTTCGTTGTTTGCGCATTCACCCTCAGCCCAAGGACATCTGTACTGCATCCTGGTTTCCTACCGATTATGCACGATCGAGGTGTGCCATCAGATATCATCTGCAATGCCGCAGCCTTTGCTTTGAGCAGCCTTGTGACTACCTTCCAGGAAGCATCGCAAGATCGCGACGAACTTCGCAGTTGGTTGGCAGAAGAAGAGGCTGTGCCGCATCTTGGTGAACGACATCTAGGAGTACCATCTATCGGAGGGTTTCCTACGATAAGGAGCGAGAGAATTGTCAAGATGCTCGAATCCGGTTTCCAACCAGAGACAAATCGCTTTCTTGCCAATGAGATGCATGAACTATGGAAAGATCTGTTGAAGCTCAAGGCCAAGAAGTTCAAGATTCCATGCATGCAGTCAACGACACTCACAGGGGTAGCCGACTGGACTGGAACGCTGGCGCCAGGGGAAGTGCATCTGAAGCTTTCAGGCCTCTCCATGCCGACCGGTCAGTCTGACCCTAGTTTTGCTGAACTTGGTCGTACGATCACGGAGTGTCTCGTTGCGCGAAACCCTGCAAGGCGCCCTTCGGATATTCAGCGGCTGCGGATAGTGCAGAAGGCAGAGCTGAGCCACTTGACGAATGTCATCGTGTTCTCCACGCGAGGTCGGCAAGCTGAGGCAAGCAAGATGCAAGGTGGCGATTATGACGGCGACACCTTCTACCTCAATTGGAACCGTGAGATTGTCAAGCATTTCCGCAATGCACCTGCTCCTCGCGAAGCTAATCGTGGCTCATCCAAGAACTACTTCCTCGAGAAAGACGAGCGGAAGTTCAGCGACATTGTCAAGAGCGCAAGAAGGAAAGACTCCGTCATCAATGAGACAGAGGTTCGAAAGTGGCTGAAGAGCAATACCAAAAAGCGGATGCGGTTTGGCCATCTTGGTCTGTGCACAAAGTTCCTCGAGAACGTTGTCTACCATGAAGGCAAGCTTATATCCGAGCCCATCGAGGCACTGAACGACCTCTGCGACTACCTTCTGGACGCGCACAAGCAGTGTCTGATCTTCACCTCCGATTCCTGGAGGATGTTCATGAAGCATTGGGACCTCCGGGAGCTGCCAGATCCGGCGTACTTCGTGTACACGAAAGCAGAGGACGATGACGACAAGGGCAAATTCAAGCCCAAGGCTGAGCCGCGAGACGACAGCATCCTGGACCGCGTCTACTGCGATCGGCTCCGCAAGGAAGCACTGGCGGCTTTGAAAGTCGTGGAGGCGATGTTCCCGTACGCTACTTTGCGTGATAAGGATCTCGACCATATCTTCAAAGATCGGAGAGATGCCGCTGCCGAGGGCTCTGCGGTGCGGCGGGAGCTTGACAGCTTGTTCGACCGGGTTGCGGCGGTCAAAGACATGTGGCTCGCGAAAGTATCCACTGCCACCAAAGGCGAGGTTCCAGAAGCAACTGGCCTTGTGCGACAGTTCTACGAAGAGATCCAGCCGCTCAACACAGACAACGAAACGATTCGAGAATGGACGGTGGCGCACGGCAACAGCACGACGACGCAGTGGGACTTTTACAAAGCTTCCGCGTTCGCTATGCAGTGTTATCATCACGGAAAAGAGGGTACAACGAAGATGCAGTTCGTCGTCGCCGGTCACGAATTATGCCTGCTGAAGGCCGCTGCCGTGGCCGGGTCTCAGACTCTGACGAGCAGTGCGTACCACGCGATGAAGCCGATCAAGCGGAAGGCTTTGGCTGCGCTTCGGGAGAAACGTGCAGTTGCGGTGGAGGAGGAGGACGAGGAGGATGACGACGACGTCTACCAGACTCTGGGGGACGTGTTTGACAACATTGACGGCGATCGAGCCGCCAAAAAGTTCCCGCGTGATGGAGCGGGAGGGCACAGTCCGCAATCGACGCGGGTGGCTGGGGGATTGAAAAGAGCGCAGGGGATGTGATGGGAGTCGGAATCCGCTAACGAACCAGTGAGAAATGATGAGATTAATGGTTGAAGATGTGTCCATGTTTTGATGAGATGGAGAGACCGTTTGGTGACGTGCGTGCGTGTCTTGGAGGTGTTTGGACAGATGTTGGTGTGATTGCGATTGTTTAACAGAGATACCCTTGTTTCATACTTAGCTGCATATGTGGATAGAACCTGTGCAGCTGCTGCTGGCCGGTGGCTGTGGTGTAGATGTGACAAACAACCGACATCAAACGAGCATCTACTTATTCACCTGGACTGCTTCAACGCTCGTTCTTCCCTTCCTCACTCCTCGTTCAACTGAACATTCCGACTGAAGCTGCTACAGCGACGTCGACATTCACATTTCTTGCCTCGGCTGTTGCTTGCATTGCCACTTCGAGAAGGACCAAAACTTTCACGAGACGACGAATCTCGCCCATTGTAATCGAAGACGGATCGAAGGATACCTTAGCAAATATGTTGGAGAAGATCTATGTCGTGAGGCACGGGGTGAGTACAGTTTTCCTCTCACTACAATCCATCATCCCATCGATCGAAACAGGACCATCCCGCATCTCCCCATCCGTGTTGTCAAGGAAAGAATACAACATGATGAGCGAAGGGCACAATAACAGGATGTCACGTCGAGAACAGAGCCACCGCATTCGTCGGATCTGCGATAGCGCAGCTCTATAACAACAAAGTACTAACCGAGACCTCTTCCAGTACCGCTCCAACTGGACCGTCGACCCAACGACAGGAACCTACACCTCATCCGTCCGCACTCCCACCGGCATCCCGTCTGATCCAGCCCTGGCCTCCTACGGCGTCCGCCAAAGCGAACAGCTTGCCACTCATCTCGCCACTCTCACCCCTGCCCCGGACTACATCGTCTCCTCGCCCTACTACCGCTGCCTCCAAACCATCGACCCTTACGTCACGCACCTCGCCACCTCTAACCCCTCCGTCTCCGTGACCCTCGAACCAGGCATCGGCGAATTCTACGGCCGCGCCCCCTTCACCCATCCCCACCCCGCCGGCCTGCAGGAACTAAAAAAGCACTTCTCCCAACTCCGCGCCGAAGCCTCTCCCATCATCATCCCCGCCCACCACGGTGAAACGATCCCGCAACTCCACGACCGCGTCGCTTACTGCCTTCACCATCTTATCACGCGTGCGGACCAGGATCCCGATGGACCGAAGGCGATGTTGTTGTGCACGCATGCGGCGGCTGTGATTGCGATTGGGAGGGCGTTGACGGGGCGGATGCCGGAGGAGGTTGGGGAGGAGGATTTTGGGTGTTTTACTTGTGGGTTGAGTACGTTTGCTTGTCGTGGGGAGAGCAAGGGGGAGGGAGTGGTGGGGAAGTGGGACGCGGAGAAGGAGGATGAGGTGCCGGATGTGGAGTGGAGGGGTGGAAAGGGAGTTGGGGGCGGGTGGAAGTGCGTGGGGAACAGTGATTGTTCGTTTTTGGAGGGTGGCGAGGAGAGAGGATGGTGAGTGCCCTTTTCTTTCCCTCCTTCGTTTCCCACCCTTGCCGTGCTCACCGGAGACGATGGTCCTGGCCTGGCTAACCCCTGTATACTAATCCCGACTGACCTCGCTGGCTCGCGTTCTGGCCGTTCTGGATGCTCGAGGCACACTTACGATCCTCTTTCTTGACGCAGGAACTTCCACATGGAGAACGAACGCATTGCGCGCCTTCAAGCCGAAGCAGATGCAGAAGCACTGGCAGGGGACATCTCCATCATGGCCGTGACCCCAAAGAAGGCAGCCGTGGTCGACACGAAGGCATCACCGGGCACTGAGGCGATTGATGAGGCCAAGGCCACATCGAACGGAACTGCTTAATGACGACTAAGGTGACTGACGACCACATTTGCTTACGACTTGCTTTTACGACACAGGCGGTTCTCCGGCGACGAGAGCTTCATGAACGATCCGAACGCTTTCAACGATGCGGCGAACGAGAAGCGCGAGAGCGGGCCACGGTTATGATGATGATGGGGCGTGATGGGGCGTGATGGGGAAAGACTGACGATGACTTTTAATGATCTTGCATATATGCTGCAGATGGGATAGAGCAGCTATAGACGTGCTACCACTGGCAAAGCCTTGACCCATGATGATCCCGCTTTCTGCATTCGACCAGCTGTCCGTGACGCCGCTTGTGCATCCATGCCTTCATCGTGCTGAGCTTCCGCAAATGAACTCTAACCCTGAGTGATCGCCTTGCGCACACGCTGCGCACGCTGCCTCGAGTTGAGATGCTTGCCCTGCTCACGGTTCACGGTCTCTGGTGACTTCTGCACAACCTCCTCGCCCTCGGTGAGGATGAGCTCGATGTGGCATGGGTTGGACCTGAGCAAATCTCGTTAGCTACTTGATCTTGCGGATTGGGCACCAAAGAATGGAACTCACATGTAGGGGTTGATGCGACCGTGAGCACGGTATGTGCGTCTCCTTTGCTTGGGCGCCTGGTTGACCTGAATGTGCTTGACAATCAAGTTGCTGGTGTCCAGACCCTTGGTATCCGCGTTCGCCTCAGCGTTCTTGAGCAGCGACGACAAGAACTCAGCCGACTTGACGGGCCAGCGAGCCTTGGAGACGCCGAATGCCTTGCCTGTGCAGCCAAACATCCCCAATCAGCATTTTATTCCTTTGTGGGTGTGCCATATGCATCCTCGCACTCGAGCAATACAGTCTCCGCTTTTCAGCAGGTGTATCTACGTACCTTGTGCAGTACGGCCAGTGCTCCCAGCATATCTCCTCATCGGCACGGCTTCGCGGTGGTTCTGGACATTGTCGAGGTAGGCGAGGGCGCGGGTGAGCTTCCAGCCGTTGATGGCCTGGGCGGTTTCGCGGGTGTTCTTGAAGGAGACGCGCAGGTAGGAGCCGCGAGCGCGCGCCGATTTGGCGGGCTCGAGATGGGTGGCGGAGTAGCGGACCTGTGGTGAAGATGTTGTTAGTGGGTGTCGGTCGAGGGTGCTGTGCGCACTCCGATTTGTGCTGGAGCAGCGCAATGCAGCGCATTTTGGTATCCGATCGCTGATATTGCATTGTACGTACCATTTTGTCGGTTGTTGTATGGAGGTGTGGTCGTGGTCGCTGCTCGAAATCAATGTCGTTCAGCGAATCTTCAAATTCGAGGCGAGAGTGGCCTTGCCAAGACATTGCCGGCAAACCTTCTGCTTCGGGACTAGCTCGAAATTTTCCGACGATTTTCTCGAGCTCGTCTTCTGAGGTGAAGCACATGCGCACCTACTACCGAAGACACACAACACTTCCACACCATGGCCTTCACACCCAGAGGACGTGGCGGCAGCGATAGAGGCAGAGGAGGGTTCAGCTCACGCGGCGGGAGGGGTGGCTTCGGCGACAGAGGCGGCCGTGGTGGATCAAGAGGTGCGCGCAAAAGGCAAACTGGAGAGTGGGCGAATAGCTAACAACATACAGGCGGCTTTGGCGACAGAGGTAGAGGTGGCGACAGGGGTCGGGGTGGTGGCAGAGGCGCACCGCGCGGACGTGGTGCGCCCAGAGGTGGAGGACGAGGTGGAAGAGGTGGAGGCCCAGGCGCAAAGGGTGGACAGAAGGTCATCATCGTACGTCTGGCGGACATTGAACAGCTGCACTACCGCAAAGTGTCTAACGCGATCACTAGGAACCCCACCGTCATCCCGGCGTCTTTGTGGCCCGCGGCAAGGAAGATCTTCTCGTCACCAAGAACCTCACCCCCGGCGAAGCAGTCTACGGCGAAAAGCGCATCTCCATCGACACCCCCTCCACCACCGCCGGCGATGCGAACGGCGACGCTGCTCCCGTGACCACCAAGACCGAATACCGCGTGTGGAACCCTTTCCGCTCCAAGCTTGCGGCAGGTATCCTAGGTGGTCTGGAAGACATCCACATGAAGCCCGGCGCCAAAGTCCTATACCTCGGCGCTGCATCCGGTACCTCAGTCTCCCACGTCGCAGACATCGTCGGCCCAACAGGCACTGTCTTCGCAGTCGAATTCTCCCACCGCTCCGGACGCGATCTCATCAACATGGCCACGCACCGCACGAACGTCATCCCGATCATCGAAGACGCCCGTCACCCGCTCAAGTACCGCATGCTCGTCAGCATGGTCGACTGCATCTTCGCCGACGTTGCGCAGCCGGATCAAGCGCGTATCGTGGGTCTGAACGCACATCAGTTCTTGAAGGTCGGAGGCGGCGTGGTGGTCTCTATCAAGGCGAACTGCATCGACTCGACTGCTGCCCCAGAAGCTGTGTTCGCGAGAGAAGTCGTCAAGCTCAGGGAGGAGCGTATCAAGCCGAAGGAGCAGTTGACGCTGGAGCCGTTCGAGAGAGATCATGCTATGGTTGTGGGTGTGTACCAGAGGAGCACCGCGACTTCGTAAAAGTACATGTCTGGCGCTCGTGTGTTATATGGCTCTCAAATGGCTGGGACGAAAGGTGCACTGGTGTTCTGGCGCGGTACCGTGAAGGGTGATGAGTACGTAGGACAGGCCTTTATGCAGATATGCTTTCACTGCAGCTAACCAGCTTACTCGGCTGGAGGCCTCTTTCATACTGTTTTCGAGCTTTCGTTTTATGCCGACCTGGCTTCTCACTGCCTGTTCCTTTCATCTTGCAGCTCCTAATGGCACGGGACTGCGAGTGAGGTTCACATGACCGAGTGTTCGTGCTTAGGGCTGGGATTGATAACTTATCGATTCTCCTCTCGACAACCCACTTAGCTGCTACCGTCACCGCCTACATGGTGGGCTGGTATCCTTTCGACGACGGAGACGACAACACAGAGGACTCGGACGCCTCAAGGCACTCAGTCTACATTAATAATACTTGCGACACTGACTTCACCGACGACACCGACAACACGGAGCTCATCGAGGACAACAGCGACCTGGAGCACACTGAGGCTGACAGCGACCCTAAGCGCCCTAAGGACCTCATCGACGCAAGAGCCTTCGATTACACGAGGATATCCAGCGACACTGATAATACCAACGACATTGAGAACTCCAGCGACGCTGAGAACACCAACGACTCCGAGAACACCAACGACTCCGAGAACACCAACGACTCCGGGAACGCCAACAACACCAGTGACACAGACTTCACTAACGACTCCGGCGACACTAGCAATACTAAGGACTCTGAGAGCACGACCGACCCAAACAACACCAAAGACTTCGAAACACTAAACACCCCGGCAACGCTGAGCATACCCACCGCTTAGATTACACCAACGGCTCCGAAGACACAAACGGCACGAAGGACTCAGACACGATTCAGAAGTCCAGCCTTGCAAATCAAAGCTCCGTGAGCCTCCACCAACTTCTTAAGAATCAATGAGCCTTCACTGATAAGCTTTAAAGATTCAATGCACATTGGCCTCTTTCCCTTTCGAACACCAACCCTCGAGACATCTCTGCACGACGACATGGCTGAGCAGCAGACGCCTGCCTTCGATGGCAAAGCATCGCAACTCAAGCGGAAGCCGGGCGAGTCTCTTCCTTCCCAAACATCAAGTGAACCAGCATATGAGACTGGCAGCCCCAGAATTCGCGCCTTCAGCACCAGAAAAAAGGCGGCGGGCGGCTGCGAATGCACCTCCAACCCTAGGCCTCACGCCTTTTAATCCCAACGCCAAATCAGAGGTTGTGACGGCTCTAGCAGACATTTCTAGCAAGGTCAGCGCGGCAATGACCCTGCAGGAGACTTACTTGTGGGAAATCAAGAAGCAGTTGGACGAATTGCAAGTGGAAAATACATTTTTGGAAGTTGAACAAGCGGTATTAGGGGGCCAAAAATTTGATCTGGAATGGCAGAAGACAAAGCTGGAGAAACGAGTCTTCGAGCTTGAGACTATGCTGCTATCGGCTACTGCGGAGACGGAGAAGAGGACAAACGTGGTCAAGAAGGCGGAGGAATTGATGGGTTCGAGCAATCGAGTCGGCTATCAGGGGTACATGAAGGTGGCTGATACGTTAAGGCTGGCGCTCGAGGCGATGCAGGAACCGAATGTCTGAGGTTGCGAAGGCATAGAGGTGGGCATGGGCAAGGTGAGGTCTTCTCTACTTGTGCATGTGCCTCAAGTCTGATCTCAGCCTAGCGTCTGGCCATCGGGAAGCACGTGTCACAGTCCTCGGGAAATGAGATGACGTGCTGATCACGAGACCACAATTATATTTTCTGTTCGCGCTTTCATGAATTTGAGTTCCTCCCAATAACACAACCACACCATCCTCGCAAGAAGCTCGACATGGTGGTTTGTCCGGGATACAACAACGACAGCGACGACGAAGAGGTCCTGCCGGCCGACTTTGTAATCAGTAAGTCATCGCGCCACTCTCTGCTGCCAGGTTCACGTGCTTACGCATAACATAGAGCTCGAGAAGTCCTCGCCAGTCGCACCAATGCGCCCAACCTACGACCCTCGAGTCTCGCATCCAGAAATAATCAAACAGTACTCGCCAACCAGACCAATGCGCCCAAACGACGAGCTTCGGATGCCAAATCCATCGGCGCGCATGTCAGTCCCGCATCCCAAAGTAAGCACGTCCGTTCCGCATCCTACGACAAGCACGTACGCCGTACCGACCAACGCGCAGCCGGCGGTGGCAGGAAAGCAGCCACGCGACGGAAAGGTGTTGTCGCCGTCGTTGCGGCTTAGGAGGCAACGTATATCTCCCCAAATGCATTGTCCGGGAGTCCAGCTAACAATGTCAGCGCACAACGGCACTACGGCTGGGCTGCACCCTCGGAAGACTCACAAGGTAGCGAAGCCTCAACCCGCAGCACACTCCAAGCAACTGCCGCCAACCAGTATCCCGCACTACTACAAGGCTTTCGCAGACCTCGCAGATGCCGGGGCCGCGTTCGGGGGTGCTTCCACACAGGTCAAGGCCGTGATCGATGCCGCGATGGACGAGAAAGATAGGGAGATCTCTGATCTGAAGCAACGTGTCGCTGAGCTGCAAGCAAGAAACACGAAGCTAGAGGAGCGAGATGCGGAGAATATGAGGGAGCTGGCGATCAATCAACTGCAGACGGACAATCTGGTGAAGGTCGTCGAGGCAAACGACAAGCTGAAGGATATGATGCGCAGCATTGACTGGCAGCAAGTCCACATGCTTACCGATGAGGTCGATGCCGCCGTGTACGCCATGGTTCCTCCATGACCGGACTTCTGATTACGAAGAGCATGGAGTTAGTGTAGAGTACGACGGGCGGACTGTTGTGACAATGGTCTGTATGGTTGGCAGCGAGTCATGCGGCTCATGGCGTCCTGGCACGAATCTTCCCTTCTCATTGTCGGGCCTGGAGCACGCGAGTCGAGTCTTGGGAAACGAGGTGACGTCAAACAATAGTTCAATCCCCAATTCCTCAACTTCAATTTCAGAGTGCTCACATCCTTCTCCCTCACACAAGACTTTACTCTCACTATCGCTACTGAGTAAAGCTTCCAACATGACTGTGGCAGAGGCGTACGGCATCGACGTGGACGACGATGAGCCGATGCCGTCTACCACCGTGATCAGTAAGCATACGCTTCGCATACCAACATCTGGGACTTGCACTGACTGAATTAATAGAGAAGGAAGACCCTCGCTCTGCTCGAGAGTTGACCCTGCGCACACCGACTTGCCTGATCAAAGCGGAGAAGAGGCCACTGTCCAGCGGTCCTGACGGTATGTGTCCTTCCGAGAGATAGTCCAGGGCTTGTCGCTGACCAACTCAGTCGAAATCATCCAAGAAAGGCCGACGAAGCGGAGAGCTGAGGCGAGCGCAAACGCCGGCGATACAATCGCATTGCGGACTAAGGTCAAGAAGCTGAGACAAAAGAGATCGACGCTCAAACGGCACGTCTCCGACCTCGAGACCGAAATGGGTGAGCAGGAAGATGAGCTCGCAGAATCTCGGATGAAAGTGACCGAACTGGGAGAAGGCAGTCTCTGAGCTTGAATCAGAGCTGAATGGCAAGGACGAAGAGTATGCTGAGTATTGGAAGCAAGTCGGTGAACTAGAGCGGGAAAAGGCAGCGCTGAAGGCGCAGGTGTCCCAGCTTGAACGTGGATGGCACAGCAAAGATACGACGGTTGCCAGCTTCGAATCCCAAATTCGCCAGCTGGAGGCGGACAAAGCTAAGCTGGATGAAGAGAAAGCTGCGCTGAAAGACCAGGCTCTCCGTCTCCGGATCGAAACGAGCGGAACCTTCGATGCAGTATTGAGGCTATCATGGAGACGACCCAGGGGAGATGGGCAGTGGAGAGGGCGAGGCATTGATGGGATGGAGCGGGACAGCGCACCACGGCTCCTCTGACCAGGTGTGTCCTATCAACTGTCGGCAGCTTGAGAGATCAAGGACGGAAGCATGAGCTCAGGGTTTCCGTGGAGACCGACAGGACAAGCCGTGTGCTTTCAGTTTTCGGTAGCCCCGAGAAGAACGAGTTATCAACGACTGGATTAGCTGGCGATGATGTTTCCCGCAGGCTGACATCACAAAATTGATGCTGACCGATTTTCGACCTTGAAAGAACCAGATTTCACTACTTTCCAGGCTTGTGGTATGCCAAGCAGATATGAACAGCAAGGCCATGCGGACGCTTTTCTTAATCTTCATTGCTACACAGCAGCAACGGCAGATCCCTCTCGTTGAGCCAATCTCGATCAATTTTTACTACGGCACAATGGTTACAAGCTGGAACGAAGGTCATACAGAGTTCGTTGACTGCGGCAACGGTGGATGGGCTGGCAACACAAAGCGTATGCATTCATATTGTCATATGTTATGCTGCAGAGAGGCTGATTGACACATGCAGCGAGGAGACAGTCCGGAATGGACTCCTGGGGTCGGACACGCAGTGCGGTGCGGAAGGGGGAAGAACCTAACAGGTCTGGTGGCAAGAAGTGTATGCAGCATTCGTCCTGTCAGATTTTGGCCCATGAGCTGACGATAAGGACAGTGAGGGAGCAGGGTAGTACCGCATCATATTCTCAAGGCACCCCGTGGGCAAAGCCGACCGCAACAATCTCCGACAAGACGGAAGCCCAGCCAATTACTAAAGCCACCGCATCGTCCTTTGAAAACGTGAAATCAGCATTTGAAGCCGCTTCAGCCAAGCTTCTCACCCAGGCTGGAGCAAGTTCAGCTGGAAAACGTGCAGCTGAAGATGGCAAGTGGCTCGATTGGAACAGGGAAACTGGTCTCTGGGTGAGCGAAACTTGGACCTTTCACAAGACCGGGTCTGGCTGGAGGAGGAGTTGCGATGTTTCAGAGGCGGGAAGCGGGCGAAGAAGGTAAAGGTCTACGATGAGGAGGAGAGGCTGGCGATGGAGGAGTTCAAAGGGCCACTTTGGGAGTTGCTCTGGGGTTCTGAGGTCTGATGGTAAAGGTTAGTTTGAGTGAGGGCTTCACGAGGCAATGATCACGTGGTAGGCGAGGTAAGCATGCCATTCTTCCATTTATTCATACCTCCTTCACTCAAGTGAACGAGGTTCGAGCCGGCTAGCATGAAAGGCATGTGACCGGAGCCATGGACTTTCACATGAGGCTGGTTCATGTAACGGTACAGGTATCTCGAGAACTTTTACCTGCAGGCTCCTTTCCTCTCTATCCATCGACACCCACATCGGAAGAATGCCACTCACAACCCATTCGTCTGCCACAATGGCCGCAAAACGTGGACCAGACGGCAGCATCGCATCTGAGCAACCAGATTCTAAGAAGATTAGTAAGTTTCCTCTCAGTCTCCACCATGTCACTATGCTGACACTTCTAGTGAGTGGACCGCGTCAGCATTTTCAATCTACCAGACCACCACCACCGCCCCTCACAGGACTAGGAGTCCCTCAGCGCCCTCCTCCACCATACTCACCAGGTGGATCAGTCTTTGGCCGTCCGAATCCACCAACCGATCCACAGACTTGGCGGGATCCCCCACAGCCACCACAGCGTCTACCACAACGGCTGCCTGGACCAGTGCCCGCATCATGGCGGAAGCAGGCGGAATCAACTGCATCTGCATCGTTTCAAGATGCCCAACGTGCGTTGAACGACGCATCCGACGGACTCGTTACAGCCATGAACACCAAAGATGAAGAGAACGCCAGCCTTCGACAACAGGTGTTCCAGCTGGAGTTAGACAAGGGTGTGGCGCAAATCCGTGTTGCTGAGCTGGAAGTAGAGAAGAAAGCACTAAGAGACCGTAACGATCTGCTGGAGAAACAGGCAAGAAACCTGCAGCAGCGGCTAGATCGGCAGATGAAGGTGGTTGAAACGGCGGAGAAGTTGACCGACTTGAGCAACAAGGTCGGATGGAAGCGTTTCATGACGGTTGCGGACCAGTTGAAGGAGGCTGTTGAAGAGAACAAAAGACTTGATGCTACGGAGACGAAGGCATGAAGGGCAAGCTTGAACGGGATGAAGATGCTGCTTCCTCGGACAGCTCTTCTACGTAGCGATGAGACGAAGTGAATTCACAACTGGATCAACTTTGGTAGATCTTCTTTGCAATACCCAGAGAAGTGAGACCGATCGTGAAAGCACATGGGATATCATTGAAGCAACAGCGCTTCACTTGGACCTCTTCAGCTGCTCGTGCATGTGATTTAGCATATGAATCCGAACCAGAAGGTAATATATAAAAGTTGGTGTTTCCTATCTTCCCATTCCTCTTTCTTCTTCCCTTACCCAATAAACACAACCAACTAAACTTACAAACCTCTCGTGAGCCAATGGCTACGAAACGAAGCCGTGCTGGCTCTCGAGGCGAGCCCTTAGACGGGGTCTTCATCATTACGTCCCTGTCTTTTCAGCTCCACCGCAATGAGATACTGATGTTACCAGGCACTCTGCCACCGAAGTCGCAGAAGACCAGTCGTACTTGGGAATCGGAAGTGGCGGGAATCCACAATACCGGCATCAACGTCTCTCAAAAGTTCGGACGTCTTGAAGGCGGCATCGCAAGATTCAAGCAAGGAATCGGTCAACGTGTGGAAGAGAGCCGTGAGCTGAGGGCAAGAAACGTAGAGCTGGAGCGGGAGAACGAGGATCTCAGCAGCAAAGCAGAGAACGATTTGACGCTGTTGGGGGATGAGATGGATGCTCGAGAGAGCCGAGCTCTGGAAGTCGAAACAAACCTCAAAGCCCGGATCGTAGAGCTGGAGGATGATGTGGCCCGGCAAGAAGGCGAGATCGATGACCTTGTAGGCTACATTGAGCAGCAGGATGCTGAGGCGGATGAAACCTACTCCACGGCGAAAGACGCTGAGAACATGTTGAGAGAGGAGGTGTCGCGCGAGCAGGGCACGGAGAGAGAGGCTGAGTACAGGAATCAGGTGACCGAGCTGGAGCATCTAAATAGCGCCTTACGAGAGCAGAGCAAAGAAGAGAAGAAGCTGCAGCGGCTGATCACCCGCCTGCGAGCGGAGAGGGATGTGGCGAAAACGCGCATGACCGATCTGGAAACCTCTCACACTGCTCGCCTTCAACAGCTCGAGAACAGCAACAGCACCTTGACGAGAGACAAGGAACGTCTGAACAGCCGCATCGCCGAGATTCAGGTGGACAGGGACAGCCAGTTCAGAAGGGTCGGAGAGCTCGAAGGGCGCCGAGATGAGTGCAACCGGCTTATCGGACGTTCTCAGAAGTCGGAGGCGCGGGAGGAGCTGAGGATGGCCCGACCGGTCATTCGGGCGGCGAGAGTCCTGGGAGACCTGGGAAAGGGCGTAAGGTGGCCACGGAAAGAGCAGGCCGTAGACGGAGTGATTGCTGCGTGGGAAGCTCACAAAGTCGAAGAGGATATCAAGCGCGAGCTGGAGGAGACTTGAGACGAACGAGGCGTCTCCGTGGCCTAGACCACAAGCAAAGCATGCTAGGGAGCCTGTAAGTAGAGTGTTGTTTGATGGAGGAGGGATGAGGAATAATGAGGGACGAAGAAATCTCTGAGATGGCAGGAGAGGATCGGCTAGTAGCAAGCTCGATACCTGGCGATCGAGTCACGGAGAGCCTGGCTGCTATTCTTTTGACTATACAGGGTGACCGGCTCGGGTTTGCGAGTCCAAAAGGCCAGCTCGTCAAACTTGTGAAAGACTCACGTTCATTCTCATGGACCACCCCTCACCGCCGCCGACTCCGCGGGTCCATCGCTTCATCTTTCCTATACTGCCTCTGCTCCTTTGTCCCTATACTCCCCCCACCTCCTTCACTCCTCCTTTCCCACCCACCCATCCTCACAACTAAAGCCGTCGCATTATCACCACTCTCGCTCGTCTCGACCGCGAACCCGACCAGATCGTTCGACGCCTGTGCCGGTGTTTTGGCTTCCTTCACCACATCGACGATTTCTTGATCGGACAGATGCCCGCTCACGCCGTCAGACATCAAGACCATAAATGCAAAGCCGGCGGGTGGGACCTGAATCTTCGTGATTTGTGGTTCGGCACTCACGCCTATGCGTTTGGAGGCAATGTCACCGAAGGCTCGGGTGTTGGCGAGTCCGAGTACACGTTCTTCGCCGAAAGAGTCCGTTACAAAAGAGGCGGCGTAGCGGCGGAGACGGGTAGCCTCGACCGGCGCGGAAGGGTGGTGGTTCATTGTCAAAGGTATGGCTTTGCCGTCTGACGTGCGGCAGAGGAGAATGCGGGTGTCGCCAACGTGGGCCGCGAGGATAGTCGAAGGAGAGGCTGGGTTCCAGAAAGGTGTGGGTGTGGAGGTAGAGATGAGAGCGACTGAGGCTGTTGACCCGCCTTTGAAGCGGGTACTGCCACCAATAGGAGCATTGAGGTCGGGCGTGGAAGAAGGTCGTGAAGATTGGCGAGAGCGAAGGTTCTGGGAAGCCGGCCGTTCAGGGTGGAAAAGAAGGTCGTTCTCGTTAAGAGGTTTGTCCGAGAGCACCGGGTCGTCGGCAGCAGACCGCTCTTCCTCGGTATGCTTGCTGGCTTGGGCAGTCGTGAAGTCGAGATCGGCTTTTAGGAAAGCGTAAGACATGATCGTCTCGATGGAGCTGTTGTTAAGAGTCTCTGTCGATCCGTCTCTGGCCCTTGGTGCTACCGCTGGAAAGTACTCCGGTTTGAACCGCTTGAAGTAGCCTCCCACCGTTTCTCGCCATGTGCTCACCAGACTCTTCTGCAAATCTTCCGCATCCTGCTCGCCCATGACGCCCCCTTCTGAATCCAGCTCGTCCGCGTCAGCGGTGCTTCCAGGTTGTAGTGACGATTCCATCCCGAACAACAAGGCAGCCTCTTCCACGTAACCATGCAATCGCTCTTTTAGAAATTCTGAGCACTCCGCCCCGCCATGGCCATCATACACCCCAAAGAAGAAGACTTGTGGATCGCCGCTCTCGCTTTTCGCGCTCTCTACGTCGCCACCCACTTTCCGTTTGCCAATGCTTAACGGCTGCCTCTTCGCAAATGAGGGAATCTCGATCGTGCCCGCTTGGTATGTGTCTTCATTATACGGCCGACTTCCTCTGCTTATTCCGGCACCGAAGTGATGCTTCGCGCTTTTTATTGGTATCCGCACGATTGTGGTGTCTCTGCCTCCCTGCTGTAGGTTGGCTGCGCTTCGGCTTGAAGATCCGGAATGCGGTTGGGATTCGTCGCGCGGTAGTTTGTGGTGTTGGCCGCCATGCTGTCGGTCTGGAGAGAGTGATGATGAAGGTAGATGTGTGACGAAGTACTCGTGGAATGCTCGCCGTTGTTGGATGGTAGGCGTGGCAACTCCGGCTCTCCTGGCGATTAGTGTCTCATTAAAGGCGGCTCGTAGGGCGTTGGTGATGCTGTAGGGAGTGCCGGTGTGTTGCATTGTGTTGTCGCAGGTTCTCGCGCCCGGCGCAAGAGGTGAGAGTGTTTACAACATGGTCGATGGGTGAGGGCGCGGGAGCTCTGGTGGGGAGGTGATGGGTGAAGTGCTTGCATGGGCCGTAGATCCGAGGTCGAAACTTTGGTGTGCCTGAGGCAGACGGCTTTCATCCTGATTTGCCGTTCTCCTCGGCGTCGTTCCGTGGATCCTCCTCCTCAGCGCCGATGGTTGGGTCATCCGGATCCCATACGACTTCCTCATCTTCGGCAGGAGGCTCTTCTTCCTCCTCTTCAAACGCACTAGCTGCATCGTGCGCCTTCTGTGCCTCTCTCAATACCGTCTTGCAGTCCTCCAGCAACTGTCGACCAAGCTGACCGACCTATACAAACGCGTTAGTAAACCGTGTCTTTACTAGAAATCGAGGCTGCGCAGCCATAGTCAATGTGAGTGCAGGCGAAGCAAAAAGGCTTGGAGAAAGCATGCATCAGCAGCCAGCCAGATCTCCTCGTACGCAAGCACTCTGACGCCGCCATGGCCTTCAACAGCTGCGAAAGTGTCGAGAATGAGATTGGAGAACTCACGCTTGTTGCGTTGTCAGTCGCAAGCTGAGCAATGCGCACAGCTTCTTCTGCTTGCTCGAGGAAGTCGGGCTCACTCGAGCAGCCGAGGACCATGCATGCTCTGGCGCGGATGATGAGAGGCAGCTCAGCATGAGTCAACAGCTCTCTCGCGGTATGTACGGCGCTGGCAACACTGGCATCGTCGCCTTGCCGGAACTGGCGGATCATCTAGACGTGCTCATTAGCTGAAGCTATCCAGTCCAGTTGGAGCGGTTCATGACTTGCACTGCTGTCGAGGGCGTAGAACCCCTGCAGGATGTTCTCTTGGGAGGAGATGGTGGTGGATGCCATGGCTGCCTTCTGGTATGTGAATGGTGTGATGACGAGGTAAGGACGAGGTAGGAAGAGCGTCTCTTAAGTGGGCGGAGCGAGTGTGAGAAGAAATGTGCATGTGGTGGAGATGCTGGCGGGAGGCCGTGCGCCAAGCGAGCAAGGCAACGGGTCTGCCTTCGAGACATGAGGAAGGAGCAAAAGTACGGGCGTTAGCGCGCACGTGGCAGCCGACCTCACCTCATCCCGACTTGGACGAACATTGCATTTACCGGCACAGCTGATGAAAGCTCGTTGCGGCTGGTTTACCCAACGAGTGAGGGCAATACTGACGACGGTTTTGGAACGTACGGACGCAAGAGCTACACAAACGAATGGGCAAGAGGCGTCTGTCTTATTGCAGCACCGATAGCCTCCCTGGCATTGCAAGGTATCCCTTCGCAGATTCAGAGTACGAGCATTCAGCTGATGCTATTGTGCAGTCGTTGGAGGTTTGGTCAGCGGTATCTGCCAGCTTTGGAAGTTGTGTGCTGGACAGGGTTGGCTTCTGCTTTGGGTCTAACTCGACAAAGCCCCTTGCATGAGAAGCCATTGTCGCTGTTCTACGCAACTCACGAGGTCGTTCCATAGGTTTCAAGAAGCTGTTGCATCGCCCAAATCATTGAACCCTCTTCTACGTACGGCATATACGCAGAGCTGCTCTTCAACGTAGAACACCACTTTCAACCTGGGCTCTAGTCGAAAATGGTAGTGTGCAAAAGTCTGATACATCATACAATCGATTATGTAGATCCGGGGCGTTCAAATAGCTGCAATAGGTGTTCCCGGTGCGCCCCGATGTCCGTAGCCTTCCGGAAGGTCATCGGCTTCCTTCGGGACCTCGTTAAGAGGCATTATTAATGGACATCAGAAATCTCCAACCAATAACAGCCCCCATAGTTTAGTGGCTAGAACATTGGTTCGTTGTCCAACAACTATTGAAAGAGATAACTCTTTCTAATCAATATGTGCAGGTCTCATAATAAAAGTTATGACGGTCATGCTCACATGGCTGGAAATCCAGAGACGGGAGTTCAATTCTCCCTGGAGGCATTTCTTTTTGCGTGGTTCTAGGTCCATGAGACCTCGTCGAACAATAGCATGCTCATCTGGTGAAGGTATACTTCAATTTTGCCAAATTTTCTGACAACACCCCGCACACCCCCTGACACCTATGTACGCCAGAGTACAGCCAGTACCAGATGTCCTTAGATAGATCGTATCGGCTTTGATCGGCTTCCTTTTCCATCCTTGTCCAACAACATCAGACCACCTTCAATACCACTTTTGTTGACAGCTCCCCAGAAATGGCAACATCAGTCCGAGTCGATCGGCATCCACATCATCCAATGGTCTTCGATTGGCTAAGCGACACTGAACCATACGCTTCTACGTGCTGAGTTGACAGGGTGAGACGGCGTCGACCGTATCATCCAACTTCCCTGTCCCTCGATCGACACCATCATCAACTTTGGATCTCTCGAAAGAAGGTGGAATAATCCTACATGATATCTATCGATTGAGTCCTTCCATCCTAGAGGCCAAGTACTTCAATCACTCGTCTATTCCACCTCATCTCCCACACCCTCCAAGATGCATCCCATCCTTCGGACAACCGCCGTTCTAGCACTATGGACTTCTCAGGCCACCGCCTCACAAAACAACACAGCCCCATGGCCGACGTGCATCAAATACTCAACCGTGACAGGATACTTCCTTCAGGACGAGCCTGACACGAACGCCACCACATTCGACTATGTACGGCCACACCACTCCATCGAGTTCCAACACTAACATCCACAGACCGAGCACGACTTCGGCTTGATCAAACGCAACTATCCCGCCACCGCAGGTCTGCACCAACTCACCCAATGGCAGAAGTTCGAACGTCAGGTAGAAGCACTCAACGCCGATGCACCCCTAGACACCGTCTACAAGGTGTTGTTCTTGGGAAGACATGGTGAAGGCTATCACAACGCCGCTGAGAGCTTGTGCGTATCTTTTTCTCTCTATTGAATAGCTGCTAATTCCCACAGCTACGGCACACCCGCCTGGAACTGCTACTGGGCCGAGCTCAACGGCAACAAGACAGTCCGCTGGGCAGATGCCCATATCGACGCAGCCGGCATCGAACAAGCACAAATTGCCCACAACTTCTGGAAGCACGAAATCGAGGACCAGAAAATCCCCTACCCGCAGTCATATTACACATCTCCATTAAGTCGATGCTTGCAAACGGCCAACATCACCTTCTCTGGTCTCGACTTACCAGCCTACTACCCCTTCGTACCCACAGTGAAGGAGCTACTCAGAGAGGGCATCTCGATCCACACCTGCGACCACCGGAGAAGCAAGTCTTACATCCAGGAGCACTTCCCGTTCTACAACATCGAAGCTGGCTTTACCGAGGACGATGAGCTATGGGATGGTGTAAGGAAAGAGACGCCTGACGCTCAAGACGCTCGCTCGAAGAAGTGGCTAGATCAAGTCTTCGTTACTGACGATCACACCTGGATTTCGGTCACCTCCCACAGCGGAGAGATCGCATCGACCTTGCGAGTACTCCGCCACCAGGAGTTCTCCTTGAACACCGGAGCTGTCATCCCCGTTCTCGTCAAAGCGGAGTTCTTGCCGGAGAGCGAAGCACCATCGACAACGTCTTGGAGTTGGACTGCTAGCTCGCATTGCACGTCACCTCCCATGACGAGCCTGCAGTCAAAGGATCAAGGGTGCAGATGCACTGGCTCAAAGGTCACTACGCCGTTGGTCAAGGTCACGAACACGAATACTGCTGGTCCGACTACTTATCGTGGGCCGTATCGACGGGCGTTGTAGTAGATTCTTCTAAAAGTCTTGTAGTACGCTCAACTTTTAGAGCAACAGTATCCTACGTACTCGCGCCCAAATGAGAACTCGATCTCATTCCACCTATCTGTGTCTGAGATTGATTGGTAATTATGACGACAGCCCGACATTTTCAAGGCTCTGGGCAGTACTTGTTGATCGGTACGCTCCCTGGAACGTTGCCACCCACTTCGACAGCAAGAAATTACTCCCGATGAGGCAAGTACCAAACATCGACTGTATTTCAGAAGTGTCTTCATTCACAACGGCCAACACATCCAGAGCTTAACAGCACAATGGCCACCTCGGACAAACAAACCCAGTCGAACCCGGTCTACTTCAGCGGCAGCTGCGCCTGCAACCGCATCACATACGAAAGCCGCTCATTCCCCTCCGATTCCACTGCTTGCCACTGCGTTACCTGCCGCAAGCTGAGCGGGGCAGGATTCCAGTGCTTCGTGCACGCCAATTCCAAAGAAGTCACCTACTACGACAACAAAGAACATCTCCGCTACGAAGGCCTGCCTAAAGACGACATGGGCGGCATCACCTTCCTTCGCCTCTCGGATATTGGAGAGAGGGCGTTTTGTCGCGATTGCCACACGCAGCTGGCTATGCGGTATAAGCATCAGATGGAATTTAGTGGGTTGGCTTTGGGGTCGGTTGACGAAAAGACGATTCTTGATGAGAGTATTAAGAAGGCTTTGAGGCCAAAGCAGAGAAGCTTCATGCAGCAAAATGTGTGGTGGTTTGATGCGAAAGGGGATGGGCTGCCAAAGCATGACCGTTTCACCGAGGGGTTTGAGGAGGATCTAAAGGCTTGGAAAGGGAAGGAGGGCTGACCCGATGGATGCATGTTGGGGGAGGCTGTCCGTGCAATAGTTCTGTCGTGGCTAGGCTCATTCACATCGGCGGCTGCAGAATACAGCAAATGCCATGGCAAGTGCACGCCATCGCGTGATATGCCACAGCCTTGCTGCGCTCGAATGGAACCGCTCATACGGATGGCTGTAGCCTCGTTGGATGCAGCCACATCAGATCACTGTACCTCCATAATCGAATGTGGAATGGTGGAATATGCCGCTGCGCCTCATAATAGCATGTCTCAGCCTTGTCGGGTTCTTGTTGACTGTTCAAAAGCTCTTCCGGGAACCTGCTGTTTCCTCTCCCGAACCACAATCGGAACACTGCAGCATGACCCATACCTTGTTGAAATTTCTGCTGTGGGCTCGTTTCGTTATCTCAGAATTCAACTGGGGCGCCTACCCGACTTGCGCGCAAACCTTCTTCGGGAACTTAGCACCACCGGAATGCGATCACGGATTAGACACCACCGGTGATGCTTTCAAAACGAACCGCTGCCTTTGTTCCGACGAAACATTCTTAAGGAGCGTCGCGAAGGCGATATACAATAACTGCGGCTGCACCGACCTCAGTACCTCTGCACTCGTACTGTCTATCAATTGCGGTACAACGGATACACCTCCTGTCCTGGATCAGGACGACTTCATCGCAGCGGGCGACGGCGGCCAAACGACCTGTGCCGGCGTAACGCCTACGCAATCCTGGACCTCTGCTATAGCGACAAGCCTAAGCGCGAGCAATGCAGGTGGCCAGTCATCCACCCCCAAGGCTGCTTCTTCGGCTGGAAGCAATGGATCAAGCGCCATTTCGAGGGGTGATAAAATAGCATTGGGCGTGGGCATCGGGATAGGATTGCCGTCAGTGATCATCGCCGCTGTTGGGGTGTGGAGACATTGGCATCGTACGGGCGGCTAGGCTGATGTCTCGACAGCACTTGTGGCCGGGGTGGTCTCGAAAATGTATTTATGATGTAAAAGGAGCAGCCAGGTGTCTGTTGGGCGGATGGCAGATATACGATCTCCGAGCTGTCGCATTGCGGCTGATGCACGATGATCGGCAAAACTTCCCAGTCTGTTCCAAGATGTGTTTTTCCCTTTACGCCAACGATCTGGCTAGTAGGTATGGCCTTGTCCGTGTATGCCCACGAGTCCAGCGGTAGCGGCTCCATCTCCCACAGTGCTTGTAGACGTACAGCTGAGGAGCTTGCAGCCGGCCTTTCCTGTCTGCCTTCCAGCGATTGAATGTGAACTACCTTCGTGCTCGCGCTGGAGGGCTTAGGTATGAGCAACTTGGACAAACCATTGAGACCAAGCAAGCCAAGGATGTCGAAGCTCGGAGCCTTTCAGGTTTCCGCGAAAGGCACCGGCACCCAATTTCCTTGCTGAGTCCAGCTTAGACCTCCCTCTGCACGGCGGGCCTTGTCGTTTCCACCATGAGTGGTCAAGCATCCGCAATCTCGGAAGCACTTTGGCGACGATGCGAAAAGGCCCCATTCGCCTCCTGCATGGTCTGAGTGGCCCGAAGCCACAGGCATCACACGTCTGGGCCTTCCACGCGAACAAAGACTCGTCGGTATGCTGCTCCAGGAACGCCCCGACCTCTCCTTTCCACCATACAATGGTGTCATGCTAATGCCAAGGATGCCCAAGAGGCTGTAGGATAGATCCTCCACTCTGGTAGTGGACCTCCTTGCCATCCAACTCATCTTCGTAGCAATGTATGCGTGGCTGATCCGCTTGCGACCAGTCAAGTGAGCCGCCTCGATGCCAGTGATCCGTTCGATTTACTCGGCGGATCTTAATCGTGATCCTATACATTTCCAGTCTCTATCAAAAAAGGCGAGAACGTTTAGTGCAAGGAGTTCTTGTAACGCCCAGCCACGCGAGAACCATTCCGGATACCGAGACGTTGATTGTTCAACGGTAAGGTCAAAGCGCTTCCATCCAGATGACTTCACGGCGCCATGCAGATAGACATAGCAGACTTCTGCGTCGTGATACCACCGAAACATGGAGTTGATGGCTTCTGAAAGCTCGGCTGAGCTCTCCTTGTTAATGCAGCAGGGGTCAATCCATAGCCACCGAAGGCCATCTATTCGAGCTTGTGCACAAGCACCGCGAATCTTACATGCCTGGTGCGTGTATCATCCTGTCTTTGGGTCTACCATCTGGACCTTGGCCGGGTCGTAATCCTGATAAGTGGTCTCTTGCGCAAGCCAAGGATGGGACAAGATTGCGTACTCTGGATTTGCGACGAACTCCGGGCTACTGTCATCAGTGAGCGCGTACGTGGTTGTATTGAGCAGCCTCATTGTCTATTTAGGAGGTTGAGGAGAACAAGACAGCTTCCCATGTAGATTATCGAAGAAAGCGTTGCCATGAGCACGGCTTTGGAAGGAATTGAAGACAAATAGCACGTCAGTACCTCTCATACGAGGCTCTGATGAAGACTCATGGCTCAGCCCTAGCCTTGCCGTGTGATGAATACGAAAGGAGAGGCTTTGCATTGTGGCAGTGTGCATGTTCGCGGTGCTTGTACAAAGTGCTCGAGGCGAGACCAGTACTCGGTGGTGGCATGACAAGTAGGTACTTCTCGGATGTACTCCGGCCCCGCCAACTGTCACATGTTGTAGTCTTCCGGTGATGTGACAGCGGGATTTCGAGAGGAGAGGCAAGCTGAAGTCGGCCGGCTCGCTCCAGTCTAACTGATTTGGCAATCCCCGCGGCGAAGAGCTGACTCCACTTCAAGTAGCCTCGCTCCGTCAGCGCTGCTAAGTCACTGTGCATCAGAGCCTTGGTGTTATCTTTCTACATTGTCTTTCTTTTGCGCAACACCGCACAATGCTCTCTCTTCTTCCGTGTAGATAACTTTGGATCATGGCGGCACATGGGGGTCTACGCACCATACCTCGGGCTGTACAGCGAGCACAATGCCTGGGCACGAACGCCGTGAGAACATATGCTACGACCGCAGCGGCAGTCGACTATCAAGAGCCGGACCACTTTATACCTGTGCATAAGCCGCCTCCTCAACCAAACCGAACAGCACGCAAGCGGGCAATCGGCGAGGCCAAACCCTTCTCCGACTTTCTTACGGACACCTTCAACCGCCAGCATGACTACCTCCGCATCTCCCTCACAGAACGATGCAATCTGCGGTGTCTGTACTGCATGCCCGAGGAGGGTATCCAGCTGTCGCCGAACAAAGAGCTCCTCACGAGCGCAGAGATCTACTATCTCAGCGCGCTTTTCGTGAACCAGGGAGTCAACAAGATACGACTGACGGGTGGCGAGCCCACTGTTAGGAAGGATATTGTGCCGCTCATGCAGCAGATTGGAAGTCTGAGACGCAATGGGCTGAAAGAGCTGGCATTGACGACAAATGCCATATCACTACACCGCAAGCTGGACGCGATGGTTGAGGCAGGATTGACTGGCGTGAACATCAGTCTAGACACGCTGGATCCGTTTCAATTCCAGATCCTCACACGGCGGCAAGGCTTTGACGCAGTGATGAAAAGCATCAACCGAGTGCAAGAGATGAACAAGGTCGGCGCGAAAGTGAAGCTTAAGATCAATGCTGTGGTAATGCGCGGCTTGAATGATCATCAGATCCTGCCATTTGTCGAGAAGACTCGCGAGGAGGACATCGAGGTTCGCTTCATCGAGTACATGCCGTTTGGCGGCAACAAGTGGAGCGAAAACAAGATGTTGCCGTACGCAGAGATGGTCGACATCATCCGCCAGCAGTACCCTGGTCTTGAGCGACTCCAAGATGCGAAGAACGACACTTCCAAGACCTATCAAGTACCGGGCTTCAAGGGCCGGGTCGGCTTCATTACGAGCATGACACACAACTTTTGTGGGACTTGTAATCGACTGCGCATCACATCAGACGGCAACCTGAAGGTCTGTCTTCACGGCAACGCTGAAGTCAGCCTGCGCGATCTTCTGAGAGAAGAGCGCGGTGGCGAGCCCATGGATGAAGCGGCCTTCGAGGCCATCAGACAACTTGAGCTCGATCGAAGGAAAGCTGGTGAGCTACGGCATGACGGCGAGGAAGGCTGGATAAGCAAGGAGCGGCAGCTTCTGGAAGTGATTGGTGCAGCCGTCAAGCGGAAAGCTGAGAAGCATGCTGGCATGGGCGAGCTGGAGAACATGAAAAACAGGCCGATGATTTTGATTGGTGGGTAGGTTTCTTCATTTCTTGCAAGATATGGGAAGGTAGACAAATGATCTATGAGTCACGATGTCATGATGCTTTCGATCCATCAAGCCATCTTTTCTAGGTTCTTTCGTTGGCAGCTTGCCTGGTACACGTCCGGAACCAACCCAACTGACCCTTGCGCAGGTGAGAAACCAACACCGTCACCACGAATCACCTCTCCGCATGCTCGTCAGCTTCGCGCACAAGAGTTCCATGCAAGAACGCGCCCAGACGTACCATTGCATCTGCTACGTCAATCGCACCCTAGTGTCTCTCAAGCTCGTTATAGCTCGTCAAAAGCTGATGCGACTTCAAACGAGCCCAAGCCTTCTTCGCAGGAGGCCGAACCCGCAGAAGAGTCGGACAGTCGTCCCAGCACTGGCTCATTCTTCGGCTTCCAAAGCCTCAGCAGCTTGTTCGCTCCAGCAGAGCCACGTCGCCGTTATAGTAGGCCAGATGAGCACAGAGAGGCCGAGAAAGCCCCGTCGCCTTCGAGCCTACCACCGCCTCCGACTGCAAAGGGTTCCGCGATCAGACCGCCGCCTATGTACGAATCTTTACCTCAGGATGACCCACCACCACCGTCAAAGGTCCAGTCGCCATTTGGCGTCGACCTGTCGAGGTCGTCCAGGGCGACAGCGCAGGAGAAGCCCAACCACAAGGCAGAGTTCTTCACGTCGCCACAAGACATTGGGAGCTCAGAGCCTAGCTATTCCAGCGTTAGTCCTGAATTCCCAAGCATTGGTTCTGAGAAGGCAATCACCGGTGTGGGTGTCGGTGAAGTTCCTTTGCGACGTACGCGGATCCGTCCAAGGGACTTAAGAGGGGCTCCTGACAATATACGCACGGGGAGAACGAAAGTCTTAGATGGGAAGTTCTTAGGCCAAAGAGGAGTAAGCCTGAACCTGGATCGGTCATCTGAAGGATCTCAAGACTCGACCCAGAGGTCGCAGACAGAGCCCAAGGCTGCCTGGGGGTTGACCGAGAAGCTGCCGACTGAGCCTCAAGAGTCTGTCGAGAAGAGGCCGCCACCAACCACATCTGGTGCTGATGCAGCCCCGTCAGCGTCGACTCTTGAACAGTCAGATGGAGAGACATCATCGCAAAAGCCTCATCTAACTCACCTCAAGCAGTCCGGAGAGGCGCACATGGTTGACGTTGGGGACAAGGAGCCTTCGAAGCGGGCAGCGATAGCTACTGGAGCGGTTGTCTTCTCGAACGGCGAACCCTTGCACTTGATAGCTGAGAACAACAACAAGAAAGGGGACGTGCTCGGCGTCGCCCGAATTGCTGGGATCATGGCTGCAAAACGGACCTCCGACCTAATCCCTCTGTGTCATCCAATAGCCATCAGCAAAGTCGACGTCGACCTGGAGCCATGGTCCACGCATGACGACATGAATCATGGCATGGTCCTAGTTCGTGCTCATGTTGAGTGTACCGGATCAACCGGGGTCGAGATGGAGGCGCTGACGGCTGCCACTGTGGCGGCGGCGACCGTCATCGACATGTGCAAGGCCGTGGACCGCGACATTCGGATTGCTGGACTTCGTGTGCCTTACAAGAGCGGAGGCAAGAGTGGCTTGCACTTTTACTGGAACTGGGCTCTCGAGCGGGAGCTGGACTACTTTTCGGAACGGGGACTCGAGGTCCCATCGAACTGGGAACCTGTCTGGCACCGGCACCGCAAGGGCAAGATGTTGCAAGCACAAGAGTCTTCTGAGGGGAAGCTCAAGTCGACTGGAGCCGGGACCACACGACGCCAACGCATTGAACAAACAAGAACCAGAGCCCAGCCGCCGAACGCAGGCCAAGATGGTGCTGGAAATGTCGTCGAGCGTGCAGGATTGATTCGGCGCACCGCGTACACAACCATCAACGACACACCCGGCCGTTGGGGGCAGAGGCGTCTCCAAGTCGGCAAGCGGCCCGCATCTGGTACTCGATGAACGAGTTTCCAGAGGTCAGGGAGGTGGAATGCGAGATTAGCAGTCGAGGCGATGCAGGAACCGGGGCTTTGACGCTGCTAAGCCATCGGGTCAGGACTAGACGACGTGACGTCTTCACGAGATGTCCTCGCGACTCAATTCTGCCGCCTGCTTTGGTATTCCAGCTCTTCACGAGCATGTGTCACCGCCCTTGGGAGATGAGGTGACGTCGCCAGATCGGAGATATGAAACTTCACGTCTTCAAGAACCTTCATCTTCCACCTTCGACCTTGGCTCGGTGAGCTTCGAGCAACGTGACTGCCTTCGTCGAATGTTATGACTGTGGCGCAAGCGTATGGCAACGACGAGGACGACGAGGAGGTGATGCCAACCCCCGGGATCATTGAGTCTGGATCCTACCTTCACCAATGCGATGGACAACAGCTGACGAAACAGAACCAGAGCGCTCGGAAGCCAACATGACTACTCCGTCCCAAGCCGCGCGTAACCCAGCATCCGGCCCACGACAAGAAGTTCGCGCCGATCCTGCAGACCATGGCAACAATGGGGTGTCGGGCTTCGCATCAGGCAGTGGTCCCCCTATCCGCCGCGACGACGAACTTGGACGGAGCATCGGCGCCGTGGTTCAAGCAGTAATGAAGCATGGCGTGGGGAATGACTTGGACCTGCTCTCGAGTGCAATCAGCGAAAAGACTCGTAGCCTGGAAGACAGAATCGCCCAGCTCGAAGCAGACGCTGTTCGCTCAAACAAGAGTCACGTCAACCTCCGAAAGCGCGCTATCAGGTGGAAGGGCAAATTTCAGCAGGTATCCAAGCAACGTGAGACGAGCGGTGGGAAGGTGATCCTGGCAGCCAAGAAGTTCGCGAGTCTGAACTACCACGTCCCAACTGCAGAGTATCAGGCGGTTGCTCTCGAATTGGCCGAGGCGGTCAAGGCGTACGAACGGGAGCGCGAGGAAGCACGCATCAGAGCAGGGGAAGCGGAGAGGAAGGAGAAGGAGAACGAGGGAAACGTGGAGATGGAGGACTGAAGCCTCTCGCGAAGACGTGCTCGACACCAATTTGCAGGCTAACCACTGAGTGGTTCACGTCGGTCTCCCCGAACGGACAGCACACATCCAGCAGTCCAGGGGCGTCGGAATTTAGAGAAGCTCTGAATCAAAGGAATGTTGAAATCGACCAAACCATATCTTTCACCCTCACATATGCTTCGTGCCTCTTAAGTGACATGGAGTTGGAAGGGTACTCTAGAGGGTGATGAGCTTTCTGCTATTCATGCTGTACCAGTGATGTCGATGTCGGTGTGTTACCGACTTGCTGGCATTTATGTGCTTGGTGTCCCTAAGGATCATTGGCAAACTGCCCGTAGGTCACGACTCCCGATCTCCTTCATGTCCTTAGTGCCCTTGATGCTCTCCACGTCCACCATGCTCTCCGCGTCCTGTATGTCCTGAATGCATATCACCGCGGCCCACAGCTTGACTTTTCTTAAAACACGTCCAACCTCAAGAACAGACTTTCAGAAAACCATACCGCTGTCTTTGCGATGTCGCTCTACCATGAAGCGGCGGAGCTCATCGATACTCTCACAAAACACGGAGGCTCCATAAAATCGCTCGTGTTCGGCAAGAAGAGTGTGAAGAGTGACCTAAAAACGCTCTACGCGTTGACCATAGAAGCAGCGAAATGGAGCGAGATCCTTTCGGAAGTCATAGAGAACAGCTGTATATTGACGACAGATAAGAAGGTACTGCATCGCCCTTCTCCATGCTTTTGCGGTGTGCTGATTGAGATGTAGCTCACCCCAACTCTCGCCCTACTACTAACCCACGACCTCCTGCTCTCCCGGAAAGGCATTGCCTTACCCGCCACCCATGGCCTACACACAGCAATTGCTCGACACAAGGCCCGCTTGTCGTCTGAGCTCACCAAGTTGAGGATCCGACGAGGCTGTCCCACGCTCGAAGCTCTCCGTACATTGGTCAACCAGGGCGGTGTCACCTCCAAGGCGCATCCACGCTGGGTGCGCATTAATACCCTACGGACAGACCTCGACTCACAGCTAGCCACCACCCTTGCCGAATACACACGCACCGAGGACCTCGCCGCGGTCGCCAAACCCGGCTGCCATGAGAAGATCTACTACATCGACGAGCACGTTCCCAATCTGATAGCTTTGCCCTCTGCCATCGACCTAGCCAAATCACTCTCCTACAAGAAAGGCATGCTCATCATGCAAGACAAGGCCTCCTGCTTCCCAGCCTACCTACTCGATCCAGCGCAGATCGATGGAGATATCATCGACGCTTGTGCCGCGCCTGGGAACAAAACCACACACTTGGCTGCTCTTCTCGCCGGGTCCTCTCCCGTCTCGAACATATCCAAATCCAAGATATTTGCGTGCGAACGAGACAGTGCCCGCTCTCTTACGCTGAAGAAGATGGTCACACTCGCTGGCGCAGAGCAGGTCGTCAAAATCCGAGCTAATCAGGACTTCTTGCGGCTAAACCCCCGGGCGACGGAGTTCGCGAACGTGACGGGTTTGCTGCTGGATCCAAGTTGCTCTGGTAGCGGTATTGTTGGCCGGGACGAAGCAAGTGTCACTATTCACCTGCCTAATGCCACAAAAGCCAACGATACAGCGCAACGAGGCAAGAAACGCAAGCATTCAAGTTCTGAGCCTCCACCAAAGGTCAAATTCGAGCCAGACGCACCACTAGAGGACTCGAATGCCGAAGAGTCTGTACCAGAACTAGAGCAGGACGTGCAGAAACTCCAAACCCGCCTCAAGTCGCTGTCAGATTTCCAACTCCGCATCATCGAGCATGCCATGTCCTTTCCTGTTGCGTGGCGGATCACTTACTCGACGTGTTCGGTATACGACGAAGAAAACGAGCATGTAGTGGTGAGAGCATTGATGTCCGACGTCGCTATTGAACGGGGCTGGCGAGTCATGAGACGGGAGGAGCAGGTCGATGGGCTCAAGAAGTGGCACATCAGAGGCAGACCGGAGGCTGTAGAACATGCTCTCGAAGGCGCAGACGTCGAATTAGGGGCAGATGAGGTCGCAGAAGCGTGCATGCGGTGTATCAAAGGTGGAGATGAAGGGACGATGGGCTTCTTCGTGGCTGGGTTTGTAAGAGTCGGGAATTCTCTCGGTGAATCAGACGGCTTCGTAAAAGGCCAACGGGATCAGAATGGCACGAATGGAGCCTTGGATCACAGAGAAGAAGAGACGGACGACGAGTGGCACGGCTTTAGTGACGAAGACTGATTTCGACGGTGAAAGCGGCCCAGAGGTCAACGCGAGGCGTGGGATGGATCTTCTCACAGACCGCAACAGTCTGATGACGAGGGTAACGTGGAATTTTGGGGTGCAACTTGGTCTGGGAGAAGGCATGCCAGGTATGCCCAATCAACCGCTTTCACTGTCTCTCGATTTCACTGGCTCGTCCTTACACAATGAAGCATTGATATAGTAGCTATCTACGCTACTTCTCGAAATGCCGGACTTGCTGAGAACAGTGACTCCAGCACGTCCGGTGAATCGCCAGATGCACAATTCGCCACTCAATCCCAGGCTAGATCTCTTCAAGCTGACCTGACCTAAGTCCCACGGTCCTGGCGAGACTTATCACCATGCTCGGTCGCCACCCTCGTCGCCGTCTCAGGCTCACGCTCCTGCGCCGCCGGCCCGCCAGTCGTACCCCGGCTCACAGCCTCATCCTTATCCAGCGCGCGCAGGTCCTTGAACTGCGGGTCATGCGGATCCACCGTCTTGAACCCCTCCGTCTGCTTCAACCCCTCGGAGCCGCCCTGTCCAGGGTTCTTCCTGCCCTTCTCACCGTCATGGCGCATCTCGTTGCTCGTCTGGCCCTGCATGGGCTTGCCGAGACCCGTGTTGACGCTGCCGGAGGTGGCGCCGGGGATGGTGTCAGAGGCGTGGGCTTGCACGGACTCGGGGTCGGAGCGATCGGACATGTTGGCTTGGGGAGGGATTTCGGAGGCGTTGTTGGGTTGGAATGTGCGTGAGGCCGGGGCGGAGCCGGCGGGGAGGGTCTCGGCCTCGAATTCGGGGACGTTGTCGTTGCCGACGAGTTTGCCGGGTTGATGCTGGAGATGAATTAGCAACGCGAAAGCAGTTGAGCAAGAGGGTTGACATACACCGTGAGTGGTCATGGGCTCATCGCGCTCGATCTTGGAGCTGAATTCGCCTGAGCTGCCACCAGGGCCGCTGTTGGCGACGGCATCGCTGTTGCGAGTTGCAGACATTTTGGATTGTGTTTGTGTGAAGTGGTGTGTGGTAGAGGTTCGTGAGATGAAGTTGGAAGATTTGGTTCAGAGATGTGGTCTTGTGCTCCAGCAAAATTCATCCCACTTCTGACGTTGTGGTGACGCATGTGACATTGCCCGCTTTCATCTCGTGTTACCCTTTACTGCCCGACCTTTGACATGTCGAACTGTTGTATTACTGTATCGACCACAACGAGACGGCAGATGGCAGATATCGATGGTGCCGGAAGTCGTCCAGACATGTTCATCGTTCGTGGTGTTAAAAAGTCCTTTCGATAATTCAAGTGGAAGAAAGTGAAGTCATCCATCTCGGACTCCACTCCGCAACTCATATCCTCCCGCTTTCGCCTCTTGAAAAATACCCAACCCATCAACAACACCATCTCGAGGCAGCCAAAGCAGCGACGAGAAAGATGAAACATGGTATAAGGCATCCAGTCGTCGCTCCTCGGAGGCCAGCTCGAGCCTTCCGATCCGGCTCCACAAGGCAAAACCGTTGCATCGTTGAGGGTTGGACAAAGTTTTGCTGCTTCCGCTAGTATCCGCATAATCATGACATGGCAGGTTATATAAGCGCGCCTTCCGTGCTGTCATCGCCGTCAATGGCTTCCGTCTGGCCCGATCTCTTTTCTCAGTAACGAGAAAGACGACCACCTTGGTCCCATTTTCATCTATCTCGAAAGACCAGACGGATCAGGACAACCGCGACAATGGCCACCCAGGACGTCATCTCATTCACGAACAACATGACCTCGGAACTCTCCATGCAGCAACATCCATACTATCCTCTGGATTCTGTGATACCAAACTATGTCCCCAACACCTGGCCCGTCCTGGCCCTCCTAGCCGCCTTCTTCGGGGTCTGCACCGTCCTCTTCTCATCCACCTACTACCTCGCCAAATCCCTCAACCCCCGCATCAGCCGCAACGAACTCGTCACCATCATGTGGTTCGTCCTCTCAGGCAGCATCCACCTCCTCTTCGAAAGCTACTACACCCTGCACTTCACCACCCTCGGCTCCCTCCAGACCCTCCCCGCACAACTCTGGAAAGAATACGCCTTCTCCGACTCCCGCTACCTCACCGCCAATACCATGGTGCTCTCGCTCGAAACCATGACGGCAGTCTGCTGGGGCCCTGGGTGCTTGATCGTGGCCTGGCTGATCATGCGGAACCATTCGATGCGGTATCCGGCGCAGATGGTTGTGAGTGTGGGGCAGGCGTACGGGGACGCGATTTACTACGCTACGAGTCTTTTCGATGAGTTTGTGGGTGGAGTGAAGTATTCAAGACCGGAGGGGGTGTATTATTGGGGGTATTTTGTGCTGATGAATGCCTTCTGGATTGTGGTTCCGGGGTGTAAGTTGGACATTTTCTCTCGGTTATGGTTCTTTTACTGATGAGATGTGTAGTCCTTGTGTATCAGGCAGCGACGGAGATGGCGAGGGCTGTGCGAGTGGCTCGGAGCATGGAGGAGAGGAGTAGGAGCCCTGAGAAGGCGATGTAGAGACTTGGTATTCTTGAGACCACTTGAAGGTACGGTGAGCTCACACGACTTGTAGGCAATTCGGCGATTCAGCAAGGCGCTAAGGGAGCTTATTCTTATACACGATAGACGCATATTGCAAGCAAATGACCGTCGAAGCAGCCGGCCAAGCGTACTGACAGTGACAGTCTTCTCCGAGACCCGATCGCTCCCAAAAAGCCCATGTCATGCTCGTCGGCGGGCTTTCATTATCCGTGAGAAGATTCCTTGCATAGCTCACTCTGACCTAGTGGGCCGCTTTCACCACCGACAGCATGGTTTGAGGCATTTGATACACCTGGAGAGATCAAGATTAGTGCCACAATCCAGCGGGAAGACAGAAACAGGATCACCGTATTGGAATGCATAGTAGTACACATAGATGAGTTACATCTCCATCAATCTATTCACCAGCTGCTCATCCAACACCACCCAATGCTCGCTAAAACCCACAGCATACCCAATCCAGCTCAGGCCTTGCCTTCCTGCTTCGCCTCAGCATCCTCCTGCAACTTCTCCTTAACCTTCAAATTCCTATTATCAATCACCAACGCCAACACCGCAACCGCACACGCCACACCCCCCAGCGCAATCGCAAGGCTATAGGCGTCCTTCAGCCCAGCCATATACGCCCTCAGAATCCCGGCCAACTGCGCTCCACCCCACCGATCCCTCAAACTGGTAGCGCCTGTGACGACCACAGCGCCAGGGTTGACACCCGACACGTTCGCCGCGACTTCCTCTAGCAGCTTGTTCGTGAAGAGGACTTGTGCGACGGAGATGAAGACGGCTCCGCTGATCGTCTGGAAGAACAGGATGATGGCGGAGATACTGCTCACGTCACTCGGCTCTGACACGCCTTGCGCGACGATAATCGGGATCTGGAACGAGACTCCGGACCCTACGCCGGCGAGGATCTGGTATCCGATCCATTTGCCCGAGCCAGTGCCGATGTCCAGGGTGAATATGAGCCCGGCGCCGATGGTGGATAAGACGGACCCGCCGATCATCCAGGGCACGTAGACGCCGTTGATGGAGATGGTGAGGCCGGAGAGGACGGTGCAGAGGGCGATGGCGATGATGAAGGGGAGGTTGCGGACGCCTGAAGAGGCGGCGGAGACGTCGTCGATGGATTGGAAGTAGATGGGGAGATAGTAGATTAGGATGAAGAAGGCGGCGCAATTGAACTGGCAAAATAATCGTGTTAGTGGTGGGTTGTGGGAGGTTGAGGGAGGGAGGGAGGGGACGTACCATGACATAGGCCGACATCAACGCGTAGGTCTTGTTCTTCATCAGGCGTGGGATGAGCAGGGCTCGCTCGCCCATGTAGATCTCGTTCACGATGAAGACGGCGAGAATGACGAAGAAGCCGACGAGTGTGCCGATGACGTCTGGGTCTGACCAAGGTTTTGTCGTGCCGCCCCATTGCAGGGCGAGGATGAGGCAGACGATGGCGGCCATGAAGATGAAAGCGCCGCCGAGGTCAAGTTGGAGGAACTTCTCTTTCATTGTGGCCTGCTGTGGTTTGGCACCTTTGGGGGGCGTGAAGAGGAAGAGGAGGATGGCGGCTGCCAGACCACCGATTGGGAGGTTGACTGTGATTGTGTTAGTTGAGGACTGTGGGTTGGAGGATATGCCGTCGACTTACTGTAGAAGCACCAACGCCAGGACACATTATCAGTAAACGCGCCGCCAATGAGTGGCCCAACGACCGATGCGATGGCGTACGTCGCTCCAAGAATACCAGTGTAGGCCGGCACCTTCGCCGGAGGGACAGAGAACGCCAGAATAGTGTAGACACCGCTAGCAACACCAGCACCACCAGCACCAGCGATAGCTCGCCCGATGATGAGCGCCTTGCTGTTAGGAGCGACGCCGCAGATCAGACTGCCCACCTCAAAGATGAAGATCGCAAGCATGAACGTCCACTTCATGTGGAAGTACTTGAAAGCCTTGCCCCAGGTACTCTGGAAAGCAGCAACTGTCAGGAAGAAAGCCGAACCGTACCAGCCGACATCATCCAAGGAACCGAATTGATCCGTGATCTTCGGGATGGCTGTGGCGACGATTGTCATGTCGAGTGCGACGAGGAACATGGACATGCAGATACCGAGTAAGATCGGGATGAGCTTCGCTGGGCCGGGGTACATGCTGCTTTCGACTGGTTCGAGCGGGCCGCCATCTTCTTGCTGTTGTTCGGGTTTGTCGATGCTGTGGGTGGATGTGGCTGTGGAGTGGTCCTGCGGTGCGTGGGATTCTTTTGGCTCTTCGAGGCCTCCCTTCTCCTCCTTGCTATGGAGCGAAGTGGTCGTTGAGCGGTAGAGGGGTGTCGGTACGGCCGTGCTGGCTTCGTCGAGGTCTTTCTCAGTCTTCAGGTCGTTCCCAAGGAAGTTCGACATTTTGTATCAACCCTCTTCAAGCTTGTGGAAGCAGACAATACGAGAAAGGATGGGAAGAAGAGAATACTGTTTCAAAGGCAGTACAAGCCGCAAGTGCACCCGTCGCTGCCTCCTATATAGATGACGGAGAACCATTGATATCTCCAAAGCCCGAACGCCGCAGCGTCCACCCACCCGGCGCATTCTTCGCCGTGCGCCCATTCACCATTATGAATCACCCTTACCCGCCAAGCAAGGCAGCAAGCGCGTGGCCTGATCGTGGTGGGTGGAGTTAAGGAGAGAAACGTCTCGGACGTCAAAGCACATGCATCTGAAGTCCGCTAGCGTTCAGCCCTGCGAGATAGACGGAGAGATGCAGCCTCCGAAAAGCTCTGCACGTGCTTGAAATCTCTCCGGCAGAGTCTGGATGGGGTAATTGGTGGTGTCGGAAGGTTTGGGCTGTAAATTGGCCGACGATGAGTCTTGATCTCTCATTCCTCTCGATCCACTGTCTGGTATGTGATTGGAACAGATGGAAACGCTTCTGAGCATTACTACCATTGCTGACAATGCCATCATGGGTCTTGTGCCAGCATTCGGCCAGATCAAGCCTTTCATGAGGCTATCTATCTTCTACATGGCCTGACTGATGGGGCCCTAACGCACTGTAATGTCTCAGGGCTGGACATTACCACCGCACAGCGCAACAAACCACCAGATCCGTCTCAACCAAGACTCTCACCCGCAAACATCAATTCTCGCCGCTCTCAACGCATCAAAACCGAACGCAAATCACATCCCAGTCCCATCCACAAGGCAATCCGCCAAGCTCCCGTCAATGGCACCTCCCTTCGCTCTCGTGTTGCTGCTGAAACAGGCGGACCCAAGACCCGCCGGCGCAAGGCGTGCCCAAATACCTTCCGCTCCCGCCACCACCCCTGAATGGTCACCGCAGTGGAGCCGAGTGTGTTTGCTTACCAAAGTCGCGGGTGGTGCGATAGCTTACAGTACGAAATTGCGGCTGTTTTGTAGAAGGGGACATGGTAGGGATCTAGATTTCTACTAGACGATGGCTACCGGGTTGGCGGACTTCGGACCTCAGCATCTCCAAGTGTGTATGAGAGTTCTGGAAGGGACGGGGACGGAGGGAAAGCGAAGACGCGGCCGCTTTTCGACCCAAGACCCAGGACTGCGAACGCTGATAAAATGTCTTTACGGGTTCAAGCTGTCGACAGTGAAAGCGGCCCACCAGATCAGAGCGAGCCGTGTAAGGGACCTTCTCACAGACGATGACCGCCCACCGACGAGAGTGATGTGGCCTTTCGGGGTGCGATTTGGTCTGGGAGAAGAATGCCAGGTGCAAAACGTCTCAATACAAGTGAGCCTGGTGGCATTCACACATGTGTACATTGATCGCAACGAGCATACCTATGCGAAGGTAGTACTGTCACCAGCTTCATGTTAGGTAGATCCGCTGCCCTCCTCCCCCACAGCATTGCCGCTCGTAGTCGCGCGAGCGCTTTCACCTGCCTCCGCAGCCACGCCTCCACTCCCACTACGTTCAGCGCCACCCTCAGCGCTCTCCTTACTCCCCTCAGTCCCCTTCTCCCTCTCCTCCGCCTCCCTCCTCCTCTCCGCTTCCTCCCCCTCAACTCTCCTCCTCTCCGCGTCCGCCTCCTCCCTCGCCCTCCTCTGCTCCCGCACATGCGCCTCCCCAATCCCGGGCCACAAACTCGCCACAAAAAGCGCCGCCGCTCTTTCCACCGGCCGCACTTGCTCGCGCAACCATCCCCTCCCACCTCTAGCCCTATCCCGCTCGGCTTCTTCGTGTAATAAGCGCTGCGCCACTTGTTCGGGCGTCGGCATACGGTGCTGTCCACCAGCCTGCGCCTGACCGTGCGCCTGTTCGTTAGCTGCTTGGCCTCGCGGCTCAGGACGTCCCTCCCCTCCAAGCACGCCCTCCCACCATCTCCGCACCGCCGCGCCGTCGCCTAGCGCACCCATGCGGATGGCCCAGAAGACCATGCCGATGCCTGCGAGGACTAGAGGACGTGTGTAGCCCATGTTCGTGCCGAGGAGAAAGTAGGCGAAAATCAGAATGCGTAGGAGGAGCCAGACGTGCGCGAGGATGGGTTGGAGGGGACCGAGAGGGTCGGGTGCCGCGGCGGCTTGGTTGGCTTCGCCTGCTTGTGCTTGTGCTTGTTGGGCGAGGGCGCCGGCGTCGGGGAGGGGGATGCCGCGGGGCTGGTGCTGTTGGTGGCCTTGTTGGGGTTGCTGGGTTGGAGTGGGTTGAGTGGTGGTTGCGGTAGGTGTTGGGCTGGCACGTGGGAGTGAGCCCTGAAACATCCCGTGCTGGGGCGAGAATAGCAGAGCTTGCGGTCCTTGAGGGCCGGAGAGAAGATAGGCTGTCACATCGCTTGGGTTGCGAGGCGATGGTGACTGCCCTTGAACTGATGGGCCGTTCAGTCGCGGTGCTTGAGCCATAGCCTGGAATTGTGGCGGCCTGTTCATGAACATGGGAGGCTGCAGAAATGGTGGTGCTCCGGTGTTGGGCGGCGCCGAACGCCTGCCCGTCGCATCTGCCCCTCCAGTGGTCGTTGGAGTCGCAGTAGGTATCGCATTAAGCGGGTCGATGTAGTTGTTCACACCTATCACGCGCTGCTCCATCTCGTCAATCCTCCTCCGTCGCTCTTCTTCTGAGGGAGCGTCGGTCTGATTTCGCATCTCCTCCAGCATCCGTCGCATCTCGGTCATGTTTTCTCGTGCGCGCTCCAACGCCGAAGGTCCATTAGGCTGTCGTGGTGGTTGTGGTGGAGGCATACCTGGAAACATTTGAGGCATACCTGGTTGCATCTGGGGCATACCAAACGGCATTGGCATCTGCATAGCCTGACCGGGCTGACCTTGAGTCATGTGCGGGAAGTTCAGTGTCTGCTGGTGGATCTCGAATCTCTGCCCGTTGGGCCCGACGCCCTGTACGTGAAAGCCTTGACCGCTGACCGGCCGACGGTTGCCATGCTGCTGCGGCTGCTGTCCAGCTGGTATATTGCCTTGGTTTTGCGCTCCCTGCGGCGCCTCTGCAGGCGTCTGATTTCCGTCTGTTCTAGAAGGTGTTTGTCCATTTGGCTGTGGCTGCTGCTGGCCAGGCGTAGGCATGTGCGGTGGCATAGGAAACCCTGGAGGCAGGCCCATACCCGGCGGCATCGCCCCGCCCATCATCGGCGGCTGGCCTGGCATACCCGGCATAGGGAATGGCGGTGCTCCATTGGCCTGCCCTGTTTGTGCGCGCTCTCGAAGGTGCGGCGGCATCTGCGCCCGCAATCTTTCAGCAGCCTGGCGCATTGTTCCCAAGCCCTGAGGTCCTTGGGCTCCAGCGTGTGGGGCTGGCTGTTGTCCAGGTACTGGAGACGTACGGGCGTCCCTCGCTCCTCCCATTCCCTCCACAGCACTCGTGCTTCGACTCGCTTGATGACCACGCGGTCCACTGCTCATCCCCGCGCCCCCGACAAGAAGGTGGATGACATAGTCCGTCTGACTTGCATCTCGCTTGGTATTGAATGCGTCTGCCAGCGTTTGATCGTTGTTGACCAGTGCCCGGCCACCGTAGAGCAGTCGTTGGCGTTCCGGTGCTGGGTTACTTGGGATGGCAGACTGGATCTGCTGGCGAAGAGCGCCGACGGTAGTGGACACGGGCAAGGAGCCTAGGTCGTAGGAGTCTTGTGAGACAGTGGTGCTGCCTTCGCCAGATATGGCTGGTAGGGTGAGATGGCCTGGCGGGACCTTCACTTTGAGGGTGATGGTCTCTGGTGGTTGTGCTGGTGCCATGTTGAGGCGGTCCTCCGGTAGGTGTAGATGCTATCGAGAACTCCGAACTGTCTTGGACATCTTGTTAGATGTATACTTGTAGTTGTCAAGCAGGCGAGGTGTCATCTTTGACAGGTGGTGCTCAGACCAACGCGTTCGAGCCACGCGAGTATATAGCCGAAGCCACACTCCGACGTCATGCTATACCCTTTCTTTTGGACGGCGACTACATGTACCTGTACAGTGTGCAGAGAGATGCTGTACGTCGATACCATGACACCTATACAATAGCCGAACATCAACATGCCACCTACTAAAGCGCTCCGACCGGCGCTCTTCCGCACCCTTAGATCACACCCTATACACTCACGACAACGACGAGCATTCACCAGCAGTCAGCGAGCCTCCTTCGGTCGCCAGAAGCCACATCGCAAAGAGTCTTTCGGCTCAAGGGCGAGCGACGCATGGCGCAAGACACCCATCAAGTGGCAGCCCATTCCCATTGCCCTCGGCATCGCTTTCCTCGGAGTCTTCCAGTTCTACCGCATCCAGGAGCGCGAGCGTAGGAATCAGGAAGAAGAATGGATCAGGGAGCATGAGAGCAATGCCGGCGACGATGGAGACGCGGGACCTCTACGGCCTAAGAAGCGGCAGCGCATACGTCCTTCCGGGCCATGGTCGGTGCAGATCATGAGCACTCTGCCTTTGAAGTTCTTGAGCAGGTTATGGGGCAAGTTCAACGAGCTGGAGATACCCTACTACTTGCGAGTCCCAGGCTTCAAGCTGTATGGTACCATTTTTGGCGTCAACTTCGACGAGATATCCGAGCCGGACCTACACAGCTATCGGAATCTCGCCGAGTTCTTCTACCGTACACTGAAACCAGGCGTGCGGCCTCTCGACCCTCATCCTAACGCCTTGCTCAGCCCTGCAGATGGCCGAGTCATACAGTTCGGCTACATCGAGCACGGCGAGGTCGAACAAGTCAAAGGCGTCACCTACTCTGTCGACGCTCTGCTAGGCGCCGAGCCCACATCAGGCACAAACCACCACCAGCACCACAGCGAAGTCACGTCCAACATCGCCGGCTCACCCAACTCTCCTCAACCTAGCAAAGATCGACACCGCGAAAGTAGTGACAGCGAGGTCATCCGCTCCGACGAGGAATTCGCCCAAGTAAACGGCATCTCCTACACCCTCCCCAACCTCTTCTCCGGCGACACCAGCAGCAAAAAGCGCAAGCCTAGAAAGCACCGCGAAGGCGGCCCCGCAGACGACGACGTCGAACCCATCCTCGACGGCCCCTCCGACCAGTCCACCCGTCCCGCCCACGGCGCCGAAGCCGAAGTCAGCGCCGACCTCGCCCTCTCCCCGCGCGCGCCAAAGCCGTGGTACTACCCCGCCACCGCCGACGTGCCCATGGGCCTCTACTACTGCGTCGTCTACCTCGCGCCGGGCGACTACCACCGCTTCCACAGCCCCGTGAGCTGGGTCGTGGAAAGCCGTCGCCACTTCGCTGGAGAACTCTTCTCCGTGTCTCCCTACCTGCAGCGCACACTTCCGGGCCTCTTCACCCTCAACGAACGCGTTGTGTTGCTGGGAAGGTGGAAATACGGCTTCTTCTCCTACACCCCCGTCGGTGCGACCAACGTCGGCTCCATCGTCGTCAACTTCGACCGCGAACTCCGCACCAACAGCCTGCTCACCGACACCCTCGCCGACCGCGCCGCGGAAGAAGCACAACGCAAAGGCGAGCCTTACGCCGGGTACGCGGAAGCCACCTACGCGTCCTCCAGCCCCGTGCTCGGCGGCCACGCGTTGAAGAAAGGCGAGGAAATGGGCGGGTTCCAGCTCGGCAGTACGATTGTGATGGTTTTTGAGGCGCCCAAGGGCGTGCGGCCGAGTTTTGACGAGGGGGTTACGGTGGATGAGCAGGGGGAGGTGGAGAGGAAGGGGGGTTGGAGGTGGAATGTGCGGAAGGGGCAGTTGGTGAAGGTGGGAGAGAAGTTGGGGTTTTGTGACGATGGGGAGGAGGAGGGGGTGTTGGGTGGGAAGGTGTAGGTGGTTATGAGGGCGAGTGCCAAAGCTCTGTTCATTACTTGCGAAAGTGTATAGTACTGCGTATGAGCGTGCTTGCGTGCTTGCGATACGTACGTACCTTATTTGAGTTTTTGGCCACAGCATCCTATCTCTGTGCGGGAACCGAAGAGTCTCTGAGGGCGTACGCGCTGTCAATTGGGCGATGGGATGTGTTCTCACAATCAACGACAGCCTGTCAAAGGGAGTAATGTAGTTCTTTGGGGAGTAACTGGATCTAGGAGGAGACTGCCAGATGTTACTGGTGGACCGCTTCCACGGTCACTTGCTCGACTGCCAGTCCGCAAGGCAGAGGGACGGAGCGTCGAAGACGTGGAGGGCGAAACGAGCAATTCATGGATCATGCCTCAAAGGGACGTCAGACGAAGTGTTCGACTAATCATATAGCTCTATGCAAACGCTTCTATATACAAACCCGCAATCTCATCACAGCTCTTCATGCGCCGCACCCCTCGTCTCCTTCGCCTCCTCCACCATGCTCAAAATCTCCTCTTCCGAAGGCACATCATACGACGGTGTCGCCTCCTCCGCCGCCGTCGAACTAGCACTCTTCTTCTTACTCGCTTTCGTCTTCGAGCTCTTCGGCTTCTTGGACGAGCTGCTGCTCTTGGGTGCCTTCATCTTCTTGTACAACAGATCTCGCATCACTTCGCTGAGCTCGTTGGCTTTCTTTTCGATGTCTTTAGTCAGCAGCACTGGCTCCTCGTGAGGTTTGAGCTTCGCTTGCTCGGCTTCTTTCTCTGTGAGCCACTGTTTGGCGGACTCGTATGCGTCGCTCACGCCGGCGAGATCGACTTCGGTGTAGGCGGAGAAGTCTGCTGCGTTGCTGTACTTCGGGCCGAGTGGGTTGGAATCGGTCGCTGATGCTTCGTCTGGCTCTTCAAGATCATCGAGGCCACCAGAAGGAGTAGCACCGCTGCTGTCCGCATCTGCGCTCTGCGAGGCATCGAACTCCTCGGCTTTGCTCTTGGCGTCGTTCGCCTGCATGACCTGCGCGCGAACCATCTCGACCAGCTTCTCCGTCTGCTCGAGGCTGGTCTTCAGCGCTTCCACCTTTTCTGGTCGAGCGGCATCTTCCTTTCGTCGGATCTGAATCGGTTCGACCAGCTTCTTCAGCTCATCGTGCTTGCCCATGAAAGTCTCCTTGGTCGCCTTCGAGACCTCCTTCGAATCTTCCATGAAGTCTCGTGCCTTCGATAGGAGCTGGTTGATCTCCTTGCGGGTGGCGTCGGTGCCGAATGCTTCGTAATCGGCGTTGCTCAGGAAGTCACGGACGTAGTAAGTATAGCTCTCAAGCACGTTCAGTGCCTCCTCGCGCTGCACCCTAGCGCGGTCAGATTTGTCAAACGCGACAAGACGATCCCGCATCTGCTTCATCATCTCAGGCGCTGGCTGAGGGTTGCCTTGCGGCATTGTTTTAATGGCGAGGGCAATACTCTCCGTCCTCTTCTTCGGCTTCTCCGGTACCTTTGAGCTCGACGCCGATGCATCAGTCGAAGACCCAGTTGCGGATTCGCTTGTAGTCTCTGGTGAAGATGTCGAACTTGACGCTTCCACCTCTTCAGTCGGTCCAGCTTCCTCACCTTCTGCGAGAGGCTCTTGGTCCTTCTTCTTGCCAAACCCAAGCCAGTCTTTGACCGAGTCGCCGATGCTCTCGCCCTTGCCAGTGCCCTCGACTTCGCAGCTCGCTGATCCAGACAAAACCTCAGGCAGCCCGTCGGACGGACTGAGCCTGATGCTGAACTTAGTCGTCACGTCATCCTTCTCACATCCGAACTTGGTCTTAAGCTCCTGAACAGACGACGTCAAGTTCTGGACCTCAATCACAGCGAACGCTCTGTCGATGTCTCCAGTGTGCTGGTAAAGCTTGAATACGAAATCGTCCTTGTCCTTGAACGTGACCTGCTTGGTGGTCGCGCCGTTGCCGACGGGGCTGGAGGCACCGAAGAGGACCTGTTTCCTGGGCTTGCCGTTGTCTGTGTAGTCCATGCCGGCAGGGTACACCGCAATGTCACTGTCGCGGATCTCCTTCACTTTGAAGCTTGGGCTGAGGCCGGCCCCTTTGAAAGCTGCGCCGAACACTGCCGACTCGTCCGCATTGACGTTGGATCGAAGCTTCCCACTCCCACCGGCAATCTGCTCGAGTTTCTTGTGCACGAACGGAGTCCGTATCGCACCGCCGTGAAGGATGATCGAGTCGATGTCGTCCATTGTCATCTTGGCCATGGCCAATGCATCTTTGATAGGCAGCTCGACTCTAGCTGCGTAGTCCGAAGTCAAGCTCTCAAACTCGGACCTTGTGAGCTTGGCTTTGAAATCAATCTCGGGCAGTAGCTCCTCCAACGACGGGCTCGTCTCGGTATTGGCGGACAGTACGGTACGTGCCTGCTCTGCCGACTTCCAAAGCCGGGCCATCGCACGAGCGTTGCCTCTGACCGCGTCAGCCTCAATGCCTCGGCTCTTGAACACCGGCTTGGTCATGAACTTGACAATGAAGTCGTTCAAGACAACATCGGTGAGACTGTCTCCACCCAGAGTTCGATCCCAGCCTGTTCCGAGCACCGCCACTTCTTGAACCGTCTTGTTGAATCGACCAACATCTTTCACACTTCGTCCTTGGAATCGCAGCAACGTAGCTGTGGTCGACCCAGCGCCCATATCGAAGACAATGTGATGCTCTGGCTTCTCTCCCTTCGTCACCTCCGGGAATGTCCTGCTCTTGGCGTAGTCCATTCCCACGGCCAGACCATCAGTGATCAAACTGTTGACGACCAAGCCAGACAACAGAGCCGCCTTCTCAATCGCTCGTCGTTCGTCTGCAGTGTAGAAGGCAGGAATTGTAATAACCGTGTCCTCAACAACATTGCCCTTGCCCGCCATCGATTCGGCATTCCGCTTGATGTTCGCAAACTGCATCGCCAGCAATTCCTCAACGGTCCACGGCATCTCATTGTTCGAGAACGCCTCGCTCCTTAGCATTGTCGTCCCAATCTCATGTTTCCACTCCGCATCAACGGCTGGATACCGCTCCTTGTACGTCCCAATCGCCTTCTGCGAGCCCTCATCGCTCCATAACCCCAACAACTGCTTCAGATTGGGATATACCTCCCCCGGTATCCGTCCCTGCAGCGCCAGCGCATCCGATCCATATGCTCGTTCAGGAAACTTTCCCTCCTCGGCGATGATGTTGTTCTTCGAGTCTCGGTTCGGTTTGAATGCTACTGCCGCCGTCTCTTTCCGTTTCGAGTCCTTGCTCAAGACAATCTCGAGGGGAATACCGGGCTTGACCAACACCGCCTTCAAGTTCAATGTCCCAAAGTCGAGTCCAAGCACGCTGGATGCTGCGCTCGCTGTGGAGATCAAAAGGAAGAAACATGCTAAACACAGTGCCATTGGGGATAGTGACCCGCCACGCCGCCGCCCTGGAGGAGCCATGTTTGTGGAAAAGAGAGACGGTACGAAATTATTCTCGGGTCCGTTGTAGAAGCATCCAAGGGACGTAGGTCGTCTTACTTCCGGGATAGCATTGGTGTTTATTTGGGTAAAGCCAAAGGACAGGTAGTCTCATACGGCTGAACGTGGCGTGGGCAGCAGGCAAGTTGTTCATTCGAGATCTTTGATACACAGATCTGCCAGTTGTCAATAGCCAAGCGGCACCCCCGGACCTCCGTCTTGCGGTATTCGGGTTGCGGGCTGCTATTGGTGCATGAAAACGGGAGCTAACGGACGTCTTGCGGATGAGACCGCTCGATCATGGGTACCTGGCCTTCTCACGCTGTATTAACAAAACCACCAAGCCAGACCATCTTGAGCAGACGAGCAGACGGCGCTCAAGGTCGTGTTTTCTTTCAACGTGTTTATTCTCTATTGTGATAGTGTGGGAGTAGACTTGGCCGAACCACGAACGTCAGGCAATGCCCCTAATTCTGTGCGAGACAGTCCCGCTGAACAAATGGTATCTTGACTGAGCAAGCATATAACAGTGAAAGCGGCCCAAAAGGCATGACTAGCAGTGGTCTCCCTAGCCCAATGGCACATACAATGCCATAACACTCTCGTCGACGGGCTTTCCTCATATTCGAGAAGTTCCCTTAGCAGCGCTCTGCGACCCGGTGGGATGATTTGAGACTCTCGGCAGATGGCGGAGAAGCACTGACATGAAGGTCTAATGGAACTCTCTATTTTGTGCTGCATGTCGGCATGGCTACTGATCGATGGCTCGATGCCATAGATTCCCGCATGCCACTGTCTCTCGTAAGGTAAGTCATATCGTACACCCGTACCCATGTCCATGTCTATTCCTGCCACGTATATCCCTCAAAAACACCCGACTGCTTGTTGTCCTTACCCCTCGCCATCGACTTGGAGTCCGCATTCTCCACTGCAACATCCACATCCACTCTCCTGGTTATCATGATCCGCTGCGACCCGTCGCTCTCCAGGCTAGCAGCATCGCCATCCTGCCTGGATTGTCCCGTGTGTAGCACAGAGCTGTTGCCAAGCTGGCTCCGTTGCTGCGACTTGCCGGTCTTGCTCGCCATGGCAGTGCCGCGGTTCGATCTGCTGCCGGAGTGTGTTGTGCCGTACATGGTTGCATGCATGTCCGCGACAGCAACGAAGGCGGCCAGGAACGACTTGATGCAGGGGAATGAGGCGGAGCTGATGGACCAGGCCAGCACGACTTGTGTCCAGATTGCCGGAGCGACGATGGCACGCGACGGTGCTCTGTCCGAGTCACTGGACAAGAACTCGTTGAAGCTCGTTGTCGCCGCTGCCATGAAGGGTATGCAGACGAGTCGAAAGCTGAACAGAGCAATCACTGTTGCCTTGTCGGAGATGTTCATCGTTGTTTTCGAAACGAGGACGGCAGGTAGAGCGATGATCAGGAGTTCGGTGACTGCTTCGAGGACGGTGATGGTGGTGTTGCGTGCTTCCTAGGCAATGGTCAGCTTCTCCGCAACTCGACAATGCGTCGAAACACTAACCAGGCCAGCGCATGTGTTAGAGGACGGTCGAAACGTGCTGTGGAAGTCGCACGCCACAGAAGTCACACATATCGCGGCGACGCCGCATACCGCTGTGAATCCTATCATGCAGTTGAAGAGCACCTTGGTCTGCTTTTTCGCGCCGCCAAAAATCCTGCGCGCAAACAGCAGCACCGAGATTTTCCCCAGGTATATCGCAACCAGCATGATCACCCACGATGACCGGAAAAGCTGTAACGGTGTCAGTCGATGGCGTATATTCAATCTTGCGACGAAACGGCCTACCTCAGAAGCTTCTGCTAAGCTGTCCCTGGCTCTCGACGCTCCCATTCCATCCCACAACGCGCGATCGAACAGGCCCCAATAGACGACGGCGAAGACCTGCGCTGTTCGATCAGCTACGACAACCTTTGCATTGTCCTCGTTGGAAGTACGCACGTATGAGCCCCCGATCAATATATCTTCGATCCCCATCAGGTCCCATTTCGCCATGAACCTGATGGCCAGGGCAATGACACTGTAAGTACAGCACACAATACCAACAAACCATAACCACGGTCGTCCATCGTCGTCTGTCGGCGTCCCGAACCCTCCAGCAATGAGCGGTGTCTTCAGAGTCGACATGGTGAAATAGCGGAGCTGGAGACACCGTCGACGAAGCTACTAGCCATGATTATAAAGTTGGTCTGGCTCGAGCCTGGGACCTGCATCTACAGCCTCCTGTTAGGTAGCATGGTAGCGGCCTTATCTTCATTCTTGGTTGGTCTGCTTGAAACGACTAAGCTATCCTTGCACACGCCTTGGACCCCCCGGGGGCTTGCCGGAGAGGCGTGCTGGTTGCGGTCTAGTGATGCGGTGCCAAGGTGGAGGGAAAGCCCGGCTGGCCAGGGTCAGCCATTCGATAAGATAGCTCGGTCTGGTTGGACCGACGTTGATCGATGGGTTTGGGGGCAGAGACCAGTTGAAGAGTATCTGGGGATTATGGTCGTGATTTGGCAAGTGTCTTGCCAGACAACAGAACATCATGTCGAAGGAATCTCGTTGTCTACGATCTGCCGTGAAGCTCAGCCGTATCTCTACGAATGCGAACCACCAGGTCCCTCAAGCACTAGCATGGAAGTACACCCTGCAAGTGAGGTCTCTAGTCCAGACTCGACGTCGATCTTAGCACGTTCTTTCGGCTCGCGAGCCGAACGCCATCGACAGCCACGCTTGCCACGGTCCGGGGCTTGAGCTTGCTTAGGGCCGCCGATAGCTTGATCCCTCGCACTTTAGTCCGTCCTCATACGGTAACACATTGATTCCCGTGCTGCACATTGGTCGAGATAACGCCTCATGCAACACGGCTGCAGTAGATTGCCGTCGCTTGAGTCAACATGCCGAGTTGTGCAAGCGGTCGGTATCCCCGCCCTCCACATGGGCATACGCGAGGTTCGGTGCAGTGGTTTGCCGTCGTGTTTCCTGATCAGCTTTCGTCTCGTCTCCTTCTTTTCTTTGTGCTGCTCAGCTGATCCTGTGTCACCTGCGGTGTCACATCTCCTTCCTTCCGCACCTCATCGTTCGTTGTGGTGTTCGTTTTGTCGTTACAATGGCGGACATCCAGCTTCAAGAGCTGAACAAGCAGCCTGGCTACACGGCCACACCCATCAAGCACGAGGACGATGGCTTCCAGGACCAGCCGGATCTCGACCGAGATTACGATCCCAGCCATGACAAGCGGGATATGTACCGGCTCGGAAAGAAGCAGCAATTGAAGCGTCGATTCAGATACTTTTCCATTGCGGGCTATATTATCGTGCTCGGGAACTGCTGGGAGTTCTCGATTGTGACCAGTGTCTACTCGCTGGCCAACGGAGGCACTGGTGGAGCGATATGGATGTATGTCTGCCTTCCAGAAGAGCAGCATCGAGGCGACATGGACTGACAGACACTCCTCGCTGTCTAGGACTATCCTCGTTATCACGGGTGTTTTCTTGACTGTCGTCAGCATGGCCGAGGTAGCTTCAATGGCTCCTACCAGCGGAGGCAAGTGAGCTCCTGCTTCTGAGAAGACCACCATTTTTAACTTTACGCCCCGTAGGACAATATCACTGGGTCTCGGAAATTGCTCCTCGATCCGTTCAAAAGCAGCTCAGTTACGCCGTCGGCTGGTTCGGCCTTATCGCCTGGCAAGTCAGCTTGTCCTCGTGCGCGTACATCTTCTCGAACCAAATCCTCGCTCTCATCACAGTCGTCAACCCGGACTTTGTCGGCCAGGGCTGGCAGGCCTCTCTCCTGACGATCCTCTCGTCCCTGACTGCGGTGCTCCTGAGCGTCTTCGTCATGCAAAAGTTGGATCTGGCTGAAGGCCTGGCAGTCGTGGCACACGGCTTGGGCTTCATCGCCTTCATCGCCATCCTCTGGGTCATGGGGCCGGGTCCGAACACGAATGCATACGATGTGTTCTTTACGTTCAACGATGACTACGAATGGGGCAGTCCAGGGCTAGCAGCGCTTGTTGGTCTCATCGGTCCCATCGCCACCTTTATCGGAGGCGACCCTGCCGTCCATCTCGCTGAGGAGCTCCAAGATGCGAGCTACGTGCTTCCACGTGCAATGGTCTCCGCGTCAGGGGTCAACTACCTGATTGGATTCATCGCTCTGATCAGTTTCGTATTCAACCTTGGACCGCTCGACGACCCTCACCTGTGGGATTACAACGAACAGCCATGGGTCGCCGTCATCTACCGCATTACTGGATCGAAAGCTGCGACGATTGTGTTCATCGTCATCATTCTTATCAATTTCTTCACCCTGCAGGTCAACAGCGTGATGACCTCTTCGCGTCAGCTCTGGGCCTTTGCCCGCGACAAGGCCCTCCCTTATTCAGAGTGGCTGGCTCGAGTCCACACCGACGGTATTCCCAGGAACGCAGTGGTCGTTACCATGGTTGTCGCTGCTCTTCTCTCGCTCATCGTCATCGGCTCGACGGTAAGTGACATCAGTGGATGGTAGTATTCTCAAAGACAGCACGCGCTCTGAGAACCTTCTTTCCCCAATCCGCAATCAAAGACGCTTGCTGACGTGATCACCAGGTTGCCTTCAACATCATCCTTTCCATCAGTACCGCCGGTGCATATGCATGCTACATCTGCATCCTCAGCACCATCATCTACCGCCGCTTCGACGGCAACGACTTCCCTCCGACCAGATACTCCCTCGGACGCATGGGCCTGCCGATCAACATTGCCGCCCTCGTGTACTTGATCGTGGCGTTCATCTTCATCTTCTTCCCTTACAAGCCGAACCCAAAGCCAGACGAGATGAACTGGGCATGTCTGATGTTTGGCTCGTTGATCATCCTGAGTTTCAGGTAAGTCGGCGAAAAGGTTCCTTGCCAAGAAATTGTTCAGGCGTGCTAACAATGTACCCACAGCTGGTACTTTTACAAAGCACGGAAGGTCTACGATGGCCCGGTGGAATACGTCCGTCGAGACGTGCAAGAGATCATGTAGACGAGCTGCAAAGGCACAACTCCTACAAAGTCGTCCAACAAGGCGATGTGTCGAAGTCGATAGATATAGATCTTCTAATCATCTCTGGCCAGCCACGGCTCACAGGCCTCACGATGCTTTTTAAAGCTTTCATCATACCTGACATACCGCTCATACAGAGAGGCATCAGCCCTTCTCAGCCATTCAAAGAACCCAGCGATAAGGAAGTCACCGTAGCTTACCGTCCCCCCAAGAACGAATGGTCCTTCATCCCTCTTATGCCTATTCAACTCAGCTTTAACCGCCTCAAGACCAGGCTGCGCAGCCTTCCATCCCTTCTCGCCACCTTCGTCTTTCTCCCATTGCTCTACCGACTTGCCGAACCTCCGCTCGCGATCTTGAGCATGCCAGGCCGCGGATCCTTCGCTGAGGATGTTCTGCTGAGCTGCTAGTATAATTGTGGGCCTCGCGGCACCGATGACTGATAGCAAAGCAGCATGGACAGATTCATGGACCATCGTGTCCAGATGCAGCGAGGGTGCCGGGGACAGCTCCTCCAGCCTTTCTGCGATGGTCTGAGAGTCCATTATATGTTCACCGTCCGGCAAGCAAATTGCTGGGCAGGAGTAGTCCGCCCAAGAGTCAGGTGGGTTCGGTTTCAAGCCGCTGCAACATGTCAGCGTACTATTAAACGGAGGGAAGGAATGGCGTACAGTGCACTCAGCTTAGAGGCGATGTCCGGGTACTCCAGCCATTCAGTGGTGTAAGGCAACTTTTTGTAGTTCAACACAAGGCGAGCTGCTTTTGATCAACACCATGGATGGTAACATGGGACATCTTGAGGTATTTCACTCTTCCATGTATTCGGAGACCAGCAAGATCGAGGTTCTCGGCTCGGTATATCGTATAGAATGATACGTGACTCTGTCATGGTAACGAACAGACGAATGTTTACGGCTGACACAGTTCGGAAGACAGGTGGCGAAAGATCAGGAAGTTGAATCAAGCTGTTGTGCATGAACAAAGCGAAGGACACGCCCTGTCGTTCAATCACTTGTACTCTGACTCAGCGAGTCGCCCTCTTGAACAGGTATTAGTTGACTGCACGAGCTCTTGTACAAAAAGCCATGTGCGATGGAAGAACAATATAGTGAAGTGAGAGACAAAAGATGGTAGAACGATGTGCGGAAGGAGGTGTTGGCATCGGACTTTACCATGCTCATTCCAATCATAATCCTTGTAAAAGAGACGTTCAACCCCGTTGTCCAACCTCAATACTACTACAACCAGCTTCCTCCGTCAGCCGGCCAACTCCATGATACTCAATACCTCGCTCATTCCCACCGACCCTCCGCCTCACGACTTCCCACCACTAAAGTTCCTAGTCTGATAGCTCTGCGGACTCGCACTCTTCGTCTCGAAGCTAACATTCTGCCTCTGGACATTGCTCAACGGGTAGTCGCCACCCTTCTCCAGCTCCCTGTGTCCCGAGCGTTGCGGACGCTTGGAGAACAGCGCCCAGATGCCCAGGCCGAGGAGCGCGACTTGCAGGATGAAGAGGGGGATGAGGGAGAAGTAGGCGAAGCGCTGAACAACAATGTTAGAGTGGTTTGAGAGAGTGGGATGGGGAGGACTGACTGTCTTCTGGCAGAGATCGTGGAACTGTTCTGGTGGCCCAAGGCTGTAGAGGCTCCGGGGTACGTTGCTCCAGCGGCATGTCCAGGTTTTGAGGGTGTCGCGGTGAGGAGCGCGCCAGTTGAGGACGGTGGTGAAGATGAGGGCGATCATCATTACGATGGTGCTGAGGAAGGAGGACACGACGACGATGCCGTTGGCTGGCAGCTGAAGGCGGATGTCAGCGTTTGCTCTCCCACCGTCGAATGTGAGCAGGATGCTCACTTTAGCAACCACCAAGCTCGTCCCAAGCACAAGGTTGCACACCACCACCGCTGCAGCGCTTCCGACCAGCATCTGCAGTTCTCGAAGGTCGAAGTGGTTCGGCCAGACGGGAAGTAGCCACATGTTCGTGCTGTGCTCGGAGTAATAGACATGTAAGCTGCGGCCGGCAGTACCGATGACGGCGATGCTGAGGCCCAGCGAGAGGAGGGCGAGACCGAGGGTCGGGTTGCGGAGGTTGTTCGCCATCGTTGCGGTTCAAGAGCGTGAGTCGAGCTGAGAACGGATTGTCCAAAGCAGTGCTAGCTGTGATGGTCTTGAAGATTCAAGACCCTCTTCAACGTAGTACACCTCTTCCTCCCTCTGTCTTACCGAGAGAGTAATAAGAAACGAAGGACCGTGAATGAAAGACAGGCAAAAAACAAGAAACCGTACCCTCCGGCCGTCCAGCACTTCTATACCTACCACCCCGCAGATCACGCAAACGCCTCTGCAGCGCCTATCAGCGTGATGTTCCTGCATCGCGACATCCTTCTGCAGCCATTGGCGTCGTGTTGATAACGCCATGTCCTGAGTGGTCGTGCAAGGCGGCTACACCTACACGACCCAAATGGAGGTCTGGCCAAGACAGCCTTCTTGAGCAGAGGTGTGGGGAAGACAATGGGAAAGAGTGTTGTATGGTGCGAAGGAGATGGTTGAAACGAAGCGAGTTGTAGGTAGAAGGGGGAGGCAGCGCGTAGAGCAAGGCGTCGGAAGGGCTCCTTGGCGGCATGGGCTCTGATTGGCTCGAGGTTAGACGCCGGGCTAAAATTGGTGATTGAGCCTCGACATCAGCAGCGTTATTAACTAGTACGTGTACTTCGGACGATTGTCTAGAAAGATTGCTATGCAGTCAAGCTGTCGACGGTGAAAGCAGCCCAATGTGTGAGAGTGAGCCGATCAAGGGACATTCTCGCAGACAGCGACCGCCTGCTGAGGAGAGCGATGTTGGCTTTTTGGCCGCAACCGCGTCTTGGAGAAGAGTGCAAGATATGCTCAGTCGGCCGCTTTCGCTGTCCCTTGTTTGGCAGTACTTGTCTTCGTTGATGGTGAAATGCAACAGAGAGATGCTCCAGCCGAAGGGATAATCAGAGTTTCGAAGCCGGAGTATCTTGTCGTAACCGCACAACGCCCTGATTGACAGTCAGTCAGCATCACAGTCACAAGCTCTAGATCGACGACACTCACCTCCTGCACACAACTGGCCACCAATCTACCTTCCTTCGTATACATCCTCTGCATCACCAGACCCCTCCCATCGCCCGACCACGGACTCTCACACTCGGTATACAACCACTCGTCCGCGCGGAAATCCCTCGGCGAGTGGAAGTAAATGCTATGGTCCAGACTGACCATCATCCCGATCTCTGGCCGTCGGGTAGCCTCCTCAAACACGATCTCCCCCTTCTCATTCACATCCAACGACTTGAGCTGAGCAATCACATCCTCGTCCATCCCCTCCATCCTCTTCAGCGTCTCGTCATCCATCGACTTCAGCTTCTTAATCATCTCCGGGGTAATGCCCATCTTTCCACCCCCGCCAGAAGCATTCTTTTTTGAATCCGTCGAATGCCGCCACAGCTTATGCACCCTCGCTACGGTCCCGATAAAATACGAATCGCTCATATACGCCAGCGCAGACAAATGCGCCTGGTGGCCTCCGGCCTCGCTAATCCTCCCTCTCGCTTTAATCCACTGCCGCGGCTTCTTCGTGTGTACGTCGCCGCTCTCATCGTTCATGATATCGATCCGCTGGCTGATGAACGGACTGTGCTTCCCGCGATAAATGTCCTCGTCCTCGACATCCTTCAACACCACCCCGGCGGGCATCGGATGCGAATGCGTGACCTGCTTCTTCCCGCCCGCCCCTTCCCGCATGAACGACAGCGTCGTCGTGAAGATCGGCTGTCCCCGCTGCCGCGCCTGCACCGTCCGCGTGCAGAAACTCCTGCCCTCCCGCACGTGCTCGACGTGGTAGATGATCGGCACGTCCGCGTTGCCGTTCAGCACAAAGTAGCAGTGCATGCTGTGAACGGTGAAGTTATTCGGGACGGTGCGTTGGGCGGCGGCGAGGCATTGCGCGATTGCGGCGCCGCCGTAGATTCCGCGGGCGCCGGGGGGGTGCCAGAGGGGCCGGGTGTTGGTGAAGAGGTTGGGTTCGATGTCGTCGAGTTGGGTGAGTTCGAGGACGTCTTCGATGGCGGATTTGTTTTGGGAGGGGCCCGGGGGTTTGATTAGGGTGGGGTGGCCGGGCATGATGGTGAAGGGGAGGGGTGGTGGAGGTGGTGTAGGAAGGGTAGGGTGGTAGGGAAGCGGAAATGTTGGCGTCGGCTATTGTTTTATAAGAGTCGAGCGCATCGTCTGAGTAACATCCACGTTGTACGTTCTTTCTCGTGTCCGCTGCTCCTATCTATTCATCTCACCTCATCTGAACAACATCGCTCGGGATCATCACGTCGAGCCGAGGTTGATCGGAGCTTTCCGGCCTGGTGCTTCTGTTAAGGCGGTGCTACGCTGATTGGTCAACTTTCTGCTTTCATGTGAAAGTCGCGAAGCCCTCCAACATTACTTTACCACACCATGGCGCACCAAATCCAAGACGTCGACGCCGAGCCCGAAGAGACATACGACGAGAATGCCGACGAGGACTTCAACCCCGACGTCGACAACGATGGCGCCTCCGCCTCCGCCTCTTCAGAAGACGACGAGGAAACAACCACAACCAAGAAATCGAAACCTACCCAAAAGCGCAAGGCCACACAAGCATCCCTAGACGCCGACCTCGACTCCGGCGACGAAGCCACGATAAACGAGCGCAAATCGAAGAAGCGGAGACGCAAGCATGGCAAGCACCAACCCGATGCACCAGAGGCAGCAGACGAGGACGAAAGCGCCGGCGAAGGGGGGCTGATTAAGACTCGCGCCCAGCGACTGGCGGAAAAGGTCGAGCGGAAACAGCGGAAGAGGGAGCCGGTGGGGGAGGTGACGATTGATGTTGATGCGGTGTGGGCGGAGTTGAGTGGGTTGGGGGTGGGGAGGGAAACGAAGGGGTTTCTACAGCGGGAGGTTGGGAAGGAGCAGGATGGGGATGGGATGGATGTGGATGCGGAGGGGGATAAGGAAAACATCGCCGCTGATACGGCCACTAAGAAGGCGGAGGTAGTCGATGAGGAGGACATGATCACAATCACCCGCCTAATCAACTACGCCGGCGAAACGACCTCAGTCAGCGAACGCGTTCCTCGAGCCTCAAAAGAGGCGCAACAATACCTCGCCTCCCATCCCTCAGCCTCTCAAAACCCCACCCCAACCTCTACATCAGCACTCCACCGCCCCCTCCGCCGTCCCTCCCTCTTCGAACCCAACCCCACCGGCGCAGTCAAGAACGTGCCCCCTCAATTCCTGCGCCCGCGCGCGCCCTCCCGCCTGGACGTCGTGCAGGCCGAGAAGCGCGCGACAGAGGAGCAGCGCAAGAAAGCGCAACGCATGACGACTGTGCAGAAGAGCGCGCTGGACTGGCGGGGTTTCGTGGAGGGCGAAGAGGGACTGAAGGAGGAGTTGGAGCGGTATGGGAAAGGCGGGCGTGCGTATCTGGATCGCGAGGGTTTCTTGGGGAGGGTGGAGATGGCGAGGGAGGGGGCGGCGAGAGATGCGCGGTTGAAGGCGTGATGAGGGATCTTGTTGGTGAACGTGCTGTGCTTATTCTGATACCCTGCATCATGACCCACGATACGCTTTCAATGTGCCAGGAGAGAATTGCCTTGATGATTGCTCAAAATGCTCAAAATGTTGCATAGCAGCCCGACTTTTCCTGTTCCTTTCACGAAGCATGCCCATTGACCCCTCCCTCCCCCTTCTCCGCCTTCTCCTCCAACCCCGCCACAACCTTCGCCCCATCCCTGACATCCTCCCCCGCCACCGGCGCCCCCTTCGCACTCTCCTTGATCCCATCCAAAGCCGCTCCGGGGCTCAAACTCTGCGTATTCGACCGCTTAGGCCGAAAAGGGTTAGGCGTCGAAGGCCTCGAGCTCAGGAACTGCCCCGTCCCAATCAGCACCCGCATCCCCCCTCAATTTCAATAGGTAAGATGCCCACTCACCGAACTCGCCGCACTCAACAGCGCAATCAAACTCGCCTGCACCACGTCCTGATGCACGCCCACGCCCCACACCTTCTGCGCCGAGTTCGCCGCCGTGCACTCGATGTACGTCGCCGCTTTCGTCTCGCGTCCGGCGCCGATGGAGTGTTCTTTGTAATCCGCCACATCCAAGTCAATCCCCAGCGTCTTGAGCGCGTTGGCCAGAGAGGAGAGAGCACCGTTGCCGGTCCCCACGATATCGTGCTCGGTGCCGTCGATATCGATCACGCCGCTGAATTTCCGGCGCAGATTCGTCGAGGACGACGTCTTCCGCTCGCCATCGGCGGGGGGAGGGGCGGGGGACGCGGAGCGGTCGGCGGTGATGTCGTAGTCGACTAAGTGGAAGCGGGGGTTGCGCTGGAGATGATAGGCGTCGACGAAGAGGTCTTTGATCTCCGTCGGCTGCAACTCCCTCCCCAGCATATCCGTTTCCTTCTGCACGATCTTGCTAAAAGCCACTTGCAGCCCTCGCGGCAAGTCGAGTTCGAGCTGGCGCATGATGATCCATGCCACGCCGCCTTTGCCGCTCTGGCTGTTGACGCGGATGATAGCCTCGTAGTTCCGTCCGATATCCTGGGGGTCCAGAGGCAAGTACGGCATGCGCCAGGGGTCGTCTTTGCCCAGCCCCTCGGCCTTCCGCGCGTTGAAACCCTTCTTGATCGCATCCTGATGACTGCCCGAGAACGCACAACACACCAGCTCCCCGCCATAAGGCGCGCGCGGATGCACGGGGATTTTATTGCTCTTCTCCACAATCTCAATCACGGAGTTGATGTCGCTGAAGTCCACCCCCGGGTGGATGCCCTGCGTGTACAGATTCAGCGCCAGCGTGACCAAATCCACATTCCCCGTCCGCTCGCCGTTCCCGAACAACGTCCCCTCCACACGATCCGCGCCCGCCATCTGCGCGAGCTCCGCCGCTGCCACCGCACACCCGCGGTCATTGTGCGGGTGCAGGGACACGCACATTTTCTCCCTCTCGCTCATCTTGGTGCAAAAGTACTCAATCTGATCCGCGTAGACGTTCGGCGTGCTCATCTCCACCGTCGCCGGCAGATTGAAGATAATCTTCTCCTTCTCACTTGGTCCCCACGCCGCCTTCACAGCCTCGCACAGCTCAATGACAAAATCCGGGTCGGAATCCGAGAACGTCTCGGGCGAGAACTCGTACAACCACTCCTCCACCCCACTCTCGGGGTCATCTTTCGTAATGCTCCTCGCGTATTTCGTACACTCGACCGCCAGCGCGATCTGCTCCGCATTCGACGCCCCAAACACCACCTGCTGAAAACACGGACTCGTCGCGACATACAAATGCAGAATCGCCTTTTTCGCGCCCTTCAAACTCTCCACCGTCCTTTTGATCAACTCCTTCCTACAAGGACTGAGAACCTGCAACCACACATCCCCCGGCACCACGCCCTCCGTACTGACCAACCTTCTCGTGAAATCAAAATCCGTCGCGCCGGACGAGGGATACGAGATCTCAATCTCCTTGTACCCCAACTGGACGAGCAGCTGGAAGTAGCGCCATTTCTGCTCGCCGTCCATGGGGTCGACGAGGGATTGGTTGCCGTCGCGCAGGTCGGTCGCGAGCCAGCGGGGCACTTTGTCGAGGGCTTTGGAGGGCCATTGGCGGTTGGGCAGGTGGAGGGGCGTGAATTTGCGGTATTTTTTCGAGGGGTCTTTGAGCCTGCGGTCTTGTTGTTAGGAGGAGGTGAGGGTGAGGGATGGAGGGGGAGGGTACATGGTCATGTTGAAGCGTTAGGTGGGGGTGGTATGGCTGTAGTAGCCGTGGTCAGTGTTGGGTCTCTCAGTCCGAAAGTGTTGCTCTTGTATAGCAAGTCAAGTCAAGCTGTCAATCACAGGGCGCGAGAACCCCAAGTCACTTTAAAGGAAGGATTTCTTCGGTATGAATCACATGCCCAAATTTTCCCTTCCATTGACGTTGCCCGCTCTCGAGAATGCGGGGTGAGGTGACTCCAGCTGCAGGGTCAACTCCTCTCACAAACACCGGCTTGTCCCCGTTGGCACTACACGTGTTCAATACTTTCATGCTGTCCCGTGAGTTGGCTCTTGCTGACATTGCTCACTAAGAATACCTGTAAACATCTGTATTGTTACTATCTAGCGCTAGCTATCTGTACTCTCCACAATCCGGCGACCGCTGCGCCCTGTGGAGGGGGGTATCACGCATGTGTGTATATCTTCAAGTCAGTAAGAGAGCCCTCCCCGCCTCAACAACACCCCTTCCGCATCCTCCCACCCCATCTCAACCTATGTCCCGCCCAGCTGCCGCAGCCATCACTTAGGTTTGGATCACTGCTCATACCAAGCCGGCACACTCCTCCTCGAAAACATCTTCATAAAACTCTTCCGCTTCCCCAGCCTAGACCCCAAACTCCTCGTCTCCTCCTCCTCCTTCGACGAAACCGGCACGGGCGGCGGGCGCATCTTGCCCTTCTCCCCCCTCTCACCCTTCTCGCCCTTCTCCTTACTGTTACTAGGCAAAGAGGGCGTAGCGGTAATAGTGCTCCTTCTCTTCGCCGTATTCGCCTTCCCGCTCGCTCCTGCGCTCTTCGCTGCCGGCGCGTCTTCGTCGTCATCGGCATCGGCGGAGGGGGAGGTGGTGCGGATGATTGGGTTTGAAGGGATGGGAGTGCCTTTCTTGCCGAGGGAGGAGATGTTGTCGAGGTAAGTGTTTTTCGCGCGGGTCTCGGTGGGGAGGGCGGAGGGGGTGGTGTTGGTTATGGTTGGACGAGCTGTGGCGGGGGTGATAGACGACGAGTTCGTGCGGAGCGCGCTTGGCGGACGGGCGGAGGTGGAGGTTTTAGTGGTCGGGGGAGGGCCGTTGATTGGTGTAGGGCGTTTGGTCATGGAGCTGCGTTGGGGGGTCTTTTGGCTCTGCTGGGATTGTTGCGAGGCGAGATGAGGGCGGGGTGTTGATTTGAGGGGTTCTTGAACGGAGGTGGGTTTGGAGGACGAGCCGCCGTCGAAGGTTTTGGGTCGTCCGTTGGGAAGGCGGGCATTGTTGCCCGTGAGAATTTCGGTCGAGATGCCATTCATGCGGAGGCCGTCGAAGCCGCCGTGCGCGGTCGATGGTCGGCCATCCTTCTCGCTCGAGCTCGATTTGTGCTGGAGCTGGGCTGGAGGCGTAGGTGATGGGCTCTTCTTGCCGTTCGTCATGTTGGCCGTCAGACTGCCATTGCTCTTGTTTTCACCGTTCAGCGACGAGTTGCTCTTCGCAGGGAAGGTCATGCTCCTCCTCGTCGCATCCTTATTGGCGCTCTTCAACCCATTCTGATCGTTCACGCTACTCCGCTTCTCCAACCGTTCTGCTTCACCCGACATCGTCTGCCCATTCATTGCCAGATAATCTTCCGGTATAGGCACGAACGTCACAATCCCACGTTCCGACGGCACCTTCATCGCACCCTCCATGAACGATTGTATCATCGCCGCATTCCGTCTGTTCGTCGAAGAACTCATCTGCGACGGTACCGTAGTGATCGTTAAATGATAGCAGGGGTCGAAGTTGCCTCCTAACGCAAGACAAGCGCTATGATCGATTCGAATCAAGACGCATTCCTCAGGCCTGTTATACCGTCCGGCCAGGTGGTATGACAGCTCCGTGACGAGGTTGAACTCATCTTTGATCTGCCAACCAACCACCAACGTCAGCGAACAGCATTCCCATCCCACATCCACATCCATCCCAACTCACAATGACATTCGTCTTCAACTCCGCAATCACCGGACTCTGCCTCTCCTTCACCCCATCCATCGCGCCCTCCTCGTAATACTGGCTCCTCCGCTTCGCACTATCGCCGTGCGAGGCACTCATCCCACTCCCCCTCTCCCCCGGCTGCGTCAACCTCAACAACTCCCCAAAATCCTTCGTCGACGAATTCCCAGCGACAAAATCCGCGTACTCCGACCCAGGCGCACTCTTCCTCTTCCACGCATTCGCATTCACACTCGTCTTCTGCTGCTGGTCCTGCGAGGGTGTGGAAGTCAGAGCAACGCCGTAGGAGGACGAGGCTCGCTTGGTCCGGGCGGAGTCGGCGCCGGCGCTCATTGGGCGTGTTTCTCGTTCGTCGTCGTCGGTGAATTTAAAAGGCGGGTGAGGGGATGGGGAGGGAGAGCTGGCAGATGGCGGCATCATGGGTGTGATGTGCGGTAGGGATGTGGGATCGGGATGTGCAGGGTTTGACAGGGGTTGGGAGACTAGGATGGAGATTGAGATGGAATCTCGGGTTGTTTCTTCTTCTTCTTAATCTCGCGGGCGAGTCAGCTGCATGCGTATTGCCTGTTCGAGCTGTTCGTCGGGTGGACGGTGTATACAGTTGCAGTATCTTTGTTGGAAGTCTTGTACAACACCCCAAATGGATGGAACATGAAATGTTGAAGGCGAATGCAGACCCATCTCTGTTCGAAGCCGGATTGCGGAGAAAGATCGACGCTCTGCGCAGATAGACTTTGACAGGGGCAGGCGAGAGGGCAATCACATTCATCACATGCTGTCCTCACAGTGATGCTCCATCTCCTCCGCGGAAACCTTCACGGCACTTCACTTCGATGAGAGCACAGCAATACGCACCCCGCCGAGGCAGCGAGAACACCAGCGCGCACGAGGTCCGGCAGCCATTGGTCCTTCTCTCGCCGCACTGCCGGAACCCTGTTCCAGTTCCGAGCTGGCGGGTGCGAGTTTAATTAGAACATCTCTTCAGGTCTCACCCGCCGAAGAGATGAGATGAAAGGGTGGTGTCGCCAACAGTGTCAGGTTCAGTATCTCACACGAGTCCGCAAGGCTGTGCCGTCTGAGCAGTGATTGGAGTTGCAGATCAACAACTCCCATCTCATCACATGAAAAGATCGTCCCTGCAAGATACTGTATGGACCAAGCCAAACAAGCCTTTCGGCCCCATGCCCGCCGGCCCATGCTCCCGAACCGCAAATCACAACCACGCATCTCATCTCATCTCGTCGAAACCCCGGGCGAAATCATTTCTCCCTCGTGCAACGTCGTCTTCAGGAATGGCCAGCCGCGCCTGGATGCTGCAGGATGCTCACTGATATGGAAGGGGCTCCGATTGCTGCCCCCGAGCCCATCGCCGTCGGTGTCGAGTATACACCGATACACTGCATGGGAAGCAGGCCCTCGTGCCTGACATGTGTGACCGAGAGGCAATTTGCCCCCAGCTGGGCGGGGATGGACTTGAGGGTGATGAGAGAGAGTGGGTGTGAAGACATTGGACCTCTTGGATTATGTCTGCCATGAGAAAAGCCCATCAACACCCCGACTCCAGGCCAACCAGCCAACTGCAGCAACAATTACCGCTCGCTGAAAAGCAAAGCAGAAAGCTCATACCCCCAAGTACAACAACCACCTACCGCACAACAGCATGCGGAGCATCCGACCCACTCCCCTCCTTCACCAATGTAATCATCCCATCCTCCTCCCGCACCACCCTCCTATCCCCCACCATCTCCGACTGCTCTCCCCCGGCATATCTCTCGTCTCCGCCCATGTACCCCGACTGCGGTTCCCCCTCCTTCACCAGCGCAACCGTCCCATCCTCCTCCCTCACCATCCTCCGATCCCCCACCATCTCCGGCTGCCGATCCCCACCATACCTCTCCTCGCCCGCCGTAAACCCTTCTCCACCCACATGTCCCGACTGCGGTCCCCCCTCCATACTCTGCCGCTCGCGCTCCTCTTTATCCTTCTTCGTCTGATTCGGATGCATCAACCGCTGCATCAGCGTCGGCTTCTTCTCCCCTTGCTGCTCCGCGCTCTTCTTGTGCAGGTGGTGGTGTCCGGACTGATCGGTGGAGACTTTGTTGGATGGGGACTCCGTGGAGGAGCGGGTTTGGGGGGAGTCGTAGGAGGAGCGGTCCTTCGGGGAGTCGTAGGACAAGCGTTGGAGTTCGGTGGTCGTGGGTTGCGGAGTGATGGGGCGCTCTTGGTTGTATTCGTAGGCGCCGTAGCCTGCGGCGCCGGTGGTCGCTGCGCCTCCGGCCAGGGCGGCGTCTCGGCTGTAGTTGGGGTCTTGCTCGTAGGTCTGCTGAGGGTAGGTCTGTTGAGGGTAGGTCTGTTGAGGGTACGATCCAGTCGTAACAGGCTCCTTCCCCTTCATCTTCTCCGGCTCAGGCTTCACTTTTGGGTCCATAATATTCGCCATATTGCTCTCATGCGGCCCAATGGTCTTCGAAGCCGGACCCGTGTCGTTCGGGTCATCGCGCGTCCCCTGGTAAACACCATATCCAGCAGCACCAGCCGCAGCGCCAGTGCCTCCAACAATCGCGGCGTCACGGCCATAGTGTGTCTCTTCTGGCTGCTGCTCGGGCTCAGTCCTAGCGGGCACCGATTCGACATATTTCGGCTTCTCCTTCTTCTCGAGCTTCCTTGGCTTCTCCTCTTTCGGCTTCTCGTACTTGTGCTTTTCTTCCTTCGGCTTCTCCTCCTTCGGCTTGTCGCTCTTCATCTTCTCCTTCATCTTGTCCATGGTACTTTGCTCCTGCTGAGGCGGCTGCTGTGCAACTTGCTCCCTCGCCTGGTCGCGGTTTGAAGCCTCGTAGATGCCATATCCCGCTGCACCAGCGGCAGCAGTTCCGGCGCCTGCGTACGCGGCGTTGCGACCGGTGTGAGACTCTTCAGGCTCAGCTCTGGTGGGTTGCGAAGATGCATACGGCGAGGGCTGGGTAGTGGCTGTGCTGTCAGTTGTCTGAGACGTCTTGTACTTCACGGGGTCCCTAGTAGCGTCATATAAACCGTAGCCAGCTGCACCAGTTGCCGCTGTACCTGCACCAGCATACGCGGCGTTACGGCCGGTGTGCGACTCCTCTGGCTCTGCCCTCGTGGGTTGAGAAGATCCATACGGCGAAGGCTGAGTGGTGGTGGTGCTGCTCGTTGGCTCAGCCGCCTGGTACTTTACAGGGTCCCTCGTAGCGTCGTATACACCGTAGCCAGCTGCACCAGTTGCGGCCGCACCAGCGCCAGCATAACCGGCATCACGACCAGTATGAGACTCCTCCGGCTCTGCCCTCGTGGGTTCATAAGACTCTCGCTGTGTCGGCGGAGCAGTGCTGGTGATTGTCGACTGCTGAGAGGCAGGGTCGTGCTTGTGGCTGTTGAATGGACCTTCAGTCATTGTAGCACTTGTCGTAGGCACATCGCGGTCCTGCGGTGGCTGGTTGACATCATCGCCTTTGGTCGCTTCATAGGCACCGTAGCCAGCAGCGCCGGTTCCAGCAAGACCAGCACCGGCCAAAGCTGCGTTGCGGCCCGTGTGAGATTCTTCCTCCGGCTCGGTTCTAGCAGACTCCATGGTGCTGTACTCTTCTCTGGTCGGCTCAGAACGAGTCGGCTGGGCGCTTGTAGGCTGAGTGATGCCGGAGGCAGTCGAAGCTGGGTCATGCTTGTGGCTGTTCAGCGGGCCGCCGGTGGTGGGCTCGCTGTAAGAGGTAGGAGCAGCACGTTCCTGGGTCGGTTGGCTCGGAGTATCGTTGTCCTTGGTGGCTTCGTAAATTCCGTAGCCAGCAGCTCCCGTGGCAGCAGTAGCACCACCGGCGATTGCCGTGTCGCGCCCTAGATGAGAGTCGTCCTCGGGCTTGGTGGACGTGGGTTGCATAGTCTCAGAAGTCGACGGCTGAGTGATAGTGTCTGCGGTTGACTGTTGCTGGGTTGGGTCATGCTTGTGGCTGTTGAAGGGACCGCCAGTGGTTTGCTCTGTAGTACCACTTGTCGTAGTCGGAGCACTGCGATCCGGCAGCGACGTATCCCTCACGTCTTCCGGTCTAGTGGCCTCGTACGCACCATAGCCAGCGGCTCCGGTAGCTGCGGTCGCGCCACCTGCGATTGCTGCGTCACGACCAAAGTTTGACTCCTCCTCAGGCTGGGTCCTGGAGGTAGTAGCTGGTTCGGTCCTCGTAGGCTGTGTAGTTGTGTTGGTGATGGTCGACTGCCCAGACGCCGGATCGTGCTTGTGACTGTTGAACGGTCCTCCGCTGGATCGCTCGGTGTCTGGAGAAACCGTTGTAGTAGGTGCACTGCGGTCCTGGGTTGTTTGATCCTTGACATCGTCACCTCTTGTAGCTTCGTAAGCTCCATATCCTGCGGCCCCAGTACCTGCCAAAGCACCTCCAGCGATGGCTGCGTTGCGTCCGGTGTGCGAGTCGTCGGCTGGCGCAGACTCGGTAGAAGATGTGACTGGAAATCCTTCACCACCAGGATGACTGGTAGACTCGGTCGTAGTGCTGGGCTGGTCATTGGACCTCAAATGATCGTAGCTCAGATACGTCCCGCCCGCCGCGGCGCCCCCAACGCCAGCACCTGACGCTAATGCCGATCCGCTGCCGATGCCACGGTCAGCTTCTTCGGCTGGCGTCTGTGGGAAGGCGCCCGGCATCGTGTGAGGGTCTTCGCCCGTCTCTGTGGGAAACTCACCGGGCACGTGTCCGCCGATTGATGAGCCACCAACGGGGTATGCTCGATCCGTGTAAGTTGCGTTGGCGACATCCTCAGCGCCAGGCTTGTTCTCTTGAGCCGCGAGTTCGCTCGCACCTACTTCGGTTCCAGTGATGGTTCCTGCGCCGGCCAGGCTGCTGTCGCGTGGATAGCTCGATTCCGTGGGAGGCGCTGGGTTGCTGGACTCGATCTGCTCCACTGTCCGGTCTGGCCCTTGCGGTTCGCCTGCCACACCACTCGGCAACTGGTACGAGCGAGCAGTGTACGTGGAGTCGGAAACATCATCGCCTCGATTCTCCCGTTGGAAGCTTGACGTCGTAGGGTCAGCGGTGGTCGTGCCCTCCGAGCCGCCTTTCACACCGAGCCCAGCTAATGTAGAGTCTCTCCACTGGCTAGAATCTTCTGATGACGGCCTGTGTACAGTCGTTAGCCGACAGCAGATGCAGCTTGTGAGGGGAGTGGACGTACTGTGCACTGGTTGAGGAAGCTGAGGGTCCCGTGGTCGGGTTGCCGCTCGATGGTTGCGAGTTCTCGTACATGACGTCGTCATCCTTGGACGAGCCAGGGGAGCTATTCGAACGTCAGCAGCTGTCTAGAACACCTGCGACAAAGCACTTACAAGACTTTCTTCAACTTGTCCATACTGCTGGCTGGTGGTCTCGACGACGCTGGTGGGTGAGGTGAGGGTTACGAGTGGGTATTAGAGTTGGAACGCGTGGTGAAGGTGGAGGAAGAGGTGAGGTGAGGAAGGTGTAGAGGTGCTCGTGGCCAGAACAAAAGAGAGCTTTGTGTAACTGCGGGGCTCTACTGGAGAGACATTCTACGTCACCTCAAGGAATACAGACGCGCATCTCTGCCTCAAGCACGAATCACGAGTGCGACTAGCTGTCAAGATCGTGCTCCATGTGCCGTGTTTGCGCCTCACCGACCAGCGCCTAGGCCAGCTAGACAGCCACCGACCGCATTGACCGCATTGATGTTGCTGGATCTGGCCCATGTGCTCGGTATCGAAGCAGGGAAGTGGGCAGAAGCAATAGAGATCGCTGCTGTAGCGGTCGATCAGGCAGATCAGCCACAGACGAAAAGATGGTGGCAGTGTGGAGTCGCTGGCGCATGTCAAGAGACCGCCTCACATCTCAGCCTGATGTGGTCGAGACATTGGCCGCTGGAGGGGTATCATCACAGACAGGCCGGATCGCTTTCCTGGCCCTGTGCGTCGAGGCAGTCCGTTCTCGCCACGGCTTTGGGACTGAATGGACCTCCGGCGCTAGATATTCGAATGGTCTCGTTCAGAGCATCTGCCTTGCCAACCAACGGACGTGGCCGAGAGCAGACAGAACAGAGCTTCTAGGTCCTCGTGACCTGATAGCTTCCTGATGGTTTTGGACTTGCGAAGGGCATGATTCGTTACACCTTGAACAGCCAGATACCTCAGCTCGGGTACCGGGTGCGGACGGGAGCGGACGGAACAGAGATGTGCTGTGCTCTGGCGTAAGACGCAAAGGGGCACTGGCTCATTGAGTGTATATATCCCTGGCCTCTACTGCACGAGAGAAGCAACACGACCATGGCAAGCTGCGATGATACAGAGAGCTCGACGATAAGCCGATTACTGTATCGCGCCCACTCTCTCACGGCCAAGGCGGCGATGGCGACTGCTTTGGCCGACGCCGAGGATTTTATGCACGGCTAATGCACGCCATCTTCAACATTTCATCAACACGCGGCTGTCAGGTACCACCTGCCTCCGTCTTACCACGTTCTACACAAAGGACTGTCGTCGCGCGATACCGACAGCGCTTCTTCCTACGCTCCTGTGAAGTATTGCTAATCTCCTAGAGAGACTCTTTCACCTTCGCGCATCCGCGGGATCTGGTTGATCCTAAACTGCACGCTGACGACTTCACGGCTCGTTCGTCCCGATCCCCCACCACTCGCGAAGCTACCGACATGCTACCCTCCACTGCAAGGTCCGGTATACCTCCGTCTGTTTCCGTGTCCGTTGTTTCTTCCACTCCAACCTATTCTTCCGGTTATCATCTTTCGCTCCTTGTACATTTCTTCCTATTCCACTTTCTTACTCCTCAAGGATGTAGACCGCATTGAACAACGCCTTAGATCTCATCTCCACTTCCCTCGAAACCATCCTTCTTCTGGCCTGCTTACTGGACCACGGGTGAGACCTGGTCTACCTTCAAATCTACCACGGTCAGACATCTGGACCTGAATTAGAGCAGACGTGTTCCACGATTGAGAGTCAGGACCGACACGAGACAGCCAATCTCCTGCCAAACAACCGCAGTTGCCTTCCTCTAGCCACGCGATCTCTGGGAAGGTCAGCCCTACAACCATCCGCTGGTACTTCCGAACCGCAACCTCACAACCGCATCCGACCCTTACCTTACCCTACCCCCCTCACCACCACCCACCATGGGCGTCCGCGAAAAAGCAAAGAACCTCTTCAAATCCAAATCCCGCACCTCCTCCCAACCGAGCACCAACTCCGGCTCTCCTGACCGCTGGCCCAGCAACGTCTACCGCCCCGACGAACCCATGCCGCGGCCCAAATATCGTGCACCGCCGAAGAAAGAGCACAAGGAGAAACTCGAAGCGTTCAACTTCGCTGACGCGTGGCGGAAGAAGAGCTTCCAGAGCACGTATTCACCCATGGGGACACGAGCGCCGAGTAGAGTGCCGAGCGCTGCACCGTCAAGGCGGACGAGTTTTCTGAGTTTTGGGAAGACGAGTCGGAGTACGAGTGTCAGCAGTGAAATGGGCGCTGGACAGCAGGCGGGAGCGAGACAGCGGGAAGGGCACGGAGCGGCGCTAGCGACGAGGTTGAGCACAGAGGTCGAGCAGGAGGGCGACGACGACGTGGGGAATGGTGAGTTGTGAACGAGACAACGCCGTTTGGGGATGTGGGGAAGGTTGGTTCTGACGGAGCGCAGTGGGCTTGTCGCGGGTGCAGACGAGAGAACGGGAGAAAGAGCGGCCCCGGACGGCGGAGGATGTGAGGGCGCAAGAGCAGATGGAGGGTTTGGAGAAGATGGATACGGTCACGGCGAGGGATCATCTGCCTTTCTCCGAGCGGGATTTGGCGCTGGCGATGTCGAGGACGAGGTTGGAGGTTGCTGCGCAGTCGTGATCTGTGGTGATGATTTCTGGCGTGTTTGGGATGGCTTTGTTGCATTGCGTTGCATTGCGTGGCATGGGCTGAGCTGGGCTAGGCGCAATCGGTTTTTGGTTTTTGTGGAAGCCAATGGCTTGGACGCCGGCGAGCTGTACAGAAATGCATCCAAGGCGGAACATCCGATCGCATACGATAGACGAAGCGCAGAAGCGCGGACATATCTTGCAAGTACATACATGTATAGAAGGCAAGAAGCCTTGCCATGGCGGCACGTGTATATGAATCCAAATCTTCAAAACACCTTCTATGCAAGAAAGTACATGGGAGCACTCGTTGGTCTGGCAAGATAGTCAATTCATGGAGTACATCTTTCCACTACTCAGCTCAGTACCTTGCTAGCATGTCAACACTGCCTCGCATGCCGCCTGAACGGCTTCCACCGCCGTCATTTTGATTTTCTGGGACGGCAGAGCCTACTGCCACCGCGTCTGCCTCGTGGTGATGGTCCTTGCGAGGAGGTGAAGTCGAGATAGAGTCGGTCGCGCCTTCCTCACTTGTCTTTCCTCACATTTAGGTAGAAGTCTATGTCGACCTCACCTTGTACATCACTCATCGTCGTCGGCTTGCACGAAAGGGTTTTCAATCTCCTCGCTCCCGTCCTCTGGGGAGATCAACACCAGCAGCGTCCCTCTGGCCACCAACAGTCCGAGCGAGCGTGTGCTCATATTGCCCTCGTCGTCTGAAGAGGCGGTTAGCACGAGGTCAACGCGCATCATTCGGGGATTGTGAACCTCTCGTGATCTCCTTCACGTTGTCCAGAACCAGGTTCATCAACTGATCATGTCCCTTTAGGATGCCGGTCACTAAGGGAAATCAGTGTGTGTCTTGAGTCCGCCGGATTTGTACCAAGCTCACCCTCTCGCCCGCCGTTAAACTTCACCGTAATGGACTTGTCCATGTACTTGGCCAGATCCAGGATGTTCTTCTTCTCCGTCGACGAAGAATGGCCACCCCGTCCCCCATGGTCGCCACGACCGCGCGAGCCTCTATCTCCCCGGCCCCCACGGCTTCCTCTGTTGCCGCGATCAGACATTGTCAAGATCTGTTATCGCATTGGTCTGTGTTGACAAAACGAAGTCCTGGTCCTCCTTGAATTCTGCTCAGTGGTTGCGACCCCGTCATGTGCGATGCCAAAAGTGATGGCCCCGTCACGACTTCTGATTTCGGCCTCAGCGTCCCGAGGGGTGGAGCGGAACCCTCACTCTGGGAAGCATGTGCATTATCACGCTCGCGGTGGACGAGAACTTGCAAAAGTGGCGTGAAATAGTGTAGCAAATGGCGCGGCCCCCTCGCCGGCCAGCTGGAGGTATGTACTCGTTGGTGGGAGCCCGGATAGGGCGGCCCAGGGATCGAGAGGGTGAGGTGGGGAGGCGCTGGCGCAGCTAATCGCGGCGAACGGCTGGGCTGCTGTGCGGGCGGCGAGGCGGCGTGTGCCCCGTGGTGCGATCCCCTTCCCTCTTTTCTGCTGGCCCTTTCCCCTTCCCCTCTTCCCCTTCTCCCACACCGGCCTCGCACACCCCATGTACAATGGACTCCACCACCGAACCCCCCGCCAACGATGCCTCCGCCAAACGCAAGCGGAGTCCTTCCGCGTCGCAACCACCCACTGCACCGGCGGCAAAGGTGTCGAAAACCGCGAACCAGCTAAGCATCAACTACCTCGCCCGGCAATCGCAAGAAGACCTACCCTTGATCAAGAAAGAAGAATCACTACCCGACCTGCTACACCTGCTGTCTCAGTATAGCAATATATTGGACCGGCACGAGTCTCTGGCCTCCAACCTCGGCGCACGGCCACTGGGACCGATCCTCATCAAGCGTTTCGAGCGCTGCTTCGATGCGCCGCCGAAAGTGGTGGCCTCGCACCACAAGGGAGCCGCGAGCAACCCCGAAGAAAGCCCACACCAGATCACATGGCTCGAGGTGATTGAGTTTGCTCGCTCTCACCCAGCCCAGTTCACGCTCAGCACATTCTCGGAAGGGAAGAGGGTCTGCCAGTTCTACTACCCGCAGAAGCAGCTTCGTGTCCAGGTCAGCGAGGAAGACTTCCTCTTCATCAACAGCGGTCGATGTCAAGAGCTGATACCGCCGCTGCCGATATGGGAGGATGAGGAGAAGGAGGTCGCGACGTGCGATGTGCTCGAGACCAAGCTTAAAGAGCTCACCAATGCTGCGGATATGGTCGCTGCTCGGACTAGACAGCTGAGCCACAGGCTGAAGGGCAGGAGAGCGGCGATACTCGACCGTAGGGCGGAAGGGGGCAGTGGGACACCAGCTAAGGCTACGGCACAGCAGACCACCACTGCACCACTTTCTACCGGCACTCCTAGCTTCACATCGGTCAACCTGATCAACGGTAGCGCGCCTGCCGAAACGGTGGAGCCGGTATTGAGCTCCTCTTCGAATGTGCGTAGCGAGCTTCTTCGCCACTTCGAGAGCCTACCGCACAACCAGAACCAAGGACGAACGCAGCCGAGGAATCAGTCAACAGCGGCTCCCACCGCAGCCCAACCTACCACGGAGCAGGAGAACGGCGCGGCATCTAATGCATCCTCGCTGTCACCTGTGCCACCAAACGCTTTCGCCACCGACTTCATGAGCTACTACACTACCGATACCCCGTCGGCCTCGCGCCCGCCCGCCAGCACCGCGCCACAACGGCCTCCTTCGAGTTCTGGTCAGCAAGCCTATGCGGCAGGGTCTGCGGGCAAACACAACTTCAGCCGGCCATTGCCGCCAGCACTCGAGAGCAGCCAGCCATTCAGGCCTCTCTGCCAGGCGCACATGGACGCTCTCCCCCGCGGCACGCGCGTCATGCCACCATGCGACCGCTGCCGCCGTCTCCGGATGGATTGTGTCAAGAACTTGACGTCCTGCGCAGGCTGCACGCGCAAACATGCTAGGTGCCACTGGCGCGATGTCTCACGGGAGGAGCTGGGTGAGCTCGACCATCTGATGGAGTCGGCGTACACTGCCACTGCATCATCGCCCACGAATGGTATGGCGCTTGCACCAGCCAACGGTTACTCTCATGCTGGCAGTGAGCTCGATGACGCTCCTCACGATGAGAGTGATGACGACGACAGCAACCCGCTGGAAGACCTGGAAGCGCTTGAGGAGAAAGAGGATCGTGAGAGCGAAGCTGCAGCTGAGAGGATGAGAGAGGATGAAGAGGATCTGCGTCAGGCGAGGGAGAAGGAGGACGAGGAGGGCTTGCGCCAAGCTAGGGAGCTGGCTCGTCAGGGGTGGGAGGAGAGCCTGAGGTCTCACCAGGGCGGTCAGGAACCAGAGGGCAGTGACGCTGCTGCTCCAACTCATTACCCTGAAGGCGTTGCGATTGCGGCGTATACTCAGCCTGCTAGCGACACTGCTACGACACACGGCGACGCAGCAACGTCTCCGCAGCTCCACGACAGCATTGTTCCTGTGAATGCTAAACCTACTCTTCCTGCGCAGAATGGAGTCCCAGAAGCAACGCCTTTTGCGCCTCAGGAAGTGGCTCAGCTACCGACCGCAGCCATGTTGCACGATCAGCCTGACGCGAAGCCTCATATCCTCACTGCAGACGACCAACCAGGCGGACACGGACAAATGGGTCTGAGTGGTCATGTTGTCAGCGACCAACCGACACCTCCCTCTAAGAACACAGGCTTTCGCGCTGTCAACGACTCTACCTCAGCGATGTCCTAAGGGCCAAGATGGTGACCCGAGTCATCACATGCGCTTGCAGTGTAACGGTTCGTTCCTTACGTTTGTACGACATGCAATGGCGACAGGCGATGTGATCTTATGCGCTCGATGATTTTGTCAGGCGATGTTTGGGTCTGGTCCCTTCCGCTGTGTCCGAGGAGACACCTCAGTGCGCTCTGTTTTGCCTCCCGGGCCTCGTTTCGTATATCGATAGAGCGTTCCTCGAGGATGGAACTTGCTACTCGTACCTGTATGTATGAGTGGTCCCAACAAAAGCGAGACCTGACTGCCGACCAGCATAGCTACCAAGAATTCAATCCTTCTTCCTCACCATCTCACTCATTTTTCTTTCCAAGTTTGTGGCACAAGTGGCCGCTTCTGTTGTGCATCCCAGATTGCCTACAGCGCGTCACCTGCCAACATGAGCCTCCAGACTCTCCGTTCGTGAGAACACTTGTCTGGCTGTCGAGCATAGAGTGCCGAGCCGCTCTCGCAGCCGACGACGATGATGGACACTGGCTGCCCGCATCGTCGAGGCCGCTATAGGCAAACGCAGGAACAGCAGAGCTTAAGGTGCGCAAGCCTGGTATGCATACCAGAACCAGAGTTGACTTCTCCACAGCCCGCCGTTGACGTCCCACAACTTCCTCCGAATCGGCGTCTTTCCAGGCGCATCGCCCGTCTGCTGGAGATTGGAGCCCTCCCTGACGATGCGGGCACGCAGATCACTGGGCGCGTTCCTGAGCGGGCCGTCCGTCAGCGACTGCGTGTGTAACTTTCGACGCAAAAGTGCGGCCGCTCGCCAATGCGAGCGTCGGCAAGGAGCGCAGACGCAAAGAGCGCGGTGGGTCCTGCGCAGCAAATTCTTCGACCCCCTGGCAACATATCGGAGGCGGGCATCTGGCTCGAAAGTTGGTCGATGTACATGTTTGACTGGGATGAGGCTCTGATGAAACGTTTGTCGATGCCCGGCGATGGCGCAAGAACGGGAGGCGGGATGGTATGGAGATCAGGAACGCGCAGCAGTAGCGTCGCTGCGCACTGGCACTCGAGCATTGCGTCCAAGATGAGGACGGACCGTCCAGTCGCATTGCGATGTCGGACTGTACCCAAAGATTCCTCATTTCCAATACTCCGTCAAGCCGTTCGGCGCTCCAGATCGGGGTGAAATGGCTCGCAGGTCGGCCTCTGTGATTGAGATTCGCACTGTGGGTGTGCATGTTTGTGTGGAGACTGCGTCGCTTGAAGTTGTCGACCTTACGGAAGGAACCGGGCTCACCCCTGTCCGTAGGATATCCTGTACGACCACGAATGAACGCACCCACCATCTGGACCAAATGAGCGACGCTGGCTTTCTGAGGCACTCAATTATCCGACCGGCTCACAGGTGAGGTTGACTCGGCCATTACACAGATCGTTTAGTGCAATGCGGATGGCGACATTGACGGCTCGTCGTTCCACGAGATGGACGGCGGATACATGCAGGCACGATTCGCATCCCGGTGCTCTTCATCATAGCACAGCAGCAATCCCCAGACGCACGGGCTCTGCTCTACAAGCCTTTGGGGACGACTCAGCTCTATAGAAGGTGGGTCCCACGTCCAGGCACCGTCCGCTGTCGAACCCACAGCCCCACGACATCTAATCTGCGCCTATATCAGTGTCGCACAGGGCTGCGTCTTCCCGTATCCCGTAGATCCGGAAGCCTCTCTTGGCATATCGAAGCAGTGACGATTAACAATCCGCTCGACGGCTTGTTGAGAAGGGTCCAATTGCTGCTCGATCATTCCCTGAAACAGTCTCTGCGTACTGCCTGACCATCTGGTGTTGCTCGACAACAGCATTGCCTGACCGCCTGGATGGCGACGATGGCTTCAAAACGACTTGCGAGGGCATCCTCATGCTGCTCACACTCTTCACTTTCGTTGCTTTGTGCGCCTTTTGGGCAGTGGGGACATCAGGCCGTCGGTGGTAGGTGCCTGGGTGTGTTGCATTCCTCTGCGAGGCGTTTGGAGGCTGACGTTCCAATCATCAAGTTGACCCTCCACCAGACTTTCTTTACTCCAGGCTGGACCATCGCGGCGGGATCTATCTGCAGTACTAAAGAGGATCCGCAAGGGCAAGTGTCTGTGATATCTAACCTCTGCACCACTGCGACGAGCACACCACTTCAATCTGGGGCTTGACATCGAACAATCCGTCTTTCTTCAGGACAGCCGTTGGATTATAAGTTGGGCGGCCCCCCCTTGCTGTTTGTTTTGACAATCCGGCCGAGCATCTTGGAGATTAATCGCCTGCTGTTGCCGGTACCCTTTCGTTCTTGTGTGGGTGTTCACCATTCTTGCACTCGGGTGCAGTTGTACCTGACATACACGCTTGCATCCGAATTTCACTGACCTCGTCCAGTGACCTTCGTTGCCCGAACACCACCTTCGAGACCCTGACTTGAACGCTGCCGTTGCTGCTTCGAGAGAGCGAGCTCTTGACGATCGAGGATGTTCCACAACGGTAAGTCGACCTTTCTACTCAAGCCATTTCGCCATGATTTGCCACGGTTGCCCAGATTGAAAAAGCACATGCCTCCCCGTTGAATCGATCATTTCTTGATATCGGCTTTCAATCCGGAAAGAACACAACAGGCAACGCTCATTGGTCATCGGTGGCATCTTGTTTTGTATGTGATGGCGTTTGTTGGAAGCATAGGCACGAGCATCGACGCTGACTTTATCTTTCAGTTTGTACCATGTCGAATCTACAAACTCCCACCCGAACAAATCGTGGCTTGATCGTTCCCGGCATCGACACCACAAAGTCTTCATTGGGACACCCTTCTGGTGCTTTGTCTTATGGAGGCTTGCATACACCGCCTCAATCCGCGCACGAGAGCCGTCGGCCTTCGTTACAATATCCAACGTCGATGGATCTTCCCCATTCTGCCAACTCGTCTTCGTTCGGCTACTCACATCCCAGCACCCCTGTTCACATGACACACTCGAACGGTTTGTTGCCGTCCAACACGGGATCGCTTGAAGCGCAACTGGAATCCCTGAGCGCACCATCCGCCGTCCGCCGCGCGAGCCACTTTACAGTGCCGATACTGCACGCTCCTTTCGAATTACAGCCATCATCCATCGACGCAGACTACCCACATACGACGCAACAAGGTGACCCTTCGACCTACGAGTTCGATCTTGGCGTCGAGCTGCCAACCACTGAAGGATGGCGGCCGTCGCAGCAAGCAATTAACAGCTATGGTACGCAGTCGACCTTTCTCGGACCAGCATTGTTCCCAGCATCGCACAGCATGGCCCCAGACAACAGCCCGAGCCATGCGACGTTCAACAACATGTCATCGTCGTTCCACGAGTCGGTCAACCCGTACGACTCGACATACACCTCGGGGTTTCATGAGTACAACAATGCACAGCTATACGCACCTGCGCCTCAAGTCGTCGTTCCGTCACAACTCTCTCCGCATGACGACTTCGCATCCAACAGCTGGACGGAATACCAGCATGCGCAACCCGACTCTGCCCTCTTAGCAAGCAGCTTCGGCTCCCTCGGACCTGATCACCTGGACTATGACATGGTCGATCCGCCTAGCCCAGTCGAAGCATACTTCGCTCATTCAGAAGATGAAGAGTACATGACGATCAAGCCAGAGCGAAGCGTGACGCCATCGCGACGTTCCTCCTCCCGCTGGTCCACCATGACCAACACCACCGCCACCTCAGCTCGCTCCCGCCGTCGCGCATCGAAAAGGCTCCGCACGGGCGCGAAGAGCAACGCATGCCACAGCCACTACTCGCAGAACTTTAACTGCATCGTGCAATACGAAGGCAGCGGCTTCAAGATCGACGAACACGGCTCGGTCACGGTTGACGTCGCAATGTCGAAGAAACCGCATCATTGCCAACATGTTGACTCCGACGGCAAGCGCTGTACCGGGAAGTTCGAACGCAGCGAGCATTTGAAACGGCATATGGGGAAGCACTCGGATGAGAGGAAATACCCGTGTCCGCTGCCGCGTTGTCACAAGGCGATTCAGCGACCGGACAACGCCACGGATCATTTCAAAACACACCTGCGTCCGAAGGGCAAGGGCAAACGGAACGAGCATTTCGGCTGGGAGACGCTCGAGAACGCCATTTTGACGGAGTACAGCGACCTCAAACAGTGCACGAAGCTACTGACGAATTTACGACGATGGGTCACGAACGGGATGCCGGAGGCTTCCAGCTCGCGGAAGTGATGTCTGGCCTGGATTTACGAACGGCATCTTTAACGACTTTACGGCGGCTTGTGTTGAGTATGAACGACTCTCGGATCGTATTGCTCCGAGTTATGGGAGGCGCGCCGCCTTATCTCGGTAATGTTTTTGGATACTGTGGGATTACTTTTGCATCTTTGCTTGTACTCTAGTTGTTTGCGAGACGGATCGCCCCATGGTGGGTGTCGGCGGCGGCGGTGATGGCATTGGAAGATACCCTACCATAAGGTATGATTGTACAAGTCGAACAGGTTGTATGTTGCAACGAAAAGCATTGATCACTGCTGCGCCTTTCTGCTCCAACTTGATCCTGCTTCAGCATGGAAATAACGACCAGCCATACCAGCTCGTTACTCATCTGCGACACCGAGATAAGGTGCACGTACGCAGCAGAACAGGACACTGCTGGAAAGGGCGTATCTTTGGACGGAGTCGGCCACTTCAAAGCCCTGGATTGTAGTTTTAGTTTTTACATTAACGTGGTCAAAGCTACACCTAGATCACAGGGCATACACACCTACAGTCCGCGTGTAATGTGGTCTGATGCAGGCTGCCTTTAATCAGCCTGTTATATTCTACCTATCGATCGGCCAGGCGTTGGCCGAGGTCGCCCGAGCTGCTTTGAGGGAGTTGGTATATCGCTTGTTGCGTACTGAAACTCGCCAAACAGAAGTACCACGAGGAGAAAGGCCACAGAAACGGCCCTAGAAGCGTATATTCCGCACGCGATTGTCTGTAATTTACAAGCTTGCAAGATTAACACCATGTCGACCAACGGCGGCGGCGACATCGTCTTCGTCAATGCCACGGTAATCGATGGCTCCGGCTCTGACAGATACGAAGCAAACGTTCTCGTCCGCGAAGGACGAATCGAACAGATCTCAACAGGCAGTGCGCTGCCTACTCCGAACCGTTCGAACGCACGAATTGTCGATTGCGAAGCAGGCAAATACGTCCTATCGCCGGGTTTTATTGATATGCACGCACATTCAGACTTGAGTCTTCTGCACACGCCGTCTCATGAAGCGAAGGTATGACTACCAACTCGTCTTAAAGAGAAACGGTAGTTGACTCAGTACAGATCACACAAGGCTGCACAACAGAAGTCCTAGGCCAAGACGGCATCTCCTACAGCCCCGTCAACGACACCACGCTCTCCCGCATCCGAAAGCAAATCGCAGGCTGGAACGGCAACCCCACAGATCCACCGGACTTCTTCGACCGCTGGAGGTCCGTAAAAGAGTATCTGGATGTTCTGGACCTGGAGAAGATTGCTACTAATGCGGCGTATCTGGTTCCGCAAGGCAATTTGCGGATTTTGGTGAAAGGATGGGATTCCAGTCCTTGCTCTCCGAGCGAGATGGAGGAGATGAAGGAGATCTTGTCGAAGGCATTGGAGGAGGGCGCGGTGGGTATGAGTTCAGGACTGACGTATGTTCCGGGTATGTTTGCGGACAATGACGAGCTGGCGAACTTGTGCGAGGTGGTGAAGCAGTATGGCGGATACTACTGCCCGCATCATCGGTCGTATGGCAAGGGTGCGATGGAGGCGTATAGGGAAATGATTGAGCTTGCGAGGAAGACGGGGGTAAGGTTGCATTTGGCGCATGCTACGCTGAATTATCCTGAGAATGCTGGAAGGGCGGATGAGTTGTTGGGGATGATTGACAAGGCGTTAGGAGATGGGGTGGAGATTACTTTTGATACTTATCCGTATCTGCCGGGGAGTACTACGCTTGCGAGTACGTTGCCGAGTTGGGCTGCGGCGGCGGATGACAAGCTTGCTGTTCTGAACGATGAGGCTAAGTTGGAGAAGATCAGACATCAAGCGCTGGTGGAAGGGACGGATGGTTGTCATGGCTGTACGCTGGGCTGGGACATCCTCGAGATCGGCGGCGTTTCTGATCCATCGCTGGCGTCGAAGTACGTGGGCAAAACGTTGGCGCAGATTGCAGAGGAGCGGCAGAAGGATCCATTTGACGCATACATCGATGTGCTGAAGGAAGACGACTTCAACTCCACCATCCTGTCCCACTCGGGCCACGAGGGTAACGTCCGCAAGATCATGCGACATTCCAGGCATACCGGCGGTTCAGACGGGATCTTGACCTCGACGAAGCCGCACCCACGCGGTTGGGGGACGTTTGCCAGATACATCGGCCACTATGGTCGTGATCTGAAGCAGGGCCAGGTCAGGAACATCTACAGTCCAGACCGAAGTGACGAGTTTGAAAGTGTCGAGCCAGAGACCATCTTCGAAGGCGGTCTGGAGGAAGCAGTTGCTCATCTGACATCTCGTCCAGCTCGAGTCATTGGCATGAAAGATCGCGGTCTGGTCAAGGAAGGTTACCGGGCGGATCTCGTGCTATTTGACCCCGAGGAGATTCGAGATGCTGCCACGTTCGCGGACCCGAAGCAGCAGGCGAAGGGCATATGGGCGGTGATGGTGAACGGGGTCTTTGCCTTGGATGAGTGGAGGGCAACGGGGGCCCGCGCGGGGAGGACTGTACGCTCGAGAGGGAGTGGAGCCGCTTTTGCTGTGCAATGAGGTAGTTCAGCTGTTTGTTTGCATTTCCAGAGTCTAAACTCTGTCCCCCGAGGGCATCAAAGCTACTTGACAAGGTGTTGTGGAAGCGACGCGTCGCAAGGAGGTCCAGATTCTCCTCGGCCTCGGTCGGCCCGGGAGCACACCAAGCCAAATCCTGCTTTCGCCTCGTTATCGCCACTCTTCCTTCCTCGCGCCCACACGTGTCGTCAATCCCTCTCCCACAATCTGGACCGTAGATAGCACGACGCGCTGCCAAATGTTGGCTCACTTCACCGCCAAAGCTCCCAAGTCACTTCACCTGCTGGATCCTATCTTCTCCTCTCGTCTCAAAGGAGCCACTTCATTCAACATAGAGGCGTTGCTCATTTCGTGCTTTTTTTGCTGCTCTGCTGCTACTGAAGACTACTAACACCTAGGCAACCCTCCTGCTCGGCGCACAGTCGGAGAACAGGGACGGCGAAGTCATGGCTCAAGAAGAGCGGCATTCGAAGCCGCCTGGTATCTTGCGAGGGGAATCGTATGAACAGACTCAGACCAAACCGGAATGTGCTTCTCCGAGCTCGTACCTTGGTATGAACACGCAATACTCGCCTAAGGCGACCCCGAAGTGTACGTTCACTCACTATCCTTATCGTTGCATGATGGCTGGCATGTGAAAGATGGGAGTTGTGCGAGATGGCCGTACGATGCCATCATGAAAAGGCGGTGTGGTTCACAGGCGTGTGCTAACGACTCCTCCAGCGGTGTCAATTGATCCTAAGACCGAAGTGATCTCACCTCTTATGATCGGGAATCAAAAGGATGTGGAGGACCTCAAACTTGACAGTGGCCGAGTTTCCCGGAAGCCCTCTCTGGTGAAGAGAACGAGTTCGAGGCGACTCGCTGGCCGACCAAGCTACACGTCCAGTCCTTTCCTCAGACCCGATAGTACGACAGACTTTGCCAACGAGGCTTCGGACGATGATAATGCTTCGTCGGTCTATTCACGGCACCGTCACTCCGGCCACCATCTGGAGCAGTTCATTGACCAGGTTTCTCATTGGATCAAAGAGGAGCGAGCGAAGCACTCAGGCGCGGACGCCGAGTCAAAGACCTCCGCCACCGACTCCACCACCGACTCCACCACCGAAGATACAGATGGCAATAACGACAAGCGATCTGGAAATGCCTCTTCACATGCATTCGATCTTGACAAGCTCGAAAGTATCATCAAGCACAATCTGACCTTCGATCGACACCGCAAGCACTCCAGGAACAAGAGCCCGCCTGTGCGACGCAAGCGCTCTCTGCTCAAGCTGCATCGGAAGCATTCTGGTTCCGAAGATACTGATGCCTTCGACGTTGAGACAGCGGTACCGAGCTGTGACGCCATCCTGGACAATTCGAAGACGTTATCTTACACCGGCGGAGCGTCAGAAGACTCCGACTCCAGTGACGATGACCTTCAACGGACTGCCTCATACCGGGACCGCGATGAGTGGGCGAGGTTCAAGTTTGAGATTGTCAGACTCACGCACACACTACGACTGAAGCGATGGCGTCGTGTACGACTGGACAGGAGCAACGAGATCTCTGTTCAACGACTCAGCGGAGCTTTGACAAACGCTGTTTATGTCGTCTCGCCACCGAGCGAGATGCCGTCAGCACGTAACAACAGCGTTGACTCCACCGCGGGTTCACAGAAACCACCACCAAAGCTGTTGCTGCGCATCTACGGTCCGCAAGTTGAGCACCTGATCGACCGTGAAGCAGAGCTGGCCATTCTTCGTCGCTTGGCTCGGAAGCGCATCGGACCACGAATGCTGGGTACTTTCGGCAACGGCCGCTTCGAAGAGTACTTTTACGCGGAGACGCTCACCCCGGAAGACCTACGCAGCCCGGACACCAGCCGGCAGATTGCTAAGCGGATGCGGGAGTTGCACGATGGAATCGAGTTGCTAGATCGAGAACGCGATGATGGACCTTTCGTATGGCAGAATTGGGACAAATGGGCCCCGCGAGTCGAGCAAGTAGTATCCTGGCTTGATTGTCAGATCGACAAGTTGCAGCCGGGCGTCAAGCCCTCGGGGGCTGAAGCATGGAAACGCCGAGGATACATCTGTGGCGTGCCCTGGAAACAGTTCCGGCAGATGGTGGAAGCCTACCGGAAGTGGCTGATCGCCCAGTATGGTTCGACAAGGCGTGTCAAGGAGCAGCTCGTTTTCGCCCACAACGACACCCAGTATGGCAACATCCTGCGGCTCATGCCAACTGGAGAGTCACCTCTGCTGCTCCCGCAAAACACACACAAGCAATTGGTCGTGATCGATTTCGAATACGCAAGCGCCAACACACCCGGGCTAGAGTTCGCCAATCACTTCACCGAATGGTGCTACAACTACCATGATGAGCGCAAGCCGTACGCCTTCCACCCCAATCGCTACCCAACGCCGGAAGAGCAGGACCGATTTGTCCGTGCTTACGTCCGCCACCGACCTGAGATCAACGTCTCGACGCCAAAAGCAGGACCCACTACACCCACTATGCGTGCGAATGATCAGAGCAGCGGCAACACGCTAAGCAGGCGACCGACCTCCAACATCTCAGACTTTATGCTCGACGCTCGAACGCCGTCAACTGATTCCCTGGGCTACTTCGGTGAGGAGGCTGCGCGCAAGAAGGGGGAGGACAAGGAGGTCGCTCGCATCTTGCACGAGACACGCTTGTGGCGCCTCGCAAACACCGCCATGTGGGTTGCTTGGGGCATCGTCCAAGCCAAAGTGCCAGGCATGCCCGATTTCAGCTCCGAAGGCAAGATGGAGCCAGATGATGAAGGCGAAGAAGCTGGGAGAGAAGACCTTGGTGAGCGGGCGGATGAGTATCGGGACTTGGTTGCTCAACAGCAGCAGGAAGATGGGGAGGAAGAGGCGCAAGAGGAAGTGGTTGAGGAGGAATTTGATTATCTGGGATATGCACAGCATAGGGCTTTGTTCTTCTGGGCGGATGCGATACAGCTTGGTTTGGTGAAGGCTGAGGAGCTGCCCGAGGAGTTGAGGGAGAAGGTGAAGGTTGTGCCGTACTAAAGTGGAATGATGATGGGTCGGGCAGTGGCGACTGCAGAGGTTCTTAGAGTAGCACCCGCCAAGCTAGCTAGTAGGTACTTGTAGCTTAGCAATGACATCTTCAAACATATTAATCGTTCACAACCTCGCCTCACCAACCGCCGCCGCTACCCCGTCGCCCTCCGAGCTCTCCTTGCCAGACCTCATTTCCCACCCTCTCCCCCGATACCTCGCGGGCCAAATCCCGCTCTTACCCGGCGCCATGATCCCGTTAGGATCCAACGCATCCTTCAAGCGCTCATTGAACTTCATCAGCGCGCCGTCGTTCCAGTTATACGTCCCAGCCACCTGATCCATCAGGGCGAGATGGGTGCGATACTCTCCATACCCCAACTTCGCCGCATCATCCACCATGCCTCGCATACACGCCAACGCAGCTTCGCACGCCTCAGGATCGTGTTTGTCAAAAACACACTCGACGATCAAATGCATCTCCCTCAGTCCCACGCAGAACGCAGGAAAGATCTCGCATCCGTGCTGGTCTTGCCGCCGGTTGCAGATTTCGAACAGCACCGTGGCGTCCTTGCCGCGGATCGGACTCACGGGGCTGAAAGCGATGTGGCTGCCGTTCGGCACCCAGTTGCACCAGAGCAGTTCTTCGAGGTCGGGTTCGCCTGCGGCGATCTTATCGCGGGACCAGAAGTAGTTGTCCTTTGGGATCGTGGCGGGGTCGATGCGTTTCGCTCCAGACACTTTTCTGAATTCGGCGTCGATGATGTCGAGTTTGTATTGCCGGATGTGCTTGGGGCCGTAGGACATGCCGTAGTAGATCCAGTAGGCTTTTCCGATGGGCAGTTTGGCGGCTTCGGCTTCGACGACGTCTTGCGGGATGCGTCCTGAGCCGGTATAGAAGTCTGTTTTCGGGCGTCCGGTGACTGCGAGGGTTTGTACGGCGGTGCGGAGCTGGGCGACGTTCTCGAGGATATTGCTGATGCGTAGTGGGCGGATGATGTCGATGATTTGGGGCAGGTCGGATTCGTGTTGGAAGGTGTACATGAAGCTTTCGTGGTCAGGAGCGGCGGGCATTAAGGCCATGCCCATCTTCGTTACGATTCCGAAATTGCTTTGGGAGAACAGGCCATCGGTATGCGGACCAAAGCCGTAAGGGAAGGTCTGCCAGGTGTTGTTGTTGGGTAGTGCGCCCATGCCAGTTCTGATGACCTCTCCAGTCGGAAGCACAACTTCTAGACCGGAATGCACGGCCCAGTGGTCACCGTATGGCTGTGTTAGGTTAGCTTTGCTTGGAGGTGAGAGGAAAAGAGGCAATATACTCACAGTATATCCTACGCCGCGGTCAAGCGTATTGCCCACAACACTCCCGCCACCAAGATCAGGCGTGTCGATCCACATGTGCTTATACCCTCGTTTCTGCACTTCTTCATACAAAGCATAGAAGCTGACACCAGGCTCGAGGAGGCACGTATAGTCGTCCGGGTCGATGTCCAGAATCTTGTTCATCCTGCGGCCAAGGTCAATGACTACACTTCCGGGTACTCGAGGTGCGGCGCCTCCATATCCCAGGTTCCGACCCATCGATATCGGGAATATAGGAATGCGGTACTTGTTCGCCCACTGCACAATGGTCTGCACTTCCGCAGTGCTGCCAGGGTAGGCTATTGCGGAAGCCATGAACTCGCGTGAGGGTGTGACGTGCATCATGTCGTGCGTAGTGGCATGCTCCATGTACCAGCCATCATCCTTGGGTGGCTTGTCGACGACGGAGACATTGTCGGAGCCTATTTGTTCACTAAGATCTGCTATGGCCTTATTGAAGTTCGATCTGGAGACGCCTTGAGGGATGATCGGTAGCTGGGGAAGGTCTTGCGCTACGTTTTCCGTTCTTAGATCGTTGATCAATGACTTTGCTTTGTTTGCCTTGTGTAAGAGTCGGGATGGGATGCCTGAATGAGATTCCGAGAGCGTCGGGGTGTCTGCCGAGGCGGACATGGTTCTGGAGATGTTGTCTTTCTGTTGAGTGCTTCAAGGAAGAGAGTACAACACAGATTCAAACGAAGTGAGGAGAGTTCAAAGTAACATTAGGGCTCGGCATTGCAACCCGCCTCTGGGGATATCGTGGTCGACATTCTGCCTCTGGGGCGATTTGCGGAGAGGTGCAGGTGTGGATGTTCGGTTGTTGGAAGCTGTCTGAGAGCTTCGGCAGTTACTGCTCTGCCGTCTGTAGGCGGAAAAGATCCGTGGGCATAGAATGGACGGTATGCACCAGCTTTCAATACCTGTGTGTCTGAAGAAAAATGAGGCCTACAACGCCTACAGCGCTGCCAAATGCGATGTTGGATCTGAGTGGGATACACGCAGCCATCCTGCTTTGAGCACAGCGCAAAGGCTCGAAGACTCGCTCAAAAGGCCGCTAGACGTCGCTTATTTGACCCTCTGATCATGGTGAAGAGATAGATGCTACCTGCCTTTTCGTGTTCAAGGACGTGTTGGGAGCGCAAGGTATAGAAAACATCCAGGATAACGCCGGCATCTGGCGTGTATCATGATGCTCAGGAGGTCTTTGATATGGCCGGTCGGGGACAACTGCTGTTCGCAACTTACTCTGTGACTGTTTCGTGCGTAACCTCCCGAGTGGATGGTGTAGGATGTGCCTGGAAGGGAGGGGATGGAGTAAGTTCATCGATGAAGTTGACCTTGAAGGGAGTCCAGGCTTCCGCTCCGCTCCGATGCCTCTAAAGTTTAAATCTCAAAGTCTTGGCTCTAACTTCTTCTGCGCCGACATTTATATTCAACTTTCGTGAGAATATTTACGATCGCAAGCATGGCGCCGTTCATGGACGACGATGACTTCGTCGGCACACTGTCAGACAACGATGTCGTGTCGGATGAAGAGCTGGCCACCCCAAAGGAGCAGGGCACGAAAAGGAAACGAGAGACTCCAAAGCAGCGTCCTGTGAAGAAGCAGAAGCAGAAGCAGGACAATGGGGGTGATGCGGAGGAGGAAGACATGGACTCCGAATTCGAGTTTGGGATGGAAGATGGCACCGCAGTCCTGGACGACTACGAGACTTTACTGGGCGGATCCGGTCAGGGCAACAAGAAAGCCATCGATGTCGACGATATAGTTGCAAGGCGGAAGCAGACACAGGACGCGGAGGCGGAGCATGCTAGCAGTGATAGCGGTTCGAGCGACGAGGAGGATGATGAAGACATAGACGGGGCCAGCGAGACATCTTTTGACGGGTTTGGCGCTGGCGCAAATATAGGAGAGGAGGATGACGAGGACGGCGCAAACAGTGAAGGGTCCCAATCGCAGTCTGATCCAGATGATGGGTCAGAGCCTGTAGACGATGTTGAGGAAGTGGCTCAGACGCCTCATCCACACGACGATGGCTCAGATTCGGAGGCAGAAAAAGCGGAAGACCCTCTGGAGGTGGAAAAACGAAATGCGTTCTTTGCATCAGAGCCTCAAGCGGCGGCAAATGGGTCTGCCCAACAGTCTTTCTTATCGCTGTCCCTCTCCCGGCCAGTGCTCAAAGGCTTGAGCTCTCTTGGATTCACCGCACCAACACCTATCCAATCTAAGACGATACCCGTAGCCTTGGAAGGCAAGGACGTGGTCGGAGGTGCCGTGACTGGCTCTGGCAAGACAGCGGCCTTCATCATTCCTATCCTCGAACGCTTGATGTACCGATCAAGACGCACAGCGACCACGCGCGTGGCTATCTTGGCTCCGACGAGGGAGTTGGCGCTACAATGCTTCAACGTCGCGAAGAAGCTGGCCAGCTTTACGGATATCACGTTTGGTCAGGCAATTGGAGGCTTGAACTTGCGTGAACAAGAGAAGGCGCTCAAGCTACGGCCAGACGTCGTCATTGCAACACCGGGACGTTTCATTGATCTGGAACGGAACTCGCCGTCTTTTGCTGTCAACACGATCGAAATTTTGGTTTTGGATGAAGCCGACCGGATGCTGGAAGAAGGTTTTGCGGACGAAGTCAACGAGATCCTTTCAAAGATACCCAAGAGCCGGCAGACCATGCTCTTCTCCGCGACCATGACTTCAAAAGTGGACGACCTGATCCGAGCTGGTCTGCAGCGACCTGTTAGACTTATGGTCGATGCGCAAAAGTCAACTGTGCAAGGACTAGTACAAGAGTTCGTCCGTCTACGTCCGACACGCGAGAGCAAGCGACTAGGCTACCTCATGCAACTGGTCACAGCTGTCCACACTGATCGAGTGATTGTCTTCTTCCGGCAGAAGAAGGAGGCTCATCGAGTGAGGATAATGTTTGCCCTTCATGGCCTGAAAGCCGCAGAGCTGCACGGCAACATGACGCAGGAACAGCGCATTCAAGCCATTGAGTCGTTTAGGTCCGGCCGCGCGAGCTTCTTGCTTGCGACAGATGTGGCGAGCAGAGGTCTGGATATCAAGGGTATCGAAACAGTCATCAATTACGAAGCACCACAGAGCCATGAGATCTACCTCCACCGTGTCGGTCGCACAGCGCGCGCAGGTCGCTCAGGTTCGGCATGCACATTGGCAGCTGAAGCGGATAGAAAAGTCGTCAAGGCTGCTGTGAAAGGTGGGAAAGTCCAAGGAGCAATCATCAAGCAGCGAACCATCGAACCAAAAGACGCCGATGCTTGGCAAGCCAAATGTGATGTTCTGGAAGACGAGGTCGAAGCGGTCCTGCGCGAAGAGAAGGAAGAGCGCGCTCTCGCCAACACAGAGCGTGACATCCAGCGAGCGGACAACATCGTCACGCACCAAGACGAAATCATGGCACGGCCGAAGAAAACGTGGTTCGAGAGCGAAGCTGACAAGAAGACTGCGAAGGACAAAGGGCGTGTTGCTCTGAACGGTCCGGTTGCGGCAGTGGAGGGAGGCAAGAAGAAGAAGGTGAAGCTCAGCAACAAGCAGAAGAAGCGGTTGCAGGACAAGGATGACAGGAACGCGGGTATGGAGTGGAAGAAGGGCAAGAGTCAGGATGAGCGGACGGGTGGTGCTGGTAAGAAGGCACGAAAACCTGGTAAAGCTAAGGTGAAGACTAAAAGGTGAAATGAAACTGGTGTTGTCCTTCACATGGTATACCATTTTAAGCTCAATGTGCTTCTGCGTCCGAACAGTAGATTTGAGACCATTCCTTTGAGGCATAATTGAAGGAAACGTTCTTCTGCTCGATACTGTGAAGACCCTGGAAGACTCGTTTACTTGATCATGTGATCGGTCATATCGCCTTTCTCAATTCCAGGGTTCTCGGAGCTGGTCTGCGAAAGCTGTGGAGGCCTGTGGGGATGCAGAGACACGATCGAGATCGGGTGCATGTGTTCGGTGGCGGCCATATGCCGTGTTGATGAGGCTCGGTGAGGCTCTGCAACGTGGAAGTGATCTGCGTGGAGGCGAGTCTCGTGCAGTGTAGATCTTTGGGACGAAGTCCTGGAGTGGTTCGCGGACTCGGTAGAATATGGAGCGAAGGTACACATGTAACGATAGTTGGAACTAATGTGTATGTATATGCTATCTCACACCCGCTGCACCCTGCTGTTACGTCAAACCCGCGACGTTGCATGCGGCGTTTGATGTCCGTTGTGGACAACGCTCCCTGTTCACTTCTCAAGGCCTCCGAAGTCTGAATGGACATCATCGCTTCCCTTGGTCTGACACCGCTGGACGCTCTCCGCTACGCAAAGCAGGTCTGTCGACATACTGGCGGAAGAATTGCTTCACTACGGACGCCGTCGTATCGACAATCGATCGGATCTCCTCCTCGGTCACGTTGTAGGCCGGCGCGATGATGATGTGGTCGCCCCGCCGGCCGTCGACGGTGCCAGAGCCAGGGTACAGGCTGATGTTGAAGGGCTCGCGCATTGCTGTGAGGGGTGTCAGTATTCTGTTCAAGGTCACGACTAGGAAGAGCAAGCATACCAAGCTCATGAACCCCCATCGCAATGGCCTCGGAAGGCTCATACGGCGTCTTCGCACTCTTGTTCGAGACGAATTCGATGCCCCAGAACAGACCTTTGCCTCGTATGTCGCCGACGGCCCCGTGACTGCCCACTTTCTCCTTCAGCAGTTTGCTTAGGAGCGCTCCCTGTTTGCGTACATTGGCAACGAGATTGTCGTCTCGGATGATCCGCTGGACCTCAACAGCCGCGCGGCAAGCGATTGGATGGCCCTGGTACGTTTGGCCGTGGCTGAACGCTCCTGTGCCGTTGAAGAGGACGTCGACGACCTTGTGGTTCGCCAAGGTTGCGGCGACAGGTTGATAGCCTCCCCCCAGCCCCTTGCCAATGGTCATGATGTCCGGCACAACACCTATCAAAGGGTCTTGCCAGGCGTGAAGGGGGTTGGGATAGCGGTCTGTCGGCTCTGGACCGACGCGTCCGCAACCGCACATGATCTCGTCCATTATCAGCAAGGCGCCGTATTTGTCACAGACTCGTCGCATTGCCTGGAAGTAGCCCTTGATGGCAGGGACACAGCCCAGTGCAGCGCCAACGACCGGCTCAGCTATGAAAGCGGCCACGTTCTGAGGGCCCACTCGTTGAAACTCTGCATCAAGTTCTGATTCCAGTCGTTGAATATAGCCGGCTTCTGACTCAATGACAGATTGCTTGCCGCGGTAGGTGTAGCATGGGCTGACACGACTGTTAGCCGTACTCAGCATGGGCTCGTAAAGCGCTCGACGAGCGACGTGACCTCCCACGGCCAGTGCTCCGAGAGTCGTTCCGTGATAGCTCTGCTGTCGAGCGATGAAGTGACAGCGCTGCGGCTCGCTTGGCCTCTTCTCGATGTGGTACTGTCGGGCGAGTTTCAGGGCTGCTTCAATTGCTTCACTGCCACTGCTGATGACAAAGGCTTTCGCCATTTCACCGTATGTGCTCTCGATTAGGAGGTTGGCAAGGTCCTCTGCGGCCTTCGTCCCGTAGAAGAGGGAATGGCAGTAGTCCACTTCGTCCATTTGATCAATTAAAGCTTTCTTGACTCTACTCGCTGTCAGCGCGGGTCTGATACAAAATCGAAACTTCGTACCGTTCGTCCCCATGACCCAGGCATGCCACTGCTGCTCCTCCGGTCGCATCAAAAATGCTCTGACCGTTGTCGAGACGAAGATAGTTACCCTTGACAGACACAACCCTCAAGGGGTCGTGGTGTAACGATCGATGAAGTACAGCAGAATTGGTGCCATGGATGTGACCTTTTGGTGTTGTTGGTGTTAGATCGTCATGACCTCCATCGACGACATTGCCATCGTTCATAAGTGGTGCTGTTGAAGTCATGTCGAATAACACACGCTCATTGAATGGAAGTAAGCCAGTTCTATCCAACTCTTGTACCGCTACTCTGATGCCTCACTTATACATGTGGCTTCTCACAGGGAACATGAGGCGAAGGGCAGCTGTGACAGACCGGTCGGGATGACCGCCGCCGTTTAGCACAGGAAAGCTGCACTGAGGTCCCGTACTTGTGGATAACCCTATCATCTTCAGGGTTGATGAGCCGCTTGTGCGCGAAATGCCCACATGCTCCGACCAATTATAGAGCGCAGTGGTCTTATGTTCACGGCCAACGATGGGTCAGTTAGGCTTCGGACTAGCCAACTCACTGATCGGTCCGGACACTGAGCATGGTCGGGAAGCCGAAGGAGATGGACAGTTCTCGCCAGGACAGCTATGTGCTTTCGTGGTCCTGCCATCCACACAGGTGTGATTAGTTGCCCATGTCCAAGGAGTATTGTGGTCGTGCGTTGAGCAGGGCGGTGTTCCTTCACATCCCAAGGCTGCTGTACTACCTCCCGTTTAGCCACCTGTCTCCGACCAATTCAGTGAGGATTCCAAGGCATATTGATGCCCGAGCAGCAGGCCTCCCCACCGTGAGTGCTCTGAGATAGCTGTTGAGAGCCTGCAGTGCCGGTACGGAAAGAGCAGTGCGATAGCTGCACGAAAGTGGCAGGTGATCGTGGCCCCTGGACAACCCTTCCCTAGATTGAACAGCTTCTGCAGATCGTAGCAACATGTGCCATGAAAAAGGTCGGGAGTGGGTGGGAATGTGCCGCCTGCACGATCTTGCAATCTAGGTACTAGATCATGCGACTAATTGAAGACCGAGCCTGCTCGCTGGGTCAGCCGTTATAACACGATCGGCGCCGCAGGATGCTGTGACCAAGCTGCAGAATACCCGGAGGCATGATAGGGCTCCCAACTCGGTGGCACCGGGAAAAGTCAAGTCTGCATTGTGGACAGCCTCTGCCCGCACTGCTTGAGTCCCCAGGCAGGCAGGTCAATGCAAGAGAAATCCTGCAGTGCCCTGAGTATTCCACAGCCCGGCATACCGAGCAGGTAGCAAGTTCGGCGAGGGCGATCAAGGCGCCTAGTAGTAGCCCGCAGAAGTTCGTCAAGCAGTGGAGTGAATGCTAACGTGAGCTGGTGAGCCTCACGGGACGATCCCGTGTTGGAAGATCACGGAGCACGCTTCGAAGCTTCCAAGGTGGTCGAGACCCCGTCTTGCAGAGGATCGTCGCTGCATGCTACAGCCTCCGCGAAAGCACCACCTTCGATGCCGACTTCAGCGCTCCGCGTAGCCACTCATCGTTATGAATAGCCCTGCTGCAATTGGTTCCTAACACCAATCAGACATGTCAATGGGCAAGGCGAGCCCAGTCTTCTGCAGCATCATTTGTCATGGTCTACCATGACCCATAAGTAGATTGGGGTCCGGGATCGGTGGTAGCCTAGACGAAGGAGTGAGTGGATGACCTTCGCCGTGGCACCCATGGCTGGCCGTCGCGGGCATGGTGACGATAGCGGGTTGCTTCTCCAGTCCCATGCCTCGGAGGAAGACAGCGAATGACCGCGAGTGCTTTGCTCGGCTTCTATCCCCCGGCAGCACTTCGGGGTCCAGCAGAAGGCCGACGGCGGGAGGACCGGCTCCTATCCACTCAACATATCACCACTGATGACGCTTTTGATTGAAGTAACCGCGAGTTGCCGTTGTGGAGGATGCTCAGTGTTGCCGGCTCAAGAAGGAGTCGTCAGCGGAGCTCCCGATCGCAATGGGTCTTGGCGAACAGAATGGAGCCAACGCCACTGAGGCAATCTTGTCCAAAAGTCCCGACGTGTTTCGATCTGTGGAAAGCTACTCGATCCGTGGTTCTCGCGGCGTCAACTCCATATCGTCCAGAGATCTAGCAATCATCATTCGGACAGCCGGCTGGCGTGACCAATATTCGGTTCTCCGGTTTAGTGGCAATCGGCAGCCTTCGACTGTTCGGCCTTAGAGTCGTCACAAATCCGTCTGCTGCCATCCGACATGTTCGGGCCGTGAATGGGCGTCTCCCGGCTCCTCTGCCTTTGCTGCCATCGAAGTGAGTGCACCACACGTGATCTTGTGCGACGCGTTCGACCTGACTTCACATGAGGGGAGCGGGACATAAGTATGGGAGGGAGGAAGATTTCAATCGTCACTCGAGAACAGCGACACTGACCAGTATATGAGTCTCCGCTTTCTTGCAGAACTCGGTCACGTGCGGAATATTCGAGAAGTCCACAAGCGTGTCGCGATGTCCGCACAGAAGTCGATCCAGGAGAGAGCCATATCACCGCCCGGATCGAGGAAGCGGAAACGTCCAATCAGCGAGCCACACGGACAGAGCCTCAAAGTCTACAGTTGGAATGTCAATGGCATTGGGCCCTTTCTACAGCCGTCAGTTGCATCGTACTTCAAGGCTGCTGGTAGCAGTGGTGATGCTGGCCAGAGCGCAGGCAAGGCGTCCCTGAGAGATTTCCTCCGCCGCCGTGGTTGGCCGACCCTTCTTTTCGTACAAGAAGTCAAGATTAATCCTGACGATGCTGCTACGATTCGTGGCATGGAGAAGGCCGTCAAAAGGCAGCCTGATGAGCCGGACGATGCTGCTGACTACGAATCACACTTCTGTTTCCCCAGCGACAAACACAACGCTCGTGGGTTTGGCAGAAAAGTATATGGTGTCTGCAGCATCATACGCACAGACTTTCGCAAGCGTTACATCGACAGAATACGTCAAGTAGATTGGGACACGGAAGGCCGGTTCCTCGTCATTGAGACACGTGCAAACGCCGGCATCCCGAAACTTGCACTCATCAACGTCTACGCCGTTAACGGCACAGACAATCCCTACAAGGACCCAACATCAGGAGAAGTCATCGGCACGCGCCACGATCGGAAACTTCGGGTACACGAGCTGCTGCAGGCCGAGATTCGGCAACTTGAAGCCGATGGCTTCGGGGGGACGATCGTTGCCGGTGATGGTAAGTCGGTGCATTGATCGAGTGTGCTTCGTTCGACCTCACCGCACTGACAACACTGCAAATAATCGAAGGAATGGACGCTGACCTGACGTGCAGTAAACATCGCCCGCACGCCGCTAGACGGGCATCCCAATCTACGTACCTTCCCAAAACAGCACTGCATTAACCGCGCAGACTTCGAGGCGAGGTTTCTTGCGGACCCATCGTTGCAGGCTCAACCTCCATCCGCTTCTCGACCAGAGCAGACATCAGAGGAAGAGCCGGATGGCGAAGACGCTCCCTCAAACTCTACCGCTAGCAAACCAGCCAGCCTGGGCATGGTAGACACCTTCCGCTCTCTCCACCCAACCCAGCGAAGCTATACTTACTACCCGCGCACCAAGCCGTTCGGAGAGAGCTGCGACCGCGTCGACCTGATCCTCATCTCAAGATCCCTTCAAAGCAACCTCAAAGCAGCTGGGATGCATGAGACTGTCCAAGAGCGCGGTCCAAGCGACCACGTACCCCTATACGCGGAGCTGGAGTTCGGGCTAGAGCAGGAAGAAGAAGAAGCAGGAAGTAATCGATGATGATAGCTTGTTGTGGTATTCGGTATATGCATACACTTGCAGAAAAGAATGGCACCAAGTCTTCCTTGACACCTTGTCAGTTGCTCCGAGATCCAATCTCAAGCCCCCCTTTACCCCTTTTCCCGTGAAATGGAAGAATGCAGACCGCCGAACTCCTTCGCTTCCCAAGAACCACAGTCTTCAAAAGCAGCCACGCTATGCATCCTCCGACGACTTTCCCATATCAAAGCTCAGTTCTCTCTGCCCATCTTGTTTCTCGCCAACTCCAGAGCCTTCCGCTCCTTCCCGTCCCTCTCAAGCACAAACACCCAGTCCCTGATCTCAATCCCCGGACTGCTCTGCTCACTCCAATCGCCCCACTGCGGCAGGCCACTGCCCGGCGCCACCGGTCCAGTATTGCTCGGTACTGTCGCGTCCCCTGCAGAAGGTCCAGCACTAGGTGCACCAGGTGTCGCGGTCCCACTGGCGGGCCCGCTAGAAGGCTTAGCGAAGCGGTTGGTGGGCATATTTGCTGCAGCGCCTTGCATCCACTTGAATCGCGGCTTCAAACCTGTCATCATCGCGGCAGTCGCGTTGGTGGTACTGTGCATCTGGGCGTCGGTGGAGGAATTCTTCTCCTTGGCTTGTTTCGCTGCTTCCTTCTTCGTCATCTTGAGAGGTGCGGCGGTATCTGCAGGAGCGCCATTGGTCGTCGGGACGTCGTCTGCCAGCGCGCCTGTTTCGCCGCTTGCTGCGGCTTCGGCGGCTCGCTTGCGCGCTTCGCGCTTCTTCAGGCGAGCAGCTTCGGCGTCTCGATCTCGCTCGGCAAGGGCGCGCAGTTGAGCATTGAGGCTGCCTTGGAAAGACACAGTACGTTGCGGTTGTGGTGTTGCAGAATCGCCAGTGTTGGGAGCTTTGTCCCATTGCGAGCCGGTCACATTCTGTGGCACGACGGTCGCATCCGTCTTCTTGCCTTCTCCTTCCGCGATGTCCGCAAACTCTAGTGGTACGACCCGCCCATGATCGCCGTACTGCCTCGCTCGAGACAGGGTGTACGCCTCTCCTAGCAGACCTCGCAGCCGCTCCCCAGCAGCCAGGCTTACCAGACTCGCTATGGTCTCGAAGGCAGTGCCCTGGTTGACCAAGCTATCTGGCCGATGATCATGCTTCACTCCTGTCACTCTGTCAGCAACAATGCCTTCTTTCTTGTCCTCATTCACCATGGCAGCTGTGTCTGGCTGTCGCACGAACACACCCTCCATATTCACCCTCACGCCCTGCTCCCGCCCTAACCTGTCCATTCTTTTCCGCAGATTGTTGCCGAGCAAGAACTGGTTGTTCAGATGGTGCTGTCTCCTCTCTGCCAGCGCCTTTGCTGCCTCCTCTCTCTTTCTCCGGTGCGCAACCTCAATATCATCCTGCGACATCGACTGACTCATCGTCCCGGCAAAGGCGTCCTGGCTTCCAAAAGATGTGCCTTGCGTCAGTAAGTTGAAGCTGTTGCCCCCGCTCGGGATACTGCTCCCGAAAGAGGTGTTTTGGTTCGTGCTGAAACTTTCTGGCTGACGGTTGTTGTACACGTTGTACATGTAGTTTTCCTCGTCTTTGAGGTTGATGCCGCTGCCAAACAAGCTATCACTTAGATCTTCAAAGCCGACTTTGTCTTCGCGCTCTTCCTTGTTCGGTCGCGGAGGTGGTGGCATCATCTCGCGTGAATGTGTTTGCGGTGGGCTGTTTTGACGCATGCCGTATTGTACTGGCCCTCCTGCCGAGAGTGGTGTTCCAGGTTGCGACTGCCATGAGACTGGCTGGTTGTGATACGCTTGAGGAGTGTTGAAGGCGCTTTGCGGGCTCGCCGCATAGCCGCCGGGTGTGCCGTACGGTGACTGAGCTTGTGGAGGGGCGTATGGGTTTCCATAGCTGTTCGCGTGAGGCATTCCGTGAGGCGGATGTGCATATGATGGTGCGCCGTTCGGTGGTGATCGAGGATCCGGTGATGTCCTCTGACGCTTAGCGGGAGGGGGTCCATACGGGGCCGCGTTGCTGGGTGAAGCCGCATTCTGATATGGTGAATATGGTCTCGGCGGCGCCTGCTGCTGTGGTGACATCGAGTACGACATCTTCGCGATGCTGAAGTCTTCGCGAGGATGCTGGCGCCGATATCAAGGTCGATGTCCCGTTGCGGAGGATGAGCGCGCAACGTGTGCGCCTCCTCACGTGGAAGCCCCCGTCCCTGCCTTCACGAGCCCATCCGTCGCAGTGGTGGTGTCGCTGAGATGTCCAGTCGAAGACAGTGGCCAAGCTGTAGATGACGGCGGTGGTATGTTTGATGTCGCGGTCGTGATCGCTGCGGAATATGGCCTCCACTTCTGTCTTGCTGGTGGAGTTGACAGCAGTGAAGCGTGAAATGACGGAGGAGGTCTCGGCTCGTTCCGTTGTCTGCCAAGACCGAGCTTTCAACATCACCTGCCCTGCACTTCCAGCTTGACAGCGCGAGCTTCTTCACTCACACATCACCTCTTCGCAACAACCATCAACCAATGCTATAGTCGAACGACACGCGGAATCGCTCTCTACTGCATGACCCCTGAGGCATTTGCGATAACCCGACGACCGATCTGAGCCCACTACACGTGTAGAGCGCCCAGCGCGCCCGACTCCTTCACGATGGCCACAAAGCGCCCCCACGCGGCAATGAACGCCGCGCCAGAAGACGATGAACCCGTCGACCCAAGTGATGAGCTCATGTTCCTGGCGCTGGGCGGAGGAAACGAGGTGGGGCGATCATGTCACATTATCCAGTACAAAGGGAAGACCGTGATGCTGGACGCGGGTGTACACCCAGCGTTAGAAGGGCTGGCGGTGCTACCTTTCTACGACGAATTCGATCTCAGCACCGTGGATATACTTCTCGTAACCCAGTAAGTCTTCTCTATCAGCGGTGGTGACCAGGATGGATGAACAACATGGCAGTCACCGCAGCGCAGCGCTACCCTTCCCCTTATCTTTTTCCTAATGTTCCACCTACGCCTGGTTCTCAGCTCACTGCGGCGAACGACATGACGTAGCAGTGTACATAGCCATCGTATTCAAACCTTTTCTCCGACCAGCCCACCTCCCTTTTCTTGCTGAGCTGCGGTAACTAGCCATGGTAGATTAGCAGGAAGAGCAAAGACGTCCCAGCACCAACTTCGCAGTCGACTAACACATCGGTTTCCTAGCTTCCACATGGATCACGCCGCTTCCTTGCCCTACGTCCTCAGCAAGACCAACTTCGCCGGCAAGGTCTACATGACCCATCCCACCAAAGCCATCTACAAATGGATGATGCAGGACTCGGTCCGCGTTCAAAACACACATACTTCTGGAGCCGGCAGTGCGGATGGCTACGTCAACCAGCTCTTCAGCGAACAAGACATCCTCTCCACTCTGCCTCTGATCAACACCATTAGCTTCAACACCACCCACACCCATAATGGAATCCGCTTTACCCCGTATCCCGCTGGCCACGTCCTGGGAGCATGCATGTACCTCATCGAGATCGCAGGCCTGAACGTCATGTTTACCGGCGACTACTCCCGCGAGAACGACCGCCATCTCATCCCTGCCGCCGTCCCACCAAACGTCAAAGTCGACTGCTTGATCACCGAATCGACATTCGGCGTCAGCACTTCCATCCCACGCAGCGAGAGAGAAGCCGCTTTAATGAAGTCCATCACCAGGATTGTGGGCGGTGGCGGACGATGCCTGCTTCCTGTTCCTGCCATCGGAAACGCCCAGGAGCTCATGCTGATCCTAGAGGACTACTGGGCACGGCATCCGGAGTACCAACAGTACCCGATCTACTACGCAAGTGCGCTGGCGCGGAAGTGCATGATCGTATATCAGACCTACATCGACGCCATGAACGACAACATACGAAAGAAGTTCCAAGCGTCGCAGGCTGGGACGGGACAAGGGCCGTGGGACTTCAAGTTCATCCGCAGTCTGCGCGGACTCGAGAAGTTTGAAGACATCGGCGGATGCGTGATGTTGGCGAGTCCAGGCATGCTGCAGAACGGTGTGAGCCGGAGCTTGCTGGAGCGTTGGGCACCGAATGACAAGAATGCTGTCATCATCACCGGCTACAATGTCGAAGGCACTATGGCACGGACCATCCAGACCAACCCCGACACCATCCCAGCCATCATGACCGGACGCCAGCAAGGGCAAGGCTTACTCGGAAAGCGAGGTCCAGGCGGCGACGACCAGCAGATGATCCAGCGGCGTTGCAAAGTGGAAGAGTTCTCGTTCGCTGCCCACGTCGACGGCCAAGAGAACAGGATCTTTGTGGAAGAGGTCAATGCGCCTGTGGTCATCCTTGTGCATGGAGAGAAGCACAACATGAACCGCTTCAAGTCGCGCTTGCTGAGTCTGCAGAAGTTCAAGGTGTACTCGCCTGCGAACTGCGAGGAGGTGCGGATACCGTTCAGGAGAGAGAAGGTTGCCAGGGTGGTGGGGAGACTGGCGAGTCGGGTGCAGCCGTTGCCAACGCCGCCGAAGTCTGAAGAGGGAGACGACGAGGATGGCGAGGGTGAGGCGAAGAGAAGGAAGGAAGCTGAGCAGCAAGTGGTCAGTGGAGTGCTGGTGCAGAACGACTTCAAGCTTTCGCTCATGGCGCCGGAAGATCTTCGGGAGTATGCTGGACTGACCACCACGACGATCATCTGCCGCCAGCGACTCACCCTTGCTGCTGCCGGCACCGAGCTGATCAGATGGGCTCTCGAAGGCACTTTCGGAACTGTGACTGTGGTTGCCGACAAGCACATGACAAATGGGAACAGCATAGGTCACGAGAAGGTGGAAGATGCCGATGAAGAGGTCCCGCGTCAAGACGACACAGTCTTCGAAGTCATGGGCGGCGCTGTGCGCCTCATCTGCCGTCAAGGAGGAGAGGTCGAGCTCGAGTGGGAGGGCAATGCTACAAACGATGGAATCGCTGACGCGGTCATGGCGGTACTGCTGACGCTTGAGTCGTCACCGGCGGCTGTGAAGCAGAGCAGTAAGCTGCATAGCCATGGCCATGAGCACAGCGACGAGTATGATCCCTTCGGCGACTCTACGGAGGTCAAAGCACCGAACGGGGTGGGCGAAGCAGATACGAATGGGAAGAAGCCGGGCAAGAACCCGTTCGCCAATCTCGATCCAGAAACCAAGCTCAACCGGCTCTTCATGTTCCTCGAAGCGCAGTTCGGCGAGCAGGCCATCCAGCCTATCGCCGAGCCGAAGCTTCCTGAGCTCAATGGGTCAGCAGAAGAAGGAGACGATGTCGGCCGCGAGAAGGCTGCAGCCACTGAGCTTGCACGACTGCACGGCGTGGGCATTCCAGTCCCAGGGATACAGATCTCGGTGGACAAGATGGTGGCGAAGGTATGGTTGGAGCATCTGGAGGTCGAGTGTGGGCATAAGAGTTTTGCGGACAGAGTGCGTGCGGTCACAGAGCGGTCCATGCAAACTATACAGCCGCTTTGGCAGTAGAAGGCGTCTCGGTGGGATGGAGGTGAAACGGCGTTGTTGGCGAGGAGGGTGGTGGTGTGGCAGTGGCATGCGCCGGGTCATTCCGAGAGCATGATGACACTGCGGTTAGAGCGTCTTCCTATCGTCTGCTTCTCGGTATACGCGGACTGTAGTTTACTAGTCAAACGATTTTGAGACCTGGCATACCAAGCAAAGCGTACCTTAGTCTGAAGCTTGAGAGTACTAACATCTATGCCTTTGACTCTCACACTTTCTCAACAACTTCTACACCATCAGCATCTCGCCAGCTCGGGTCGAGGAGCTAATCGAGTACTCCACGTAGAAGTAGGATGCGGCTAATTGTACACCGCCGCATCCTTGGAGCATAACCTTGACACGGCGTCGTAACTTGCTCTTACTGACCGTAGCTCTCGCGATGACTCGAGTGCTCATGCGAGAGGCCACTGGTATGTTATCAAGGCCTTGTTATGCATACATACTGACGTTGCTTACCAGAGCGCTTTTGATCGGACCCAGCAAGGTCTATGGAGTGCTGGGGATCAGTCTTTGACATGGCTGCATCCTCTCACCTTCGGCACTTCTCCAATGAGACCCGCTTGCAGAAGACTGCATTGGCCTCCAACGCAGGGCTGAGCCTTTGCAGGCTCGCGGAGCCCTCAGCACGCCTCCATTTCGGTGGTTACTCCAAAGATGTGGGCCGCCCGACAACCGTCTCCACCACCGACATCCGATGCTCATTGTTCCTGTGGGACGACAGCAAGCGCAGGAAAATGAGGTAGGAAAGAAGTCTTGCACATGCACTCTAACTCGCTCTCAATGCGAACAGCCCTCTGGACTCTGCTTGAGGATCGCATTTGATCGCGCCATCGAACACCTCGACGGTCGACTACATTATCTCCAACCATGGCGCGAAGTCCTAACATCATCTTTATCATGGCTGATGACCATGCCTCAAAAGCAATCAGTTGCTATGGTACCGGTATCAACCAAACGCCGAATATCGATCGGCTGGCTACCGAAGGGATGCTCTTCAACCATTGCTGTTAGTGAATAAAGTGAGCTCTAGAGATGCGTTAGCCGGCCACTGAACCTGTTGCACAGACGTTACCAATTCTATATGCACACCATCAAGAGCAGCCATTTTGACCGGAACTCACAACCATGTCAACGGCGTTATGACTTTGGACGACTCCATCAACAAGCATCTCCCGAATGTGGCCAAGCATCTTCGATCTTCTGCTGGGTATCGTACCGCCATGTTTGGCAAGTGGCATCTGGGAGAAGGCAGTCGTCATGAGCCTACAGGCTTCGATGAGTGGTCAGTACTGCCAGGCCAAGGTGAATACTGGGATCCGACATTCCATAATCCCGAAGGAAGCACCGTCGAGCAAGGCTACGTCACTGACATTATTACGGAAAAGTCTTTGGACTGGATCGAACAAGGTCGAGAGTCTGCCAAGCCATTCTTCCTGATGTGCCATCACAAGGCGCCTCATCGGACTTGGGAATGTGACGATAAGCATAAAGACCTCTATACCGATCCCGTGCGAATTCCAGAGACCTACAACGACGATTACAAGAACAGAGCGAAGGCGGCGAAAGCGGCGAAAATGCGAGTAGCTGAAGACATGACCTACCAGGACCTAGGCCTTGTTCAGCCGGATGGAGGTGCACGAGTGGGATCAAAGGTCTCGCTGGACTTCGGCGATGCTCAGCGCAAGGTCCCGGCGAATGCAACGAAGCTGATCGACAAAGACACGGGGACAGTCTATCGTTTTGGCAGTGAGAAAGAACTATCCGAGTTCAAGTTCCAACGTTACATGCAGAGGTACCTGCGTACGATTCAATCAATTGACGACAACGTCGGTCGAACGCTGGATTACCTGGACAAGAACGATCTTGCCAAAGATACGGTTGTCATTTACACTTCGGACCAAGGCTTTTTTCTGGGAGAACATGGGTGGTTTGACAAGCGCTTCATGTACGAGGAGTCTTTCCAGATGCCGTTCCTGGTGAGTTGATAACGCTCTTGCCCCGCCATCTCCATAAATCCGTTCAGTCGAGTAGCTGACGCTGCAAGCAGATTCGATATCCAACGGAGATAGCCGCCGGCTCAACATGCAACGACATCATCTGCAACGTTGATTTCGCGCCAACGTTTCTGGATTTTGCAAACTCGCGGATCCCCAGCTACATGCAAGGGCTGTCCTTCCGCTCGCTTCTTCGCGGTGCTACTCCTCCGAAGTGGCAACAAGTTGCATACCACCGCTATTGGTAGGCAAAACTATACTATCTCTAAGGCATTCGCTAATCACTCTGCCCTGCTGTCTGTAGGATGGACAATGATATCATTCACGAGGCTCGAGCACACTACGGAGTGCGCGATCAACGGTACAAGCTTATCTACTGGTATAAAGAAGCTCTGGGCGTGGCAGGCGCCCGGCCTGGAGGGGAGAGCGAGAAGGAGTGGGAGCTGTTCGACTGTGAGAAGGATCCGCTGGAGCTTTTCAATGTGTACGGAGAGGCAGATTATCAAGCTGTGCTGAAGAAGATGACAAGAATGCTGGAGGACAAGATGGAGGAAATTGGCGACACTCCGGTGCATCAGCTTGAAGGCCAGTAACGAAGCTCTGTGGCAGTCGTGGTGTGTCTGACTATAAACAGACAGACGAAAGCTTGAAGCGGCCATGGTCCGAGAGCGCTCGGTCTTGTAGTTAAGATAGACAATAGACGGACGAGAGTATTGGATAGAAGCATTAGTAACACGAGGATAGTTCAAAGCTCACAGGATTGACATCTTACAACTAATAGACCAGCGCTGACATTCACCGAGAAACGTGTCTACGGGATTCCCAATATACAGCTGTTGATGATGTCTGGTCTTATAATACGTATGTATGTACAAATCACTTGAACCCATCTTAACCAGCTTTCCTTTCGCATCAAGCTGTCCACATCGGCAACGTAACATTAACTGCATGCAAATCTTCCACCCTCGAACTCGAGCCTATCCAGAACGTGTACGGTCCTGGCGGACTGGTCAGCTCCGTGTTAACCCAATAACCAAGCTCTCGTCTTGCGATAACGAAGTGAACGTCCTGGCTTTGTCCCGGCTCCAAGCCAACCTTTTCGAACCGTACGAGAGACTTCACCGGGAACTCGATGTCCGGGGTGTAGATCGGCCGGTAGTACACCTGCACGACTTCTTTTCCGAACACATCTCCCGTGTTATTCAGGCTGACGTTAACGGTTATGCAGCTGGTTTGATTGTTCGAGGAGACCGTCGGGTTCGAGAACTTGAACGTGGTGTAGCTGAGGCCGTATCCGAAAGGCATCGGAACCGATCTTGTGAGGTTCGGGAACTGCCATGCGGCAGAGATGTTATTCGCCGTGAGACCGGCTTGGTCATAGCCCTGGTCGGAAGGGAGAAGGTCGTAGGCAATCGGTATTGCACCTGAGTACTGAGGCATGCTGACCGTCAGCTTGCCGCTCGGGTTGACTTTGCCCGTGATCAGCTCGACAACGGCGTCGCCAGTGAACTCGCCGGATAGGAAAGTGTGGAAAATAGCGTTTGCACGCATTGCCGACGGATTCAGCACAAACGGTTGACCTCCGGAAACGACAAGGACAGTCGGCACGCCGACGTCAAGAACCGCATCGAGCAGTTGTTGCTGCAGTCCAGGAAAGCCGAGATCGGCATGCGCGAAGAACTCGCCGTCGGTTCGCTTCAGGAAGAGAGGATCCGAGGGAGAAACAGAAAGGCTACCCAGCGCAACGACAGCGAAGCCAGCGTCCTTGGCCGCAGCTACTGCGTCCTGAATGCCAGAGTCGTCATCCGTATCGATAAAGTCGCAGCCTTGCGTGAACGAGACCTTCCCGGATCCAAATGCGTTCTTCATGCTTCGGTGTAGCGAGTCACCGTAGCGTGCATCGGAAGAGTTGACAGCAGCATAAGAGCCAGAATTGAGGATGTTTCCGAAAGGTCCAATCAGCGCGACCCGACCTGGAGTTTTCGGGAGCAAGCCATCATTCTGAAGCATTGCAATGGCTTCACGTGACATTTCCCGTGCGATTTCGAGGCTCTGAGGCAACCTCAGCGTCGAGTTGAGCTTCTGCGGGTCTGGGAGCGATTGATCGAAAAGACCAGTACGGAATTTGATCTCAAGGAAGGCAAGAACCGCCTGGTCGATGTCACGCTGGAGTACAGCACTGCCGTTTATGGCATTCAAGAGTGTCGGCATGCCGCAGACGGTGGGCTCTGATGGCGGACACAGCTCCATCTCGATCCCGGCATGGACTGCCTGAACAGCAGCGTCTTGAAGCGATGAAGCTGCATACATCTGGTTGTGCATCTGCCAGATACCGTTTGCATCGGTCATGATCAAGCCCTCGAATCCCAACTTCTGACGAAGGATGTCCTGAAACATGTATCTGTTCTTGTGCATGGGTAACCGATCGACGGAGGAGTATGAAGCCATGATGGACAACGGCTTCGCTTCCTCGATGACCTTGATGTATGGTCGGAGTTGATCGTTGTAGATGTGATTGATACCTCCGTATTGGCTGGCGAGATTGACACCGCCGCTGGTTTCGCCATAGACGTAATGTTTCATCGTTGTGGCGACCTTGACAAAGCCGCCCTCACCCTTTTCCTCCATCGTCAGCACGTATGTCTTGCCGAATTCTCCGACCAAGTAGGCATCTTCGCCAAAACTAGAGCAACTATCAGCACCATGCTTCAAAACAGCAAGACTTTGCGTACTCTTCACCAATGCGGCCATATCGAGGCTCGCTAGTGACGTCCAGTGGTGGAGACAGCACCCAATTGACGCCAATAGCTCGTTGCTCCTCCCTAATAACCGCAATCGCTTGCTCGAAAAGTGGCAGATTGAACGATGCCGCCATGCCCAGGTTACTTGGGAAGATGGTTCCTCCGGAGATGTAGATGCCATTATTCGAGTCCGTGACGGTGACAAATGGGATATGCAGCCGGCTCTCGTCAATCTGCCGCTGTTTGATTCTGTTGGCGATTGGTACGACATCGCTGGCCCAGTTGAATGCTGAACCGTAACCTGCAATCCATGGTCAGCAATTGCTTGCTCGGTGATCGTTCTCGTTAGACAAGTTGTGTACCGAGATTGCCATTCTGTGTTGGATACAGCTCGTCAAATCGCGTCCGATTGAAGGTAGCATCGGCTTCCAAGAGTCTTCGGTAGCCTCCCAGCTGCCCGATCTTTTCTTTCCATGTCATTTGCTCAAGCAGGCTCTGTGCCCGTTGGCGATACAAATCCGTTTGGGTTCCATTGATAACCGCAGCGCATGGTGTGAAGTGCTGCAGTATTGCGGCCGCAACGATCAAAAGAGGAGAGTACATCATTTCGTACAGGTGGTAGGATGTTCTGTCGCCGCAGCAGTGCCGCGAGGACGTGTAACAATATCTATACTTTTCAACTTCTCCAACTCTGGCCCCAGACTCTCCGCAATTGCGAACCCTGTCGTCACGTCAACAACGCCATGGGGGAATCTGGAGATTGTTCTGGAGAGCTACGGTTGTCGGTGTAGGCGGAGATGCCGATCGAGATCCTGGTCGCTACCGACATCCGATCCCCGCCCTGACCGACTGCCGATGCAGGTACTGGTTGGCAACGCGAGGCAGGACTGTGAGGGAAGATGCCATTGGGGGCTAGATCGGATGCCTGAAAGTGCGTAGGTGCCGAAAGACTGAAATGAAGTCGTCATCCTACGAAGTTCCCAGAAGAGCCTCCCTGAATTTTGACGGCATTTGTCCGGTGCGGCCACACTTCCATGGCTCAACTTCCATCTGCGAACGTTGGCATGGCAAATGCGCTGTCATAACCGATTTGCGACAGTCCGGCATTCTCCCAATACGAGATGCCAAAGGGATCGATTCCGTCAAATAGTGGATACAACAAATCTGGAGCAAGGCTGTCGACGGTAGACTGGCCTTGCTGAACATGTTCGGTCGCAGGAGGGAGTGTGTTACTTCCAATAAAGCGTGGAGGTTGCTCAGTTGCTGATGGGGCGATGTCACCGCTGTCGTCGACAAAGTCGGACTGCAACAACAGACTGTGTACTGAAAGTTTCTGCCGTGCGTTTGCGAAAGTAGACACCCCTGGGGATGTTGTTGGAGCTTCATCGGGGCTGACGGGTGATCCTTCCGAAGGTGAAGCCAGTAGAGACTCCTGAAGCCTGATGAGGCGGGTAAGGTCGTCGCGCTGCAAACTCGTCAGTCAGTTTCTCCAACGTGAGATCGAGAGGTAATCTTACAATCGGCCTACTGGCCATGGTGTTGGCAAAGAAGCGACTTATGAAATCGAGACAGAGCTTGGCCGTGCTGATTGCCCTCTGCTTTTCCATGACGCCGACCGAGCTGTCAGTGAGACGGAAAGCACCGAACAATATCAGACGAGCGCCGTGGTATGCGCAGACGGCAGTGTCCAGTTCCAGTATTCTGAGGTCCTCCGCATATCGACAGAACTCGCCAATGATATGTGCTATCTCTTCTGCGTGCTTGAGCGCCGCTCTGCCCAGCCGTGTCTGTTCTTCGCTCGAGACGCCTTCAAGTACCGACGAAGGTGAGGCTTGAAGGTAATTGGGCAGAAACATCCGATAGAGGTCGCAGTGACATTGGTGCCAGGAAACATGGAGCATAAGATAAATTGGCCGCCATTCGAAGCCTCGGAAATCGGATGGGGGATAACGGTTATGAGGTTCCAGACGCTTACGAATATTTTCCAAGTCAGTCTGATGCCGATTGACATCGCGCAGCAGGTGTCGGAAGATTTGCTCGTTCGACAGGATCCTTCTCGTCACCCTGTGCTAACCATTAGCGTATCACGGTACATGTCATTTCATGACTTACTTCATAATGCTACGTCGAATGCTCGTCAGCTTGAGGACGGCAGCATGAGAACCCAGGCCACCAGTCTCACACGCCTCGTCTGAGTTGAGAAAGGCAGGTGTTCTGCCCTGCGCTTCACTGTCGTCTGTGTTTGGAAGCCGTAAATGTATCGTCTCCGGCCGACAAAGCTCATACTCGGCAATTCCAACACTGAAAAGGTCCTCGAGGAGATATAACGCCCAGAACGTCCTACGCCGCGACTCTTGCGCCACTGAAGACAGTTCGCTGTGCTCGTAATGCAAGCGTAACGCAGCAGCTGCTCGAGCTGCTAGCCCGGCGAGCATAAACGCTCGAGCAAAGTAGCCTGCTGCGGCCCGATATTGTATGATGAGAAGCAAAGCTTGGAGATGGAACACGGATGGCCGGTCTAGGACGTCGAACAAAGCTTTCTCCGCCCGATCCACCCATGCTGTGGCAGGCAGGTGTTGGTGACCCAGAAGAAGAGCTGCTATGGCACAAAGAGCCAGTTTCAGTGGCTCGCTTAGGCTCTTCTCGTTCAACCTCCGTACAACGGTATCCGCATGCAAGAAGCTGTAGGATGGCAAAGCTGCCAGGTGATGGAAGTACTCGAACTGCAATTCTGCGACTGTCTGGGCGTTCGGCTCATCGTGGACGTTGCAAGTGGCATGAGAGGTTGGGTACTGTTCGGAGTATGGAAGTCCTTCGTCATCTTCGGCTACGCTGTACTCAGGTTCGTTTCCAGTCGCATCTGTGGAAGATGACTCGGGCGGTTTACTTCCACCGTGGCGTTGTCGGGATGTCGAAGGGTAGCTACATGCTTGGGCACGGCGGGCACAATGCATGCATTGCGGCTCACCAGAGCACCTGATCTTCATCGAGCGGCAGGCCAGACATGCTCTCGCTCCCCGGCGTCTCGGTGGTGGCGACATGACTGAGCCCTGCTGGGCATGCTTGAAGGAGCATTCGAATTGAAGCCGGGCGCAGCTCCTACACGACGGTGTTGCGCCATCACACCTCACCTGCTCGTGCTTAGCACGTGATGGAGTGAATGCAAGTTCAAAATTGGGGTATACACCTTCCGCGCTCGGCACTGTTTACAAGTGGTTTTGGTCTGATTGGTAGTCATGGGTAGTTTTAGAGAATGGTGATGAGGAAGAGAGGCATCGGGTGTCGCGTTGGATCCCGCTCGGCTGCCGCTTTCATTGAACATCCGACTGCCGGCGGTTGGCAACAACAATTTCAAAATGGGCCACAGCGTGACTCTCAAGATGCCTCTGGGCAGCCAAGGCGAGTTTGGATTGGGCGTTTGTGTGGTGAACTTGGTGCCGGCGTCCTCAGAGCTGCTCCTTCACTTCTCCGTTCATGACTGGAAGTATAACACCTTCGTTCCCAAAAGGAGCTTGCAGGGTGAGGGTTAGAAGGTAGATTATGCTAATGCGGAGGTAGCGGAGGAATAGATGAAGTTGGCTGGAGGGAGTTGATGGAGGTGGAGAGGGCCGGGGTGGTGGTGCCGATGAGGTGTAGCGGATGTGCTGGAGGTGGATCGGTTGGAGGAGTTGGCTACATGGTATTCTCTACACTTTACTAGCACCAAAGAATTTGTTGTTCACCACACTGACGCTACACTCCTTTGAACGACTGCGACCTTCGTGCTACATAATCTTGTTGAAAGACCACTCATCTCCTCCTTTCCCCCACTGGCCCTTTTCTAGTAGTCACTGATCCCATTGTCGTGCACACTCCAAGAGCCAAACCTCTCTACGCCCTCGTTGTAGCATCTGTTGAATGTCTCGCCACCGTCTGGATCCAGGCTGATGGTATTGTCATTACAGTCCACTGTGGCGTAAGACTCGAACGATCCAAGGGCGATCCTGCCGGAGGACCTCTTTGTCTCTGGATGGAAATCGACTGACTGAGGGCTGTCGGTAAAGTCGCCGTTGCAGTCGAATGGACCGTCCTCTCCTCCATTTCGGTATTCATGGCAGTGGACTCCAGGCTGAGGAGCACCCCAGGTGCTGCAGAAGCCGTAGGCTGGGTCTCCCGTAGACTCGTAGAAGCGGTAGGTCGTGGAGCTGTCAGCGGCGCAATTTTCGACGTTGTCGTAGGCAATGACTAGAACCCTTGTTAGACTGAGCGACAACTGTCTTTAGGCGAAGATCACGTACCCTGCCATGCCATGGCGCTGGACGCTTGAATGGCAACGAGTGCAGGATAGATGAAATGCATATTGTTGATTCTCTAGGCCGCTGTGTTGGGAGAGACAGCAGGAGGTGCAAACGTGAGCTCTGAGGTTGCGGTTCAGCGTTGGGAATTGATCGGACTGGTTCGCATCAGGTCAGAGGCGGTCGGACGGAATGCGTATATATATACAAGCACTCCTGCCAAGGACTTCTGTGCTTGTGAGATGCTTGCCGGTACACCCGTCTGCTCGCTGTATGCGACAGACCTTTTGCTCCCGCTCCAGCCGTTTGGATGCATGGTCGTCGGCGTCCTGCGGCTCTTGCTAAGGCGAGATTCCATATCTAATGTGTTGTTGCAACGTTGCTGTATGCCCTGTAGAGAGCCTTGGCATATGCAACGACATCATTCTGCAGAGTTCAAGAGCTCATAAGCCTTCGAAGGATGGCATTCCGCGGAGCTTCTTTTCTCTTAAGTGGACATCGCCATGGCACGTGTGCGTTTTCAGCGGAACAATTGCCCATCTTGCGGGCGCTCATGTCCTTCCGCTCTTGAACGCTAGTACGCCAACTACATCCTTCGTGCAGTCGTGACCTGGTTGTCTGGCTGCATTGCGGAGATGAGCCCACGGAGTGACGGCTGCAACAACATTTCGAGACGGCGATTGTTCGCCGGTTGGCGTTTTCTTTCACTCTCAAAGTTGGACCAGAGAGCGTCAATAGGATCTTGGGTGGCTTCGTGCGTAGTTGAAGCTCTTGTAGACTCGAGGCTCGCTCGGAATGTGTTTGCAAGTGTTCGCCCTTTTCTCACAGCATTGGTCCCGCTCACCTCCACCGTACTGGTCGAGAGCGGCTCATATCAACTTCCAGATCAGGAAAGTCCGGCCCGAGAAAGTATCCGAGCCGAGACCACGGACATATGGGCGTATCCGGGATGGCTACCGAGCCGCCTTCAGACTGTTACCGTTCCTGGGAAGCCGATGATTTGTTGCAAGCCATATTCATCCGCTCTTCTCTAGATCCTTTGCGACGCTCGATCGCGCTTTATCCGGTCACGTCCATCCAACAAGGACACTGGACTTGCTGGACTACGAGGCCGATGTCTTCACGCTCAGGTTCTCGAGCCGATCATGTCTCGCATGTGCATATCAGGACACCTTACCTCCTAGTAGCGAGCTCGTACTCACGGCTCGCCCGGCTTCTGTCCACGAGCTGGTTTTGCACTCATCCTACTCTCTCCATAGCGTGGACATCTACGACCGTCCGTAAGCGAAGTTGAAACATTGTTAGCTCATCGCTCACTAGTCCCGGCATCTATAGCCTTCAAGGGGTTCGTAGATTGAGATAGGACTCAAGGGCGTTGTAAGGTAGTATCAAGCGATGCCAAGTATATAGCCGACTGGGTCGGCCCGAAGCAGCCTGTTCCGAGCGCAGCCCCGAAAGTCACGACCAGCACGGCGTTGCATCTCTTACGAACATCTCTAAAAACGATCCCTCATCTGCTCGTCTGGAAAATACTGTCCTCCCTTTCCCTTCACTTCCGCATCATATTTGGTCTCGGGTGTACATCTGGTTCTTCCCATTTCCTCTTCTGGCAAGAGGCAAACTACCGCTAAGAAACTTGGCGATCTTGGGCAACCCTCATCTCGAGATAGGTTCTCCCAACGACGTTCATCTTCACATCAGTGTCATAAGTAGATTGCTACTTGGTCTTCTCTACCGGCCTAGCACAGCATTATTACAGATATCACAAAACGCCGACACTCACATCGCGTTGTTGGCTCGTTAATTGTGGCCAGCGGACAGCTGCAGCACAGCGCATGAGGGGCTGAGCCAGAACAGGCCACCACTCCACGAGGCTGGCGCCTTCATGTGAATCATCGTCAGGCCTGCAAACACTGCCTCTTCTGTCGTTCGCTGTTGGATGTTTCACCAATTTCGATATTTCACGAGTTTCAAAACTTCTTCAGTTCTGGCTACAAGCAGCAAACAGGAAGGTCCATCCGCTTGTCGACGTATTTTTTCGACGTAGAGCACGGCGTTCAAGATCTGAAAGTCGACAAACCAGCTATACTTGACTTCGCCATGGCGATTTCTGTTCACATGGAAGGGTCAACAGCATCTCCTTGGGACGGAGAACCAGAACTCAAGCCAGAGCTATCACCAACATACATCAAGCTGATCGTTGGCCCTCAGAGACAAGTATTCGAGTTCCAAGAAGATCTCATTTGCAACAAATGTCCATTCTTCTACAACGCCTTTTGCGGCAACTTCCTAGAAGCAAAGACTAAACAGCTCGAGCTCCCCGACGACGACCCAGAGCGCTTCCAGGAACTCGACTCATGGCTCCAGCAGGACGTGATAGACGACACGCAAAGCTGGCTGGCGCTGAGCAGGACCTGGCTCTTCGCGGACAAGTACCATATCGACGAGCTGCAGAATGCCATAGTTGATGCCTTGTATCGAAAGTACACAGCACATAACACAGGCATCAACATCGCCTTCGAAACGTTAGACTACATCGCCGAGCACACCTACAAACGCTCGCCCTTACGCCTCCTGTTCGCCGACATGCTCGTCAACGGCACCTCGCTCCAACAAATCCCCGACCGCGCTGACAACATCCCGCACGAATTCATGCAGGAGATGTGGCTCTCCCTCAAATCCTACATCGCCCGCAACGGACCGGCCAACACCTCCCTCCTCACCAACCCAATCCACTCTTACTACGTCTCCAGCGCCGCAGCCAAAGCGACCGCCATGCCCAAACCCGTCGACCCCGCCGACGCCCCAACGGACATCTTCTGCCAAAGCTGGCGGTGCGAAGACTCGCTTCCGATCCGCGACACACTATACATGTGCACCAACCACAACGTCACGCTCTGCCGGCGATGTCGGGACTCGCACCGCGGGCATCGGAAGAAGATGATGACGCTGACCACCGCTCCGTACCGCGACGCCGCGACGGGGGAGATGACGATCATCGACGCCCAGATCAACGACAGCGGTTTCTACTGCGACGGCCCGAAGTGCGATACCCGAGAATTCGAGCTCGGTCTGCCGGACTATGCGCTCATGTCGGGGGATCGGTATCATTGCCTCGTCTGCCAGAATATGGATTTCTGCAATGTCTGTGTGAGGGGTGAGCTGGAGTGTAAGACGAAGGGGCATGCGATGTTGAGGATCAGGTCGTCGTTTGCGCGGAAGACGTGGAAGACGGAGTGTGTTAGCATTCCGGAGAAGCAGCGGAGGTTGGCGGCGAAGCTTTGCTTGAGGTGTGCGGGAGACGACCATCTGACGGACGCTTGTGAGGCGAAGGAAGCTGTCTTGGATGCTGAAGTCGAGGTGGAAGAGTAGAGGGCTATTTCTGTGTGCTGTGTTGGGAGGCAAGATCTGGACTCACATGCAGCGTTGACTTGTTCGGCATGGGAATGCGGCATATGAGCGACTTCTTACCGGTCTCCACGGGGCAAGCATTCTCCTCCTGAATCCGCAGTCCAGGACGAGCCCGCTCCAGCTCCTGAACGGACAGGTCTGCACAGCTCAGTCAGCTTCCAGATCTTCAAGCACGACAAAAATGCCCTCAAGCAGGTCACTTACCGACAAACTTATCACAGACCCTACAACTCTCCCATCCAGCGGCCACACAAGCCACCCACTTCGTCGGTCCGGCAGATCTTTTCAAGGCCACCACCTTTCTATCACTTTTCCTGTATCTGCCACGATATGCGCGCAACCTGCAAGAATTCAGCGAGGACCTTCGTCCAGTGACGTTGTAAATTCTCTCCCATTTGCTGCGACACGCCAGGAATCCGAGGGTTTGGAGGGCGGTGTAGGGCATGATTCCGAAACGACTGATGAGCTGTGTGGAATCTGTTTAGACCTCTAAAATGTCGGAAAATGCTAATTGAGATGTCCGGGCGCTGTTGGGTTCAATGTTTCCCGTGGCAGCAATCATCTTCCTATGACAAAGAAGTTGGCTTTGTCACTGGCCATGCTCATCTCATAGGACAATGGCCGGCGATTTGGACTGGAATGAACAATGGGAGAGTTTTGTAGGAGATGAGGTGATAGGAGATGAAGTGGTGCTGATGGCTTGACCGATGGTAAAATTCCGCATGGAGGGCTTTGGAAACCGTATAATAGCATACTGCTGAGCCTTTTCGACTTCGCCTCGGAGCATACCCAAGCTGGCCATCGGACGCCATGGAAGCGCAAAGTGGACAAAAACATGGAACCTGAGAAGGGAGATGACAGGAATCCAAGGAGTAACGCTATCCCCAGACACGTGAGCCCTACCTCTTTGTGTTGCTCGATGCTCAAGGTCAAGTGAACTGGTGGAGTTGGGGACCCTAAAATGCTCATGACCGCGAGCTCAGGAAGCAGCAAGGAACTCGTGGAGCAGACCGCGCGCATCCTACTAGGTATGAGTCTTGTTTGCCTGGCTAGGAACAGAGAATGCGGCGCGCTCATCTCATGTAGCCGCTGCTGACAGTGGTGTTCGCACGTGAGGAAGCTTCGTAGTAGCCTTGGAAGCTTTGCCCAGACGGTGGTCCTCGGTGCGAATTCACATTGGAGTACGGTCCATAGGGTTTCTGGGTCTGAGCAGGAGGATGTGTTTGTCTTCAATGCAAGGTCTCTTTTGGTTCGATCCTGACAAGCTGTGCTTTGGGCATATGGATTGCGATGGCGTCGCAAATGTAGAAGCCGCGATGTTGTCGGGTCGAGGACTTGGATGGTATAATGATTTAACTGCTGACCTTTGTAAAGAAGCAAAATCAATGATGAGCCGCATGGCGTTGTTGCAGTCGTAATGCGTCGATCAAAGCTCCACCTCCAGCTTCGTCTCGTCGTTTGTCGGCCGGCCGTTTCAGTATCATCACGGGACTTTTGGTCTGTTTGAAGGTGAGGTAACGTAGCACAGCATGATCAGACTTCGCGAAAGCCACAACATCGTAGAATCGTGTAAATACAATCATGTGCGTGTGAATGTGAAAAGTGTCGAGGTTCGGGACGAGGATATCACGGGTCCAAGCCTTCGACCTCCGCCGCTCCTAGCGTCTCGGTCGTTATGGTGTGGTCAGAGCAGCATTTCCACCCTCTTCTACCCTCGACACGCCTGCCACGATTCGTGCACCAAGGCCGTCTCGACACTGCCCATCCTTTGCCAGTACCACCCAGCACATATTGCAAGCTCAATGCAGCAGTAAACTCCTCCCCCGACCTGCTCGGCCCGTCGGACGTCTGAGGCCATCGCGGCACCTTCTGACCCTCTTCACGCACCAAACTGTTGGATCAACGACACCAGCAACACCACCCACCTTCTCCCGAACGACATCCACCGGTACGGTATAATTTTGGCTGGTTGCAGCGGCGTTGCGACTGTCCCTGCGGCGTACGCTTGGTGGGCGCTTCTTCACGCCCGCTTGAGCGAATCACACGGCTATTGTAGTGAAGGACTGCCACGACCTCACTCAAACCCTTTACGGGCCTCATATCTACATCCTCCCTCCCTCAGATCGACCGCATGAACTGCTAATGCGATGTCTACGCCAACTACCTTGACACACGTGCCCCCGCCCTTCGAACTGGATCACCGGCAACGGTATCTGCAAGACCGTTATCAAGAACGCTACCTGCCTCCTCCCAGGCCCAGCAGCAATCTCAGCTACCAATCGAACAATCTACCCGCTCGACCATCGAGTAATCTATCCGGCAGCCATTTTGTTGCTCCGCCAAGACCACAGAGCAACATGAGTAACGGAGGGTACACGCATTCACACGCTCACAACAGCGGCCAAGCAAGAGCAGGCGCAGAGTACTCATACACCAACGGTCTCTCACATCAGACTTCACATGAGGAACTCAAGCGGACCAACAGCGCGGCAAGTCAGCGTCAGCGACAACTACCGCCTCCACCCCAATCCCAGTCGTCCTCACGTGCACCGGCTGAAGCGCCTCCAATGCCTCAAAAACACTCCAGCCAACTTCACCGAGATGAATCTGCCACTGCGGGACAGAAGAGAGGTCGCAAATCACCGGTGGACTGGGTCGAGTTCTTCGGCGGCAAGCCGCCGGCTGAAATCATCACCATCCATGACGACGATAGCCCAGCACCCCAGGCCGAAGTGTCACGATTACCTCCGCCCACGAACGACACTACCACCGCTCACCACGTAGATAAGAGACGACGAACAAATGCTGCCGGCGGTGACGCAACATACAGTGCCACCAACACACCATATTCGTACTCGAATGGGGCTTCCACCGAAAGCCTGCAAGCGCCAACAACTGCACCAACTTCACTTGGCTCGCAAGTGAGCAGTAGCAGCAAATTGGATGCGACACAGACCGGTTCGAAGCGGAAGAGGACTGGGAAGGCGCCTGAACAAGACCGGAAGAAGCAGGAGCTCGAGCGGCCAGGTCCGAAGGGCTATCTCGCTGAGTATGGTGAATATGTGCCTCCTCCGAAGCTGGCCAAGAAACAGAAGGAGGTGCATGTGCCCGCAATACATGATGTACGATTGACAGTGTGATGTGAAAGTTGGGATGATGCTAACCGGTGGTACAGCGACACAAGACTCATGAGCCCATCGATGACGAAGATGGTCACTACATCGTTCAGGAGAACAGTCGATTAGGCGAGCGGTACAGTCTGCTGCAGCTGCTTGGTCAAGGTACTTTCGGCAAGGTGGTGAAAGCGCTGGACATTCGGACTCGGCGCGAAGTCGCTGTGAAAATCATACGAGCAGTACCGAAGGTAGGCACCCAACCACACCACCCGCACGAGAACAGCTGCTGATATCGTCTGTTCCACAGTACCGAGATGCCAGCCGCATCGAACTTCGAGTGCTGCAAACCCTCCGGACAGCAGACGAGCAGAATCGAAACAGGTGCATCCAGCTCCGCGACTGCTTCGACTGGCGAGGTCACATCTGCATCGTCACACCCCTGCTCGGCCTCTCCGTCTTCGACTTCCTCAAATCTGGCGGCTTCGTACCATTCCCCGGCTCACACATCCAAGCCTTCGCACGGCAACTGCTCGGCTCGATAGCATTCCTGCACGACCTCAACCTCATCCATACGGACCTCAAGCCGGAGAACATCCTGCTGCTGAACCACACATACCAGACCTTCACGTACAACCGGAACATCCCGTCGAGCAGTACACTGACCGCGAGGAGTGCTAAGTTTCGGAGGGTGCTGCTGAATCCGCAGATCAATTTGATTGACTTTGGGAGTGCGACATTCAATGATGAGTACCACAGCTCGGTGGTCAGCACGCGGCATTACAGGGCGCCGGAGATTATCCTGGGGATTGGTGAGTATAATTCATGACTGGTCACTGAACGCTGGCTAATTATCTTGCAGGCTGGTCACACCCCATCGACTTGTGGTCCTTAGGCTGTATCCTGGTCGAGTGTTACACAGGCGATGCTCTGTTTCAGACACACGACTGCGCAGAGCATCTCGCCATGATGCAGGTCAGTACCAATACCTCTCTCCGCTTTCCGATCGTCGCTAATAAACCTCTCCACAGGCCGTCACCAGCACCGACATCGACAAATCACTCATCCGCGAAGTCAACCGCACCAAGCGAGACCGCAACAGCGCCGCGCGCTTCTTTAAGAATAACCGCCTCGCCTACCCTCTTCCCGATACGCCCCGGCAATCTAGGAAATTCGTCCGGAGCATGAAGAAGCTCGAAGAAACGATCGTGCCCACGAACAATTTCAACAAGCTGTTCCTGGATCTGCTGAGGAAGATCTTCGTGTACGACCCCAAAAAGCGGATCACTGCGAGGGAAGCGCTGAAACATCCGTGGTTTGACGAGCTTGTGGAGGATGATGGGACGGAGGCGGCGAGGATTAAGGAGGAGAGGGAGCGGGTTGCGGCGGCCAAGGCAGCTGCTAAGAGAGGCTGAGGACAGCGTTGGACAACGGCGATGCGAAGCCAGCGTTGATCGACCTTGGTGGCGGGAGGAAGGCACGAGCACGAAGGCATGCCCGAAAGCCGCATCACCGGCTAGACGACCACGAGACTAGGACATGCAGTGGGACATGAAGGGATGGCGGCGTTTTGACATCACATTTTGGCGTTCTGTTCTTCTCCAGACCTCATGGGTCGGGAGAAATGGTGGATTTTGTTCTTCACGTGCGCCCAGGCTGCGAGCCGGTGTGGATTCTTGGAGGTCTATTTGATGGGCACTTGTTGTTATGCATAGCCCTGCGGACTGCTGCATAGTGGTCTTTTTTGAATGGAAGACTCTTACGCTGTGTCCGTTCACCGTGTCTTCTTGGTGCCTGCTCTCGAATGTAATAAGTCTTGGCGGGACCGTTATTTTGGACTTCGACTTCATCCCACTTCCCCGCTGGTGACTTCAGATGAGCTGGAATAGATGTAACTTCCGTTCTACAACCATCTGCTGAATACTTCTCTTATTCCAAGACACTTCGTTGAGACCTCTTCATACCACGCCCACCATGTCCGCCCCACGCATCGAAGAAGTCTCCGACGACGACGTCTCAGACCCCGAAGAAATGGACCCTTCAGCTTTCGACTTCGCCCGCCCACAAGGAAACCTAGGCCAACCCCCCGCCTCCTCCTCCTCTTCCTCCGCAGCAGCAGCCTCCCAAATCGACCCCGCCACCCTCCAACAACTCCTTCAATCCCAAAATGCGCCCCCACGACCCCAGCAACCCCAATCCGGCGTCCAAAACGACCGCTACGCCGCCCAACAGCGCGAACGCTCGAAGAGCTGGCAGTGTCTTTACCCGATCTACTTTGACGCCTCACGCTCTCGGCAGGATGGCAGGAGAGTGAGGAAGGAGGAAGGGGTGGAGAATCCGCTGGCGAGGGATATGGTGGACGCGCTGCAGTGGCTGCAGCAGGAGAGGGGGTTTGAGTGTGAGGTTGTTTTTGAGCCGGCGAGCACGCATCCGAGGGATTGGGGGAATCCGGGGAGGGTGAGGTGTTTGGTTCAGAAGGGGGGTGGGGAGGTGGGGAGTAAGTTGTCTCTCCCTGGTGGAGGGGGGCGAAGGATGGATTAGGGATATGCTAACATGATGGACCAACAGAACACCAACTCCTCCACGAAATCTCCACCTACCTCCGCGCCCACCCCACCAACGATGACTCGCCGCTGCGTTTACAGCTCCAAGGTCTGCCGCCGCCTAAAGACGGCAAAGCGCCCAAACCAGCTGTTCCGAGGGGGTTCAAGATGGGCAGTATACTACCGCTGCACTCGCCGGCGTTGAGCGGTGGTGGGATCAGTCAGAATTTCTTGAAGGACATGATGGCGGAGTTTGGGGGCCAGTTGCCGCCCGGTATGGAAGGGTTGCAGGGGATGGCGAATATGGGTGCCGGGGGTGGGATGGGGGCGAAGGGGGGAAAGCCTAAGATGGTTAGGGTGAGGAAATGAGGCTGAAGTGAAGGAATGGGTTGCGAAGGGTGGAGCAGTTGTGAGAGGCGAGATGTGAGCTTCAGAGGTTGGGTGAACCGAGCCAGCCGCGATGGCATGGCATACGTTGGAATCGCCTGGCCTTGAATGAAACGAGGACTCTCGCGATGGCTTCCCAGCGCAGCGAATGGAACCCGGACTCCCGTCCCGTTGCCTACCATGGCGCCGCCATGCAAGCCTCCCATCTGCGTCACACATGAAGTGACGTCCCACCAACCTTCCCGTGCGGTCACCCACCGCCGGCTCAACCTCGGAGCACCCTCCCAAGCAGCAGCATTACTCACAATTAGATTCCTGGATCCCTGGACCAAGCTGAAGATTCGAAAGAGACAAATCACCCGGCGATTTTCTCTTCCCTCTGTCCGCATGCATGCAAGGGTTCTCTTTTGCTGATTTTGAGCGATCCTTCTTTTGGTCCTTCAAAGGAGGACTAGATGGTGATGGTAGTGGTTGGCATTTAAGACGATGTTTGAGATGCGGATGGCATGGACTGTTGCTATGAGCGTGTGAGGTCATGGCACAAGACCCGCGGTATGCGACGATGATGGCTAAGGGGCGAGCGCTTTTGCCCCCTTTGGACATCATTAACGTTATCACGGTGGGCCGACATAGGACAAGGAAGACGGCATAAAGAATATGTTAGACCCTATACGCACAGCCACATTCCACGCCTACAAGCCCTAACCCTACCCCTTTCCCTCTAGCCCCCCTAACTATGGCCCTCCCCCTCCATCCCCCTCATCACCTCCCCCAACCCCCTCTTCACCCCCTCTAATCGTTCAATCTCCTCCTCAATCTCCCCCGCTTTCTTTTCGTCCCCCGCCTCCCGCGCCTCCCGCGCACTCAGCGTGAGCAGGCTGATGCTGTGCAGCACGGCGCCGCGGCCGGTGAAGACTTCGTAGAATAGTTTTTTGTTGTTGAAGGTGCTTATGCTTGTGCTTGTGGTGGTTAGGAGGGCGTGGAGGTGGGGGTAGGGGATGGGTGTCGCTGCCGCTGCTTCTGGAGGGGCGGCGGCGGCGGCGGCGGTGGTGGTGGGGGTGGGGGTGGGGGGTCGTGGGGCGGACATGGTTGGATGGGTTTGTGGTGGATTGTGGTTGGGATGATGCGAAAGCGGTGCGGGAGGAACAGAGTGTGGTGGATGTGCTCGAGTAGTGGTTTTGGAGGATGGGGGGACAAAGAAAAAGACGTGCACGCCGGAAATGGCAGGTTGTTGTCTTTGTGCAGGAATGTGTTGTACAGTGGTGTATACAAGCTTGTAGATCGCTTCTCACCATGAGTCTAAATGCAGTGCTGCCAATGCCGCGCTATGCTTCCATTTCATCGTCCTCATCATCGTCACTATCATCCTCGTCGAGATTCTTTTCGACGATGAGATTCCCACTCCTGCCGATCCGTTCCCGTATGCTGCCACCTTTGTCCACTTCAAACACCTCGCGGGGCATAGGCGATACGAGCCGGAACTTGTACACGTGCTCGTAGCCTTCTGGCGCCTGTGGCTCCTTTTCGCTGTTCATTTGATCCTCGTCGTTGAGAAGGTCGTAGCACTCCACGAAAGCGTACAGTTCCTCCAACCCGGCGTCTGGACGGAATCTTCTTATGACCCTCTCGCCCTTGATCATGCGTAGTGACACTCTTACAGCCTCTTTCTCCTCCGCCTGCGGCTCAGCCTCTATCCTCCTCGCCCTCCACCTTCTCCACTGCGCCAATACCCTCGCCCTCTCCGCCTTCCTCTCTTCTCTCTCCCTTGTCTCCCTCTCTAACTTCTCCTTCTCCGCTTCTTCTTCCTTCTTTCTCCTCGCCTTCTCCCGATCCTGCGCCAGCGACCGCTCATACGCGGACTCCTGCTCCTGCCGCAGATTCCTCGTCGCCTCCTGCTCCCTTCTCTGCGCCCTCACCCGTCCAAGTTCCTGACCATGCTCTTGCATCGCCGCTTGCAGCTTCGCGATCAAATCTCCCGCAGCGATAGGGCCGGAGGAAGTTGTGAGCTTGCTCATCGCTGTCGCTGATACAGACGGTGTATGCGCTATTAACGCTACGTAAGGGAAGCGCGTGACGTTGAGGGCGGAGGCGACTTGGTATGCTTCGGCGTCTTGCACTGTGCCTGCCCAGAGAACGATGTCGGATTTACTTTGTGATTGGTTTATGAACTCGACAAATTCAGTGGAGAGGAGCGTATCCCGGACGAAAGGGGCGTTATCATCGTGTTCGGGGGATAGGAGGACAACGAGGAGATATTTGAGGTCTCGTTTCGCGGCGTCAAAGGCGTGGCTGTAGCCTTCTTCGTGGAAGGGGAGGGTGGTGTGTGGGACGCTGTATTCTTCCTCGAACTCGCGCATGAAGCGGGCGGCGGTATCTCGGGGACTGAGAGGTCGACGGCGGGTGTCCCGAGAGGGGCCTTGTGGGAGGCGGAAGCGGGCGAGGAGACGAGGGAGGAAGGGGAAGAGGTAGCCTATTATGCCAAAGGCGCGTTGGAGGAGAGTGTAGGTGAGGTTGAACGGGAGGAGAACGAGGGAGAGCGGGAAGGGCACCGGTTGTACTCGCTGGCTCTCAGGTACGGCAGCCACTCGAGGGGCGAGGTCTGCGGCATGGTCGCCGTTGGGTCTGGGTCGGGAGCGATTGGGGATGCTGTCGAGGAGTGTCTCTGTCCGACGGGTGTCGGAGGGAGGGGGTGCGCGGGCTGCTTCGGCGGCGGGGTCGACGGTCTCAGCGTCGCCGTCGAAGAAGCGGGTGATGGCTATCTGTGCGTTCCACTGGCATTTCTGAAGGATGGGTAATGCGGTCGAGAGGTCCTGGTCGGTGACGGAGGTGAACTGTTGGAGCGCAAGTTGTTGCGACTCGCTGAGGTGCGAGAGGTCCGTCGCTGCGTCGGCCATCTTGGGAATGGTATGCGCGTTATCGTGTTCTTGACATGTCCCGTGAATGTGTTCATTAGATGTAGAGGGATGGACGATATCGAGGCCCGTTTAAAGATCTCGGGAGGCTGAACCGAGCCCCACCAAGCCACTCCCGCCCTCGCTCCGCCGGGCCCCTGCACAGCCCCAGCTTTCACGTGCGTCGTCGGATGCATCCAGCTGCATCTCGACCTCACCACTGCCATTGCCATTCCTGCCTCCATCCCTCGCGGCTGCTCGCCAGTGCGCACTTGACGACTCTGCTAATAGTATCGAAGGTGACGATGGAGCAGCAGAAAGCGGAAAGGGTGATAGACCGCGTCGTGGCTTCTGCTCGCTGAGACGAGAAGGTCGTGTACTACAACCACATCTTATATTCTGTACGTCAACGTTCCCGCCTCGTCATATCATCCAGATGTTCAGAAAGGAGCGGCCATTCACAATGGAGTTGCGCAACGACGGAACACATCCAGCTTCGGGCGAAGCAAAAGCTAACCAACCGCGTCAAGATTCTAAGGCTGCCATTGACCCGGAGCCACGAGTGTCTTCTGGTCCTGTTGATCGTGCAGCCTCCTTCGGACGACGTCGGTCATCCAGCCTACCACTTCTTGCAGGATACCCGGACATCGACGTGACGGACGACCCTTCGATACGATAATTTAGGTCGGTCAAAGAACCCAGTCGATCGAAACACTCTCGTCCTTCGACGCCTACCCACAGGTCAGCCGCTGTGCACAAAGTCCCTAAGTGTACCCCTCAGCCTTCCGCCCTCGGCCAAACTTCATCTTCCACGGACGAGCCCACGCCCCTACCTGCTACGCTTCCTCGAGAGCATCGTAGGCTTGCGAAGTTCAGCATTTTTAGCCCGGAAAAACGTGACAGTCCACCGCGTGAGCAGCCAGCCAGACACTCTTGGGCGGCAAAGCTTTTCGTCCCATCGGAAAATTCTGTTCGCGGCAAGTGCTCTGCAACTTCTAGCCCCAAGGGAAGCCGGCCTTTAGACCCCGGCGACCAAGCGAACACCTAGGAGTCATCGCGGGCGTCATCACGAGCCGTATCTCAGAACAAGCAGTCTTCGTTTCCATCCGACTTTGGTCGGTTCGGCCAAAGCCAGAAGCCGGCTGCAATTGTCGACGAGGGCCTGCCAAATCAGCCGGAAGCAGACGTACCTGGTGACGGTAGTAATGATATGGCTGCTGGCTTTCAACGCATGTCCGGAGATGCAAGGCGACATCCCTCGTCAAGCTTCAGCCGAAACGAGAACCGACCGCCAATGAACAACATCCTTTGCCGCAATGGCCCACAGTGCAGGAAGTACCAAGAAGGTTGATTCGTCTTACACTTTATCGATGTCCAAGCCTGGAAGTATTCGGCTGACAGCACGACAGGCACTTGCAACTACAACCATGACTTCAGTGCTATATCAGCGAATGGACTCAACAACATGTCAGTGACCCTCCCTCAGCAGTCGGTATCAACAGCTGAGCTTTTGCAGCCAGAAGAAGTCACTTAATGTCGACTCTCCTTCTTTCACACCCACCTTCACGCCGAAAAGCACCAATGCCATCCCAGCAAAGATGGGCATATCGCCCAAGGCCGCCGCGGCGGCAGCCTTCACCCCGAGAGGATCAGGTATGGCTTCCCTCGCCGGCCTTTCTAGACGTTGTCTTTGACTTACACTGCACTAGGCTCGGTCACACCTGCAGTCATCTCACATTCAAAGGAACCTTCCGGAGATTTCGTACCTCAGCAAGTCTTTGCGACCCAGCAGCAGTTCAATGAGTTTGTGCCTGGGCAGACCTTTGTTCCACAGCAACAGGTATGCAGGCATGGGTGATATGCTTCATTCTGTCTGCTCTGGACGTGCACTAATAGACAGTACAGATGGAAGTCCAGCCACAAATGCAGACGACGATGAACGCATTCAGCGACCCCTTCCTCACTCAGACAGGTATAACCAGCTTGGACGGAACACAACAGCAAATAAATCCTTACGCCCAGCAAACTTCTGCTATAGGTGGACAGCAGTTTTACCAAGACACGAATAGCTTCAAGCATCCCCTCAACTATCATCTTTATTCCTCCATCGGTCCGAAACGGGAGAACCTAATGGCATACCAACGCAGCACGTCCGACTTCTTCATTCCGGACAACCTGCGTGAAGACCTGCAGCGCAAGGCAGAAGCGACCTTGCAGACCTTCGCAAACAGCACACTTCCGCAGAATGTCGAATACTTTCACTCGCTCGTCGCACTGGACACTGGCAACCAGAAAGGTCCCACAACATTCGGCTATCCGAGCTGGGTCTACAAGGCTGTATCTAGCCGCGACGGGCATACCTACGCTTTGAGACGCATCGAAGGCTTTCGGTTGACCAACGAGGCCGCCATCCGTACGGTACAGACCTGGAAACGCATCAGCAGCAGCAGTCTGGTCCAGGTGCATGATGCGTTTACTGGCAGATGGTTCAATGACAGCTCACTGATCATTGTCACTGACTACCATCCGATGGCTCAGACGGTGAACGACAAGTTCTTTGGAGCAAGTCGACAGGCTGGTAACAATCGCGGAGCGCAGCAGATCACACCAGAGAACGAGCTGTGGTCATACGTTGTGCAGATTGCGAGCGCACTCAAGTCCATCCACGAAGGCGGGCTAGCCGCTCAGACAGTCATACCGACCAAAGTGCTCGTGACATCCAAGAATCGCTTCCGACTGAACGGTTGCGGCGTGATGGACATCGTGCAACACGAGCAACGGAAAACAACCACCGAATACCAACGCACCGACCTCGAAGACCTGGGCAAACTCATCCTCAGCCTTGCAACCCGCAACCAAACCGCCCACCACAACATCCCCAAAGCCCTCGAACAAGTCAGCAGATCTTACACCGAGCGCCTCCGCGCCTGCATCGCCTGGCTCATCACCCCGCCTACCCCACCCACACCAACCTCTGGAACCGAGCCGCCGCAGGAGACGGTGCATATGGCCGACTACAACGTCAACACCCTCCTCAACAACATCGCCGACAAAGTCATCTCGACCCTCGACTCCACCCTCCACGCCGAAGACGACCTCACCTCCAACCTCATGCACGAGCTCGAAAACGGCCGTCTCGTCCGCCTCCTCACAAAACTCAACATCATCCTCGAGCGCCCCGAATCCAGCACCGCGCCCTCCGCCACCCCCACCGCATCCACCAACCAACCTTCCTCCGCCTGGTCCGAGACTGGGGAGCGCTACTACCTCAAGCTCTTCCGGGACTATGTCTTCCACCAAGTCGACCATGAAGGCCGGCCCGTGCTGGATTTGGGCCATGTAGTGGCGTGTTTGAATAAATTGGATGCAGGGGTGGATGAGCGGTTGCGGCTGGTGAGTCGGGATGAGCAGAGTGTGTTTGTTGTGACGTATCGGGAGGTGAAGAGGGGGTTTGAGGGGGCTTGGGGGGAGATTAGTAAGGCTAGTGCTTCTGGGGGTGGGAGGAGGTAGGTAGGTAAGGAGGAGAGAGAACGGAGAGATGGAGAGGAGGAGAGGAGGAGAGGAGGAGAGGAGAAGGAGTGGAGGTAAGTGTGATGGGATTGGAAAGTAGAGGGCGTGAAATGGAGACAGAAAAAGAAATAGTAAGATGCGTGAGTGCTTGTTTGAATGAAATGGGTTCTAACCCTCACATTTCGGCCACTAAGAGATGCACAAAATGGAAACCACGTCATCGCAGGAGTATTATAAGTGAGATGTGGAAAATGATAGTCATAAGTCTGCTCGTTATGTCAAAGGTTTATATACTATCTAAGTACTTCGTTGATCCGTAAAGCCATCATGAGCAACGCCTCATACCACGGAAATCTCCCTATCCCTCACCGAACTCCCCAGGGTATCGCTAAAACGCTGCACATCATTCATATCATCATAACCTCATCCCCACTTCATCATCTCCCTCACTCATAAAGATCCATATCCCCGCCCTCCCCAGCCAACTCCTCCACCGCCGCCTCCTCATCATCATCCCACATCTCACTATCCTCCTCCTCCCCCTCGCTCTCCCCATGATTCGGCAACACCACCACATGTCCATCCTCCAGCACCACTCTCGCCGCTTCTCCCTCTCTCACACTGCCTCTCAAAATCAACACCGCAAGTCGATTCAGCACTTCCTTCTCGATCAGTCTCGCCAAGGGCCGAGCACCGTAAGCGGGCGAGTAGCCGGCGGAGCCGAGATAATCTTTCACGTCGCCTGAGAGCTGGATCTTGACGTTGCGACCATTGCTGATCAAGCGCTTCTGGATCTCGTCCAAGCGCACGTCGACGATGGAGCGGATCTCGCGCTTGGTGAGGCGGTTGAAGATAACGATGCTGCTGATACGGTTCAGGAACTCGGGGAGGAAGTAGTTCCGCAGCGCCGTCATCACCAATTCCTTCGTCGTCGGATCAATACGGCCGTCCGGAGCGTTGGGGCGGGAAAGGTATTCCGCTCCCAAGTTCGAGGTCATGACGACGATGCAGTTCTTCGCGTCGACCACGCGGCCTTGGCCGTCGGTGATGCGGCCGTCGTCCATGAGCTGGAGCATGACTGTTAGGACTTCCTTTGCGGCCTTCTCGACTTCGTCGAAGAGGAGGATACTGAAAGGTCGGCGGCGGAGAGCTTCAGTCAGCTGCCCGCCGGCGTCGTGGCCGACGTAGCCGGGTGGTGCGCCGATCATGCGGGAGAGGGAGTGGCGTTCTTGGTACTCGGACATGTCGAAGCGGATCATGGCTTTGGGGTCGTCAAAGAGGAATTCAGCTAGAGCTTTGGTGAGGAGCGTCTTGCCGGTACCGGAGGGACCGCAGAAGAGGAAGGATGGGGGCTGGCCTGGGTTGGCTAGGCCGGAGCGTTGGAGGCGGATGGCGTTGGCGACAGAGGTGACAGCTTCTTTCTGGCCGACGACTTGCGCCCCGAGGACCTTCTCCATCTGGAGGAGTTTATCCTTCTCTGTCGTTTTGAGCCTCGTGACAGGGATGCCAGTCCAGCGGCCAACGATCTCGTTGATTTGGTCTGGTCCGACGGCGTCAGTGACAAGCGTCTCACCAAGACTGCCTCTCCGCTCGTCATGTTCAGCGGCCATCTTCTGCTGCTCCAGTTGGTCAATACGATGCTCGACATCCGGAATCGCATAGTACTTTAGGTCCGAAGCAGTCTGCAGGTCTCTCGTTCGCTCGGCTTCCTGCTGTTTGAATTTCAGCTGGTCAAGCTTGATCTTCGCCTCTTGAATTTCCTTCGTCCGCTCCTTCTCGGTCTCGTACTTCTCGCGCAGAGGCTTGAGTTCCTCCTCGACGTTGGCCTTCTCGGCGCGAGCCTCTCGAAGCCTTGCTTTGGATGCCTCGTCCTTCTCGCGGTCAAGAGCATGAATCTCAATCTCCAGTTGCCGTAGCTTGCGTTCCATGTTGTCGAGAATTTCTGGCTGTGACTCGCGCTCCACACGGACGGCTGCCGCAGCCTCATCAATCAGATCTACAGCTGAGTCAGGAAGTCTTCGTTGTGTGAGGTACCGTGCTGCGAGAGTAGCGGCAGACACGATGGCACCATCCATAATCGTGACACCATGATGTACCTCGTACTTCTCCTTCAGACCACGGAGGATCGATACTGTTTCAGGGATCGAAGGCTCCTTGACCAAGACTTGCTGGAATCGTCGCTCGAAAGCCTGGTCCTTCTCAATATACTTGCGGTACTCAGCCAGTGTCGTTGCACCAATACAGTGCAGCTGTCCACGAGCAAGCATGGGCTTGAGAAGATTGGCAGCGTCCATGCCGCCTTCTCCAGAGCTGCCAGCGCCCATAAGCAAGTGAATCTCGTCGACGAAGAGCACGATCATCTCCTTGCTGTCTTCGATCTCTTTCAGGACGCCCTTCATGCGCTCTTCGAACTCGCCTCGGTACTTCGAGCCTGCGACAAGACCACCAACGTCCAGCGATAGGAGCTTGCAGGCAGCCAGACCAGACGGCACGTCCGCGTTGACAATTCGACTGGCCAGTCCTTCAACGACTGTGGTCTTGCCGACACCAGGCTCACCAATCAGGACAGGGTTGTTCTTCGTCCGTCTCGACAAAATCCGAATGACCCTCCTGATCTCCTCCTCTCTTCCAATCACCGGATCAATCTTGCCTTCCCTTGCCATCGCTGTCATATCAATCGTGAACTTCTTCAAATTCTCATTCTCATCCTCTGAGTCCGCTGTCTTGCTATCCACCCTCCTGTTCCCTCTGATCTGCGTGATAGCCTCGTCAATTAACTTCGTGTTCGGCACATTCGACTCCGCCAGACACCTCTGAAGTGTGGTGTCCTGAACTAAGCATTGTATCAGGTGGTCGACCGCGATATAGCTATCCTTCTGCGTCTTGGACAGATCGTTTGCACTCCTCAAGACCTTCGAGAACGAAGGCGAGACGCTGACGTGCTCCGGCGGTGGATCCTGACTCGGTAACCGTACAAGGGCCTTCTTCATTGCGCGGTCGAGGAGTTGTGTGTCGCCATGTGCTCGCTCCACTACCTGTTTGAACAGTGGTGCTGATCCCGCGGCATGTGATGCGTGTGCTGGGTTATTCTGTTGGTCTTTCGACTGGTCTGGCGCCGGGTCGAAGAGGGCGACTGCCAGGTGGATGGGCAGTAATTGGGAATGGGCATACTGCTGTGCAAGGTCTTGTGCCTCCCCCAGTGCAGCCGTAGCCCGGTCTGTGAATTGGTATTGGTTGGCCATGTTCTGGCTGGATGTGTGGTTGAGTCAAAGGAAAGTCGTATACGTCGTGATGTGGTGTTGTATGTGCAACCTCGAGGTATTCGTGGTCGAGTAAATGGTACAGAATATATGCCAGCAAGATCAATGTTCTAGGTGCGCACCGGAAGCTGCCAGTCATTGCTCGAAGCTGCCCGACGTTCACATGCCTAGAAGCTTCTGGCTCACGGACCGTGCCGCTGCCGCCTGCCAAATGTGGCGATCACATGTCGATCACATGCTCAATCCTGACCACATCTATGCTTACCAGCAAAACGTCAAGGACTACTCAGTGTTGGTGTTGCCCCTGTGGATAGAATATCATGACCAACGCTTCTAGATGGAGGTACGGAAACGCCTGTGCCGAGGCTCCAGTATAGACACACGGAAGCAGCATCTCTTCAGCCTCAGCTTCAGCTTCCAACGACGAGAAAGCCCTACCAGCCGCGACTGCCTACCGGCGAGTGCGGTTATCCTCCTTGACCGCACTACCAGGAAGCCTCGTCCTCATCCTTGCGGTGATGGGCTTTCTCAGCTTCCGATGGTTCGCGGACGAGAGCAATGTCAACTGGCACAAGATCATGGCCGACGGCTGGGCTGCTCGTTTCATCACTATCTCAGCGCTTGCTCTCGGCTTCGCAATCCACCTTCAAGCTGACATTGGCACTGGTATGCTCGCTGCCTTGGCTCTTGAGCCATATTTTGTACGACTGTCCGATAGCGCCGGCGTGTCTGTTCTGAAAGACGTCTTGACAATACCTCGTGCGCTGCGAAAGCCGGCCTTTCTCGTTCAGAGGAATAGCGATCGTCCGGCCACCTCTAGATTATTGGCCCTAGTCGCTGTGCCCTTCACAACCACACTTCTGATGCAGTTCAGCTCAACTGTGCTGTCTCCGGACTTACAGCTAGGAGAGCTACCTTCCCCCATGACTCCAAACCAGACGAAATACATTTTCGTCTATGAGACGTCCGGCAAAGGAGGACGGGGTCTTTCATCAGAGTTGGTAAAACACGGGCTCAGTAGCTTCTGCTCTGAGCGCGGTTATTACCATGCTCTCAAGCACAGCGTACTACGATCAGATGCCGCAGTTCGAACAAACGGCCCCGGCCACCACTACTTCATTCGTGCTCGTGCTGCATCCGCAGCACTTCCGTGGATTCACAGCTGTGGCTGCTGTTCTTCTCGTCCATGTAGTCGTGATAGCGCTCATCGTCGCGGCGTTCTTGAAGTGGTCGAGGTACTCTCTGCTGGGAGATCATTGGCAAAGTGTGTCTCAGCTAAGGAGCAAGGAGGTTGACCAGGCGCTGGCGACTGGTGGTATGAAGACTGATGATGAGGTGAGGACCAGGTTAGACGCCACGGCCGGAAAGACGCTCTGGCGAGCGTTGGGTGGGTCGACGAGGGAGACAGGGTAGGGTTGAGGGTAAGGTAGCCTAAGAAGCGACGTCCAGAATAATTACGGATGGTAATGATTGATGGACCGATTCACACCGTGTCGCTGTCATGCTATGTTCTGACAGTACCTCATATACGATGCTCCCCGCCCCGCCCACGCTATGCAACACCACCACACCACCCTATCATATACCCATTCACTCATCACAAGCAACACCCATAACCTCCTCCAACTCCAACACATCAACATCATCCTGGCCCCTCGACCCCGCCATCAACCTTCCCGTCCCCCAAAGACCTGTGTCATCCCAATGTCTAAACAGCATCTTGAAATGCGCCGGCGTGCCCGAAAGCAACACCATCCCCTTCGGCACGCTCGGTCGATCCTCAAGCGAAGTCGCAGCCAAAGCATACTCCGAAGCCAACAGCAGCGTCTGCCCGAACAGCGCGTTCTTCACATGTTCCGGCTGCGAAGCGAACATCGGCCCAAGCAGAATCCAGAGCTCACTATGCGCATCGAGCAGGTATATCCCGTCAACATCCAGATCCGCTTGCGTGAACGGGCTGATCTCCTGCGCGGAGACCTTGACATTCACAGCAGGATTGCGAGCAGGCGACTGGCTGTTCCAGCTGGGTCGTCGAGTGAACATGCCGCCGAAGAAACCTTGCTTCGTCTCCTCCGCCTGTATACGGAAGAGGCGGGAGGAGAATCGGCCAGAATCCTGAGCTTTGACTTGCCATATCTGCTCAGCCTTGGGCACGCTGTCCCTCGTCGTATCGGGGCCGAAGATCTTCAAGAAGCTAGCGAACTCCGCTTTGTCGTCGACTTCGATCACGTCGCGGGTTTCGCTGAGATCCATCGCAGCCAACCTCGCAGCGCTGATCTCCTCGGCAGAGCACGCAGAGCCTTTCCAGAGATACAGCCTCGTCTCTTGCAACGTCACCGGGTACGAGACCAGGTACACGAACCCCGAACACAAACTCCCGACAGCAAAATCCACCTCATCAAAAACGATCTGCCCCAAATGTTTCCGTCCACAAAGCATATACTGCCTACTCGACCTCTCCCCCGCGCCCCTTCTGGTAACCAGAATCCCACCAAGCGCCTGCAAGAAACCAGGTATCTCAGTGCCTTGGCGCACAGTGTGCACGAAAGCGTTCCCAGCCTCTTTAGCCAACTTCTTAACAGCCGCTTGCGCCTGATCAACAGCGTCACCGGACGCCAGCTCGCCGACCCAAAGGAATATTTCGTTCTTCTTCGGGCCGTCGCCGATGGCGTAGGTGTGGTGGCAAGCGTACACGCGCTCGTCGAAGAAGGTGTAGTCTTCCTGCGGTTGGAGCTGCTTGAGATCATTGGCTTCGGTGGCAAGGTAGACAGTTTTGCGGACGGTGCGGAAGATGCGATCTTGGTGGGGGCTGCTTGTGATTAGGGCGTTGACGTCGATGGTCAGAGGGCCGGAGGATCTGGGGACGGAGCCGAAGGCCTCTTCAAGCTTCCGTTTGGTCTCGTGTGTGGGCCGCTCAGGCGAAGTGGCTAAGCCTTCACGTTGTTAGTGTTTGCCCAACCTCATGAGTTGACTGTGCTAAGTGGTCAGAAAGGACGTTCGAAGAGGATGTACAAGCTTCAGAGGCCGGAGAGATGCTTATCAGACTTACCTTTGCTCGGAGAAGCCTCCAAGAGCTGCCCGCTGACAACTCTTGAAGGCTTGTTGGGCTTCGGAGGAGCACCAACAGAGGGAGACATATCCATGCTATCGTTAGCGCGATTGGGCGAACCGGAGGGACCATTGCTGGATGTCGGGCGACTGGGGCTGGAAGCCAGCAAACCAGCAGATCTCATCGCCGCCTCCTCATCCCGCTTCGAAGGCAGCTGGATCTGAGAGGACATTGCTACCTTTTGCGAAGAAGCTGAGGCAGGCCTTCCCCACATCGAGGCTGCGGACTTGACAGAAGGTGAGCTCTCGTCCGCGTTCTCCTTGTTGTCTTCACGGCCAGCTGTAGCTCTCTTGACTGGGCCGAAACCTTTGAACTCCGGAACATCTGCCTTGGGAACCTCAGCAGGTCGTTGCTGAAGTGTGGATGGTTTCGAGCCAACGACGGGGCTCTGCGAAGGGGTAGCTTGAGCATTCTCGGGTCTCCGTGTCAGGCCGATTAATGAACTCTTGGCCGGGAGCGTAGGCTTATCATCTGCGACCTTTGGCGTTGATGGCGCAACCGGCGAGGGTACCGCTGCCGTTGACTGCGGCTTCTCTGGTGAGGGCGCCCGCTTTTGTAAGGAAGACACCATAAGCGAGGCAGCTGAGCCAGGCAAAGCGCGAGGCTTAGTCTTCTCGTTCAGAGGAGGCTCTGCTTCCACGCGAGCTCGCTGCTCGAAATCCGGTGTAGCTTGAGTGTTCATCGGCGGTGGAGAAGGCTCGGCAATCGCCGACGCAGTGGTGTCGGGCTCAACAGCTGGAGCACCACCCTTGCGCCGCTTCGGACCCTTCGCACGCCCTTTCCGCATGTCCTGGAGCTGGGCTCCTTCGGCAGGTGGCTCAGATGGTGGACTCGGAAGAGGTGTTGAGGAGCGAGGTGCCGCTGCCGAGCTCTCAGGTCGAGAGGATGGGTTCGAGCCACTGCTTGCTTGCGGGGGGCCACGAGCAAGGATGCCTGCTAGACCTGGATTGAACCGCGCAGCCATCCTGCTCGTCTCACTCGCCTGCTTGGTCTGTACAGGTTGCACATTGCTGCTGGCAGGAGCGCTCGTCTGCTTCTCCAATTCAGGCATTGCAACCTCGGACTTGGGCTTATCCTTTAAGCTCTTGTGTCGGGCAAGTGCTTCAGGTGTAGCAGTCTTCGGCTTCTCGGGGCTCGCCGCCATCTTCACACCTTCAGGTCGGCCCATCATCTCACGCTTGGCCAGTGCCTCCGGCTTCTGTGGTGTTTGCGGTGGGTTGCTAACCTTCCGCTCATGCACGACACCCTCATCTTTCTCCTTCTGCCACTGCTCCTTCTTAGCCAGCAGAGACTCTTTGAGCTCATCTCTCCTTTGCGTTTTCACCGGTCCACCGGTCTTTGCGAGGTCCGATTTGCCACGCAATATGTTGTCCTTGAGAACATCCGGCGCAACGTAGTTCTGGGTATCGGTCTTCTTGAGCTGGCCAAACTTTGAAAGGAATTCGGGTGTCTCTTGTGTTTTTGACTCTGTTGGAGCACGGGCGCGAAGTGTGCTTCGAAAGTCTGTCCGAGGTTTGGGCGGAGCTTCTGGCTTGGGCTTGAGATCTATAGGCCGGGCTGGCTTGACCGCGGTTGGTGCAGGTGCTTCCGTGGACACTTGAGTGCTCTCCGAAGGCGGCATCGGCTTCGTATCGTCCTTCTGCAAGGTAGCCTCTGGTACAGCGTCTGTAGTTTGCACAGGGCCTGGCTTGACTGATGGTGCTGAGATGTCTGAAATTTTGGCAGCAGGCTGGTCAATGCTCGGTCGTGCGAGGGGCATTGAAGACCTTGACAAGCTTTGCGAGTCTCTCTGGCTTGAAGACTGCCCAAAGCCTACCTTGGTAGGCGACCCAGACCTCGGTGTCGACACATCCAGCGGCTTTGGAGTCAAGCTCCGCGCAGCACCCAGATCTCTCGAGTCTAGCCGCTGTAACGTCTTTCGATCAGAGTATGCCTTAGTTGGAGACGCCGGCCTGGAAGTCGGCCCTTCAACAGGCTTAGGCGTCGAGCTTCGCGGCGTGCCCCGATCCCTTGACTCCGACCGCTTGAGCATCCCCTGACCAAACGGCGCTTTGGTTGGCGAACCTGGTCTTGAGCCCGCATCTTCGGCCGGCTTTGGCGTAGTGTCACCCCCACTGGCTTTCTGAGCCTTGGCCTTTGCGATGTCAGCCATCCAGCTCGGCTGGCTGTTCCGTGCTGCCGGTGCAGGTTTAGGAGAGTCTGGCTTCGTAATTGCGCTCTCAAGCCAGCTCGACTTTTGCGGGCTCCACCGCTTCGATGGGCTTGAAGAAGGTGAGGTGTGGCCTTCCTCCGCGGTGGTACTGTAGTTGGAAGCGATCGACTTGCTCCTGCTATGGGCTCGAGGAAGCGAAGGCTTGACGAAGACATCCTTGTCGTCTTGGGTCGCGGTCATGTTGCTGACGTTGGTGCTGCTTGAAGTCGGTTGAGAAGATGGCTCATTGCTCGTCTCTCTGCTGCTTGGCGTGGGCTCGAGTTTCGGCACGCTGTACGATCCTGTGAGTCCTCCAAAGCCACTCCTCGCACTGGCGATGGAATTTTCTCTGCTCAGACTTGGACCAGGTTGTGCGCTCCATCGCTTGCTGACGCTGTCTCCCCTTCTCATCATCGCGCTCCGTACAAAACCGCCCTGGCCTTTGGTAGGAGACGATGGCCGCTCTGTAGCCTCAGCCAAACGAGCTTGTGAAGACGACATGGTCAATGTGCGGCCAGTCTTTGCTTGCTCTCCGTCTGTGATGGAAGATGCGTAGTCTGAGGAAGGCGCAGCCTTCTCCTGCTCTTGGTCCGCCGCAATGAGAGATTTCAGGTCGGGCTTGCTGCTGGTCGATGTCCGCACGGTCGAGAAGCCTGCACTCGAGACGGTGCTACCCCTCACAGAGCCACCGCGAGACGCCGTCTCTGATGCGATGCTGTCTGAGGGTGCTGGACTTGTAGCTTCTGTAGGCTCAAGCGGTAGTTCTCTTGACATGCCAGGAAGACCTCGTCTGCCCGACGAGAAGGTGTCCGGAGAGGCTGACCCTGTTTCATCTTTGCTCCTCCTGTATGCTGCGCTCCCCATCCCTCTGTCCGCAGTCTGCCTGAACCATGAAGGGTCTCTTGACCCAAGCGATGCCGCGATTTGGTCGCGTGAAGGCTCAGCGTCCGTGGCTGCTGCACTACTGCTACTGCTCGTAGGTCTACTGGTGTCCGGAAGGACCATTGACTTCGGCCTGCTACTGCTTCCGCCACCTCTTGAACTCGGCCTCTGCTGCCATGACAGCGTGCCCGATCGAGCCAGGCTCGATGCGCTCTGCGATGGCTTCGATGCGGAAGATTCTGCACGCGCAGGCGCTGCTGTGTCCGCGGATGATGTTCGTGACCCAAAGCCCTTGAATTCTGGGATGTCCTTCGTAGGCGATTCTGGCGCTGAGGAATCCATTGCGGTCGGCGTGTTTATCGGTTCGAAACGAGTGACATCTGGCGATGACTCCAGAGGTGCAGTGGATGCGATATCGAGCTTCTCCGGACTGATTGACCGCGCGCGTTCTGCCACACGACATGTTATTCACCGGGCTCCACCCAAACAAACGACCTCAAAACCTTACCAGCTCGCCGCGCCGCTCTCTCCCGTCTTCCCTGCGCAACCTCTTCTTCCAGTTTGCGATATCGTTCGGCGTCTTCTCTTTCTCGTTTCTCAGACAGTTCGCGGACAGATCTGATGAACGCAGCGGGGTCGAGGTCGTCGTCCGCGGGATTCGTGTTGGACGCGGAGGTGGAAGGTGGATCAACAGACGACATCTTATGGACAGGGATACGCCCCAAACAAGCACAGCGAGCGAGAAACGAATATAAACAGCGACAGGTCACAAGGGCTGGTCTTCTCAATGGTGTAGTTCTGTATTTACATCTACTCAAAGTCTAATTAATCTAGGACGCTCGGCTCATGTCCCAGGCGATCGAGGCGATCCGATCGTTGGAATGCTCCTTCTGTCTCCCCAAGAGGTCTTCAATCTGCGGCCTTGAATTCGTGATTTTGATAACGCTTTTCCCACCAATCGATCCGCCAGCGCCTGTGAAACTCCGCGTTGCTGCGGCCGACCGGTTTGAGCAAGGCCCTTCCATGCACACCATCGTGCATGTGCTTGTTGACACCGGCTGGGTGGGTCTTTGTGAAGCCTAGTCCCGAAACGCGGTTCCTGCCAAGAGATGAAGTGAATGCCGCACCTCCTCCGCCTGTGATCAGTACAAGAAGAGGCGGTCTTTTGCGTCCTGCACCACCCACTGCAGGCCTTCGTTCAAGTTCAAGCCGGTCATTGCTGAGCACGGCAGAATGTGCCATTTATGCGTGCGAATGCTGTCGAGTTGCAAGCCCTGTTGCGGATCAGCCACAGAACAAGAGCGGGGCGAGCACAACGCGTTACCTGGCGGATGTCGTCCTCGCTCATACAGCCTGGCACATCGCTCTTGTTCTTCAGCACGAGGAGGGAAGCTCCCATGAGACGCTGCGGACATGTCAGTGCTGTCACGACCGTCTGAAATGGACGGCACGCCCACCTCCTGCAACAGCAAGCCCTTGAGCTCCTGCCTACAATCGTCGAGCCTCCCGCGATCCAGAGCATCCACGACCCAGATCAACGTGTCCGTCTTCTCGAAGTAGTTTTTCCAGTACGTCCGCAGGGTCTTCTGCCCGCCGACGTCCCCTGCGCATGGTGAGTAGCCTGCTCCTACTTTCAGGGAGCGGCCTTACAGATGTTCAGTTTGTACCTTATGAAATCAGCAATTGCCTTTCGCTTTGCACCAGCTGATATCTCACCCATCATATTCGATCGTCTTGATGATGAAGCCGAGTGTTGGGCTCACGGTGTTCACATCTTCGTTCATGATCTTCTTCACGATCGTGGTCTTGCCTGCGTTGTCGAGGCCACTTCGACCTTTCAGCTTTCTTCTTAGCCATATCTGGCTTCACTTACAGCATCAAGATTCTCATCTCCTTGTCTTTCAGACGGGCTTTCCTCAAAATCGACAACATCTTGCTCAGACTTGATATTTCACGGGTTGAGGAAAGGAAGGAGGTTTCACAGGCAAAGAAAAGAGCGCCTGTGGGATGATCACGTGGCCTTCACTTGGGCATATCAGCGACTCCTCGAGGAAGGCTATATCTTCTTCAACGCCTTCTTCTTTCGACACACTCTTCTTCTTCGACCAAAGGAAAAGACCAAGACCAAAGAAAAGAGACTCAGCAGCCTACCGGCCCTTGAGCATAGAGACTTGCAAGGGAGAAAAGGCCAACCAACAACAGATACACCCTGGACCCATTGAAAGCGCACTCGACCGATCGTAAGTGTCGTGGAGCAAGGGTATACACCAGCGCACCTCGGGCATTGGCAATGGCGATGGCAATGCTGCAGACCCCGCCGGCCACCCCTCGACCAGGAGACGGAGCCTGGCCGTCGCGACCAAGATTCCAATCACGAACACCCGGAACCAACCTGCGATCCTTCTTGAGACCGACACCTGAAGGAGGAGATGAAGTCGAAGTTCAATTGTCTAACCAAAAGCGGACTCAAACATTTCTACGAGGAAGGAGCGTTGAACGGCAAGCGCGACCCCTGGCAGCCGACCTCGACCATGACCTCACCTCATTCAACTACACAACAATAACAGCCAAGACCTCCGCTCCGCCATTGTCGCACACACGAAATTCAACACCACGCACTTTGCTCGAGAATTCTGTTCAAGTTCAACTCACTTTTCTTAGTCAACCAACTCCAACCACACTCCATCTGGCTGAAGACACCAAGACTGAACAGAACCTACCGCCCGCCATGGCCGACGAAACCAAGTTCGTTCCGCCGCACCTTCGCATCAGGAGGCCGCCCAAGGAGTCACAATTTCTGGAGACCACCAGTGGCAGTCAAGCAGTGACCTCTACCGGCAACTCAAAGGAGACTTCCCCTATGGAGATCAGCCCCCAATCTGGAGAGGATGCTGGAGTCAAGCTGGACACTGGTACTGCCGACGCTGCCGCTGGAGCCACTGAGGATCAAGCCGCAACCACTTCCACAGCCGGAGCCGGAGCCGGAGCCATTGCCAATGCCACGCCTAATGCCGAAGCCTTTCGTCAACTTCTTTTGCAGCAACATGATGTGGTGAAGAGGTCTGACACTTTGCTGACTCAATCCAATAGACTAGTCACGTACCCAGACAGCGAAGACGACGAAGAACCGCTCACGATGATGCCCAGTGGTCGAGCTCGAGCTGCAGCAGGTACGCAAACCACCGCCGAAGCTACACGCCGTCAGCAACTTCCACCAATCAATACGGGTGTCAATGCAGCGAACGAGAGCTCCGCCTCCACCCGTGGCGGTCGCGGAAATCGCAGCGGTCGAGGTGGTCGTGCTCGCGGACGTGGCGGTCGAGGTGGTCAAGGACGTGGTGGCAACGCAAGTGCAGACCGCAAGAGCAGGTGGCCCACCTCCGCCGAGCAGAAGCCAGACCCGCACCGGTGGGACATCAAATGGGACTCTGATGCTGACTCTCGCCGGAGCACTACGTGGTCGACCGCGGACGGCGGAGCGGATCTCCAGGACTGGGCCGGTGGAATGGCGCCGGTAACGATCTGAGACCTCTCCTCTGTTATTGTATCGCAATTGCTGATATCGCGTAGGCGCCGGTGGACTGGGACTCTCGACCAGCCGTTATGAAAGGCATGTACTCGACTGAGAAGATCCAGGAATGGCTGGGCCACCACAACCAGGTTATGAATGGCAGGAACACCGTCATTCCTAGAGATGAGATCGAGGTTCCCAAAACCAACCTCATCGAGCTGGGTGGGCGTCCTCTCGGTGAGGTCGCACCGGCCTACTGGGTGCCCAAGACCTCCCAGGCTTGGGAAGAGCTGCTCGCACCGCCCCCGGGTTTCTGTTCGGATGGCGACGCTGCGGATATCCAGCCTTTCTGGGAGACATACCAGAACAACAACCAGGACGGGAACTTGCTGGAGCCTCGCATTCAGCCACCCGTTTCCGGGATAGATCCAGCAGAAGAGACCACTGACCAGAAGCTGGTACCAAACCCATGGGCAAAACCCAACCATGTCTGAGACACTGGCTGACCCTTTTACCCTTCTGTTTTTTGCAGGCACGCGAGGCCGACCAAGGCAGTCAATTCGCCGCAGACAACCGCAAGAGGTATGAGAAGGCAAAGAAGCAGCATAAGCGCGAGCGTCTGCGAATGGCGGCCGAGAGATCGAAGAGAGTTCGTCAAGCCGCGCAGGGGCAGGGAATGGAGGAGACTACGAAAGTGAGCTACCACATTGCGCTTTACAAAGAAAAGTCTTGCTAATCGGAGTTCAGAAGATCGAGCCCGGCTTCAGAATCATCATAAGAGGCGCTCAAGCAAACGACGTGAAGGCCATCGTCAACATCTACAACCATCACGTAGCCCACAACGCTTGTGTGCCGGAGATCCACCAAGTCACCGAGGCAGATATGAAGAGGCGCATGGACGACGTTCGCTACTTCAAACTGCCATACCTTGTGGCTGTCAAGCCCGGCGCGACGATTGCCGGCCGAAAGAAGAAGGGTCAACAGACTATCCAACTACCTGACGAGGTCGTCGGCTTCGCCTTTGCGGACTTGTACAACGGCACGAAGAACATGTACCGTTTCACAGCCGAACTTGAGGTCTACGTCGACAACAAGCACTACATGAAGGGCGTTGCATCCTGTCTCATGGACAAGATCCTCGGTTTGATGGACCCGATGTTCCCAGTGAAGGGCGGATACGAGATCCAAGGCGACGAAGCGGAAGGCATTGGATCGTTCCAGACGATTAAGAACATCCTTGTCAACATGTCTTACGATTCGGAAGAGGTGGCTGCGTGGAAGGATAGGTGGCTTACGGACACGCTGGGGTTTCAAGGGCGTGCTCCTCTGATGGGCCTGGGAGTGAAGAATGGGAAGAGGTACGGTCCACTGCTCATTGAAGACAAGTCTTTAAACTGACATAATTTCCAGCGTCAACCTGAAGATCTACCACCGCATCACCGGTGAAGATGTAGACCCTAAGAAGCTTCCGATCTCACCTATCTTCCTTCCTTAGAGTTCGAAGCAGCTCTGAGTGGGGACATTGTGCATCGAAGGCGAATAGGATGAGGCTTGTTTTACGACGATACCCAGGGATAGGCATGTGATCGGGAGTTTGGTGAAGAGCGTGCGCTTTACTATGACTTCAGGATCAGTGTGCTTGAAGATCAAGAGTTGCATGGGGTTTGTAGATGGTTTTGTGGGAAAGGTGCTTTGGAATGGAGGCATCAGGGATGAGAGCATGAGCATGAGTACATCAGCATGGTTATTTGACGGCGTTACCGGATACTGGATGCTTCTGAAACGAATCATCGTGGTAGCATCAGCGAAGAAACATCGAATGGGACTTTAGCATGGGAACAACAGAATGGCAGACGTGTTTACATGCGACCAGGATGTCTTTGAATAGGCCTTCTAGGTAGTCACAGAAATCACCACTTCACTCGAAATCACATGAATCTTAGCTCTGCCGATCACCTCCAAGCTTCATCAACCTTCACTACCCTATACACACCTCCAACACCATAACCACAATGGCAGCAGGCGCCGCACCCCCTCCCGCCACCAACGGCACCCACCCTCCCACCAACCCCCTCGAACTCGCCATCAGCCTCCCCCACACCCCTGGCACCCGCATCCACCTCCGCCTCGAAGTCCTCGCCGCAAGCCTCATGCTCTTCCTCACCAGCGCCAGCGCGGAAGGCGCATCAAGCAGTGCCGCGCTCGGGAGTTTCGTGTATGCTATGCCTGATGTATATGCTTCCAAACCTACAACTTGATTTGGTAGCATGCTGATGTGAAGTAGAGGTATAATCCTTCGCAGCCGATGAGCACACCGCTGTACAACGCCCCAACATCACTGGATTTTGCTACGAGGATGGCGAAGGTGCTGGCGAGGCGGACGGGGAGGGTGTGTTATGTGGGGAGTTCCGTTGATTTGGGCGTGGCGGGGGGTGGAGGGGTGGAGGAGGAGATGGGGGCTTTCCGGGCGGTGATTGATGTTGTTGAGAAGGCGATTGAGAGGGCGGGGCTGGGGAGAGGGGGGATGATTGAGGAAGAATGACGGACGTGTGGCTGTGGTAAAGGGTTGGGAGGTGGTGTGCTACGTTGTGACATGCAGACGACTGGGACTGCAGTGCCTGAAGAGTGCGGAGGATGACAGTGTGCTCTAGACGCACAGGCTTTATCGTAGAAGGCCGCTCGGCACTGCGAGAACTGGCGGAACGAAAGCACCGGCGACCCAGCCCGTCTTGGTACGTCACAAGGCGAGCAAGCGAGAAGCGAAACAGTCCTTCGCATGACCGGCACTAGAGCTTGCAGAACAGCACCGTCCAGGACCGCACGACATGGAGCACTGAGCATGCTACCAGACGACCAGTTCACGGGAGAAGATATTCCTTCCAACTGCCTGGTCGTACCGGTACCTGCGTCTCCAGCGAGCTTGGCGAAAGCGGACAGCAAGCAAGACATATCCAGTCTGTACTACAATGCACAACCAAGATTCAGTGAACGGGTGATTGCATTTTACGAATCCTGTGCGCCTGCCTGCAACAGCAATCTCTCGGCGCTCTTTCCTCCAGATTCTATAAGTTGATCTCCGACGCACATTCCTCTGTCTCAGACCTTGCATCCTGACATCATCTCTCTTACCTGTTCCTGAAGAGCTCTAAACAACATTGGACTACGCTTCTTCCTCTTCAGTCAACACAAGTCAACACTTCGGCCATATCGCCCAAGATGCAGCTCCTCGCGCCGCTGATCGCCCTCTTCGCTCTCGCAACGGCGGCTCCGACTGCAATCTCAAGCCTGAACCAGCCGGCCCCGTTCGAGTTCATCGGCGCCTCACCAGCCGCTAACGCCCTGGAGAAACGAACGATTGGAGCGGTGAGGATGTCAAGCGGCGCTCACTGGACAGGAAGCGTGTGGTGGGGGGCCTATCCTTTGGACACTTGCATTTCCTTGGGACCATACGCTGGGAATGTGCTCTCCTTCCGCCTGGACGAGAACACGAGATGCTTGCTTATGCAGTAAGCTCTGCCTCACCTCATCCCAATCAAGTCGGTGGCTAAGATATCTGCAGAAGTCGGTGCGATGCAGAGCAAAGTTTCGCCGAAGTTTACAATGTATGTATAGGCAGTGGCATGGTGCGCTATCCAGCACATACAGTACAAGCTGACCTCGGAACTTCGAAAAGGTTGATCAACATCTCGGCGATCTGTCCTTCTATGAGCAATACCGCGATTTTGCTAGCTACATCTGCAATCAAGTAAGTCAAATGGGTCAAAGGGCTCTCCGAGATGCGATCACAGTGGCTGGGGCGCCTTGGGGTCCCATGATCTCTTTCATGGCGCGGAGACGCTTGCTGACCTATTTGCCCTTCGGTTTCTTAGGTGGATGGAAACAGCCCGCCGTGAAATGCTCGGATCACTAATACTTCAATGTTGTATCATAGCTTTGGATGCAAGCGCAGCATGCTTCACACGGCGAAGAGAGAGCGACAGTGGGATTGGTATCATGTCATCAGCCGTTGCAGCTACTTAGGTTGATCTAACAAAAGACTACGCTCAATGCACATCCTCCAGCACTTACCTTACTGCATGCGATCGTCAGGCCTGGGAGTGCGCTCATGCTCCTCGTCAATAGTCGGCTCTTCTCCTGAGCGATCATCTCCTGGACGGTCATCACCCTGGAGGTCATGAAGAGCGCTCTGGCGGTGCACAAGAACGCTCTGGCGGTGGAAAGTCACCGACGTGTCGATCGGCGGAAGTGATGGCGGAATAGAGGTGCTGGACGCTGTCATGGAGCCAGACCCACCCTGGCCAGGAGCAGAGGTGGGACCGCCTTCTGGCGTGGGGCTGTTGCTGTCCGCCGTGGGGCTGTGAGAGCCGGCGGACGAGCGTCCGTGGGTGAATAAAGATTTCAACCCAAGGACTGACGCCCTCTTGCTAGGTTTCTGCGCTTTGGTAGGAGACTCGTGAGCGGGCTGGCCATCTGACGTCTTCGGACGCTCTTCGAGGTCTGTTGAGTAGTAAAGCGTTCCCTTCTTTGGCGTCCTCAACACCACCTGGCTTGCCCGCTTGAACACCCCCTTCGCGACCTTCACGAACCTCTGACTCTGCTTGCGTCCCGGAAGCCGATGGGGCAGGAGGTCCGGTGGTGTCGAGGGCCGAGATATCCTTGACGTACCGACTCCAGGTGGACCGTGGTGAGCGAAAGGCTGGGAGAACGGTGGTGGTGAGGGTCGAGCGAGCACCCGAGGAGGTACTTCTGATGAGCCGTCGTATAAGGGCCGAGGGAACATTGAAGGAGGAGGCACATCGAACGAGCTGTCGTATGAAGGTATCCCTGCCATCGGCTCATCGTCCTGCGCTCCGTCGGTGCCGCCAGGAGGGCGGGATCTCGAGCCGCGTCCAGAGGTATTGTCTGCTGCCAGCTGTTCTTCGTTGTAGACCGGAGGGTTAGGCCGGGGGCGAAGGGAACGAGAGGAGCCTACGGGCCTGATAGCAGCCGGGCGCGAGCGCTTCCCGCCTCGTGAGCTGACACTTGCTGCAGAAGGGCTCTCGTTCCCAGCGTGTTTCTTCTTGGACGCGCGTGAACTGACACTCGCTGCAGACGGGCTCTCGTTCCCGGCGCGTTTCTTCTTGGACGCGCGGGCAGCTTCTTCGGAATCCGACATCAAATCTTCGCGGCGACGGGTGCTGGAGGAAGATGACCTGACGGGAGGTCTCTTGTGAGCGAAGTGACACGCCCTGGGCTGCCGATAGGGGCATCGTCTCGCGTTACTTGTTGAGCGTACTGACCACGCAAGTCCTCCGAAGTACGTCCGGCTTTCCCTGCGACGCCATTGGGCTGGGCCGACTCGAAAGGCAAATTTGACGTAGAGGGATGACCTGAAGGTGAGGCCAAGGTCCGGCCGGTAGGCTCGTGAGGTGTACGAGGAGGAGGCTGCCTGGTGGAAGTTTGTGCCTGCCGTCCTGCTGGATTGGGCTGAGGACGACCGGTGGTCGCGGTCGTGGTTGACCGTGATCTCTGGTCGCCGCGCGGGCGCTGGCGGAGCGCCTCCAGACGCTCCATCTCCCGCTCCACAAGAGTGGCTTCATGATCTGCCGCTCGGGCTACCGCAGCCATGGCCTCCCTCCTGCACACAGCAGTACGCAACATGAGCTGCCGCATTTCATGCAGCTCGGGAGACTATTCAATGACTGGCGGAAGCTCGAGGGCTCTCGCGGTTCGCTTTTGGTGAGGGGTCACCCCTTCGTCTCGAGCTGGAGGGGCCCCCAACATACCATGCTGCGCAACACGGCGGTCTCCAACGGCATCCTCTTGACGGAGAACCTGTACCTTTTGCTCTGCCTGCTTTCTCTTCTCCTCAGCCACGCGCTCCTTCTCCTTCTGCTTCGCCAGTCTGCTCGCCTTGTCGGCCTTTAATTCTTTTAGATGCTGCTGGACGTTGTCTGCGAAGCGCTCGCAGTTTCGCTCGTAGCGCTGCTCGGTCTGCCACTTGATGCAAGCTTCTGCGGCCTGCCGCGTGGCCTCGACCACGCTGTCGTGTTCGAAGAGCTCCAAGTAAAGATTCTTTGCGTCGTCTCTGTCGTACTTCTCGTACATGGAGGGTTCCGGCAGAAGATGCACGAGCTCGGATATGATGCACGTGCGCAAATAATCCGGCTCCGGCCAGGTAAGCGGGTCACCGGACGATAGGGATGAAGAAGCGACATCGCAGTCGAACCAGCTCGTGAAGGCGTACCAGGAGAGCGGCGGACGTACGTCATTGGCGTCGTTGTCAGTGCCGAAGTCTACCAGCTCGCCAAGAAAGTTGTTGAGGATATCCTTGAGCACCCGGAGGAGAGCGTCCAGGGCGCGCTTGCGGTCAGGGGGCCACTTGACCTGGTCTCCAAGGCCACTTTGGAGGAAGTTCAACATCCGCAGACACAGTGGACGAGCCTAGGCATGCAATGTCGGCCGGTGTGGCGAGCTTGAGGCGCACGACGTAGATGTCGCGCTCGTGTGCCTAGCGTAGGGTGTCAGTCAAGCTTTCTTCGTGGGCAATACGCAGGGACTCACCTGGATCTGGGTAAACGGCAGGCCGTATTCCATCCTACCGTCTTCTCTCTTCGTCCAGGTGTTGTACGCCGACGCCGCTGTCTCGTTGTACTTTTCTTCCCGCAGCAACAGATACTCCTTCACCCGGGCTGTCTCCCTGAAAGCCCGCTCGTCATCTGTCAAGGGAGCTTCTGGCGGTTTGTTGCGCTCTCTCTCAGCATGCTCAGCTGGGCTGCCACGCGTGTAGCAGTAATAGTGACTGTAGCCGACGCTGGCCCCTTCGTGCACCGCGACATAATTGACATAGTACAGTCGGCCCAAACCGGCCACGGCGACCAGATTCTCGGGAACGGTAACGCGGGAGCGTATCTTGCCGCCAGTCTCGTTCCAGCGCCCGAGGACAACGAGAAGTTTCGATGGCTCCTCGTCACCAGCAGAGGCCAGTCGCGTCACTTCGCTATGGATCACCGACTTGCCGCCGCAGACCTCACAGTCCTTCTCTGGCGCTACTGGCACCGTGGCCTTGTCGTTGATCAACTTTCCGACGCTTTGATTTTCGCTCCCAGAGAGTGGGAGGCTCAGCGTGAGTGATTGTACCCCACCAGTGGCCCTCTGTACCCTGCAGTCGGGCCGCTCCGGATTCTGGCAGCGGCGCACAGCCTGCTGGGTATGTGACCACACCGGCTTCAGCGCCGCACGCAGGTGGGTGCAGACTTCCGACAACAGGAACTCATTCATATCATCTTGCCCAATCCTCGGCTGCCATCTGGGTTCTGCGTCAGTTCAGATTCTCCAGGCCCGACGAAGTGATTCTACGGATTCCCATATGTCGTTGGAGAATTGGAGGTTGATGTCTTTCAGGGTGAGAGAGGTGATGGTATCGTATGGAGGAATCAGGCCTGGCTTGACCCGGGTAAGATGGCGGCCAAATAGCGTGTCGGTCAGAAAGTCATCAATCTGCTGGGCCTGCCCTTCGTTCGACCACTCGTCCTGGCCTGTCTGCTCGATTGCGCGTGCGTCGCCGACCGCTCCATATGCGCGCATCGACTTCCAGAGTACTGACTTTGCCGCATCGCAACGCGACAGACGCCAGGCGCACATCGTCAACAGTCGCGACCACGGCACGCACAGCTTGAAGGCTCGTGAACTTGGCATCCTTCATTTCCGCGTATAGATCGATGTCGCGCCCTGCGCCCCGCATACCCGACGAGCGGAGCGGAATGATTTCGAGCCGCTGCAGGTTGCGCTGTTGCTGCCACAAAGTTTGCGAGAGGCAGGGGAGGAGTGAGTATGGAACTTTCCAGCAGAAGGGGGTCAAAGAGTTGGGTGTGAAGTGATTGATGATGTTGTCCAGTTGATCTTGAGCCCTCTCCGGGTCGTCGAAGTAGGTGGCGTCAGGATAGGCGACGACTTCACGCGTGTAGCAAAGCCCAACATTGTGTCCAGTCGCGAGTTTCTTCAGCTTCTCGTCGAGCTTGATGCCGATGGCGATGCTCAAACTCTGGTACAAGACCGGGAGAACGTGATCGCGGCAGTGCTTGCTGGTCATCATCAACCGATAGAGATCACGCTTGTCAGTGATCTGGCGTGCGTGGTTAGCTTCCTGCCAAAAGCATGAACCGCAGGACATCCTGGGATCACTCACGAAGCTGAATATCTTATCGATCAACTCGTTCGAGAGCTCTTCGAGGGTGGGTGTGTGGTAGTCAGGAGTTTCTGTCGGTGGCTCAAAGCCCCAAGTGGGCTGCTGGATGAGTGACATGCTATGCTCGCATGCCGCTTGGGAGGAGGTTGGTGAGAGAGGTGCGTGGAAGAAGGGAACAAAGCCAGCTTGAAAGAACATATCATGGAGCCAGGCCACAGTGCAGCGCTTCACGCGAGGATGCAAAAGATGAGGTCATTGAGAGTGAATGGAGGATGAGAAGTAGGTGGCTGGGCAACCGGTTGAGTATAAGGGGGGCGTAATTCATGGGTCGACCTGGAGAGCTGGCTTATTGGCCATCGAGGTTTATACGTCTATCTGGTAGATCTGTCGGGAAAGTCAGCATGAGGTCCTCGCATTGTTTGGACGGGACGCGGTCGAACACAAAGCTGTCAACTCGGCAGAAACAACTGGAGAACGTTCCGTAGATCTGATCAACAGGTCGCAGCTCGTTAGCACTCACCTTGCTATACATGTTTCGCCTTCTGCGGCGTGTCATCCAGCGCCACAGGACTGCCGTTCGTGCCAACATTCGGCGAGTGCACCGCCTCTAGGATCTCCTGGCTCAGGTCGACTTTAGGTCCTGCATAATCGTTCTTCCCTGAGACGTGCCATTGTATCAAAGATATCAGCAGTACGATGAAGAACACGACCACGCAGTAGTTCATGTTGTTTCCAGTCACGGGCAATTGAGGAGGGAAAACGAAGAGGATCTGGGTTCAAAGGGTCAGCAAGTGTCTCTGAATCACGGATAGCGGGCGTAGGGTCTCAGAGCGTGGCAAAGTCTTCGATCGTGTCTCAGAGAACCCTTTTACCCATCAGTACTTACAGTTGTGATGATAACGTAGACAATGCCAATTAGATTTGCCAGCCAGGCAACCGGCTCCGGCATCTTGAACGCTCGATTTGCTGGTAGCATCCTCCTTCCCCGGCAGACGTTGATCATGACGGGGATGCCATACGTCAATCCGAGTGCAACAACTGACGCTGACACGATCGCATTGAATGCAGAGGTCGATCCAAGGAAGATTAAGCCTGCAAACAGAAGGGTAAAAGGGTTAGCCAGTGTCTCAGACATGATAGGGGTTTGCCCATGGTTTGGTACCGAAAATGAACACGACAATAGCCGTGAAGCCTAGCGCCTCTAATGGGACGTCGAGCTTCGGGTGAACTCGAGCGAGAATCCTGGAGAAGGGCAAGCCGCCGTCACGAGCAAAGGCGTAGGTCATGCGGGAAGACGTGGTCATGATGGAACTTCCTGCGAACAAAAGGCAAGCCAGAGGAAAGATCTGGAGGCAAACTGTGCCTGCTCGGCTGCCGGTTGCGGTGTAGAGGATCTGACCCAGCGGCCCATATGGCGACGTGATGACCTCTTCCGCATTTCCAGCGACGAAGAGCAAAGACATGAGAAGGAGGAAGCCACTCACGACTCCAATGAGGACGGCGTATATCATGAGTTTTGGCGCCTCGACAGCGGCGTTCGGGATCTCTTCGACCATATGTGCCGTAGCGTCGTACCCAGTCAGTCCTAGACCGCCCTGTAGTAAGCCCAGGAGCCACGCAATGCCGTCAGGCCATCCGGTCTCGTTCTCGAAATGCCGGAAAACGAAGTCTGCAGATTGGTAGTTTGGGGAAGCACAAGCCAGCACTGTTATAGATATTAAAACGAATCCAGTTAATGACCAGGCCACAGCAACTTTGTTGACGTAAGGCAGAGCAGAATTTCCAAAAGCGTTGACAAGAAACATGACAATCAGATAACCCAAGTATATGAGGAATTGTTCCCATGGCTTCGCATCGTAATTGTTGTCAAAAAGCGAAATGATCCCGACGATGAGTTGACTGCCTAGAAGGCCTGCTGTCGCCGTCAGAGCCATCCAACCAAAGGTATTGATCCACCCGGTCACCCATGACAGTTCTCGCCTCCAACTCGGCCAGCTGATGATAGCCACCCAGTAGTATTGGGCTCCTGCTGTCGGGTATGCCGAAAGGAACTCAGCAAGGGATGCGGCCAAACAGACGTTGCAGATGCCAGCTGTTATCAAGCCCCAGAGAACAGACGTCGAACCACCGCTGGGCAAAGCCAGAGAGAGGGAGGCTGAGAGCGCCGTCCAGCTGTTGAGAATGGCGAATGCCAGGCCTAGCATGCTGAGCGATGAAAAGTTTCGCTTAAGCTCTTGCTTGATCCCAAGGGCGGCGAGGTGGTCGACATCTGCGACGCTACTCCGTCTTCGTCCTGCGCTCTCGGCGGAGGCTCTGGGTGTGTCCATCTTGTGCTGCGAAGAGGGTTGTATTGAGTGTTGTGTCCTGTCCTACTGCCTCCTGCGCTTTTGACTGATCTTCGCGGGTAGTCGTCGTCCAAGAAGACTCAGAATCTTTCATCCAAGAATGCGGGAGTCTGGCGTGGTCCACAGCCCTGATCCTGAAGGTGCGCGAGCTCAGCGATCGTTCGACCGGCGTGCGTACTTCCAATCGTTCGTCTTATCCAACGAGATACCAATGCATATTGGAGGAATCAGTACAGCTTTTGAACGCTGTCAGATACCGTGGAATCATCTCGATCGTCGTCCGCGGCCGCCGAATAGAGTAAGTCCATCCCGCTGCCGGCGATATTTTCGGTGGTCCCCGATGATAAGGACTGCCTCCATTTCATCCTGTCAAAAGTCTCAAGGCTCGTGGGCGCGGAAGAGGTCGGAGGGTTTGCAAGGTATACCTCTCATACTGGCAATTGGACCCCCATGTCGTTGGCTCAAGTTGCTCTAGGTGCGCTTGGCTGAAAGCTTGTCAAGCTTGATATGCAAGCCATAAAGTGGACAAGAGGAGTGACAGTACAGTACGGTCAATGGGATGCAAAAAGTTACTGAAGATGCTGTGGGCACATGCTTGTGGTATGCAGTTGACGCTACTTCTTTGTTCCATTTCCTAAGACATTGCGCCGGATGCGTTGCCTCTGACCTCCAGCTTTCGTGGCTTCTTCTTTGCTGGTGCACCACCACTCTTCTGACTGCCGCCAGGCTGTTTGCCAACAGGGGTACTCTGACCTTGTTGCTGTATACGGGAGCCTCGACGGGGTGCATTCGATGCTGAGGTCGCCTGAGACTGCGTCCTGCTGGCGTTTCCCGGCCGCTGCTGCTTCTGCCCTTGCGTAGACTTCACACCTTGTCCAGCAAACTCTCCATATCTCTGCCCCGTCTGACCTGCCTGCTGAGTGGAAGGGGCAGAGGTGTGTTGTTCCACCTTCGATGGAGCCGGCTTGTTCTCCGTCTTACTTTTCGACGTGAGGCCAGGCACATACGGCATAGAGGGCTGAGCTCCTTGTAGAAGACCTTTCTGTCCTTCATCAGCCTCCCGCTGTCCGGTGCAGCCCTTCCCTACATTCAGCGCAGGGCCTCCTTGGCTCATCTCCATCAACTCTTGCTCTGGCGGTCTGTCCTGATCTTTGACGCCATTGACCATCTTCTCAAGAGCCGACTTCTGTTCGTCCGTTGCTTTCCATCCTGGGAGGTCGCCCGTAACCTTCCTCACACCATCAGCCATGACTTTCGGCAGCGAGAACCATGGCCCATGAGCCGCCCCTACGGCCAACCCTAGACCGCCTCCCAATCCGCCCGTGACAGTGCCGGTCGTGCCTCCAACAAGCGTTCCGGTCAGTGTGCCCAGAGCGACTCCGACACCACCACCAAGTCCAGCCCCCGCGCAGAGCCCTTGGAATGCGCCAGTATTGAGATATCTTGCTGTCTTGCCAAAAGTCTCAGCTTCAATCTCCTTGTCAAGAGCTTGCTGTAGGAGTTTCTGCCGCTCTTCTGGGTCTCCCGCTCCTGCAGCAGCGTTTATTAGCTCTTTCGCTTTGTTCTGCAGCTCGAGAGAGCGTTGCGCTGCCTTGCGAGCCTCATGCTGTCTCTCACGTTCCTTCTGGGTGGAGGGTCTCTTCTGGCTTTGCTGCTTTGGCTGTCCTTTGGCCGAAAGTTTCGTCTCCTGTTGGGGCTTCGCCTGCGATGACTTCCTCTCTTGACTCTGCTGTTGTGACATGCTGTGATCGCGCAAGAAGCGCAGGCTGACCGTCACGATTACATGTCGTAGGTGACGATGTCGATCAAACCAAGTTCTGGACCACAACAAGTTGGAAGGGTAGATACATGTAGAGTTCGGCGCTAAATGTCGATCACATCAGAACGACCCGGTACATGGCTTCAAACGACCAGAGCTCGTCTCCTGATGGACACTTGACATCAATCTGGAATTTACACGAATATGTTACGAGCTGTACACTCCTGCGCAGACAAGGTCAGAGCACAAACTTCTCCGTAAGTCAATCACCTATCCGCTACTGTGCTGCCACCTATTCTTTTTGAGAACTCATATGCCTTCGAGAACCCGTGCTTGACATCCCACTTTAATGCCATACACCAACATCATCCCCTTGTAGTCCACGAATGCTGTCCCGCCTAGAATGGCTAAAGGACGCCGACCCACTGCTCCCATCTAACGACACCTCCAGAAGTGGCACCTCGATCCTGGGCGTAGCGTTCTCATGGCGACTCTCCCGCATCGCCTGACGGAGCCGCTTATACTCCCTGTAGTCCTCCAACTCATCGGCAAACGGACGACGGAGGACGATGCTCATCTTCAGCTCGCTGTCGAGGCGCTTGAACTGGATTTCGTAGACCGGTCGTTTCGTCTTTGGACTCGCGCTGATTGACCAGCCGACAACTACGTGTCTGCAACACAACCACAAAATTAAGTCAAGTAAGCCTGAAGGACAGATTTGGTTTCACTCACAGCCCATCATATCTGATCCCAGCCCGAGGAGCCCAGAAGCTTCGCAGCGAGTGGCTTCTCAGAATCCGGACAGGCTGCCTTGACTCCCTCGTCGCACTCGTCAAACGATACCGGCCACGATCGTGCTCTCTTGCCCGGTAGGTGAAGGCGTCTGGGCTTGGGCCATTCACTTCCTCTTCTTCAGTCATCAGGACGGCATAGGCGCCGCGATCGTCGGACACGACCCCTCCGGCAGGTTCTCCAGAATCGATGATGCCGTCTCGAAAAGCAAAGAGCGGATTGATCCACCAACTGCATTCATGTCAGTGAGAATGCACGGCCTTGTGAAAACAGGAACAACGCACTCTCCCGGTTTGAATCCCAAATCACCCACCCTCCTCGCATGCATCGGACTCAGCTTCACCCCTACCTCCTTCAACCATTTGATGATCAACTTCTCCCTGTTCAGATCCTCAGGCCGACAGATGCCATACAGCCGACCACCCGGCTCGTACAGAGGGATGGGAAGCCGCTTCAAAGATCCATAGTTGTTCTCCCAGATCGCAAGCACGGCATCCGCTCTGTCGATGAGCCTACCCGGCCAGCGTGTTGCCTGACCAGAAATGGTGGCGAGGGCTTTGTGAAGCCGGCTGAAGCGGATGTCGTCCAAGCTGATGTTGGAAGTCAGGAGACGGCGGAGGAACTCATCCAGCTTCAAGCAGTCGTCTGAGTGGAGGGCGTCAGGACCACTGCGAGCGACTTGCGGGTCGAGGTCGTCGCGGATCCAGCGGGATTGATGGCGGAGGTAGTCCAGGTCGTAGACAGAGTCTTGTATCTTGGATTCGTCTCGGCGACCAGATCGTATTATCATGGCCATCTTCCATCGATCCACGAGGTCAAGTCACTGGATGCCGGACGGCTTGCTGTTATGTGCTGCCGCTGAGCATCTTCACCTCGACACTAGATGCCGATACTGTGACACGTTAAGGAAAAATGAGTGCACGTGAAGTAAATAAAGTGAAGCCTTGCACCTACCGTCATTTCCAGAGGGTTTAGCCTCCAGTAACCCATCGGAAGCCACAACTTGCCTTGCGGTGGACAGAGGAAGGTGCGTTGTGCGTGAGACATAACACATCTGGACAACAGCAGCGGCACTCTCCAGCACGAGATCAACATGAACGTACAACCATTTTGAAGCCATTCAGAGAAGGCGTACCAGTCCGGAGAAGTCCTTCTTCTTGCAGCACGGAGTTGATTTCGTGTTGGAAGGTCTGCAGATGTTGCAAGAGGTGGTCTGCTTCACGCACAAGCTTCGCAGCCTCCTCGAAACTGTGCATCACCCTTCATCGCGTAGCTCGGCATCCTTACAATCGTCCGGAAGCATTATAGAGGCGAACACGAAGAAGCTGTGGGTGAGAGGAGAAAGATGACTTCGCGTTTGTTGATTCCATCCCATCGGTCCGCATTTGCCGCGAAGCTTTGCTCAGAAGGCGTCATTTGCTCGGTCACCCTTATTCCCGTCGTCTGTCGAACTTCCTTGGACATTGTATATAGACTGTTGCGTTTTCTATCCATCGAAATGACATTGATTGGGCGGTATCTGGCTGGACGAGCAGAGGCATGAGCGAGGGCGAGATGAGTAGCGCCAACGGCAAGATCTCGAACCATGAGCGCGATGCAGAACAGCAGGATGGCCCCCGGTTGCGGAGAAGTGTAACACGTGCTGTGGTTCAGGACTTCAGTCCGATATGGTTTGTTCAAAGATCACTTAAAGAATCAGGTAGCATTTTGCTAACACGCAAGGACAGGTTCACCTGGTGTATGAACTCCGGAGCGATTGCTGAACTCCTACACCAATGTCCATACCGGTTTAACGGCATTGACATTCTGGCCAACATCTTCTTCGTCATCAACTTGGTCCTATATGTTGTATTCTCCAGCCTCTTCATCGCCCGGTTCGTATGGTTCAAACGGGCTGCATACGATGAGGTCGTCAACAACATGGCCGAACTCACGTTTCTCTCCTGTTGGGCTATCGCTTTCATGACGCTCACTTCGGACGTCGCACTGATCCTGAGCACGGCATGGTGGGGCGGATACCACTTTACGCTGGTGGCCTACGTGATGTTTTGGTTTGTTCAGGCATGGAATACCGTTCTCCTTCTCTGGGCCTTCATCACGCTAATACGGAGACACGACTCCTCGGACCGCCGCATGCCGACGTCGATAATCATCCCGGCCGTGAGCATGTCTACCGCTTCCATTACTGGTGCTGTTGTGGCAGCATTCGCCAAGGATCTCTCGTCAAGGCTCGCTGTACCGGTCATGATTGTGAGCTTCAACTGGGTGGGCGTTGGTATCCTGACTGGACTGATACTCTACGTTTATCTGTTCCACAGCCTACTCGCTCAAGGATGGCCGGCACCAGATCAGACGGCGACAATGTTCATATTGGTCGGTCCGATGGGTCAGTCTGCGGCGGCATTACAGATCCTTGGGGCAGCCGCCACAACCTACGGCAGGTTCGGCGACTACAACAAGGGCACTTTCCTGACAGCCGAGGCTGCACGAGGACTTGATGCAGCCTGCGTTCTCATTGCTCTCCTCCTGAACGGCTTGGGTGTCATTTGGCTATGCTTTGGTATCTACGTGATGGTTGAGAGGGCGGTACAGAAACAGTTGCGTTGGACGCCAGCGTGGAATGCTATCATCTGTAAGCATGACATAGTTGATGTTACTCTGGCCTTGCTAACAACGCTTCCTCTGCCTGTTAGTCCCGAACGCAACCCTCACTACATCATTCCTGCTCTTCTCAATTGAGATGGACTCGCCCGCGTACCGAGTGATCACTTGCATGCTGATCATTATCCTGGTTTTCTTCTTCTTGGTCAACTTGTGTTTTACAGTACTCAGAATCTCGCAAGGGAAGCTACTAATTGTGAGGGAAGACTGGAGGGTCAAGCAACAGCTGGAGGACCGCCAGAAGGCAAAGTGAAAGATCTTGGTGAAGAGGTGTTGTTGGTTTGACCTGACATGACCCCACTTCTTCACTTGCTCCGAAGATCGGAGTCCAAACTTCACCAATCTCAAGGAACATTTTCGTCGCGCACAAGATCATCAAAACACCAGAAGCGCAGCATGCCTTCTTACAATATTGTCGTGTTCGGTGGTAAGTGACCAATCGTTGGTTTTCCATGAGTCGCCGGAAGTTGACGTCTTTCAGGTGACCACTGCGGACCCGAAGTAAGCCTTCCAATATGCGCTTGCACCACGAACACTTGTTAACATCGATATAGGTCACAGCAGAGGCTCTGAAGGTATGCTTTCGAGTCTTAACATTTTGAAGATGCGAAGCTAACAGTCACCAGCTCCTACAGACGATCGAAAAGCACAGCGACATCAAATTCAATTTCAAAGAGCATCTCCTTGGTGGTGTAAGTCCGCGCCCGCATCGTCCGAATTACCAATCCTCATATTTAATAGGCCTCTATCGATGCGACTGGCGAGCCTTTGACAGACGAAGCACTATCCGCAGCGAAAGCCGCTGATGCCGTCATTCTCGGCGCCATTGGCGGTCCAAAATGGGGCACAGGCAGCGTCAGGCCTGAGCAAGGCATTCTGAAACTCCGCAAGGAGATGGGAACATTCGGCAACCTACGTCCATGCTTCTTCGCCTCGGAATCTCTGGTCGACATCTCACCACTCAAGGCCGAAGTCTGCCGAGGCACCAACTTCAACATCGTCCGTGAGCTTACCGGTGGAATCTACTTTGGAGAGCGAAAGGAGGACGATGGCTCCGGCTACGCAATGGACACGGAGCCATACTCACGAATGGAGATCGAAAGGGTTACTAGGCTCGCGGCATATCTCGCACTGGCTGAAGACCCGCCGCTGCCAGTGTGGTCTCTTGACAAAGCCAACGTGATGGCAACGTCGCGGCTCTGGCGGAAGACAGTCACCGATGTCATGACGAAGGAGTTTCCACAGCTGAAGCTGGGCCATCACCTCATCGACTCGGCTGCTATGCTAATGGTTAAGAACCCCCGCGCTCTCAACGGCATCATCGTCACCTCGAACCTCTTCGGCGACATCATCAGCGACGAAGCTTCTGTAATTCCCGGAAGCCTTGGCCTCTTGCCCTCAGCATCGCTGACCTCCTCTCCCGACGGCAAGGGAAAGTGCAACGGTATATACGAACCTATCCACGGGTCTGCCCCCGACATCAGCGGTAAAGGCATCGTCAACCCGGTGGCTATGCTGCTTTCGATGGCCATGCTGCTGAAGTACTCGCTGGAGCAGCATGCGCTTGCGCAGAAGGTGGAGGAGGCTGTGAAGATTGTGATAGACAAGGGGATTCGGACGACGGATATTGGTGGGTCGGCAAAGACTACGGAGGTTGGAGATGCTGTTTCTGCGGAGCTCGAGAAGCTGCTCAAGCAGTAGTTGGGTTATGTGAGCTGCATCGTGAGCTCACACGGCCTGGAAGGGAATGGTGGAAGTCGTTTTCTACTTCACGAGCCATGTAGCATCATAAAGATGTCCAAGTAAACAGATCTCGCACATCCTAACCAGTGATTGTCTCCTTCATTCTCACGGTGGTCTGTATCCCTACGTTGCGACTTTCTGCGTGTTGCCAATACCGTCAAGATTGCACGCGCAGCAAAGCAAGTATGTGGCAGTCGGGGGTAGTCCGTTCAATCTCATCGTATGCTGTACATCCCATTTCCGGGATCGTGCGTCGCCGCCATTGAGAATCTCGACCTCATGGCTGGAAAGTTTTGGTCCCACACCGCATGCGCCAGTGCGAGCACAAAACAATGGCGATGGTACGAGATGTGTTGAGATAACGCTTTCAGACCCAAATATGGAGTTCAGCCGGCATGGTTGACGCCGCTCTATCAAAAACAGTTTTGTCCACCCGACGCCAGTCGCCCGCCCCCGAGGATGATCTACCCCTGAACAACGCAGAGCGCACTGATCTTCCGTTTTCGTGCAGCACGCATGGTCTCAGCGCCCCTGAAATTATCAGATCTTCTGTGGTCGGCTCGATACCATGCTTAACTTTACTCTAGGTCAGGCACCCGGTAGGGCTGACCGGCGATCACCTGTCGGCGGCTCTCTCCTGCATGGTATCGACTCTCGTGTGGCTATCTTTCGGCGGCGGCCACAGCACACCACTATTCTGTCTCGGACGGAATGCAATGACCTTGGGAGCACACCACCTTCCTCGACCAAACTGATGTGTGAGCCGACATGTATCATTCAAGTCCCCAGGGCGGACACCTCTCTTCGCCATCGTCGTTGACAAGGAGACGTTTCAAGGCTTTTCTCCCCATTCTGGTGGCCCTGATCGTTATTCCTTTCTTCGTTTCAGCCTTTTACGGTGGTGGCAAAAGCGAGCTGACCCTCGTTGCGAAGGCTCGTGGGCTTTACAATAAAAATGGTGACAGTCTCACGTCCGACCAAGCCAGCCTGAGTGAGAAGACCGAGACTGGCGTTGACATTGAGGATGGGGATCACATGGCCGACTATGGCCCTGGCAGCATAATCGAAACCGCCTACGGCTCACCAGACGACGAATACGGTTCTGAGCCTGATGTCGAGGACGGGAACGGCCCTGATGAAGGAGATCTGGACTACGACTTACCCGATGCCGATGATTTAGACACTGACTATGGTAGTGCCCCATTCAGTCACCACCATTCAGCAGTCCATCAGAAGCCGGGCAAGAGCTTGCTGGACCTTATGGACTTCCCAGACGAGGATGAAGAGGATGTCAACACGATTCCTGACCGAGGCGACTATCGCGAGCTCTTTTCTCTAACCACCCGAGATAGAAGGTTCATACCTCTCTTCATCGAGGGGACAGGCGCATATGGACCCAACGTGGTCCCGCATCCAACGAAATTCGACATGTGGATTGTGCTTGCGCAAAGGCTTCAACCTTCGGTCATGTCCACCACATACGAACAGATCGTGTGCACTGCCGGAATCCTCAATGGCGTTCTCATCTGTGGCGAAGCCTTCGAGAATTTGACCATGTCGTCCTTTGTTCAAGGAGCTTGCGAGGGTGATCTTGCCTACTACAACAACTATTCGGGAGCCCGCGATGCGAGATTGTTCTACGGTCCAAGTGCGCCTTTTGTACTATACGGGTCACAGTCACAACATACCTGTCTTGGTATGTGGCTCCAAGATGCTCGAGCGTTACTCGAGCCTTACCATCTTGAGAAGCCGCTGGCGAAGCTCTTCAGCCAGGCTACGGAAGTCCAGCGCCTGCCACCTCTGAAAGGACTCGAGACCAATTACTTCATCTTCTGGGACGCGGACGGCAAAGCCTATGCGCATTATCAGATATGGCCAAGACGCTCGTTCGCGCAGCTGGACTGGGATGGCTCTGTGGGCGAAGACCTGGCTCCAGCGGCTGCGAAACGGGATCAGGTCTGCGTAGCGAGGTACATGCAGACCATCCAGCCATCCAACGAGTCTCTTCAGCAAGCCAGCAACTCCCTCGCCATCACCCTCTGCGATAGGACAAACCCGAAATGCAAGCCCAGCGAGTCGAACACCTTCCTCATGCACATCTTCCACCACACCTTTGACTACGACTCACACATCGTGCATGAGCCGTTCGTCATGCTCTTCCAACAGACCGCGCCCTTCGCTCTCCACGCCATCTCTCAGCGTGCGCTCTGGATCCACGGCCGCCAGGCGCTGACGAACGAGACCGGCTCGCCACAGTATCCAGATCCGGAGGACATACCGACAGGACATACGGAGAGGTTTGCCGTTACTAGTATCAGCTGGAAGAACCACGTACAGAGATATCACGGGTATATAGATGATACCATGATGATTGGCGTCAGCGTTGAGGATTCAAGGGCTGGGATTATGGATGTGAAAGCGAGCGACCTTGTGCAGGATTTGGCGTTTTGTTAGATGGACTGGATAGATGTGTAGATTATGAGCAATTCAAGTGCACTTCCATCCCAATGGTTGATCTTGTAGGTATGGTTAGATGTGTGGGTAGATGTGTGCAATGTCGCAAGAAGGCTCCTGTCACAGGAAAGGCGAGGTGTCAATTCAGGTTAGATGTATATCTATATGTCTTCCGCTCAAACGCACCAAACAATTCTTTCAATCACATGCAAATTGCGCCAAACACCTCGCTAAATCGACAAAATATCCAGGATTGCTCAGGAATGCTTGAGTATCCAGTATAGGAACAAATTCACCACGTCCAGTACCGCTCGCGCGACTGCGCTCAAGTGCGGCCAGGAGCGATATGACAGGCTGTTGCTATTATGCCAGACCGGGGTGAAGTGCAAGCCTGTGATCGACCTCAGCCTCCTTCTTCTGCGCCTTCAGATCGTCCTGATCCTTGATCGCAATCATCTTCAGCTGATCTTCTTCCGGCAGAGACTCAAAGAAAGCAGTGTTGGTGTCCCATAGCGCAACACACTCTGGATCCCAGTTGCACTTCTCTACTTCACCGTAGACCTGATACTGTCAGCACGTCTCATCCTCAAGGATGTGGAAAGACTCACCGGATGCTTATAGCGAGGATGCTGCGTTGGCCACGAAGAAGCATGGAAATGATGCATCACCAACGCACCCCTCCCTCCATGATTGCCCGAATCTGAATGTCCAGTCCCAGCCGCGAAAGCCTCGGAGGGCAGCACAAGCACTTCTCCCACAACCCTGGACTCCTCGAGATCGTGGAAGGGATCCCAGCTGATCTGCTCGCCCTCTGTCACGGACATCTCGGCCAAGATGGCTGTGGTGAACGCTGAAGGTCCGGTGCCGGAGAGCACTTCGTCGAAGTCGAGTTGGAGTTCTGAGATTGGGACGCCTTGGCTTTGGGAGAGGTTGTTGAGCCAGAGGAGGATGTTGTTGATGAGCCGCATCATGACTGGGAGTCGAGGCTTGCACATGAATGTCCATTGGCAGAAAGATTGTGCTTTCGAGCCGAGGAGTGGGTGGTCTGTATGACAGTCAGCATGTTTGTGGCCTGTGCCCTTATTGTCTTCTGGCGACACTCACCCTTGAAGCCTGGCTCGTCTGTCTCAATCCCAATCACCATGTTGACATCCTTCTCGTTGAATCTCTTAGGTATGAAGTGCTCAATCGATCTGACAGCCTCCACATCGATATCCGCCCATACTCCTCCTTCAGCATACATGATCAGATATCGTAGCAAGTCGGACTGGATAATTCGAATCGAGTTCAACGATCGGTAGGTGTAGACGATATCCGGTCGATTCAAGCCAAAGGGCCCGTAAAACTGTTCGACGTATGTCATGGCGCTGTCGTCGGTCAAGACCTCGTATCTGTGGGCCGCATTCTTGGTCGTCCAGGACATCGCTCTTTCGGTATCCCGATCCTCGAACCGTAGCGCATCCACCTTCCACGACTGCCAAATCTTCTTAGGAAACTGCTCCATGGGAAGGAACGACGGGTCTCGAAACCCTCCGAGAGTGCTGTGAAGTAGTAGGAAGACAGTGCATGTTGCGAACAAGATCAGGAGCATTCGAAACTGATTCGCAAACAGCGCCTTGAAAGGCGGCCGCGAGTTGAACGTCTGCATCGCTGTGCGAGTCCAACGGGATGGAAGCAACGAGACAAAGGAGTGTGGTTGCGGACGTCTTGCCTGACAGCCGTGAAAGAGTGTACGGTCACAGACATGAGCACCACAATGCAAAAGTGCAAGCGATTACGCTAGACGACAACATCAATCCAGAACGCACACATTTAGGATGTGTATGAGGCCAATGCTTGAAGTTGGCCCTACGTGGGAAAGTCATTCCGGAGCAGTACAGTACAGTAGCTTACTTTCTGTCTTAGCCGGATCTGCGTGGGCACAGAGCACCCCTGAGCCAGACTAGGCGAACATGTCGAAACCAACATTTTGAATTCTGCTGTGTCGCCGAGGCTGATGGAAACTCTGGCGATTGGTCTTGCCGGATGGGGCTGTTCACATGCTTCTGCCAATCGAGTTTGATATACGGGGGTTGAAGGCGAGCTAAAGATTGGGTGCAAGGCCTGCCCTGGACCAACATCATACGAGCCGCATGATAAGGCCCAATTCTCTCCTGATGCCGGGGACCGGAAGCATGAGTGGTTTCACAACGCTGTTGGTGAATGCGTAAAAGCCCTTATTGCACGGCACCATCACGGGTGTCACCTTAACACGTGGGTTCCGAGGAAACATTGTTTGTCCGTGCTACGACGGCTATTGTTGGCCCGAAGCCTGCGAGAGAAGCGGTTCTGAGATTTCAGGCCAGCTGAAAACAACAAAGTGTGAGCTGTTTGACGCCACCTTTCGCCAGGCGTACCTCAATATAGACCTCCTCTACGGAGTAGAAGAAGAGTCATCTTACGACTCAAGACTCGGTAGCTGCCAGCCGCGAGTTCGGTGGCTTGCCGGCAACAGGAGTACCGACAACGGCGTAGATCGGAGGGGCCGTCGAGAACGGTATTGATCTTCAACATGGCGTTGTGGCTGGCTGATTCAAGACAATTCAATGTTGATGTACAGACTGCACACTCATGCTGTGGAGCCAGAAGATCAGCTTTTGGTATCAAAATATTGCACTTGCTAATGCCGTATGGGTGCACTCTTCAACGTATGCTCCATCGCGGAGACTGCAGGAGACCGCCCCTGTCTCTCCAAGCGCCATTGTCTTGATCATGAGTCCGTGCGCCGTGCTGCAGGAACAGAAAGCTTACCAGGAGATCGGTTATGTTAGCGCGGCTGCGAAGTTAAGCTTAAACCTAGGATCAACGACGGCAAAATACGGGTGGATGGCCCGGTGGGTGTCTCGTCTAGATTGAGGTCTCATTTCAGCCACGGCAGAAACGATTGCGCATACGGAGATGTGTTGCGATAAGAAAAACAACGACTGTTCGTGAGGTTTGTGACTATCTGTTGCATTCACGCTGATCATTCGGGTCTCGTGATGAGATTGACCACTACAGCCGCAGCACCACGCTGATCCACCTCAGCGTTTGGCAAATTCAGACATGCTTGATCGCAACATCACGATCTTGTCACGCCCACTCGCAATCTCCGCAGTCGACAATCAGCCTGCCGCCGGCTCGTTGATCAGTACAAATCCTCATTTCAAATGTGGATGAGGTCGGAACACGGACGATGAAGAACGCAAGCGAAGTGAAACTGGGTGATGAATTAATATGGTCTTTGCGTGAAAACGTCGATACCCTCTAAATCCTACTTGCTTTGATCGCTATCATCGTGACCGCGCCGGGGATATCAAAAACCTGCGTAAGCCTAACAAGAGGCAATGAAAAAAAGGTCCACCTGAGGTCCTTGGTATGGCGTGACCACTGTATTAGGAGATACAGGAAGAAAGTTGCCTAGTACACGGTAGGCGATGGCTTGTTCGTCGTGCAGGTCGTCGTTGGGGTCGGCTTGCCTGGGTACGGCTTGTGGGGCTGTGGTGGAGGCTGAGGGTGAGGGTAGCCGTGGGGCTTGCCGGGCTGAGATGGTGGCGATGGCGGCGAGGACGGCTTGCCTGGGTAGTAGGGGTGGCTCTTCGGGAGGTTGGCCTTGAGGTAGTCGGTGTGCTTCGCCGCCCACGAAGGGTGGTTCTTGAGCCAGCCGGGGTGGTTGATGAGGTAGTTGGGGTGGGCAGTGAACCAGTCTTCGACGGGGTGCTCAGACTTCACTGGCTCTACCGGCTTTGGCTCGTATGCTGTTGGTGCTTCGTCCTTGGAGCCTTTGCGGTGGCTGGCGCGGACTTTGCGCCATTCCTTCTGCCACCAGCTGTAGGAATGTCCCTCCCACTCGTTCGAGCGCTTGGAAAGGCTCACGCTCTCGCAGTAGTCTTGAGCGAGGGCGGCAGCGGCTGTGGAAGTGGGTCAGCTTGGTTGATGAGTGTGACTGGTGAGTGTCCTTACGGTTGCTGCCATCATCAGTGCAAGATCCACAGCTCTCTATGCTGCTCACGAAGTAGTTCGAGGAGCAGATGCACAGGCTGTCGCTGGACGCACATCCGGTCTCGGCAATGGCTTTGCTGATACAGCTTCCCTGTGGAGATTGTCAGCTCTGGGAAATCGATGTTGGATCTTCCACAACGTACAGCACACTCGTCGACCTTTCCGGCGGTAGCAATCGCCGCGAGGGCGGGAAGGAGGTAGGTAAATGCCTTCATGGTGTTGGATGACGTGATATGTCGTGATTGTCGAGTGTGGTTTTCTTGGGGGAAAGGTATTGGTGAATTTAGTATGGTATTAAGAGTTGTGTGTGATGAATGGTAGTAACGACTGTAGCGAGCGTGATGATGAACGAGCGTAACGAGCGACTGCTTCGAGAGGAAGATGAGGAGTGCGCTGCTCTGTGATGGAGATGCAGGTCCCCGGTAGCTTATAGCTACACAGCGTCTGCATGTCTGGACCGACACCGTGCGCAGATAGCCACTCTCGCACAAAGTTGTGCGCCAGCAAGCCCATGTTGTCGCTAGAAGAGCTCAATCAAAGATTGGGGCGTGTCCAATATCGCATGCAGTATGGCAGGGTCTGCTGCTTTCGGCTGAAGGCTAGCCGACATTGGGACATGCAATTTCCGTCGTTCGGGACTGTCCCTCGGGCGCCGTGCTGGGGACAGCCTTGAGGCGTTCTCGCCAATGGTATTAGGACGGGCGCGTGCTTTCCGTGAACTGCACTCTGTTTGTCAACACCCAAGCGTCTTGGTAACAGGGCTGACAGTCATAGACCGAGCATTGATTGGTGGTGACCCTAGTGACCTCAGGTCCTCAGGCGATGTTCCATCGAGTTGATCAGGCTTTGCACCAACACGGTGTCAGCATGCATCCTTTGCAACGTAGGCGCGAGCGGCCGTGTAGGGCAGGCAGCCTTGATCTGGATGAGGGGACAAGCTCAGCGTGGTTGTCGTAGACGATCCCACCTCCCCACTCTCCAGTATTGATCCACATGCAGATCCACACGAGCCAGACCGAAAAGCACACATTGACCGAACGATCTACGGCTCCGGGTGAGTCAAAATTCGGAAGCTTTTCTGTTTTGACTTCTCTGGCGGCCAGCCTCTACCGAGCCTGTGTATGCGCTATCCCTGTATCCTGTCATTCGGTTCCTGCATTAGCGGTCGATCTCCTTTGTTTATCAGCATGTGCAACGTCCGGGGGCCAACTTAGAGCGTGGCATGACTTTTATGCTTATTACAGTGGTATGCTGACAAGGTGATTGACGAGACAATGGGTGGCCGGCATCGCTGGTCACTGGATCTGGCGACAGGAACGAAAGCATCACGAATCATTGGCGTCAGGCCACACATGTTTCTAGATTTTGGGCTATCCGGCTATGTCGATACGAGCTGTGCTGATAAGGTGAACGCTGTTGTATGCTTGTTTATCGGGGCGAGTGGTATGGTCAATTCAGGCTACCTGCTCGAGCTGCTCTCCACGCTACGACCGAAGACACACAACGCCAACGCGTTCCTTCGATCGTCGACCGCAAGAGCGACCGCCAAATATAGCCCAAACGCACTTCAAGACCTCAGGGATCCCGCTCATGCCTTGTTGTCTCAACTCTGCATTGCCCTGAACCCGGTTGGGTGCATATCAGCGCCACGTCTGAAAGACATGCTCGGGCGAGGGAGATCTCCAATTGATGGGCGCTCAATAGATCGCCGCGGGAGCCAAATCGGCGACGTGTGATCATCGCTCGTGTTTGGATGATACCAATTGACATAGATGGGATTCGTCCGTCCATACATCTTCCAAAGATCCATTTCTCCCTTCATGATGCGCCGCGTTTCGGAACGGCACTAGAGTTGAGCAGCCATCTCGCGAAGTTGACTGTTGGTTCGTCGATGAGCTTCGTTACAATTTCCGCGCACCACAATGTCAGCGGCAGCAAGATCAAATGTGGGATCAGATAGTTGACCTCCAGACCGAAGATGCCCCAGCTCGGAAATGGAAAGATGTTCATCCATGCACCAACGACTGCGGGCTGGTTGACTCGTAGTCGGCCAACAGCAGCGTACACGCGGTCGCCGACTGTCCACAGCACCGGTCCGTGGACAAGGTACAGTGCGAATGAGACGCGGCCGAGGTACTGACAGAACGACGTCTCGAAGAACTTCTTGAGCCAGGAGATGCGAGGGATGGCGATCATCGCGAAGGTCGCAGCCCAAAAGCGGTAAAACCATCGAAAGTCGTACACTGCTTGTGGCTTCAAGAATGACAGAAAGTACCAGCCAGGCTCCTTCCGCAAATGATTGAGATCGTTCGTGATGGATGGCACGCCGCCTAGGTACAGGCTGGCGAAGAACAGTGCGTAGTAGATCCAGCCCTGCAGGGGCTTCAGTCGGTGGAAGAAGTCGGGCAACTGTCCTTTCTCCGCCAGCAGATCAAGATCGCACAGTAGCATTCCTACCATAAAGAGTGCACAGTACCAGCCATCCACAACGTAGAGGAAGTAGAACGCAAGACCTGCTTCCAAGCAGAGCCTCATGTTGGTCTTGCAACGGATGAAAGCAAGCGCTGAAGTCCAGACGACGATTGAACCTCTCATTTCTGTCGGCAGAGACCAGGTATGGTCGTTGTACTTGTTCGTCATCTCGCTGTTGAATATGAAGCTGTAGTTCTTGAAGTCGTAATACCACTTCCAAAGCTCATCGCCATAAGTCCGCTCTGGCGGGTCAGCAATGGGGTTACTGGATCTTATGCCGAATATATGCCAGGATGTCAAGAATATGAGCGTAGTCGCTGCAACAGGCAGGAAAAGTCGTATCCAGCGCCTGAAGAGTGCAGAACCAAGACTGTCTGCGAGCCTGCCAGTCTCTCCAGCCTGTATGAGGCGCAGTGGCGTGAGCGACAGCACATAACCGGATATCACAAAGAAGATTGCCACTGCGGTATGGCCACCGGAGAAGAAGACGCGGATGCCGGGGAAGCAGATGAACTTGTAGTTGCCGTCCCAGCCGAATGCGTCTTCCAGAGCCCAGTCTGTCTCGTGAGCCCAGAGTTCGTGATGCAGCGAGTAGACGAGCAAGGCTGCAAAGCCGCGGAGACCATCCAGATAGGCTGTGGGCTTCAGTTTCGTCTTCGTGTCATTCTGGGCCGTTGTCAACATCGATGGCGTAAATGCATCTGAGCATGTCGTCTGTAGCCAGCCCAGGAGATGGTTTGGATGCTCCTTTGGGTGATCCAGGAGGGATTCTAGGTGCAGCAGTTCTTTCTCTTCCACTGCAGCCTCACGAGGGGAGGCAGACATTGTGAGGTTTCCTCTGGTCGGATGCTGTGGTGGCAAAGAGTGCGAGGCGACCTCGAGTCCAGATAGCCAGGCCGGCAAAGAGTGTGATGCTTGGCCGGCTGCTAAACGAGTGCAACGCCAATATCAAGGAGAGAATATTCTGTCAACAACGCAATGAGACCGATTCACATGACCGTCGATGGAACGGAAGAAAGATACCAGAACAGCAACTGCAGAGCTGCTGGCTCTGCCGAGACTTTGCGATATGCTGTCTCGGAACCACATCGCCTCTAGAACGTTGATAGCCGTTGGTTGAGTATGGACCTCGCCCCCGAGAGTATCGACAGGCATCGGGAGACGAGATGCAACGCTAACGCAGGGGAAAGATGAAGCTTGCTCGACAAGCCATGCACGACCGGGGCGACTAAAGAGCACCCCGTCGGACGCTGTGACTAAACAACCTCAGCCAGCCTGAATTCAACATGCCCCTGATAGTGCTGCTGCTGCTCTTCCACTTGCGGCACGGTCACATGCTTCCAAACTTTTGGCGTGGGCTTGTGTCGAATGCCCCTTCAGAGGCGAGAGGCGGTCCCGGCCGTGGGGTGCTGTGTACCGAGGGGCGGAGGGTAGTCTGGAAAAAGGATCTTGAACTGATATCGTCGTTGCACTATGGTGTAGTCGTTCAATCACTCTCTTGTGCATACTGTGCATACTCACGCTCCTTTCATCCTTTGCTTCTCTGACTGTCATTCATTTGTATTTCACCGACGATCGATCCAACGCTCCTTATGTGGTCCTCGCTGTGGTTGTTCCCGTTGGTACGCGACTTGACACCACGGTGCCTCTTCGCAGGTTGATAGCTGACCAAGGACTGCAATGCTGTAGGGGCTGAGAGGTGTTCTTGCTGGATTGTCTGACCTGGTTGGTGGAGATCCAGAGGGTTTCGAAGACGGCCATGACCTCCACCATTTTGTAACGGTAAGAGAACTAATGGTTCACCTCTTATAAGTGAAAGGCTGACAGGCATTGAACAGCGACCAGAATTACAAGCACCACGCTACATCGTCGCCAAACACCACCCCGAGGCTATCTCGCCCGGGTACTGGTTCGTGACGCCATACTCGAGCATTGCAGCCATGCACAAGACGCCCAGACGAGACCACATTCCCTGTCAAACAGGAGCGCATATCTATGATGGAGATGGAGTGTTAATATGGAGCGGAGCATGCGAGTACGGCAACCGGAACATCTTCAACTTCAGGCCGGTGATGATCGACGGTGTGCAGCATTTCTCTTTTTGGCTGCCGAAGAGGACGAACGGAGAGAACATACCTGAAGATGAGAAGGAACAGACAGGAGTTCTGATGAACACAAATTTCCAAGAGGTGAACAGGACTTATGTGCGTGGTGGGAAATGGCTCGACGGGCATGAGTACAATGTCCTCCCCGACGGGAAAACATTGCTTCTGAGCACAATCTGGACGATGAAGACAGATGCATCGGATTTGGGAGAGAGCGAACGCGATGTCTGGAACACCGGGTTCCGCGAGATCGATATGAACACTGGCGAGGTACTGTTCGAATGGATTCCGACGGAAGGGCACGTCAAGCTAAGCGAGAGCTGTGATGTGGTGGGCATGGATCCTAAGTACAACCCTGGGAAGCCATGGTAGGGCTCTTTACATCCACGTTCGATTCAAGGCTGACGAGAACAGGGATTGGTTCCACATCAACTCAGTCGACAAGACCTTTAACGGCGACTATATTGTCTCGAGCCGACACACCAGCACGATCTACAAGATCTCGAAAGAGGATGGGAGCATCATCTGGAGGCTCGGAGGGTGCGGCGGCTCCGATTTTGACATGGAAGAAGATCTCGAGTTCCGTTGGCAACATCACGCTCGGCTCCGGTACGAGAACATGACCCATACTGTCATCTCGGTATTCGACAATCACGGTGATGATCAGGAGAGAAATCCCGACATCCCCATCCACACTTCCGCGGGAAAGATCATGATTTTGGACCACTCCACCCAACCCATGACTGCGAAAATGCTCCGACGGTTTGATCGACCTGACGGCGACACCAGTCTTGCACTCGGGAACGTCCAGATCATTGGAAAGAATCCGGAGACTGCGAGCTACTTCATCGACTGGGCCTTCCCAGGCTACATCAGTGAGTACGACAGTGAAGACCGTCTCGTGATGGAGGCGAAGTGGATGTCCGAACGCTTCCGCTCGTATCGGGCGTACAAAGCGCCCTTTGTCGGCAAACCACTGGATCCGCCCGCATTCAAGATCTTACCCATGGGCTACGCGAAGGGCGAGGCTGCCACTGCATTCTACGTCAGCTGGAACGGGGCTACGGAAGTGAAGAAGTGGGCGTTCTATGGTGGTGATAGCCTGAGCTCGCCACTGAAGCGGTTGGGTTTGGTTGAGAAGCATGGTTTCGAGACTTCCTGGGTGGTTCCCGGCATCGTGAAGTATGCGTACGCGGAGGCCATTGGAGAGGACAGCAAAGCTCTTGGCCGGTCCACAACCGTTTCGATATCGCCCTCGCGCGATCTAGAGGAGCCGTACCTGATCGCCACGCCCTTACTCGATGGCGTTTCGATGAACGACGATGACATGGCACCTGGCAGTCTCATGGCACCAGACTCGGAAACGCCCCCAGTCTCGAAGCTCGAGCTCGGTGTATCTGGTATGGCATCGAACACTGTCGCGGCTCCTCAGACAGGGACGTCATACGTCTTCGTTGTTGGGTTCGCGATCTACGGCGGGCTTGTCGCTATGCGGAATCTGATCCAGATGATCGCAGCACGCGGCCAATGGAGGGCTTACAAGTCGGGCCCCGTCCTGAAGACATGAAAATGGTCCAGCGAACAAGTATCATCATTCTCCAGACGAACCTGCAGCGGCGGTGTCTCAGTGGGCAATCCCAGTCAGCTTGCGAAGGTGCATTCCACCTGAGCGTAGCAACACGACCCCACGCTCAACGAAGACCTTGCAGGCTCGCCGGCGGCGTAGCTTCCAACAGCAAGCACGAGGTGCATAGAACAGCTCGGAAACAATCACTACTGGTCCGGCCAAAGTGATCGCAGACGGAAGCGCTCTCTCAGGGCAAAAGAGAGCGCATCTCTGCTCTGCGGGACTAAACGAAGCACCCATGACTCAATGGAATCAATCTTCGAGCTTTCCAGCGGTCGTCCTTGGGATGGGTCACGGGTCAGGTGTAGTCTTGCATCCAGAAGTCATTCACTTCATGAAGTGGCATCGAGCGGGGGGCTGTGGGCAGCAGGGAGAGGCAAAGTGGGTGGCTGGGGTGTGAGAAGCATCACGCAAGTTTTGTATTCATCCAAGAAACTGTCCGAACATTTGGTCCAGCCATCACTACTTCAGAATTCTACCGACGACCGTGCACAAGCCACCTCGTCCTCTTGGTTCATCACGACCACTTCCCACGCACCCGGAACCACATCTTAGCCATACCCAACGTCACGTAGATCTTATAGCGTTTGTGCTGTTAACCAGCATCCTAGACAACCACGTGCTCACAATCAATTGCAGAAAGTGATGGCGTTCGACGTATCATTCGAGGGTCAGTGGCTGCGCACGCCATCGCCAGCATTATATTGCGCCATTCTAGGGCCGACTCAATATATATTGCTGTCCAGCCGTTCCTGACCTTCCCCCGAGAGCGTAATGCATTTGTGGCAAGGTGCTCGGGCTCACCAACGGCCATTCGACGGTCGAAGTGGGATTGGATGGACGTTGCAACATGGACTGGCAAGCAAGATGACGGAAGTACGAGGGTAGACGGTCCGCGTCTGGTAAGACAGGAAAGCAAGAACGTGCAGGAGGGGAAAAGGCGGACTCCACCTACCGACAACCTACTCCCTTTGGATAAGTCTACTTGCTTGAGGATGTTCGGGAGTTGCGCACCAAAAGACTGCATCAGTTTGGCCTCCTGAGCATACTGTGGACACCGTATTGTGATCGTCTGCCATGCTGTCTGTCATCACCGGAGCGTATGTCTTACTTCAACTCTCGCCATCATCGTCCCTGACAATCCATGCCGTGGAATACGCTTCTCTCACTCATCTCCAGAACACACTGCATCAGGGCTGGCTCAGGAACAGCTTCCTCAACTTCGGCCAGTTCGGCGTTCCCAAACCAGTTACTAGATCTCATCCCTCGACCGCGGCGAAGCCATCGGTATCGCAGCCTTGATTGGAGCCACTTCGGATATCGTGGAAGACCTCTCGGTGTTGATGCAACACAGTCTGAATAAAACCTGCCGGACTCTTTCCCACGGCCGCTCGTTCGGCGTTGAGCAGGACGGCAACGGAGCCCCAGACTGGTGCCGAAGTGCTGGTTCCAGAATCAAGGATCTGCCATTTGTACCAGTAATCTGCAAAGTTGGCCCCGTTCGCGCGGACATCTGGAAAGCCACGACCCTGGCGATTGTAGCAGGGGTATTAGTCTTCACCTCAGAATTGTCGCCACCCCTCACCGCCCACAACCATCTTCGCCGCCATCTCACGGTGCTTCTCACCAGGCTCGACCCACGCTTCCGTAGCATCCTCAAGTCTTGCTACACCAAAACGCCGTTTGCACCACTCAGCCAGGCGGTCGATCTCCTGTCTACTGAGCTGCTGTAGATCCTGAGGGCAAGTTGGCGAGTCCTTAACCGCTTTCACATCGTCCAGAAACGACCTGGCTTTCTCCAACCCCTCAGGCCAAGCGTACTGAAAGCACTCAGAATGAGCAACATCGCCATACCAAGCCTTGGCATTTTCCATGTCGCCTTCGACCCGATGCAGGAGGCCGTGAATGTACATGCCTTCCCACGCTGGCGCGTTCTGCATGTGGCGGCAGAGAAAATGCGCGCTCGGGAGGTCAGAGTTCAAGATATGTAGAAGTGCCTCCAGAGTAGGATGGATAGAGAGTTCAGCAATGGCATGGGATGTCGCTCGTTCGTGAGGCTGTGGCGACTTTCGCGGTATCACTGTGAAGCCGTGTGTTGTGGTCAGATGTGTGTAGATGGAGTCGAAGCTGGGTAAGTCCTGGTTGTCAGACATCTTAATTCCACGCCGTTCAATGGTAGTTCAGAGGTCCTGAGTGGAAGGTTGTTTCTTCTAAAGAGCCAGAGCTGCACCACTAGATCTTCCAGCGGTAGATGACCAAACAACGGACATGTGTTGCAACCTGCTTCAGCTGTACACCTCAATGTATCGACATGAGGGTAGACTTAAGAAAGGAAGGCTATTCGAAGTGATGACCGCGAGACGTGACGTCTCCACTTCCACGCTCGGACACCCTGAGAACGACAACAGTGGCAACGTACCTCCTAACATGAGGTACGATGCCACCACGCAACATTCTTCGTCGTATACTCAATAACATTGTTTGTACATCTATAGTCTATTCTACACTAGCTAACCAGCAGCACCACACTGCCCAGCTGCCGCCTCACGTCCTCTTTATCGACATCATGCGTGTCTTCCACCTCGCCCCATTGCTGTGTCTGATGCAGGACCTCTAGGTTAGCCGCCTCCGCAGCATCGTCGATGCCGAATCTGCTGGACTCTGTTGGTACATCCACGCCACCTTGACCCGAGCCTTGAAAATGCGTGAACTCCCTGCTCCACTCCACAAGTAACCTCGCCGCGACTAGCAACGACTTCGTCGCAAGTACTCCGCGTTCAAGACCCGCAAGCTCGAACGCAGGCAGTCCAGACGCCCAACCACGGATCACTTCTCGGGTCATTTCGGGCTGCGAAGCTGGAATGATGCTGTCCTCTCCTAGTATCGGTGTGATCTCGACTCCAGGGAAGATGTGTGTAGTCAGATGGGCGATGATCGGCTCCGCAACTTCTCTTTGCCGATGCCGTAGTGGTTTGCCGCCTTGCCGCTCATATGGATCATGTATGTTCTTCTCCGGCGCCCAGCAGAGCAGAGTGTCTGTTGCTAGATACCGCATCACCATCTTAATGATGGCTTCTCTAACCGGGCTTTCCGAAGGACCAAATTGTTTGTCGGCAGCTTCGATGTCCATTGCTCGTGACGTGAGTGATGTCAAGGGGATGTAATGTGATTTCATCGCTTGCTGCGCGGAGATCAACTGATCCCACTCGAGTGCCATAGCAGTCGCCAATGCTTTTTTGTTCTTCGGTAGCTTCAGCACCTGCCGCGCTGCAGTCCGTACTGGCCGGGTGTCGAGATGTATCTCGTATCCGTCCTCTGCGTCTTTGACATGCACATCTTTCCAGAACCGCTTCCGTAATGTAGAGCCAGGCTTGGATGGATTTGTCTTGAGCTCCCGATTCTGTCGCAAAGCCTCAGCCTGCTGTCGTTTCCGCGCGACACGATCCTGTGGATAAGCGGCCGCTGCTTGCGGTGCTTGGGGCGGTGGGCCGGGTACTGTAGGGTGTGCTACTGGTGTCGCTTCATTGGGGGTGGTGGTGTGGAGATGTCGTGGTAAGAAGTAAGGTGCAGTCGCTCTGCACTGGCGGCGCACGCTCAATGAAGAGGTCGCTCGAACGACTCGAAACACTGTCGATGGCTCCATTACTAGGGAGTATTACTTTGATGAAGTGGTATTCAATGGTAATTCGAGCTAGATGGAAGATCGTCTCCCTCGGGGAAGCCAAGACATATGCCGGCTCCTGCCTCATTGGGTGACATGCTCACGTGACTTTCAGCTGTGCGCGGCTGATCTGACTGACGGTGTTGCCGACTCGACGACCCAGTCAGTGCTAGCAACACGAGCTACAGAAGACTGAGGCCAGTTGCCAGACGGAGCTATGGAATATACTTGGTAAGAATTTCGCTCGAGCATTCGGTAGCTGCCGAGCACTCCGCGAAGACAATCTCGGGGAGGCGTGGAGAACCCGCAACGAGCGGTTCCTTGTCCGGTCGTCGTGCGTCAGTGGGCGTGGCACGCTCTGCCACGGAGCGGCGCAAAGAAGAGTGGGCAGTGATCGTTGTCTGGCGACCACTTCACCACGCTCTCTAGTCATCTCCTTGTCTAATTTCATGACAGACACCACTACGGGCGTTGTCAAGCTTGTTACCCAAAGACTGGCCAGCCGACCATCCGATCGAACAGACTTTTGAGCGTATTGATCGTACCGAGCACACGATTGTCGAAGGTGGTCTTGCTGCGCAGCTCTATATACATCTGTTGACGAGCTCTCCGGTCGGTGGAAGGAGGCGTAGTCGCATGGCGAGGACATACTCGGATCCTGCGCCCAATACAAGAGGATGCGGACACACACTGGCACGATGGACATGACGTCGAGCGAAGGCGCGCATGAGGACGGCGGAAGAGCGGCAGACGCACCGCAACCGTCGCAACAGAAGACCAAGCCGCTGCGGTTCGTAACCAACTATGGCGCGCCTCATCCCAAGAGAAGGCGAATCGGAGCGGCTTGTCTAACATGTAGGTAACGGACGAGATGGAAGGGGTGCGCAGTCGCTGACTATGCGCAGGCCGGAAACGCAAGACAGCTTGCTCGGGCGAGCGGCCAACATGCGAGACCTGCAAACAGAACAAGCTGGAGTGCACGGGGTACAGGAGCGAGACGACTGCGGCAACTCAGAAGCACGATAGCCCGGGTACGGAGAAAAGGCGGCCATCAGGTCATGAAGACGGCGGCCGGCGCTGGTCACACAAGGATTGCAACGAGCAGAAGCTGGACCCTCAGCTGCGCTCTGCGTTCGACGCGATGCCTGCTCCTGCTCCCGCGTACTCTTCAATAGGAGCGGCGCCCCCCATGGATTGGTTGTCTGCGAATCAAAACGACCAACTCTACCAGCAACCTGTCCCTTCGGCTCCTGAAGCGAGCAAGCCTGGACCAGCTCAGTCCTCGACAACGCACGCTCAACAGGAGCCTCTATTCTCTCGGCCAAGGGACCGAATGCCATACTTCAGGTGGTTGGGTCCCACGGCGATCATGCCAGGTTTCAAGCAAATGGTCGTAAAAGTCAAGCGGCAGGAGACCGACACAGGGCGCGCATCGACTACAGATGGAGGAGCGGCTGCAGCTGGAGCAGCCGGAGCTACCGCCTCCCCTCCTTTGACTTCTAACGCTCATCCACATCAAGGCAACAGCTACATGGGCGGCATGGCACCAAACGCTGAGAACGGAACCCCGCTGAATCTTCCCTTCTACGACACGAGTCTCACTCCCCCAAGCGAGCTGATTACACACCTGGCAAACACATTTTTCACCCATCTTGGATGCAACTATCCATTCCTCCAACGGGAACGGTTTCTCAGAGATCTTGAGGAGAAGCAGGTTGACGCCATCCTTGTAGACGCAGTCTGCGCAATCGCTGCCAGGTTCTCCACCCATCCTCTGTTAACAGGACAAACGAACGACGACGTGAAAGCCACACCAGCAGAATACGGACATGCATTCGCACACCGAGCACAAAGCGCACTCATCGAGACCTTTCCATGTCCAAGTGTTGCTGCTGTGCAAGCCGCGCTCCTTCTGGCGTACGTCGAGTTTGGTGAGAGCAGAGACAGCGGACTGTGGATGTACCTGGGAATCTCCATCCGGATGGCGCAAGATCTGGGCTTGCACAAGATTGAGGGCCTAAGGTATCGGGGCAAGACAGGACCGACGCCTAAGATGATCAAACGTGGGAGCTCTGCCGGCAGTCCAGCCGTGCTGACTAGAGTGAAGTCGCGCGAAAAACCGACGACGAAACCCGATCACAGACAGAAAGAGCGCACTCCAGACAGCCAGACCGCAAACGCCAACTCGGAAGCCGTGGTCGAAGACCAGAGCCAGCCTCCGGACCCCAAGGACGTTGATGAGCAGAAAGCAGTGGAGCAGGAAAGAGTCGATACTTTTTGGGCTGTCTTCTTCCTTGATCGCATGGTGTCTTCAGGCACAGGCCGGCGTAGCACTTTGCGGGACAAAGACATTGAGCTATCATTTCCAGCGCTGGATACGACTGATCCGAAGTCAGGATGGCCAGCCGCGTTTCCAGCTCTCATTCGGATCGTCCACCTTTACGGCCGCATGGCCGATCTGCTCAACACTATCAAAGAACCTTCAGACATCACATTAGAGACACCGAGAAAGATCGCACTCATGGAGAGCCAAGTGACCGAATTCTATCAAGGCCTGTCACCGAAGCTGCATTTTGATGCCATCAACTTCCAACACTACATGAAGATTGGCGAAGGCACCAACTTTGTGCTCTTGCACTTCTGGTTCCACACTCTCATCGTTCTGCTCCATCAGCCGACATTGTTCAAGACTTTCGAGGGGAATATGTTGCAGCTGTTCCCGAACTCGCAGCAGCTCTCTATGTCTTCGGCGAAGACGATCGCCGACATCCTCAGCTACTCTCAACTCATGGATGCAAAAGCAAGCCTCGGAAATCCGTTCACCACACAGCCTATCTACATCGCTGCTTGCGCATTCTTAAAGGAGACAGCAGCGCAGACTGCATCAAGCACGGTTCACTCCCGCGCCAATAGCCCGGCCAAGCATGAGAGAGACGGCACGGAAAGCCAGCCAAATTCTGCAGACGTGACACCAACCAGCAGAAAGAGGCTCTCCATTAGTGCGTTGACCCACGCAGATGAAAGCACGACTCCTGTTCGAACTCCGAGTGACGCTCGTCGTTCTCCGACGTCGGCGGAAGAAAGAAAAGGTTCCGTCAAGTCTGAAAGGCCTACGACCTCGACAGGGAGGACGGAGGGCTCGCTTGCAAAACACACCCTGCTCGCCAAGGCAGCAAGCCAGCATTACCAGCTCTGCTATGAAGCATTGCTTAGCCTTGAGACGTACTGGGCCGGAACGAAGTACATCTTGACCGTCCTGAACCAAAAGTTCGAGGGCGTCGGCGACCCGCTGCTCTACACTGCTGAGGAGGGCGAGTGCTCCATGGAGCGACCTCGACCTGAGCCGTCGTTCACCTCGCCTGGATGGCGAAGGAAGCTGAGCTTGGGCCCGTATCTGTACAACCCCAACATCAGCACCCAAGCTTTATGGATGGACAAAGGGCTCCAAATGCCCGGCGACCCAGGTGGCGATCTGGCGAAAGCGATTGGCTGGACTCTGACAGGAACGATGAACTCGCCGTCAACCAACCTGGCCTGGCATTACCCGAGTGCAGCAAACGTCGGAAGCAGCAATAGCATCGGGTCCGGAGGTTTCATGGATCCGTCACAAGAGGTCGACCCGGCGCTGGGACTCGGGATGCAACAGCAATTTCCACAGCACATGCGGACGGCGACTTCTGGCTCACAGCCGCAACCGCATCTGAACAGCTACCCGACAGACGGCAGTGTAGTCTCTAGCCATGACGGCGGGGACATGCTGATGCAGATGAACGCGCAAGCACACGCCAACGGCACCACGCAACTCGGTCAACCCAACGGCACCGACTTCAGCATGCTGCATCCCAGCAATGGCCAGTCGATGAACAACATTCCCAACTACCCTCAGAACCGACAGGCTCCAGATGTCGCCAACGGCAGACTGCCAGGTTGGGCCGCTCCGCCGACGTTCTGGCATGGTAACGGGTCTGCGATGCATCCGTTTGGCGACATGATGATCGAGAGTCAGGATATCGATACGAGTATGCTTGGGTTGAATATGATGATGCCTTGGTTTGATAATTATCCGGCGCAGGATATGGCTGGGCCCTTTGATCCCAGGAACGCGCAGAATGGCGGCGGGCATGCTGCTGGTGGTGCCGCTGGGCAGGGTGCGTCCTCGTGATGGGTGTCGTTAGACAGGAGCGTGGCTGGGTAAGTTGTGGTTGGTCTTGTATCTGGGAGCGAGGCGTTGGGTAGACGAGCTTTTCTACAGGATCACAGCACTGTGTACGGCTATGTTGATACCATCTGTTGAGGTCTATGTGGTATACAGAAGCAGGAAATAGTCTAAGAAGACGATGGCGAACAATACAGCAGCGACATACCCATAGCGTTTTCTGCAATTTGTCACGACCTCCCTGTTTATAGCGCATTTCAATGATTCACAAAGAGCGATAGAATGAGAGAGGTTGATGCACACCACGCTTCATGTCTCGCGTGTGGTCACATGTGGGAGACGTCGAGAGCCCTTTCGGCTGAACCCGGGCGCATTCGATCACCACATCGATCCGCATATGGCGTGCCCGAAAGGCGCACATCGAATTTGGCGGTGTAAGATAGAAATATAAAACGTTGACCAGACCGTGAGGCCTTCTCATTTCGGCGTACTTCAACGAAAAGTCAATCGGAAAACGTTCGCAGTCATCAAGTGTTGACAAAGGAAATTTGACGATTCTGTTACCTCTTCCTCCGCAGTGCCTCAAACACGAATAGCATACTGCTTCAAGTACTCGTAGGTCTCGACATTGTCCTTGACGGTCTGCTTGATCATATCGGCAGCCTCCTGTCCGTACTTCTCGACCCATTCGGAGTAGAGCTGCTCATCGCTCTTTGGAGCATGCTTCTACAATAACCAGTTAGCAGGTATTCCCAAATGAACAAGCAGTTGGGACATTCGACAACTTACATGCTGCCTTGGCTTGAGGTCCCTCGATCCGATCGCATCGTCGTGGAAGCCATCCCACTTCTCGAACTGCTCCCTCGCGAACTCGTGAGCCTCCTCCGAGTCCCAATTCAGCATATCATCGCGGAAGTCCAGGTTGATGGACTCGCAATACTGCCTCAAGATGCCCTCTGGGTCATCAAGCAGATCGTCCGCGTCAATGACAGTAATCTGCGGCTGACCAGCCGGGTTCTCCCGTCCAGCATTGTCCTGCCCAGTAACAGCCGGACCAACCAGTCCGGTGTCCTTGCAATAGTCGAACAAACGGCGCAACTCCTCATACCCAGCCTCGCTCGGCATGAACGGATTGAACCCCGTCCGCTCCACGAGCGGCGGAATGCAGCATCTGTAATAGCTCGGAATCGCATTACGGGGATGGCGAATCAAGAACGTGAACTGGAACTTCTCCAGAATCTCACGCGGCACAACGGTCGGGTTGCGCTTGTTGACCGGAGTCTCGTACGGGAACGGAGGACTCCGGGGCGGACTCTTGGGCGGGCTCTCGAGATCGACGGCAGAGTCGTGTGGCGGGGTGCCGCCGGCCGTCGTCTCCTCGCCCGGAGGGGTGGTGGTGCCTACGCCGCGCTTGACTTCCTGGAGAGAGGGGGCCGGTTGGCCAGGCTTCTTCTCCGGGGGCACGATGTAGTAGGTGATATCCTTGATGAAGACGCGCTTGCCCTGGGAGTCGTCAGTACTGTTATGGGGTTCATGGCCTGCGGACAGCAGCTCTGCGAGGTCGCCATTCAGCTGCGATATGGCGAGTAGAACCTACCTCAGCGCCTTCTTGTTCAATCCTGTCAAGGATCATCTTGAAAGTAGAATCGGCAAAGCCGCTCTCCTCCCTCGCACGCTCATCCTCCTCGAACCTCGAGCCCATACGCTCGGGGCCATAGTAGAAAGCATCCCCAAAAGGCTCGTGGATAGTCGCAAGACTTTTCCTCCGAGTCATGAAAACCTATGCCAATCTGATCAGCAAACAACAATCTCCTCACTAGCAATGGTCTAGGACTCACCCGCTCAAAAGCGGTACTGCACGCACGTGGGTGCGTGGCCATAAAGATGGGCTTCTTCGACGCTTGGTCGGAAGCCATACTGAAGCAGACGAGAAGAGCTGTGTTCCAAGATTCTCTCTGCCAGCAGAATGGTATGGGTGGGCAGTACTAGTACAATCTTTCGAATTGTATAAAAAGACCACTGTTGAGAACGGCGACAGCGAACTCAAAGAGCCACTCACTCGGTAGTCAAGATGAATGAGAAGCAGGGTGGATAAAGAGGAACTCTTTCGAGCAAAACTCGGGTCCTTATATACCAACAGTATGCAACCCAAGTCAGTCCATCGTAACTAGAACGAGCACTTCCGCAGCTCCATCCTAGAAACCTTGAATTGCCGACCGGACACAATTCCCTCAAGCCCGCTCGTGTATCCGGTGGGATTCACTCCTACACTGGCAAGACTGCCCGTGGAGTGGGTGTGAGCCATGTGCTGCCAACCAAACAGAACCGAAGTTACGGAGTAGTCCCAGCAATGAGGCAGGCATGACGGAGGAGTACGGCGGAACCACTGACGCGACCAGCGTCCCACACATGCTCGACATGCGAACGAGAAGCGGTTGCCCTCGCATAAGCGTCGAGTGGCTTGCGCCCGTCACTCGGACGGTTTTGGCACGTTGAGCCAATTGTGGGATGGCAGACCCTCGAGAGCGGGCCCCGATCAACGATGCCTAGGGAGACTTCCGGCTGTGATCTTGGCCCGGCTGCTGACTTCACCCGTGCTGTGCCGTAGAACAGGACTTCATTGAGGATGAAAGATTGCAAGTTTGACAGTGTTAGAGGAAGTGAGAATGAGGATAAAAAGATCGTCATGTTTACCCAGGGCCGTTGCGATAAGCGCTGCACAGAAAAACCGTGGAAGTGGTTGCCATTGGGCGGATTGTAGCTATAGCAAGCACGCAATCGAACGCAATCCACCAGACGCTGCAAAAGAACCACGACAAGCCCCAAGTCGCATCCTGCCCCTCCATGCACCTCCAATCCAAGTCGATCGTGACCGTGCAATCGCCCTGCTGATGCTTGAGATGGATGGTAACCCACCAACCTGCTGGCGAACAGCACGGCGAGTTCCCGGAGTACAGCATCCAGTCTCTCGAAAATCCAACCCACCAGCTACAAGTCGGCCTTGGTCTGGATCCGCAGTTCCAGTGCCCCGGTCTGAGTTTGATTGATCTGGAGGGAAGATCTTAGACATGGTATACATGGACCATCATCTAGGTCGATTGCACGTGGCACTGCAGGTCATGGAAGCAGTTCCAGAAGCTCTTAGCACAAGCCGTAGCTTACCGCCGTTCCGCATCCAGCAACACTCGCGTTCTTGCATATTCTGGGCGGCTTTGGGGCGTGGGCTGGCCGGCGTTCATTCGTCGTAGAGATGTTCTAGGTTCTGTCCCACGCCCTGAGTACTCGGCACCTTGCCGAAAGCGCCACCACTCCTCCCTGCAAACCACTCCGGCATGCGAGCTTACTCTAAAAGTAGTACATGGTGGTCATTCGGGAACCTCAAAGCAGAGTTCTCGACACTGACATCCCTGCTAGCAATGCTCCATAATATGCTGAGGACACAGTAAGCTTCTCACTGTTGCATTGCGATGTCGCTGTTGGCTGGTCCTGTTGGTTGGAATAGGTTTCATGCGTCCGTGATCGGTGGATGCGTGGGCGTCCAAGTCATGCCTCCGGAATGTATTTCGTAAAGGTTTCGCACATAATGCCTCAGGCACTACTCAAGCCGATACCTGAGTCAGTGGCCCAAGTCGCTCGGCGCTTCTATACGGGTGACTTGTGTCCATGTCTTTGATGGAGAACTGTCAATGTCAGGATAGTTGCATCATCTCGGTGGGCGAATTGTCGAGAGATCATTCTGTTTGGGCGGAGACATCCTCAGGCTCGTGAATACCAGGCTCCTTGGATTCAAGCATCGTGTCATGATAAGGCCGGGTCCAGGATGCTGACCTCCTCATGTAACAGGGGCGGAGCAAGGTGTGCTGAACCACAGGGATGTTTTCAACCTCAATCAGAGCCAGCATTCGCCTCCGCCTCGTAGAACTCAGCCGCTGAAGAAGCCAACTTCTCGTCTCGAAGCGTGCCCTCCTCAGGAAGTTTCCAGTTATTAACACCCCACCACCACCTCCTGACCTTCGCGCCAACGCTCTGCCCACTGAACTTGGTAGCCTTGTTCCAGTGCCTCCAGCCAGCAACGATCAACGTCCATGCTATTCCTTGCACAAGAGGCATAAGGACCTGATCACGAATCGTGATGTACGTGACTCCTTGCCAGCCTTTCGTATCCTTGATGCTCGCCAAGTAGCTCTGCTCGAACCTCAAATCCGGTAGCGGTGGCAGTGCTGGCCGGCGCGGCGGAGGTCGCAACACCGAGGCGGGAATCTCGTCTTCTTCGACATCGGATATCGCATCGATATCTTCGTCCGCTGATGGCTCTAGCTGTACCGTCTCTTTCGTGTCTGCTGCTGTGCTCGGCGCGCGGTCCTGCTCGATGGAAGGATCGTGCTTGATGTGGGCGGTTTGTAGTGTTTCGGCGGCTTGGATGGCTGCGTCCTGGAGGTGCGACATGGTGATGATGATGGTATTGAGGGAGTTGTTTCAATGGATGGAGGGTGATATGTATGGCAAAGCTCGTGCCATATGTGTGGACGTGCCTAAAGTCTCGGGCGGAAGCGAAAGTCGATCTGACCCTGCCGATCCCCGCAGTGAGGTTGGCGGGCGACTTCGAGAAAGTTGCAGAGCAGCAGCAGCACGAGACCGACTTCAGCTCCTTACAACAACCTTCAACTGCCGTCAAGATGGGGAACGCAAACTCGCAGATGCTCGAGAACATCGTGCAGGGGAGCAATTGTATGTTCAAGACACGCATACCGCCGGGGCGGTAACCACGACAATATCAAAGCTGACATTGACACCAACAGTCGACAAGGAGGAAGTCGATCGCTTAAGAAAACGGTTCATGAAACTCGACAAGGTACGACAAGCCAGGGGAGATGGTACAGAAGCATATGTATGCTGATATACGACCACAGGACAACTCCGGCACAATCGAGCGCGATGAATTCCTCGCCCTCCCCCAAGTCTCCTCCAACCCGCTCGCAACCCGCATGATCGCGATCTTCGACGAAGACGGAGGCGGCGACGTCGACTTCCAGGAGTTCGTGTCCGGGCTGAGCGCCTTCAGCTCAAAGGGAAACAAGGAGGAAAAGCTACGGTTCGCATTCAAGGTGTACGACATTGACCGTGACGGCTACATCAGCAACGGCGAGCTTTTTATCGTGCTCAAGATGATGGTGGGCAGCAACTTGAAGGACCAGCAGTTGCAGCAGATAGTGGACAAGACGATTATGGAGGCGGATCTGGATCAGGATGGCAAAATCAGCTTCGAGGAGTTTACCAAGATGGTTGAGAATACGGATGTTAGTATGAGCATGACTTTGGGTGAGTGGCAACTAAATTTCTTACTACATAGCACTCTACTGACCCCTCCACAGACCAATTCTAGCTATCACGATCATGATACCCGCATGGCAGATGAGCAACGGAGTCCGGCGTGCTGTCGTGCTTGCGAGAGTTTGCAACTCTTCTTCTATACGAATTCGAAAGAGTCTTTTCATTCTTTCTTTTGCTTCAGCTGTATACCGGCTCTCTTCTCCCATCCTTCGATTACTTGCGTGTGGCAGGCTCCGGGGCCCGCGATCTTGTCCGATTCAGCAAAAGAGTCCACGATCAAGTCAGACAACGCCGAATGCGGTCCCATCTCATCTATTAGAGTCCTTGCGATCTTCATATCTTTCAGCAACAGACTGAGCTGGTACCCAGAAGCGAAGTTTCTTGTGAGTCCCTTTCAGCATTTTTGTCAGCGTTACAACTCAGACCGAATGCAAAGCAGGATCTACTCACGTCCGTCCGAAAGCTCTCCTTCGTGCTAAAGTTAACGCCAGTCCCGACATTCATCACATCAACCATCTTCGCCGGATCCAAGCCGAACTTCTGCCCGGTAATCAGGGCATCGCACAACCCCATAATACTCGCAGCGCTGGTGTAATTGTTCAGCGTCTTCATCGCGTGGCCGGCACCCAGCTCACCCATCACAAACACATGCTTGCCCATCACCTTCAACACCGGCATCGCCAGATCCAGGGCAGCTTGATCGGAGCAACCGACCATTAGCGTAGCATCGCCTTTCGCCAACGCGTGGGCGTATTCCTGCGTTACCGGCGAGTCGATGAGCGTAACGCCTGGGTTGGCCTTTTGAAGAAGCTTGCCAGTCTCGCGGGTGTGGAAGGGCGAGGAGGATGAGGTGTCGATGATTACGCTGCCGGATTTCATGGCTGAAGCTACTCCGGATGAGCCTAGGAGAACGTCTCGCACGATGGAGCCGTTGGGGAGCATGGTTACTAGGACGTCTACATCCTTGAACGCAGACGCATCGTCCGGTTTTGTTGCTTGGGCGGCGTCTGAGTGCTCTTTGCTGAATTGTTCGGCTCGCGAGGGGTCCGCATCTCGGACTACTAATTGGTAGCCTGCGCGTGCGAGGGTGGATGCCAATGGGTAGCCAGCGTTTCCCAGACCTATGTAGCCTACTGTCTTTGCTTGGGCGGAATTGCCGTTGGGTTGTGATTGAGCCATGATGATTGACGTTCGCAGTACCAATGATCAATTTCTCCGTTCAGACACCAAAGTCGATATGGACGTATGCAACTTGATAATATACCCAACTTCTCGGAGAACATCTCCCTTCTATACTGAGCCGTGTCACCAAGACCATCAACTGCCGTGAGCTTTACTCCTCATTCCGCTTCGGAATCTAGCCGAGGACCCTAAAGCACATGTAAGCACATGACAACGCCTACACAATCCTCCAGCCATCCGTGACCTCATCTCCAGAAGCAAGAGGCTCTGGAGACCCCTCAAAGATTGTCATTAGACCCGGAGACTGCGTTCAGAGTATGGAGAACTGCGGCAGAAGCTAAGTACATGTACTCCATCATAGGTTCTTTCCTATTCGAGATTTTCATCCCGACCTCCATTGAGCTTGGTCATCGAGCAGTCTTTACTATACATACCAGAATCTCGTCTTCAGTTGTTCCTATCCCTGGAATACACCGAGACCGCACGCGACACATCTATCCCACCATGGCCCCAACAACACTCATCCTCGGCGGCTCAGGCAAAGTAGCCCGCCACCTGACCCGCCAGCTCTCCTCCCAAGGCCACACAGTTTACTCCCTCATCCGCAACCCAGACCAACAATCCTCCATCCAATCCCTCGGAGGCACGCCCATCGTCCAGTCGCTCGAAGATGCCTCAACCGCCGACCTCACCAGCACCATCAAATCTACCTCTGCCACCACGGTAGTCTTCTCCGCCGGCGCCGGAGGAGGCAATCCCGAAAGAACCAGGTACATATCACTCTCCAAACGTTCTTGAAGACACTCTCTAACCAGCTGATCTTTTGCGCTCAAGAAAAGTCGACCGTGACGCAGCCATCCGCTCCATGGACGTCACCGCCCAAGCAGGTGTCAAACGCTTCATCATGGTCTCCGCCATCGACGTCCGGGACCGCGAGAAGCCGGAGCCGGAATGGTACGATGATGCGGACCGCGATCGGAGTCGGAAGGTCTGGGGCGCCATAGGGACGTATATGGAATCCAAGCTCGCTGCCGACAGGAGTCTAGTGACGGAGAATGGGAGGAGGGGGTTGGATTACACGATCGTGCGGCCGACGGGGTTGAGTGAGGAGAAGGGGGTGGGCAAGGTGGCAGCAGGGAAGGTGCATTTGAGTTTGGTGATTTCGAGGGAGGATGTTGCGGCTGTGGTGGTGGAGTGTATGAAGCAGGAGGCGACGATTGGGATGGCGATTGATTGTGTAGGCGGGGAGACGCCGATTGCTGAGGCTGTTGCTGAAGCTGCGAAGAACAAACTCGACGCTTTCGAAGGGCGGTATTGAGATGAGACGCCTAGAGCGGCAGGTCTGGTACGTACGTACATATGTACAAATCATAACAAGTCATTAGTGCAGCTCACCAGCAGAGCAATGTATAGACACAAGCAAAAGTACACCACAAGCACCTCGCTAAACCCTTATTGTTGCAGCTGTAAACGCCGTAGAAAAGCACCAGCAACAGCGTCAGGAAAACAGCGTCAGGAAATGTCAACGGTACGCCTAGTACCGCAGTTTCCCGACCATACTGAAAGTGAACGCTGCATCTCGTTCCTACCAAAATGTCAGCAACAGCTCATCATCAATCAGGGGATAGCAACATGACTTACCGATTTCATCTGCAGCATAAACGTCCTCGTCTGCGAAGACCCCACCCCGCCGGTGGCCGCCGCTCTCCCCAGCGTCCCATCCGGTCCCACAAGCTCCTGCCATATTGTAATCGCAATCCCCGTCCTCCCAATGCGCTCGAAACATCGCTCCTCAAGCGTGACATCGAGCAACTGCTCACCCCTCGACTTGCCCGTTACAAGCACCCGCTTCGTCATGCCCGTCGTACTAGGATCCACGGGTATACTAGGATCAGGCCGAGGCGGGAGCATGATCGTCAAACGCGCGGAGCCCATGTCCCGCCACTTCGACGCATCGTGGCGAGCGTAGAGGCGGCATTTGGTATTCGTGACGCCGAGGGGTGTGCCCATATTAAGATCAAACGTAGGTGTAGCAGCGCCTGAATCAAGGGAGTCGCTGCCGGAACTCCCCGTGCCTTCTCGTGACACGATGGTGCTCTTGGCGATATTGAAGATGCGGCTCCCGTTGCTGAATTTGCGGAGGGCAGACATGGCAGAATTCATTGTGCCGACGGAAGACTGGCTGCCAGCGATAGAAGCCGATCGGGCACCTTTAGAGCGGTAGCTGCTGCCCTTGCGCGACAGCGACTTGATCCATGACGGTGAGCCATTGCCTCGCGCCGCGTTCCTGCGGTCCATTGTTTCGGCCCAGTTGCTGGTTGGCATTGGTCCCCGGGCGTTTTGAAGAGCGATCCAGGTCGGGTTATCAATGCGAGCGCGGTTGATCAGGTTATAGAGCCTCTCGCACTCTTCTGGGCTGCGCGAGCGGAGCATAATGTTGCCGCTCATACGTAACACGGAGTTTGCTGTCGGTGGAGAGCGGATTGAGATGTCGAGAGCAGTGCCACGGCGCAGCGGTACAAGTGGCGTCAACTCCAAAGCGATCAGAGGCTTGACACCATGTGTCGATGGACTGGCGCCCGAAAGGTCGTTAATCTTGCCGGCGACAGCATGAGCTTGTGCTAGGTCGAAGGCTTCGATCAAGCCGGGCGTAACCACTATCTCGCACTCTTCTGGATGCATGCTGTCCCATGATCCGCGATCGTTCCATGAGAGGATACAAGCCAGTGACTTCGCAGAGCCATTTGTGCTTGGCGGTACAGTCCGATATGGTGCTTGCGAAGGTGAGTCGGAGGGCCGCAGAGTATCCTCGGGTTGATCAAACGAAGGCGAGGACTTGGGCGAAGGAGCTCTCGCAGGCTTGACGTTCAGTGGTCTGGTGAAGTCCTTGAGCTCTCCGAGAGTTGAGATAGCCTCATCCACTGTCGACTCGGATGTGATGGACTCGCCATCGTCTTCATCAGAGTATTCGCTATCAGAATAAGAGTCACTGGCGGTTGAAGGTTCGTACTCATGCTTGAGCGGCGACGATGACCGGCGATGCTTCTTCATGAACGCTGGCGTGAGTGATGGCAGTAATCCAGATCGCAAGCCCATGGAGCTTGGCCTCGACGATTGCGTAGGCGTTGGTGGCAACCTGGAGTCGTCTTTGTTAGGCGATTTCTTCTGCAGCTTAGCCGGCGCAGACGACGGGTCCTCGACATGTGTCTTCGGTGTCGCAGTACCACGAAGGCCCTCCTTAGGCGCAGTGGTCTTCCTAAGCTTATTGATCGTCGGCATGTCTTGAGAGGGCACAGAAGAAGTCCGTCTATGCATCGTCGGCCTTCCGGCAGGTCGGTCATCCTCATCAGCACTGTAGTCTGAGGCATGCTCTGGAGACGGCGACCAGGTGCTGTAGTCCATCCCTGGCCGATTAGACTCATGACCAGAAGTCCCCTCAGTCTTAGACCTGACATGGTGGTATCTTGATCGCTTCTGATTTTCGGGGAGACGGTCATGTGCGCTGCTCGGCCGCTCTTCAGCAATCGTATCAATGTGTGCTCGCGGAGAAGAGGCAGCGCCATGATACCGCTTCGGCCTCGCACTTGGTGATTGTGCAAAAGATGGCTCGTCAAACGAGCTATTAACCTCGCTGCCGTCCCATCTAGGCGCCGATGCTCCCGCCTGCTCACCGATGGGTACCTCCGATTCAGTCGGTGACGGAGGCTCATCGTAGCTTCTCGAAGGTATCCTGAGCGCATTGAAACTCGACTGCCGTGTGAGTCTAGGAGGCATGGGGTCGGATCCGAGCATATCGAGCCATTCCTCGGACTGATCCTCGCTTGATTGTAGAGACATGACCTCACGCCACTCAGCCTCAGTTGCTGTGAGGCCGCGGACCATGACCACGAGCTCGCCGTCCTTGTCGCCTCTGCGTGCCGTGACATAATTGGCGAGAATAGGTGGGAAGAGAAGCCAGCGTCCAGACACGTCCACTTCGCAGAATAGCACATCTCCGGCTCCACTGAGTCTTGGTGGGTTGTCTCGTCTTATGAGCTCGACCTTGCAGCCGACTTGCTGTCCGCTCGAGTGGTAGAGCTCCATGTCAAAGTAGTCTCTAGCCCGCACACTTCTGGCTGGGTCAATCCTGACGCCATTGAGCTGCACCAGATTTCGCGGGTCGCGTGCCCGCGTAGGGTCGACTGCTGCAGCTGCTTCATCTTCTAATCGTGCGCGCTCATCATTTGATCGTTGTCGAGCGTCTGCGACGAGGTCCTGGTATGCAGCGGCAACATCGTCTGCAAGTGCTGATGGCTTGATCTGGCATATCGCTTTCAACGTCTTGCTCAGGTTCTTGATGCGCACCAAAGGTCGTTTGAGGAGGTAGGCGACATCCACCTGTTCATCGCTGCTTGCTGTGTCTTTGCCGGGTTGCTGGATGCCGTTGTCCCACTTCGAAGAGCCATCATTGCTGGACTCGTTAGCGGGCGCCAGGTTGACAACTATGTCCTCAAAGCCCAGCCGCCACACCCTTAGGTACTCTGAGTAGACCTTGGCGGTTGTCTGCGCCCACAACAGAAGCTCGTTCGCGTCGTGCATCGGTATCCGCTTGTGGCTAGTCTTGAGTCGTTCAAGCGATACTCCCATGTCGTAGATTGGTTGCGTCAAGGCTGGATTGTCGTGCAAAGAGCTCTTCCGTGAACCAGATGCTTTGCTCGCGTCGCTCTTCGAGATGACATACGTAAGTAGTACCGGTATGACACCATCGACCAGTGTTCGCAGTTCCCGCTGGTACTTGAGCTCGTCCGTAGAGATTTCGTTCATCAAATCGGGGACGGAAGCATTGTTGCGGCTGACCCGGCGTGTTCGCATGCTCCGCGCAGGCGCGATCCTGTTATTATCGCGTGTTGTAGAAAGCACCGACATCAGGTCCGAATGCTTCGTCAGTCTGCGCTTGAGTCCGGGCCCATTGAGCGCAGGTTCATCGCCATCGCTAGCTCGCGACAGCACACTGCCTTCCATAATGGTCGATTGACGGTCCGAAGGTGCCGCGCTCACTCCACGTACCGCCCGGTCCTTAACCGGAGACTGTGTGTTGCGGCGCGCACCCCTACGCTTCAGATTTGTTGGGGTTGAGTCGTTGACCCAGTCATCTATCGAGTTCCAGCCTTGAGGTGCCTCGTGCGTCACGACGGGCTCTGGACTTGGTTTTGATCGCCTCGCTCTGCCGCCGCTTCTCCGCCGACTTGACTCAAGCAACTCGTCACCATCAGATGTACGCTTGTTAGTGTGGCGAGGCTCATCGGATACGACGGAAGGTTCTGAGGGAGCAGAAAATGGATCTTCTGGCATCTCAGCCAGCCATCCCTGAATGCGACCACCACCGCCAGGAAACTTCGGTATAGGCGTATGAGGAGGCTTGTTTGCTGGTATTCGAGACTTCGCTGGCTTGTCGTCTTCAGCTCGGGGTGCTAGCCTCTGCTTGCCTCTGCTGACGCGACGAGGCGCGTCTTCCGCGTCGGAAGAGCGATTGCGGGTCTGCACGTCATCTACAATCTTGCTTGCGGTCCTCTCCTTAGGAGCAGTGCGTGGTCGAGGTGTGTAGTCCTTCGTTGGTGATGGATCGGGTGTCGTGATGTCGGTGCTCGTGCTCGGCTTGCCGGCCGAAGAAGGGGCTGTAAAGCTGCTATCCGACGCCGGTACTCTCACCTTACCTTGCTCATCGAGCGTCCTTGACCGCCGCCGCCGCGGCTTGACGTAGACCTTCGTGCCGGGCGACTCATAATCGGGCGCGCTTTCGCTATTGTCAGCATATCCCGGCGAACGGGATCTTCGTGGTACCTTGCGCGGCTCGCGCTGTTCCACGAAGTCCTGGGTGGATGGTGGCACTTTTAAGCCAACACTGACCACACTTCTACGAACAGTTACTGGCTTCGGGGTTATGTCCTTGGAAGTATCCTTCTCATCCTTCTCAGGACTAGGCTCCTCCTTCTTTACCACGCGATCTCTGCGCCAGTGGCCATCGCTGACCAGACGCTTCTTAGGCGTTGTGGCCGCTTTGACGTCTGGCGATATCTCAACCGCTGGTTTTGACCTTCGTCTCACCCATGCCTTCTTCTGTGTATCGATCTCTCGCGAAGTTTTGCGGTTCGACGCTTGGTTGTTCGCAGCCTTGCCGTCCGACTTTGGCGTCTTCGGCGTGGTTGGGACGGGATCTGCTGTTGCCGCCTCACTGCCGCTCTGATCTGCGCCATGGTTCACCGCCTCCTCTTCCTCCTCTACGACCACAACAACCTCATTCTGCTCTTGCGCAACACCCGCTCCACCCTCATTCCAACCTTCGATCTTGGACTTGAAGTCTTGCGATCTCTTCCTGGCTAAGTCCCGCCCCAGATCCGCTCCCTTCTTCGTAGGCGAAATCTGTGCGGCATTCGGCGAGGGCATTGGCGGAGCCGGAGTATCTGGAAAGTCTGAGAGCCAGTCAGTGATCGGTTTTGTAGCTGTAACATGCCGTGAAGGACGATTCTCGCCCCGAAAGGCAGCGCGAGCAGCAGCCTGAGCGACTTGACTAGTATGTGTGTGTAGATTCTCCCGTAAGAGTGGTCTTTCTTCGGCCACTTTGCTCTCCGACGCTTTGCTGCGCGACGCTTTGCTCTTGGAGGCCTTGGTCTTCGATGTCTTGCTCTTCGAGCCTTTGCTCTTCTTCGACCTCTTGTTCCGCGACTCTCGGGAAGGTTGATTGCCCATCTTCGCGACTTGTATAAGGAAATTAGTGACATACCTTGTCTTTGGCCGCCTACCACGAGTTGGCTGTTCTCGAGTCGCACTCATGCAGGGTGCAGCCTCGTGTCTTCTTCACCGGTAGCAGTTGTAGTCTTCGAGCTCCGTCATTCATGCTGTGGTATCAAAAGCGGTGCTCGTTCCGTTGGAGGTCGTACAGCAGTCGTTGCTACGCCAGATTGGTGGGTTCGTTCGTCGGTGTTCGTGAGACTCGGTGATTGACGCGCAGTGTGTATTGATGGGCGCGATAGGTTGCCAGTCGTATGTGTTTCCTCGACAGCGCTTCTCATGCGATTTCACGGGCGGATCGTTTGGTGGGTCGAAGAAGTCAGAACCAAACATTGGATAAACACAGTATTCTTGGCCCGAGCTCGTCCTTCTACAGACCCGGACCCATGTTCAGCCTTGGTTGCACGAGATTTTGACGAGCCTCGAAACAATCCTTGTCTTTTCACTACACAATGCTTGACGACATCGACAAGACTCCTCGTCTCTCTTCGCTTCTAATAAGAATTCGGATGGCTGGCGATGCCGTTGAGGAGCCTCGATGTGCCGATCGCTCTACCTCCCATTCGTCGGGAGCTGGAGCTCTGGAAACCTTGCAGGCGGGTTGCATATGCAAGCAGCAACCTTGTCCACGATTGGGCCCCAAGACCAACTTTTCGTGCCAGCCAGGATGAGGCTCAGCCGCTGATATGGAACTTCTCATCGCTTGACCATCACTCTGATCAGGACCTCGATGGCTACATGCATGGCAGGTCAGGTGTAGGGGTGACGCAGGCGTAGTCTTGGGGTGTAGAGGGGACGGGACGGCACAAAAGCTACGCTGCCGTGTACCTACTACCACTGCAGTGGCGGGCCAGTACTGGAGGCACCCTCCATCAAGGAGACAAGGGACACCCTCGTGGCTTTCAATGATACCCAGTACATTAGACAACATTGGAGCTAACACGAACCGCTGCCGGGGCTGCCGGTACCTTTGTCACCAAATACACGAACACCAATATGACCAGAAAGACTATAGTCAAGCTGTCTGAGCTGCCTGGTCTTTCGCCCACGATACTGCCGCAGCCCATTCTTCCCCTTGAGACTCCAGTCCAACATTCGCCAGCTCCTCCACCAGTGCCTGCCCGGCGTACTTGGCCCACCACATCTCCTCCAGACCACAGAGCGCCACCGCCCAATGGAGCAGCACCAATAACGCGAACGGCTCGTGGTTGCAGACTGCATCGATGAATCCGGGCCATGTCTTCTTCACCCAGCTGATAGCTCGCTTGCGATTGCGCGTAAAGCACAACTCCAGCTCGTCGATAGTGCGGTCGTACGTTTGATCACCAGCTTGCAGTTCTCTCAGCTCTCGCAGTCGTCGCATCGCCTCCAGGTCCTCCACAGAGGCAACACACTCCTGCGCCGACGTCTGGCCGAACATGCTGGCACAAGGTCCATTGAGAAAAGCATCCGGGTTCAGGTCGATGATGGTCCAGACGCCTTTCAAGAAGCCTTGAATATGCAGCAAGCACTGCGCAGCGCTCTCTCCATGTAGTAGCGGCAGCACCACAGACGTCGCCATAGTCAGGATGGAAGCGAGGAAGACCGCCTCCAGGTTCGACGATTCCACTGCTGCTTGCAGCGCACTAACAGCGTCGGTGTGATATCGCAGTGACGCTTGAAGGAGCGCTTTCGGAGCCGCAGTCGTCTTGCTTGCCAGGTGCGCCGCTGAAAGTGCGAAGATAGCGTCCATTAGAAAGACGTGGCTCTGTGCTTGCTCAATGGCGTGGTCGCGGAGGAGGACTGTCTGCTGAGACGTAAAGCTGCGGCAAGTTTCCGTGCACCATTGATGCGATAGGCGGAGCTCCAGCTGTCGCTTTTCGTTCAGTGAGACTGGCTCCGACTTTTGATAAGGATAGTGACACGCCTCCTCGCGGTCCTGACAGTTGGAGCAGCTGGGTTTGGCTTCGTCGCATTTCACGCGTCTGCGTTTGCAACAATAGCAGCCCTTTCTCGTCTTCTTGTGCGGCTTGATACGCATGACTTGAATTTTCAAGTTTGAAATTTCGCTGATATGAGGATCTAGGTCCTGCTTGAAGTACTCAACAGTCACGGTAGGTGCCTTTGAAGCTGAAGGTTGCAGGTGAGTTGCTTCGCCCAGCTGGTGCGGCTGTACAACAACAAGCCGCATTCGCATTCGACCAACCAATTTCATTCTGTTCTCGGAATCTATACCATCTATTCATACATCGTCTCTTATCATGCCGCAACCCTTGTCCAACCTCAGCGATCAAGCCGGCAATTGAGCGAACTCGTCTGCCTCAATGCTCTCGACACTCAAGTCTCATAGCTCTGCTTGTACAGACTGTAGCCCCGGATGCTGACGGCCAGCACACCCACCATCATCGCCGAACCGAAGACGTACAACGTCCACTTGTGGGACATGATGTACCCGTCGTCTGCGACAAGTCAGCGAAGATCGCAGCAGCGTCCTAGATCCAACTTACCACCCATCATACAATACTCCACCACCCGCTAAATGTTGCATGAAGTTATCGCCACGCTCATCGCATGCAGCGTGACCATATGCTTCGCCCACGGGATCCCGGCCGACCGCCAATTCGGATGCTGGGCCTATTTGATATGATACACCATCCCCACAGCGACAAAAAAACCCAGCCACGACAATCTGCAGTACCAACTCGGCCAAATACGATCTCACCACCCAGCGAAGTCGAGCCTCCACCGGCGATGACACCAGCGCCAACCGCCTGCGTGACGAAGCACACGACGTCCCCGCCGACGAACATCTTGGTGATTCACGTCGACCGCAACAACGAGTGCTTCTCCTCGCCCGTCGTGCGCACGAGCCGCCCGAGCGTCGTGTAGATGGCGGTGGCGAAGAGGACGGGGGCGAAGAGGACGGGGGCGAGGAGGATGCAGAGGGCCTGAATGATTTTGGGGACGGTGGAGGTGGGGTTGTTGCTGGAGAGGGCGCGGGTGATGAAGCTGGTTGTTTCCGCTGATGGGGAGTTCTTGCGACTGGTGGGTATGATGGGGGTTTGTCGGAACTGGGAGGGGAGGACGTACTTGTCCCGCCGACCACGATGGGGATGCAGAACCAGGCGCAGTGTTGGAAGAGGCGGAAGAGGTTGGCGAGCGTGGGGAGGGCGAAGAGGGAGGCGAAGACTGCGGCGGCGGGGATAGAGTCGCCGGTGCTTATGCCGTTGGCGATGCTATGGTATGAGATTTGTTCGTTCTACGGCTGGAGTGTGAGTGTTGGCGATGTCGGTCTGAGTCGATTGTTGGGATTGTATTGCTGTCGTCTTTCGTTGTCCATTACATGTTGGGAAGGCATTGCTGCGCATCTGTCAATCATGTCTATCATCAAGCAGGGAGTCTATGAAAATAGTCGGTTGAGACATTCGCAGAGGCTGGCGAAGTCCCAGATATGATCAATGTGATCGCTCATTGAGCGGAAGCGAGTGCGAGCAGAAGAAGCAAATGCATTGTCCATCATAATCACTTCCTGTGCCACCTGAAATTACAGTACTCCAGAAACATGGCCTCTGTCATTACATCCCCTGTCGAGAAATCAGATGGTCGACAGTAGACGAGATGAAGGAGCTGCGTAGCCATTGAATGTTGGTTGCCGCTCTCGCACCTGGCTGGTCTCGTACCTTGCTGCAGCCCTCTCCTCATTTTCAAAACTACCACGGCCTTTGAGCACCCTCTAGGACTTGACTGGATGCGAAATGAGTGCGCAATATCCGGGCAAAGTGAGTCTGGAACAATGCAGCAGGCTGCCCGACGGATCGAATGAAGCCACAGAGATCGCTGTTCAGGGCGTCCGCGTGGATGGTGGTGAAGATGAGGCCAGACTATCTACTGAGAAGATGGCGACGCTACCAGAACGGCCGGATGGTCCTGGTGTCCCAGTGGACGATACGCCAGACATTCGCTCCAAGCGGGACCTGGCAGTACTCTCCGAGATTGAGGACGCTGAGACGGGTGCATTCTTACGGTCCACTCACGGGTACATCGACCACTCGGGCGCCGCGTGGTTTGGTCGCTTGCCTGGTGTCCGAAAACATGATCTGACTGTCGAGGACCTCAAACGCACCTTGAAGCAAATACCGGACGAGCAAATCTACTCACTGGCGACGCCATCTATCACTGCCTTCCACCCGCGCTCCGGTGATGTGACCAGTATCTACATCAAAAGGCCCCAGCTGACGGGCTTCGACGATGCAGACGTAGCTGCGCTTCTGCCGGGGTTGCTGATTGAAGAGGCCAAGCTGCTGGAATTCCTGAAGCCACGCCCTCATTCAAACCTCATCAGATATCACGGATGTACATTAAAGGACGGGCGGGTGACGGGTTTAGCTCTCGACAAATACGACGTTCTACTCCTGTACCGCTATGAAGACCGGCCCCTGCCCTTCAACACTGCTGCTTGCATGGACGGGATACGTGCGGGTGTGGAACATCTGCACTCGCTTGGACTGGCACACAATGACCTCAATCCTATGAACGTCCTCCTCGACAAAGACGACCGGCCGGTCATCATCGACTTCGGGTCGTGTAAAAGGTTTGGCGAGCAGCTAGTTTCAGCGGGCACTCCCGGCTGGATAGATGAGGAGTACGCTGTCTCCGCGCAGGAGAATGATGAAGTTGCTTTGCGCAAGATCGAATTTTGGTTGGCGGCGCAGAGCAAGAACAGTGACCTAGCTTTGTATCGATGTTGGCTGTAACCACGACTCGGAGAAAACACCTTGTCGACGAGTGTTGCAGGCCGCAGCTCTAGTACAGCAGATGGGGAGTCATCAAGATTTGCTGGACAATTAGGGAAGAGATGCTCACCAGCATGGTGTCACGTCAGGTTGTAAGGCCACAGTTGAGCTTCTATCTTCGGATGAGATGCTTCGCCTTCTCGCTTGCCTTGCCTCCCCTAGGCATCATAGCTGATGCCCAAGTAGGCCGCGATCTCTACTATACCCTCTCTCGCCGGGGCTAAGAGGGCAACGAAGGGCAGCATGGCCTTCTTTTCAAGCATTGCAGGAACGGGAAGCATATCCCAGCATTGGGTAGTGTTCACGGAACCAAAGGTAAGTGGAATATGGATTTCAGAAAGACGTTTCTCAGTTCTCTTCTTGTCGTACGCTACATAAGTGCAGCTTGTGTCATCACGACCTTCCCTAATATTATATATAGTAGTATACCCATCACCTTCTCGTCTAGGGCACCTCCACCCTACTCAATGTCCACCTTCTTCACTTCAACGTACCCACTATCAAGCTTTGGAACCTCGATCCTCAGGACACCGTCTTCCATCCTCGCTGTAATAGCATCCATATCGACAGCAGCTGGATTCGCCCTGCTCCCCAACCTCACTTTCCTCTCAAAAACTCCAACCTTGCGCTCATTCAATGCGAGCGTCTGCAAGAACTCCTCATCCCCAGGTCGGTACACCACACCAGCGACGCTCAGCTCAGACTTCTCCGCGTCCCAGTTGACACCGACATCCTCTTTCTTGGCTCCCGGCAAGGAGACGTGCACGACGAAGGACTCAGGAGTGTCGAAGACGTCGACTTCGGGCTTGAAGTCGTCATTCGAGTCTTTGCTGGCTTCTTGCTGGCCGAAGAGCTGCTCTTGGAACATGTTGGCCAGAGCACCGAAGCCGCCCATAGGTGGGAAGCCGGGAGGACCGTGGTGTGGTCCGGCTCTGCTGCCCCAGGGTCCACGACCGCGGCCTCGGGGACCACAGCCTCGTCCACGGTGTGAGCCTGGACCTCGAGGTTGTTCTTGTGATTGCTCGGAGGAGGGCTGAGCATCAGCGGTGGTGTTGGACGGGCCTGCCTCTGTGTCGGCGTTGTTCTCAGGCGGGGCTTGGTCTTGAGAAGGAGGGCCACGGTGGGCGTGTGGTCCGTGGCCGCCACGTCCTCGGAAGGCAAACGGTCCACCGAACCCGAACGCTGGCCATCCTTGAACCCAAGGGTTTTGTCCGCCGAAGGTGTTGTTGGCCTCGTTGTTGTTATCATCACCGCTACGGTTGGCGAACATTGGGTGATTCTGGCCCGCTTCTTCCATGGAGGCTACCCAGTCCCAGAAGGGAGCGCTTTGGTTGTAGTAGTTGACTGAAGGCATGCTTTCTGTTGTCGAAAGTAGTAAGATCAAAAAGAAGTGATTGTTTTGTGATGATATGGAGAGTTGGGATGAACAGTAGCACACACCACACCTTTATAGACGAGCTCGACAAGCAAGAGGCAGCTCTCCAGGCAACGGCCCACGTTGTCCTCGGACCCGAACGGCGTCGCAAAGCAAGTATCTCTCCGTTCGAAAGAATCAGATGGAGCAGATTGGAAGCAGAGTGAATAACATAGAAGAAGATCTACAAGGAGATAGGTAGCTACCCGCCACGCGTTCGCAGAAGGTGGTAGGAAAAGTAGGCAGGGCGGGAGCTGATAGGTTGGAGAGAGGTCTTCTTGAGTGCGCTAGTGAGATGGTGGCGAGGTCGAGGTGACGGGTGTGGCGATATGGAGTTGGTGAAGGCGTTGTTGCATGACGACCATTCCACTGATGATGGCAAGGATGGTTCTCGAGACGGCAGTGAGTCAAGAAAGACCATATGTCACGAAGAGGCGAGTAAGGTCTGGTTGTGCTAGGGAGGAACTCGCCCGACCCGATCGCCGTGTGGCGCAACACCTGGCCACATGTGCACGTTCAACCACCTTCCGGATGCTCCATCCTACTTCCTAAGACCCTCAACTCTGCAGCACAGTCAGTCCAGTACTATCAACAAGGCAGTGCGGCTCATTGGCCTTCTGTTCCGACAGAGCTCATGAAGCGGGTGGTAAATGCCTACCTTACTGTGCAGCGAACAGAATGCTTGCAAGCACAGCTATACTGCTATCAGTCCAAATCATAGCGATGCATTAGGGCTATGCACGCCATGAGGGGTTCCTGCCACTGTCGTTGCTCGAGGCACTGTATACAAGGTAAAGTTCAATGCCGCGTTCCGTCTTCTAAGGGTATCAAGTCGTCTTGAAAGACAGGGGCTCTATCAAGAAGAATTTGATTCTGTTCCTCGCGTTTCGATGATGGTACCGACGTGTCGACTGAGGTTCGAGCTGAACTCAATGGCCTCGTCGAGCTCGACGGCGAGGGAGAGGATGGGGATAAGGACAAGGACAAGAAAGAAGATGAGAAGGTCTTACGCCGCCGTAGCCCCCGTAGGACTCATAGGACGAACGCAGAGAATGCAAGGCTCCGTGAGGTTGGGGAAGGAAGATACAAGGATCCAGCCAAGCGCGCCAGAGCATACGGCAGCATTCTGAAGTGCTTCAACCCTGGCCCCGTCCACTACACACCGCTGGATGAGGCTGCTCCCAACTGCGCCAGATTCGCAACCCACATGAACGCCATCATCGACGTGGCCAAGCAGATGTCGGAGTGGCCGAGGGATGATCTGTCACTAGGCACTTTATGCTTCTTACGCAACGCACCGATTGACTGGCTAAGACGGCAGATCACCGACGGCTTCACCGCCGCAGCTCAGGACATCCTCGGACACACACAGTTCGAATCAGTCCTTCTTGACGCCATTCCGCGCCCTATCATCGACCATCTCGACAACATACTCGTATATGTCGACTGTGTGAGGCGTCCAAACATCCTTCCTTTGCTCTATGGCGGCGGTGGAACAGCCGCACCAGCTGGCTGGAAGCGGCTCGATGGACACGCGGGCATGGTTGATGGGACACGAAAGGCCTATAACATACATGAAAAGGCCCTACAGCAGCTAGGTATTATGCCGAAGTTCAGCATCGTATGGAGCTCAGCACGTGCCAACCGATCACCGGTACTCCCGCTTGTCGTCGAAGGCTTACTCCAGGTCCACTTCGACGTCTGCACTCTAGAGCCTTCCCTTCCTAAAACTGAAGAACTGTTCGTTTCCGATAGCCTTGGGCGTCTCGTCCGAGACTTCGGCGCAAACGTCAACCCAGACTTGTTTGCAAAAGGCAATATACTTTGCTCTTTGAAGCAGGGTGTTCGAGCTCACTACATCTCTACTGCCCATTGCTCATTGTGTGTGATCAGGAGATTAAGCAAGATGAGAAGACCAGGGACTGGGACTAAGTGGACGGGCTCACGCGCGTCCACGGACCGTGTCTCGACAAGGAGGAGAGAGCAGCCCGCCGCCAGTACCTCCCAGCATACCCGAAAGCCTGCTCGACCTGTCGTTATTTTGGAAAAGGCGAGGCTTGCAACGGTGAGATGCCATGCAACTACTGTGAGACCAGGCCCTGGCACACCTACGTACACCGCGTCGACTGCGAGACCCGAGGCCTACCGGGTGTTCCTAAAGAAGAGAGGTGTACTGCTTGTCTAGATTGGTCAAGGATATGCGATGGGAAGCATCCGTGTGAGGCGTGCTGTCAGGGCAGCTCAACGTGTGCGTACAAAGAACCTAGGAAGGATGGAAAGGCGAGGGAACCGTTGGCATTTTCATGCTGCCAATGGTGAAGGTACGGTGTGCTCTGCGACGGCCGCCTGCCTTGCTCGATGTGCACCAGGGAGGGGGTAAAGTGTGTGTACGACCAACGGCGGAGGGTTGAGGGGCGGGAAGGCAAGACGAGGGCAAGCGAGGGACAGTGAAACCGGCCCACCAGGTCAGAGCGGGAGATGTAAAGGATCTTCTCACAGACAAGAAAGGCCTACCCACGGGACTGATGTGGCCTTTTATGTTGCATCTGGGTCCCGGAGAAGACTGCCGGATGTCCCAGTTGGGCCGCTTTCCCCGTTCCTCGCTTGGAGGGTCATCGTTTTTTGAACTCTGTAGATACAGAAGCTATTTGTCTACTACGCTTGTCAACCTGTTCCTGTGTGGCTTGCGACTATCAACACCCATCGGCGTTCAAGACGGAGTACGGAATGGCGAGCGCGCCCTTTGGTGGAGCAACGGTAGGTACAAAAAGTCTATTTTCTCGCGGGGTATATATTGCCTCGTCATCTGTAATGTTGCTTCCACTTGGAACGTCTAGACTATTGAATGAACTTCCGTGAAATATGACCAGCGAGACTGAGCTAGATGTCGTCGATCGAACAGCAAGTCATACAGACTCTCGTTCTGCTCGTTCCGCGCGGGAAGTCGACCTCGTCGGAACTCAAACCAATGTCTCAGGCCGAGAAGACCAGCCGCCAGATGGAGGATATGGTTGGGTCTGTACGGCATGCGTCTTCGCCATAAATGCACATACATGGGGCGTGAACGCCGTGAGTCTTTTCAGCCAATATCATTAAGCATCTGACTGACAAAAGCAACAGTCATGGGGTGTCTTCCTAGCCCACTTCCTCTCCCACGACACCTTCACCAACGCCTCCAACCTGGAATACGCACTAATCGGCGGCCTCTCCATCTCAATGTCTCTCTTCATCTCGCCCCTCGTCGGCGTCTCCAACGAAAAGCTCGGGACTCGACCCAGCCTCTTCATCGGCACAGCTCTGGTATTCACCTCCATGCTGACCGCGTCCTTCGCAACCCAAATCTGGCATCTCTTCCTCTCGCAAGGTACCAAACTAATGAGCAAAACCCTACCATTTCTGAGACATTTGCTAACCCCTTTGCCCTTCTGTTTGCAGGCGTCTGCTTCGGCTTCGGGCTAGGCTTCCTGTACATCACCGCCGCTCCAACGCTCGGGCAATGGTTTCTCAAGAAACGCAGTCTCGCGGTCGGAATCGCTTCCTCTGGCGCCGGGTTCGGTGGGCTGGCGTACAATCTCGCTGCTGGCGCCGGAGTAGAGTCTCTTGGGGTACAGTGGACGTATCGACTCCTTGCTCTTTGCACGCTTGTGGCCAACTTGATCTGCTCGATTTTGCTGAAGGATCGGAACACCGCTGTCAAGCCGCAGCCGCGGGGACTCAACAACCTCCGGGAGTTTGGTCACGTCTCAGTGGTATTGATAATAAGCTGGGGCGCGTTCACAGAGCTGGGTTATATTGTTCTTCTGTACTCGCTGCCGAATTATGCCCAGTCCATCGGCCTGTCCGCGCAGCAGGGCTCCGTGGTCGGTGCAGTTTTGAACCTGGGACTGGCGTTCGGTCGGCCTGCCGTGGGATTCCTTTCGGATTCTTTTGGTCGCATCGATGTTGCTACTGGTGAGTTGCAAAACAACATTCCAAGATTTCCCAAGCTGACAGCAACATCTCACCAGCCATGACCGGCCTCTGCGGAATTTTCTGCCTTACCATCTGGGTACCAGCACAGTCATACGCTGTGCTTCTGGTGTTCGCCTTCTTGAGCGGCACAGTGACAGGAACTTTCTGTGAGCATCACGCCCTTCCTTCTTTCAATACGAACACTAACACTCTTTAGGGGGCACAGTCGTACCCGTAACAGCGGAAGTGGTCGGCCTTCAACGACTGCCAGCTGCGTTCGGGATGATATGCCTGCCGCTGGTCTTCCCTACCGTTTTCGCAGAGCCGATAGCCTTACAGCTAGTTTCGACGTCGGGATATCTTTCAGCAAAAATCTTCGTCGGCTGCATGTTCCTTCTTGGAGCTGCTTCAACCTGGTCGCTTCGTTCTTGGAAGATATGCGATACTGAGAAACAAGATCTGGCTAGTACGGACGGTCATGCCCGGAACTTGCTGTGGCTGACTCCTCGGAGGCTGTTCATGAACAAGCGAGTATGAGCCGGAGTAGTTCGCGCCGGCGGTCCAAACCACTCTGTTGGGCGGCGTCTAGACTGCATGGACCTTGACGTGGACGCCTTTGCTATCCGCACGAACTTCACCCAGGAAGAAATCGCCGGAGTAGTCGATATCACGTTCCTTCACGACGTCGTGCAACTCGAAATCAAATCGTGGAACAAGCGCAGCGAGAGCTAGGTAAAGCTCGGCCCAAGCGAGACTGGCCAGAATATCAGCGACTGCAGAATGGAAGACAGGTTCACTGGCCGTACTTTACACCCTGACACATCCTTGGACCTTTGCCGAATGGAACAAAGTAACGCTCGAGGTCCAGTCGAACCTTCTCCTGGCCGTCATTGGTTGTTTGCAGCCAGCGAGCAGGCTCGAAGTTGTCCGGATTCGGGTATATGGTAGGATCTTTCAGCACGTCGTACGGCGAGAGGCTGACTGGAGTCTGTAGACGTCAGTGACAAGCGGGGGTCTTGAGTCGATGGATAGTGCTCTAACCATGGCTGGGATGATCCATCTGTCATACTGCAACGGCGTGTGTGGCTGCAGAGGGAGCCGTGAAGTCACTAGAGCACTGATGCGGAGACTTTCTCGGATGATGGCTGTCTGCTATAGTTTAGCATAGCGTCCTAAAGCCGCTGGGCTAGATAAACTCACCAACCATGGTAGTCGTTCTAACTCCAACAATGTGAGCGCTGAGGCATTCCTATTGGCTCTTTCTAACGCTTCGCGAAGCTCTGCCCTCAGGCGTTGAAAAGCAGGCTCGTCGACCGCAAGGTAGTAGATCGCCCGCGTTAAGACTTTTGCGGAGGTTTCACCCCCTGTAACGATCATGCTGAAGGCTTCGTCTGTCAACCGCTCGTGAAGTCTGTTTGAATCAGGACCAGGGTTCTGATAGACGGCATGAAATATAGTCAACGGCCGGCCACTGTCGTTGAGCATTTTCGCTTCCCCATTTCTCGCAACGGTGTTCAGAAACTGTCGAGCTTTCCCATCCAAATCGTAGTGGAGTTGCAAGAGCACCGCTGCAATTGGATCCATGATTTTCCACACGGACAGCGGTATCTTCAAAGCAGGCTTCATGATGCCAGGAAACTGTTTGACGATCGGAGTAGCCCGAGCAATGCCGTGAGTTGTATGCTTCCAGGCTGCGGCTTTTCCATGATCATCCTGCATCCCGAGGGTTTCACTGAAGAAGTACTGCCCAGCGACGTCAGTTGTGAAAGCGAGGAAAACTGTACCCAGTTCGATGGCCTCCTCGTTCTGTACAGACTTGCTAAACACCTCCACGAGCTTGTCGAGCTGCTGCTGAATCATCGGTATAGCTTCAACCACCGCCTTCCTCGACATCAACGGGTTGGCCGCAGCCCTGCGCTGGCGGTGCATATCATGATCGACTGTGGCGTGCGGGTATACGTCCCATCCAGCAATACCAGCGGCGGGTGGCCATTTGTCCCTTTTGCTCTGGGAGTAAAGTGTTTCGTAGAAGTCTGGATCGGAAATGTGGAGCTCGTCGGGATTGATCCTAACGATGGGTCCGTACTGTCGATGCAGCTCTTCAACGTGGCGCGAGAATTGACCTCCAGGCGCGTTTAGGACGTCGTAATAGAATTCGTACCATTTGGTTGCTGCGGCGAGTTTGGGGCCAGGGAATGAGCAGACTGGATGCAAAAACAGCCGGTATAGGACCAAGCTGACGAGGTAAAGTATTGCCAAATATAGAAAGATCAGGATGAGAGAGGGGAACTTGAGCTCAAGTCGCAGCATGGTCGACATGCTTGCTCGTAAAGTGTTGTGGAACGGAGAAAGCAGAAGGGGAGAGGTTTTGACATAAGAGAAACGTTTGTCTCTGAGCCTGCACATGCAGCGTAATCGACGAGCTGAGCTCTTTATGGTCCCACGGCATATGCTTGATGATGCTCAAGTGTGCATATTCCCACAGGTTGATATGGTTGATCAATGAGCGTATGCACGGCGTTGGAGACGGCATTGTAAGCTGACGTGATCCCGGCGCGAGCGGCATGCTCAGAAAAGCCTCCAAAACGGGACGGATATTTGAGGTGCAGCAATTTGACGATGTATACTGATACCAAGTAATGTCGTCAGTCGTAGGTGTAGGGAAGGCGTGTAATTCTCGAACAGCCGGCCAGCGGCTTGCATCTCAGCTCATGAACCGTTTCGCAAGTCCATGGACTTTCCCTCTCAACCCTTCATCGTGCTTTTGATGATCCTGCGCATCAGGTTCATTAGCCTGCTGGTGATGCTTTGCTTCCTCAGGGTGCGGGACAGGGCGATGATGCGATGCAGAACTGTGATTCGCGCCTTTGCCAGCACTCTTACCACCAACCGACACTGTAAACAGCGTCGGATCCCCTGCATTCACCTTCCCACTTTGATCGTCCCCATCATCGGGTTGCACATCATCATAAGCAAAAGCGTAGCCTTTGCCGTCCAGGTTGTGCTTATGCACGAGTCTCGCATAGTGGTTCGTCGGATCCCTTCGATAGAAAGTGCTCGGTTGAGAAGGCTGGTCTTGCGAATCGAGCAGTGAAGACCGCACAAAGGCTGCAGCAAGCCGAGGGATGATAGCATTGCGAGTTGGCGAGGGACCTGTCGTAAAGGGACCGCTGTTGCACCCGAGCACGTCTGCTGTCGTAGGCTTCCCGAAGACCTCGCCTCCGATCTCGAGCTCGTCCTTCTTGTTGACATGGCCTTCCACTACGCCTGGTCCGGCTTGCGTGTTGATCTTCATCTTCGCTCCAGACTTGTACTTCTGCCACACTTCGTCGATGTGCTTCTCGAAGTAGCCATCGAAGCTGGCGCCGACGGCGTTACCGTGGGTGGCATTCAGAATGCGGATATTTTGGCTACCGCTCTTGACTATCAGCTTGTCCCACGGCTGGTGGTCCTCCTGCGCCTGTGCTTGGAGATCCTGAGCCAGGTCGTCCAGACCGTCAGGTGGCATTCCCGCGACGTACTGAACATCACCGGAAGCTCGCTTCAGGCTGATGGCGATTGGGATCCTCGGTACAAAGTCGACGTACGAGATGTTCGCATACAATTGGGAGCTGTTGCACGTGAACTCCGCGAATCCAAAGTCCACATCGTGGTTTGGATCACTGGGATTGAGAACACTAGGCTCGACCAAAGCATTTCCTGGGTTGAGGAGGAAAGTGAGCTTGCCCACGGCTATCCATATGCGGCCACCAGCAATCTGTGGGACAGTAATCTCGGTGGTGTTGCCAGGTTGTCCAAGCGGTATGGCGCAGTCCTCCTTGAGTGGCGAGCCTATCGAAGGAGGATCCTTGGGAAAGTACAGGTCTTTGCCGTTGGCTTTGAGTAGACATAGCTGGCCGCCGTGCTGGATTGCTATGCCGGTCACGTAGGCATGAATGTTGTTGAGGTCGCTGTCATTCTTCAGCGCGACGCGCAAGGAGTCCGGCATTCTCAGAAGACCAGAGGTGTTGATGAGAGGTTAGGAGCGGCTCAGTTCATCGAAGAGGAGAGATTGTTGTCCGTCGATATCTTTCCCTGCCAGCAAACCTCACGCATATCTTGGAAGTGACGAAGGTCTGCCAAGTTTGAACCATCTCCACGCGGTGGTCATGGCGTGGGAGGTGACTTCCGAACCAGCGAAGAGACTCTTCTTCCATCATACACTCTCAATACGGCACTTGGTCGACAAATGATGACCATGATAACGACGCGCCGCTATATGGCGAAGATGCAAGTCCATGCTGCACGATCATGCGTTGCTGGGCCGCTCCACTGGGAATTTTCATCTCGTCACAAAACTCTGGTGCAAGGAATTTCTCGGAGCCAGACCTTTGAAAACTCCTTGATTTGTTGAGGATTTATTAGGTAGGCAATTTTTCATTTGATTGCTACTGCTACTACTACTTCCCTAAGCGTGGTCTGCGGCTGTACATGTTGATTAATCTTTCTATCCCACCGCAAAAGGATTGTTAGCAATGGCACAAGGACTAAATGGAACGGACGGGAACGATGAGGCTCATGTCCTCTTGATCATCACCGGCGGCACCATCTGCATGTAAGTATGTCAGGACGCCTATACTGGTAATATACTAATCTTGAACAGGCAAGACTCCCCCGACGGTCTTGTGCCTACCAGAGACTTCGCCCACAACTGCCTCAGACCGCATCCAGACTTTAATGAGGACAGTTCGGTATGGGAGTCGACGGAAGTTCGAGACGAACACGGCGGTTCTGCCTTCGCAGATACTCTTCGTGCTCCTCCTCGGACGCCTGCCCTTGGAAGCTACAAGTACAGCGTCTTCGAATTTTCGGATCTTATCGACAGCTCTTCGATCGATGGTAGCCACTGGAGTCTCATCATGAGATGTCTGACGTCCAATTGGGACCAATTCGATGCGTTCGTTGTGCTCCACGGTACGGACACCCTGGCCTATACTGCTTCAGCGCTCGCTTTCATGCTTGGCCCTCTGGACAAGACTGTATTGGTCACTGGCTCGCAACTAAGCATGTACGCACCGCATAGCGATGCCCACGATAACCTTCTGGACTCGATGACGATCGCTGCCTCCTACAAGGTCTCTGAGGTTTCCGTTGTCTTCCACCATCACTTGTACCGTGCAACTCGCGTGACGAAGGTCAGCGCCTTCAGCGTGGCAGGCTTCACGACACCCAACGCAAAACCTTTGGCCAGCTTTCAGAGGCACATTGGCAGACCTTGGAGTGTCTTTGTGCACTCGGACAGCATACGACCTGCCGACAGGTCCAGAATCGCTCACTCAAAGTACGCTTCGATCCGATCAGACAGCGGGCCGACCAAGCTGGACACCAGTCGCGTAGCAGTCTTGAAGGTTTACCCAGGTATTAGCATCGGCCTCATCAGCAGCATCGTCCAGATACCCAACCTCGGTGGCCTCGTTCTGGAAACGTTCGGCGCTGGCAATATTCCTCTCAGCAACGGCAGTAAAGGGCTCCTCGAAATCCTGGCGGATGCTGTGGAGAGAGGTTTGGTGATTGTCTCGGTCACGCAATGTACGATCCTCGCTCCCTCAACTCGGAACATTTTGCTGACACGATGTAGGTCTGACCGGTAGTGTTACGACAGCCTACGAGTCGGCTCGAAGGATGGAGCGGAAAGGCATCGTCACCGGGCTTGATATGACCACAGAGGCTGCCTACACCAAGCTCGTCTATTTGCTGTCTCGAGAGAGCCTTGGCCCGCAAGACGTCGCGAACAAGATGCGGGAGGATCTGCAAGGCGAGCTGACGGCTGACTTTAGGGAGGAGCAGAGGATGAAGGATATGATTCAGGAGTAGTCGCTGCACGTTGTCACCCCTGTGCCCCGACAGAAAACAGCACTCTCACTCTCGATCCTCCGGCCCTCCCTCCTTACGCCACGAATGCAAGGGAACGTCCTCCTCTCGCTCGCCGCCGGCGCCTGGCACCCGAGAGTACTTCTGCTCCTGGAAACTGCCAAAGTACTTCCGGAACATGTTCCTCTGCTTCGCCTGCCACCACATAAAGATCAACACCCCAGTACAGAGACACCCAATCAGAAACGAAAAGATCGGATTGCTAAGCAGCCCACGAGCATGCCACAGCATGTCGTCTTCAAGGTCCTTCAGCCAATTATCCTCCTCCGCCACAGCATCGGCCGTCACGTTCGGATGGGCGTATGTCTTCGTGACGCTGGAACGACCGATGACGGTGCCGTTCTGGTTCAGCGCCTCGGCAATGATGTAGCTCGCGTACCCGCCATATGCGAGCACGGTTTCGAAGCCTAGCCTCTCGACGGTAGAGACGAGGATCTCGACCTGGCCGTTAGCGACGGTGCGGTATAAGTTCCACTGAGCAACTTCGGTCGCGCCGTTCCAGCTCACGTGCACAGCGGTTGTCGTGGAGTTGTTCGGGGTCCCGTAGGCTTGGGAGTGAGCGACGGGCGGCTCGATGGGGTGGCCGACGTAGGAGAACTTGTAGTTGCGGTAAGAGCCTAGCCATTCGGCCTTGAAGCTGGCTTCCATGACGAGCTTGCCGTCAGAGGTGTGCTCGCTTTGCTGCGCCTTCTCAGACCAGCCCATGAAGATGTTGCCATTTTCGAGGACTTGGTAGTTGCCTCGTCGAGGGGCATAACCACCTTTTCCGTCTGGGTGGTCGTATACCTGTATCACGCTCGCGATCATGTTCTTCTCGTCCAGAGCGATGAGCATGCCTCGAGAATTCTCCCATGTCGGCTTCTGCACATCGATACCTTTGGCGTTGTCTAAGATGGACACAATGGTATGCGTATCGTTCTGGGATCGCCATCTGATGTTGTGCTGGCGGGAGAACACCATGTCTTCTCCAATGTGCTTGAAATCCGAGTTCTTGCCTCCCAGTCTCCAGATGATGTGACCATCTTTGCCAGAGATTTTGAAGATGGTGTCGCAGTGGCGAGACGACCAGTAGTAGTCACCCTCGGGCGTCTTGTCGACGGAGTTTGAGTGGATGAAGTCCCAATTATGCTGGCACTTGTTGCTGATGCTCCCATCGTCAAGTGTACTCTCTTCCAAGCCAACTTTGCCGTACGACCGCCAGTCGAAGGTGGTCTCCCATGTGTCCGTATTGTACTCCTCAAACCCGTCGAAGGCAGCTTTACAATGGCCATTGTACCCCACCTTCTTCGATATCTCCTTCGATGCCTCCATCGGATGGCTCTTGATCACCAAGGCACGCGTCCCGTTCTCTACAAAGTTCAACTCATGCGTATTCACATTCCTCGGCGCATCCACATGTTTCGTCTCTGACATCTGGTAGTCCGTCCCAAGTATTACAGCCAGGCCCTTCCCCGCCGACATGAGTGTCAACATCGTCTTCCCTCGTACATTGCTCAGCCGAAAGTCCTCGACGTTGCCTTGTGTGAAGAAGTACGAAGTCGACCCGCTCCATACCAGCTCCCCCGTCTTGCCGTCGTACATGTGAGGACCGACCCACGATCTCTCGGTGTCGACTTGGTTTATGGCTTTGTATGGAGCTACGAACCAGTAGCCTGGCGCGACCTGGTCTTCGTGGTAGACCTTGACGTCCCATATCGGTGCAGCGAGGTCGGGTCTCTGCAGAACCATCAGTCCGACATATTCCTACCTCTGGTTATTCTCATTCCTACCGAGACATAGCGGGCCAGCCCAGGATCATTCGGGTCTCCCTTCGGTTTGCGCTGCTCAAGCGGCTCGTGCTGTTCCAGCGAAAGTACAGACGGAACGCATGCTGACAGGAGAAGCAGGAAAGACAGCGAGAACGACACCATCATGGCTATTGTCCACCCGGAAGTGGCATGCGAGTTTAGAGAGCTGATCAGAGGATAGAAACTACATGCTCATAATAGGCGGCTGACTGAGGTGCAGTGTGACAGGCCTCTCTCGCCTCCCCAATCAGGAAGGACGCGATGGTGAGAGTCGGGACGGGTGGAAGCCGTGGCGTCGCAGATCTCGCCAACGACATCCGAACTCTCTCGCACACCATCTTGCATAAGGTATTCTCGAGACTACGCAGCATCCTATGCACCGTCCGGCAATATTGTGTCGAAGATGCTGTCCAAATTCATGTCGGTCCTGGCCGTTCTTCAGCAGCAAGCTCTCCGTTCACCCTTAGACGTAAACCGGCAATGCTTGCAACACAGTGTGTTCCGGTTCTGATAGGTGTCACAGAAGATGCGTACCACTTCTCGCGGCAGCGTCCTCGAGGAGAGAAGAAGAAAGACTTGCGGACATGGATCTGCCATGCATGGTGCTCTGGAGGTCAGACGAGACGAGACGAAGACAGAGCAACAACTTCTGGATTGGCTATCGCCCTTGTCAAAGCCTACGCGTTAGCGCAGATTCTCGGCCTCTTCAGTCTGACCAGGCCATGGCACCCATCAGATCACAGCCTGTACATCCTCCTTCGGTGGCTGAGTGCTTGCTATTCTGCCTGCGGCTCCACACGGCTACAGGATCATCAGTCAGCACTCAACTTCGTTAGGTATGCGAACGAGATGGAAGCCGTGCCTACCTTTTACGCTATTTTGCAATCGAGCGTCTGTCAGGTAAGTGAATTTCAACAGCCTCTGTACCTTTAGTGTGGCCACCTAAGAGACTTCCCGTCGTTAAAGGTATAAGGACATTTCCTCGTTCTCTTCCCCGTTCTTCGTCCCTGTCCGGCTGCATTCTTTCAAAACCATCCTACGTCCACCAATACCACCATTCACCTCCCTCACCATGGAACCTCCCCTCCTCCCAATTCAAGCAGACATCTACATCCCCCCTCTCCTCCGCACCGCCACCGGCAGCTCCCACCCCAACAAACAGCACTGGTCCCCCATCAGCTGCACCCTCATCCACACCCCCACCGAAGCCCTCCTCATCGACACCTCTCCCACGCTCGACCAGACCTCCGCCCTCGCAGACTGGATAGCCGAAACACTCCTCCCAGGCTGCGAGCTAAAATACTTCTTCACCACCCACGCCCACGGCGACCACTTCCTCGGCTTCCCTGCCCTATTAGCCCGGTGGCCAGACATCCAGCCGATTGCTACAGCCGCGGTCGCCAACGCCATCGAGGCCACATACACGCGAGAAGTTCTGGCGTACTGGCGCAACCTCTGGCCCGACCATCCCATGTCCACCGACACAGTGACCTTCCACCCCCTCCCCGCCACCAACACCCTCACGCTCTCTGGCCACACCCTCCACGCCTACGACGTGGTCCAAGGTGACAGCGAGGCAAACGCCTACCTCCACATCCCCTCCCTCTCCCTCATCGTAGCAGGCGACCTCGTCTACGGCGCCTGCCACGTCTACCTCGCCGAAGCCAACACACGTCAAAAGCGTGACGATTGGATCAACGCGATTGAGCAGATCGAGGCGCTGGGGCCGAAGGTCGTTGTTCCTGGGCATAGAAGGCGGACGGAGGTGGATGGTGCTTGGCTGTTGCGGGGGACGAAGGAGTATATGCGGGTGTTTGAGCGGGAGTTGGCGGTGGCGGGGAGTGCGGGGGAGTTGGAGGAGAGGATGGGGGGGTTGTTTCCGGGACGGTGGGGTGGGTATATACTCCAGCGGAGTTGCGAGGAGAGTTGGGCTAATCGGGAGGTGTGAGAATTGAAGGGGATTTGATATGTAGGTAATACCATTGTAGGTTTCTTTGCTCATCAAAACAACTCGCTAGAACGCCGCGTAATGCACGCGTTGGGTATTCGCGTATTTACACGCTCAAACATGTTCCACACCCCAAAACGCCATCAAGCATCGCTAGTAAAACCACAACCACAGGCATAGGTCAAGCGCCATCCCTCATAGCATCATCCTCTGCCCCGCGATACACCCTCTTGATCGGATGCAACAGCATAGCAGGCAAACACATCCTCCCCTTCCCGCCCACCGTCACCACGCTCCCGCCGAAACTGCTGCCGCCAGCAGGCGCAGCCTGACTCCCATCCGGCTCCCTGCCCGGCACCTCCACTTCCACGCCCTCGTCTTCAAACTCCTCCCCTCCAAGCTCCAGCAAAGGGTTATTCGGAAACTGCTCCTCATCCCCGATCTTCGCGCCCCACCCCAACCACCTCCGATACAGGATCCGCGGGAAATCAGAAGCGTAATACCAACTCCACCCGGCGAAGTTATGCTCCCGATCCTGGTTGTACACGCTATCGCCCCTCTGACCCCATTTCCCCGCCTCCCCGCCATCGGCATTGAACACCGCGTCCATGTACCAAGCCGGCCACCGCCGATCCGTCCAGATCGGATGCGGCGCATAGACCGCTTTCAACCCGTGTTGCAAAGCGACAGTCGCGGGCCACATCTCCGCCTGCATAGTCCGACCCGCGCGGTTCTCGACATGCATGGCGTGCAGCTGGCGGCGGGAGAAGCGGGAGAGGGTGTTGATGTAGACCCTCCGCGGGATAGAAGCGAACGCGGGGTGCGTGAAGCCTTCGTCGATGGGGGAAGTGGGAGAGAAGTGCGGGCGGATGCCGGGGAGGTAGTTCCAGATTTTGTCGCGCATGGTCCAAGTGGTGTGGACGGGGTCCCAGATGGGTTGGAGGGTGATGAGGTCGGCTTCTTCGCCTACGCCCCAGGAGAAGTCGTCCGTGTTCATGGGGTGGGGTGGAGAGCTGCCGATGGGGGTTTGGCGGGAGGAGTCGTAGGGTTGTGGTCCCCAGACGGGTTCCATGGAGTTATTTTTGATAGCAGTTTCGATGCTGGCGTGGGTGTCGTCGAGCCAGGCAGAGTAGGAGCCGTGGGCGGCGGGGAAGTAGAAGCGGGCATTGCGCTCCCAGAGGTACTTTCGTGGCTGCTTTGCAGCAAATCCAGCGATCTTTTGGAGAAAGTGGTAGTGGTTGCCCGTACTTCGTGCGTCAGTCTCCCAGTTCCAGACAAAGTCAAACTGGGGGTACATCTTGCTGAACCACTGCAGAGGCATGAATTGATGCCAATATACTTGCCAGTCGCCGATCTTCGGATACCATTCCTCTAGCATGTACTCGTTCCAGAGGATTGCTATATCTTGCAACTCGTCCGGCACATGCTGCTGGATGATGTCCTTGTACACCTGCTCGTCCTGGTAGATACTGGCGTTCTCATTCTTGACATTCACGAAGAGGAAGACCTGGTACTCGCCACCGGAGAGCAAACTGAGCTCGGTAACCAAGGAGCGGATGTTCTCAATGTCGTTTGATGTGTACACATATCCCTCCCACGACCGTATAAGCACAGCCGTGCGCGAGTGGTATTGCGCACCCTTTGTCCGTGACAGATCATCCTGCGCAAGCTCCAGGTCGTCTTCAGGCCGCTGCTTGCCTGGTCGCCGCTCGGTCGGCTGGCGAGCGTTGAGGTCAAAGCGGCGCTTGTTCTTGAGCAGACACTGATCTTGCAGGTCACCCCACCTCACCAGTTGCCAATTCGGTCTGTTCGAAGGCGGCTCCCATTCCGCAGCATCCGTCAGGTCCTGCTGTCCAAACCCATACGGTCCGAAGCGATGATAGCGATCGAAGCAGTGACTGCTATCGAGCCCAGTGACATCCGCATCACCCACAGCCGCTGCCGGAAACCCATTCGGTATGACAGGGTATGCCTCCACCCAATCATCCAGACTCTGGTTCAGCAGCTTCCCTCTCGCGCCTTCACAAGGCACAAACTCGCCTTTCCACTCCTTCTTCCATGCCTCGCTGTTGTAGTCTGGGTATGGGAGGTATGGAGTCGGTGTGGCGGTCGCGGGATGCTGCTCCTTGAGCTTCTCAATGCCGTTGTTGATGTAGTAATCATTCTCCCACTCGAACCCTTCCCATCGGTTCGGATCGTAGTCGCGTTGGGTGCCGTACCAAGCGTAAGGTGGCCAGTGAGATGGGTAGGCAGGCGGTGTCCACTGGGCGAGCAGTTCTTGGATCTTCGACTGGACAGCCTTGTATGGCTCACTCGACAGCGGCTTGAAGGTGTGTTTTACCGTCGGTCGCGCCTCTGTAGTCTTAGTAACTGTGTTACTCACAGACACGGTAGAAGTCGCAGATAGCTCATGCTGTGCTGTCCTTGTATCCTCGCCAAGCATGCCATCTGCCGGCTCTGTGACACCATGGCTTGCAGAAGTCCATTCCACCGCATCGACCAGCGCATCGTCGTGCCCAGGCCGGGTGGACAAATGCTTCTCTATCTCATGTTCCACCTTCTGCTGCTCCTCCTCCAACCTGCTCTTCTCGCTGGCCCCCGCCACCGACCCCGGCCTGGGCAATCGCGGCAACCGATCGCGATACGGCGAGCTGTTGAGGAACAAGATGACCCCAACGAAGAAGATGCCAGCGATCAACGCCAGCCTCCTCGGGGCAAGCATGCTGTGGCTCCACTACCGTCAAACGAGGGAAGCTTCATAGGTAATCAGGTCCGGCAGCAACCTAGAGCCTGCAGGTTACCGGGTGGTGGGTAGTGGCATGATTGATGAGGAGACGGTAGGACATATGTGCCTTATCACTCTATACATTGAGCACGACAAGAGCGACGAAATGAGGCAGTGGGGCAATTTGGTGATCCCGCTCATGGATGGTGATCCTGTGCCGCATCGTTGACGACGACGCCGGCTTGTTGGTGGCAGCAACGCGGCCGCATCAATAATGAGCACGCAATGGACTACGACCGTTGCTGCGCGAGCGGCTCGGCCCTCGTGAGATCTGTTGTTTCAGATCGATTGCTACCAATGACAACGGCTGTCTCAAAACAATGACGCGCGTTGTGCGGAGGATGGCTCTATGTTCTATTGAAGGGACGCTTCTTTTGCTCCTTCATCAGTTGATCATGTTCGCTCGGCGATACACATGAACGCACTCGAGATGGTCAAAACCCTTGCGGTCTCATCACTAGGAAACGTCGGCCGCTGCTCAGAGGTGCAGATAAATATCACTCATCAACGTCTCGATCATTGTGCCTAGGTAATTGTACAGAGTTCCGCCCTATGCAAGTGATGCTGATGCGACGGATACAAATAGACGGTGAGTGTGTAAACACACGTCTGAGGTGAGATTTGCATTTGAGAAGAGGTTGCGGCCGCGAACTCTGCTAGGATATAGAACTAGTCCGGCCGAAAGAGAAGGTGCAGCAGAAGACATTTCAAATGACAGAAGAGGAGTGGTTCTCAGGCCTATTTCGCTTTCGACCGCCAGAGGAGCCGCGTTTTCCCAGATGGAGAAACACGTCCTTCATCAGCATCCATGAGCTTGTAAGCTGGCCCAAGGGGTGAAGAGCGCACGTCACGCCCATATGAAGGGCCATGATGCGCGCGTATCGTCAGGAGGAAGACACGCAAGAGCAGTTCCAACAGCGACGTGCAAAAGCTTTACCATGCTGCTGCCTTCCTTGGTGATCATGCACCGTCTTCTGACCACTCCGCAGAGAGCCAGCTCTTGCGCAACTTCGTCGTTGGCCAGCGGAGAGGTACCTCCGATAGCAAGCCGCTTGGTTCGCTATGCCAGCCGATGACTCTCGAAGGGACTCAGACATAGGTGTTGGGGGCTTCAGGGCGCTGTTTGGCACCCTCCACCACTGCACCAGCTGAGCCTTTATCCGGGAGCCTGCACTCTTGCTGAAATATTTCCCGTGCAAGGTTCATGCCCACAGCACCGGTTTGCGCGTTGCCGAGCCGTCCTCCTCCTGCTCTTCCTCGAGCTCCTCCCGTTCTGTGTCCGTCATCAGAAACTCAGCTTCAGCTATGACATAAGGATCCTCCATTTCTGCAAGCACCTCAAGACTGTCAAAGAAAGGAAAGCCCTCCACTCTCTTGGAACTCTATTGCCTGCTCGCACTGTGGAGCCTTCAGCAAACCACGCACTGGTCTCATGGCAGTGTGATTCTCGGGTGCCACGATCCCTTTGGCGGCAGGCCAGGGTCGACGACAGGGGGAATAGACATGCTTTGCGTGATGGAAGCACGGCTTGGCGAGTTTCCAGTCGTCGTTGCCCTGCTGTCTGTGAGACGTACACATAACAGCATGCGCAGACGTTGAGAGAGATCTGAGAATCCTTGGGTGTTTTCTTGCATAGGATGACAGCTCCATTGAGACATGCCTTTGCAATTGAGCTGGGTCTTGAAGCGATCAGCAGGGCAGCTTAGCACTTCCAGTGTGCAGAACTTTCAATCAGCAACTCCTTGAATTGTCGCGGGCGGGAAGGACATGGAGGACGAGATGAACCCGACTGTAGGATTGTTACCAAGAGGTCTTCCTTCGCTCCTCCTCCGGCTTCTTCGGTAACTTGACTCTCCGGTATAGAGATAACAGCTAGAGACCATTGATGTCTCGACGTCTGCACGCCACAACTTTCCCCAACGCCTGCCAGCCGAGCAAGCATCGCGCTGCCCGATATCCTGCTACGTTGGTCGATCCCCGCGCACGAATGGAAACTCTGTGTTGCGGCCACTCCACGGGCCCCAAGCACTCGGCGAGAGTATATATGGGGGTGGTGTGAGCGCTCTTAAAGGAGAGCCGCTTTGCAGAGATTGTGTTGATGGGTGTCGATAGAAGAAGAACGTGCAAACAGGGGAGATGAGTGTTCCTGGATGTGGATGTGCTTTGTCTCACATTCATCGAATCTGTAGCCAAATTTGCACGCGATCAGCAGCGTGATCGACATCGTCAGTCTGCAGTCTCTGCCGCCCGTCAACCGGTTTCGCCTGTGGCTGGGCTCAGGGAGAAAATCCTGGTCGAGCTGTGGCGGTAGCGGCTGATCGCATTCCAATGGCCTGGGCCTTCCGTCGACACCGAGGGGCGTCTGCAGAGGGAGGAGCGGCCAAGTCGAATCAGGAGCTGCGAGGCGCTGAAGATGCGGTAGAGGCGGTGGCTTGCAGCTCTTAGAGTTTGCCGGTGACGTAGCTTCATCTCGAATCTAGAACTCAATTCTCAACGGGCGCAAGTGCAAGAAGTGCAGGTGCGACCTCCTACCGTGGCACAAAACAAAGGGAGCCTTTCTTTCTGTGCCCGCTTCCAACCTCCCTACCTCACCTCATTTCTTCCCTTCATCCAACTTCATCACTTACCAACCGCGTCGTTGTTATTGTGCAGCATCCCATCATCACGGCGGTGGATGCTTGACATCTACCACCTGCCCACCACCCTCACCCGCACCATGGCCGCCATGGCCGACGCGCCGAGCGTGTTGTTCGCACGACAGGTGTGTATCCCATGGACCTCACTCCATCACCCCCATTCTTCCACCATTGCTGACACCTCACCTCTAGAGCGGCGGCAATGCCAAGCAGCAGGACTCGCACACGGATCAAGGCTCGTCATTATCGGCGCTCGTGTCGACTCTCGTGCCCGTCCTCCTCATCTCCTCCGTCATCTTCCTGGTCTTCCTCTTCTTGGCCAAGAAGCTCCATCGCGTCTACCAACCACGCACCTTCATCGCCTCTCTTCGCAACTGGCAGCGCTCGCCCAAGCAGTCCCCCGGTTTCTTGGGATGGCGCAAGGAGTACAGCATGCTGAGGGACGACTTCGTTCTCGGCCATGCGTCCATCGACAACTACCTCTGGCTTCGCTTCTTCCGCATGCTCGCTATCATGTGCCTCGTCGGCTGCTTCCTCACCTGGCCTGTCCTCTTCCCGGTCAATGCCACTGGATCTGGGCCTGGCTCAGGCTTGGACATCTTGACCTTTAGCCACGTCCAACCCGGGCCGAGGTACTACGCGCAAGCGATCATGGCCTGGGTCTTCCTGGGCTGGGTCATGTTCATGATCTGGCGCGAGTCGCACTATTTCGTCCGCCTGCAGCAGCATTACTTCCTGTCGCCCTACCAGAAGGCCCGCATCTCGACCCGCACCATTCTCTATGTCAACGTTCCGGAAGAGTTCCGCAACGAGGACGCTGTACGCCGCGAGTACAACGGCGTGCGCAAAGTCTGGCTCGTGACCGTTCCAAAGCAGCTCGCCGACGATGTTGACGACCGCGACACTGCCGCAACCAAGCTCGAGACGGGTGAAATGAAGCTTCTGACCAACGTTACCAAGCGTCAGCTCAAGGCCGAGAAGAAGGGCAATTCTTCATCTCCTGCCACTGGTCCAGGTGGGCGCGGGAATGCTGTCACTGTGGACAAGAAGGACGTACCCACTCATCGCTTGCCCGTTCTCAAGTTCCTGCCCCTCGGCAAGAAGGTCAACACCATCGACTGGGCTCGCAGCGAACTCCACCGCCTGATTCCACAAGTTGCCTCCGACCAGGCCGCCCTGCGCCATGATCGTTCGGAGCCCCAGGGTGCCCTGTTCATCGAGTTTGAGAGTGTTGCTGCCGCCCACAACGCTCTCCAGCAAGCGGGCGCGAAGAGCAAAGCGAAGAGCAAGGTGAAGATGACACCCAAGGAGATCGGCATGACGCCGGATGAGGTCCTCTGGAAGAACGTCATCAAGTCGTTCGCCACGGTGCAACTGTTCAACATTGTCTGCACCGCCTTTGTCTGGTTCCTCTGCATCTTCTGGACCATCCCGGTTGCCGTCATTGGTGCCATCTCGAACATCGACTCGCTGACCGATACGGTGCCATTCTTGAGCTTCATCAACCAGATCCCATCGTCCATTCTTGGTGTCGTCACTGGTCTTCTCCCCGTGGTCTTGCTCGCCGTTCTGATGTTGCTCGTCCCCATCATCATGAACATCATGGCTAAGCTGTTTGAACCCACACTCGGCTCGGCGCAGCTCAAGGTCCAGGGCTGGTACTTCCCCTTCCAGGTCATTCAGGTGTTCCTCATCACCACCTTCTCCTCCGGAGCCGCCGCTGTGGTGGGAGACATTATCGACGACCCAACACAGGCCCCGACGCTGCTTGCACAGAACCTTCCAAGGGCATCCAACTTCTACATCTCCTACTTCATCATCTTCGGGCTCTTGACGGCGTCGCTGCAATTCTTGAACATAGCACCACTGCTGTTCTTCTTGATCTTGGGCAAGATTCTGGACAAGACGCCGCGTAAGCAATACAACCGCTTCGTCAGCCTCGCTGGAGTTGGATGGGGAGCTCTCTACCCCAAATTCACTAACTTGGGCGTCATCGCGCTGGCGTACTCGTGCATTGCACCTCTGGTTCTAGGATTCGCCACAGTCGGCTTCTTCCTCCTCTATCTCGGATTCCGCTACAACGTACTATTCACCCTTGGCACGCAGGTCTCAACCCGCGGCGAATCGTACGCGCGCGCGCTCCAGCAGCTCACTACGGGCATTTACCTGTCCGAAATTTGCTTGATCGGTCTCTTCGCCATCGGTACCAGCAGTACCAACATGGCCATCGGGCCGTTGGTGCTCATGATCATCTGCCTCGCGGGCACCATCGTATGGCACGTCTTCATGAACCGGTCTCTGCAGAAGCTCCGCGACGACCTCCCAAGTGAGGGCTCTGCTGGCTTTATCTCCCAGATGGAGCACCCCGCAGGCGGCGCCGACGCCGAGAAGTACCCCGGCATCGACCAGCATGGCGCTCACCAGGGCTACTCCCACAACCCGCAAGCCTACAACGGCGGCGCAACCCATAACGGCAACGGCGCAACCCACAACGGCCACGTCGACAACGACGGCTACGCGGGCTACGCGGCCGCCAAACCCGAGCCCAACGTTGCCCCCGCTGCGAAACCCGGCATGATGACCCGCATCAAAGCGTTCTTCAAGCCGCAAACAGCCGCCTCTAACGCCATCACGTCCATCTCCCCGCTCCTGAACACGCCTTCCCGCCCGTACACGCGCGAGGAGGAGCAGGACGCCTACGTCCACCCGGCCATCATCTCGGAGTGCCCCATTGTCTGGATCGCACGCGACGCCTACGGTCTCTCCGGCCAGGAAGTCAGGGCGAGCAGGCAGAAGATTGGCGAGGGTTTCGAGATGACGGACGACCAGGCTTGGTTCGATGAGAAGGGCAAGGTTACGTGGAGCCAGGAGGTGGAGAAGGCGCCGATCTGGGAGGATGAGCCGGCGTATTAGACGGTTTCGCGGGACGTTCAACACTTTCTTTTGTTTCGAAGTAATTATGGTGGGGAAGGGATGGTGAGCCACATCGTGAATGCGAACGATATGGACAGGCAGCGAGGCGCTCGTACGGGACAGCTTTCACTGGGGGTGTTTTACTAGAATGGGATCGGGGAACAGATCGTTGTGCTATCATGTGATTGCTAAAGAGTGCAGTCACTACGATGCAGCTGGTAGACAGTTCATCGAAAAGCTCCAGTCATACTCATCACTCCACCTCTCCCTCTCTCTCTCCCCTTTAACCGATATGTATCTACCTCACCCGACACAACCTAGAATCCCGATCTTGAAACCACTGCTCACTCCCCACCCCCGTCACCGCGAAGAAAATCCCCTCCGGATCGTACTTATCTTTAACCCCTAACAACCTCGCGTAATTCTCCCCGTAGAACACCTTCTGCCAATCCGGCTGCTGGTAATCCGCCTCGTTCATGTACGCGCGCGCGCCGGGGGTGAGGTTGGTCAGCAAGGGGAGGTATGTGTTCGTCATTTCGGCGTAGCGGGCTTGGTTTATGGCGTGGTCGGTCGGATGCAACGGCATCGACATCATGGAATTGAAGACGGCCTGCCGACGCACCGGGTCGACGGAGTTGGTGGTGGGGGGGAAGTTTTGCATGGATTCGTTGTTGGCTGTTGCGGCGACAGAGAGGCCGGCGGCGACGTAGTGGCGGTATATGGACATTAGTTGGGTGAAGTTTGTGTCGAAGACGGAGCGGGGGATGAGACGGCTGCCTTGGATGGTGGTGCTGATTTCGTGGCGGGCGTTGAAGGTCTGGTAGCTGGAGTAGAATGTGTCGAACTCGTCGATCATGAATTCTGGGCTAAGGTTAGCAGGGTGCTGTTGTGGGTGGAAGGCGGACGTACTGTGTGAGATATTGTGCTGTCTCAGCTTCTCCAGCGTCGGGCTCAGAATCTTCTGCAGATCCGCTTGAGGCAGCCCGGGACAGTTTGTCGGCCACAAACGGAATCCTTCTTTGGCGTCGAAGGACCAGATGGCGAAGCAGCCGCTCTCCATAAGACTGGGTGATTCGTGGATGAATGTTTCCACGGCATCCCAGAAGGACTCATTGTTCGTGCCTTCAAAGGGGAACGTCAGGTTTGCGGCAGAGCTCTTCAGGTCAGGATACACCTTAACAGTCAGCGAACTGACGACGCCATAGGTCCCGCCCCCTCCCCCGGACAGAGCCCAGTAGAGATCTTGGTTCTGCTCTTGGTTCGCTGTGAGCACCTCGCCAGTGCCTGTGACGACTTCCCACTCCAGCGCCTGGTCAGCGGCTGGACCGAACTTTGAAGCACCAGGCCCATGGCCGCCGCCCTGTGTGTACCCGCCTGCTACGCCGACGGTGGCGCAGTCACCACCGACGTTCGTGTAGCCGTGGTCGTGCGTGAATTTATACGATTCCCAGACTTGGACGCCGGCGCCCATCTTCATCGCTTTGCCGGTGTATGAAGGAGACTTGTAGTCTATCAGCTCCATGTCTTTCATGTGATGCGTCCAGATTGCTAGAGCTCCTGCACCGGTGGACTTGCCGAGGTAGTCGTGGCCAGTGTTTCGAATGACCATGCGGATGTTGTGCTTGCGAACGAAGGCAATGGTGTCTTGGTAGTCCTCCGTCCCCGTAGCGTTGACGGCGTACGAGACGTAGTTGCCCATGGTGCACTGAGCATCCGGCTTCGAGAACGGGTTGCAGCTGTAGTTGGTGAAGTAGGGCGCCATGATGGACGAGCTGGACTCAAAGTGCGTTTTGGGGTATGGCCAGTGGCCTTGCAAAGTCCGGCATGCCTCTTCGTCGAACGAGCCGAAGTCTGAGTTGTGGCAGACGCTTCCAATGGGCACAGTAGCGATGAGTTTGCCGCCGACCGTCTTGTTGAAGTTGTTCCATTCTTCTTGCGAGGGCCAGCAGTCGTCGCCGGGAAAGCAGCGGCATTTTGTGCTATTGCTGTTGGTGCTGTTGCTCGTTGGGAAGACGCTGGGGTAGGAGAGGGCGGAGCACAGCAGTGTAAACAACGAAACAGACGAGTACGAGAACATGATCGTGGATATAGTCAGAAGCCTCCGGCGGTGCTGGGGATTGTATAAGAGTGATATATGAAATCTTTTACCTGGCATTCTTGTAGAACGTTGGACACCAGCTTCGATGCCGACTTTGATATCACACGCAACCTTCATCTTCCATTCGCTGTGCCTCGGATAGGTGCCGCTCGAGACGGTGGGAGGAACATTTCGAACAGTGTTGACAGTACGAAGATCTCGCGGAGATGTAGAGAACGTGTGTGGAATAATAGTCAAAGTCAGTTGTCTGGAGGTGGAGCTTGGCCGGCGGATTCACCAAGCTTGTAGGAGCTTGTACCTCTTCTGTTCAACACACTTCAGTAACACATGAGTAAGGTTGACGAACAACAGTGGTCGACGCCAAAGTATTTGTGAGGCTGGTGAATCCGGTCGCTCGATTCTGTTGATCGGTGGACCCCGAACCTGCAAGGTTCAACTTGAAGAGATGGGCCAGACAAATACCTCAACAGGCATCTGCACAACGTCGATCTCCAGACCCTTCGGTCGACTGCACCAACTTTAATCACGATCTGACGAGGGTTTATCTTGTGATCCATGTTGCCGATGAATCGAGTGCCGGGTTCGAGCTCGATGTGGTGCATATAAAATTGTCTTCACAACGCGCATTTGGTGGATATGGCCATGGCAGTCGCCTCTGGATCACAGCCTAGTGCACCTCTGCTGCTGTAGTTGATAGTCCTGGCGTAGTGCTCCATGCTGTAGTCATCACAGTGCTTCTCTTTGCCGCGGAGAACGTCCTAGATCCACGTCGTTTGTCTGTACAATTTCAATCAGCACACCACAAAAATGTCCGACCAAAAAGCCTTTTACATCGTAACCGTCTCCGGCGGCAAATGCCTCGAGAACACCCAAACCGCGCAAGGCGTGCTCGACTGCCTACCCAAAGACAACGACAAGCGCCAGCACTGGGTTCTTGAAACTGGTGAAGAGCCCAACACCGTCGCCTTTAAGAGTTGCGCCGATGGCCAGTACCTGCGGAACAATGAGCCGAACAAGATCAACTGGGGTCGGATTGGCGTTGGGGAGAAGCAATGGTGGACGTTGGAGGGCAGCCCGACGCCGAAGTCGTGTTTGATCCGGTCGAATGCTTGTACGAGCGGTGCTTCGTATTTGAACGATTTTGAGGGCGTGTACAGGGACAATAATTACGTGCATATGTGGCAGATGGTGGTAAGTCGGGCTCCGCAAGTGGATGGATTGGAGATGCTGAAGTGTGCCGCAGAAAGCTCGAGAGTACTGGCTCGCCTGGTGGATCGTAGACGCTGAGAGCTCTGCATCGTTCAATCCGGTGCTGGAGAGTGGACAGGCCGCTGCTGCAGCGGCAGATAGTGGAAAATTGGAGGCGCGAGAGAAGACAGTAGCAGAGAAAGAGGAAGAGCTGAAGAAGCTCGAAAATCAGAGGAAGAAGGATATTGAGCAGAGAGAAGCTGCCCTGAAGAAGAACGAACAAGAGCTTACGAACCAACAAGCCACGCTCAAGAGGAGAGAACAGGAGCTTGCGAAGCAACAGGCGGCTCAGAACAAAGGTGGGAGTGAACCTGCGGCGAAGCCACAGCAGCAGAAGCCATCAGCGCCCAAGCCTACTCCTCGTGAGTGTGGACACAAGGTGTACCCGCCTCCGAGGAAGCTGGAGAAGAGAGTTGTTGGGTACTTGTATGATGGGGTGAGAGCTCATTAGATGTGGACAGATAGCAGCCATGGGTAGCAACAGGCGACGATGACCGATCGGCCTTAGGAGCCAGGTAGACTGTATGCACCGAAGCCATGCGCACTCAAACGGTCTTGAACCTCGTCGGCCGCCTTTTTGCGGAGAGCCAGCAGTCATCGCCGTTGGTCACGACATGTCTCATCAACCTCGCTGTTGCTGGAAAGCCCATTTGATAGTTTCAGCAGTGGAGCTTCTTGCCGGGCGCATGAAGAATCGTGATGGTCTCTTTCGCGTGCCTGAGTCGAAGAACATGTTTTGCAGTCTCTTCTGATCCGTCACTGAGAGACGGTCGTTGAGTAAGTGGTCAGATAAGAAAAAGACAACAGAACCCAAGGAAAGAGCAGGTGTGGACGAAGGATCGGCCCCTGCCTTCATCAACTCCACTTCCGCTCCAAATGCAGGGACGACCTCGAAGCCACATGGCGTCAGATGTGCTTGAGATCTGAGGCATCCAGAGCAAATAACAAACAACATCGCGCGGGCTCATGACCACAGCTGGACGTATACCGAGTGCGGCGCCGAGCAGATAACGTTCTCCGCCTCCTCTGACCTTCCTACCCTTCCAATGCACGATGGGCGCGTCGGAGAGTAAGCTCGCGTTCAAGGAGGACATCTTCCGCCTAGCTGGCGATGAGAATATACCTATTGACAGTCAGTGGTGGTCGCGGGTATGTCAACCTCCATACAATCTGCTGCGAGGTGGTGGTGTTGGTGCTGGCGGAGCATCCAAGTCCAGACTCGGAGCATACAGCGGACTAATGATGTATACCACAGTTCCTCCAGCTCCCCGAAACAGCCGAAGACGTCCAGAACCTCTGGTCCGCCAACGACCTCCGCAGTCTCACTCTCAACACTCCCGCCGACCGACCGCTGCACAGCCAGTCCAGCCCACGCAAGAATGCCGAGACGCTCATATACCGCACCATCGGCCGTCTGCACGCTCTGCAGACAAGACGAGTCTACGACGACCCCCACGCACCGATAACATTGGAAGTGCTCAACGGCGTCCGCGTCCTCACACGACTGCTGCCGTACATCTACGAAGCCGACCATCTGAACGACTGGGAAGCACAGTTCTTCTGGGCCCCACGGAAGCCGGCAGAGTACGTCAACCCCAAGAGCGGGCAGAAGAAGTACTTCGATGGCCTGAATGAGACGAAGACGGTGCCGGAGCAGCAGAAAGACGCTGTGCTTGGTCCGCCGCTTGGAGAGCAGTTGCTGGATATACTGATCAACTACCTCTTCTTCCCGAACTTTACTCTGCCTCCGAGGAACGATGATAACGGTCTGCCGGAGCTGAAGCCGAAGTTTGTCGTGTGGCAGAGCGGAATCGGTGCCAATAAGGGCGTGGGGATGAGCAAGGAGAATGAGAGGAATGCTATGGAGGTGCTCCGGCTGCTGCTTGCGCTAAGTAGCCGGGCGATGTATCTCGCGCCGGGTAAGTGGATGCCGTGGGAGGAGATGATTGAACGTGTAGCTGACAGAAGGAATAGGCATTGTAGCAGAGAAAGACGTCAAGCCGCTCACTTACCTGACGACGCAGAGTGATCGGCAGGTCATCCTGAACACTCTCTGCTCGCTACTGAATACGGTGAGTCCTTTTCATGGCTTAACAACGAGAGAGTAAGGAGACAGGCAGAAGTCTACAAGAGTAGGACCGTGCAACTGGCCCAGCTTTCTGACCCGACCTGCTTCTTGAAAGTCGACAGGGCGATCGTGACTGACATGTCTTGTCCACGCAGGTCCTGAAGTATCATCAGAACCCATGGGGCTTCTCTATCGACCTCAGCGCTGCGAACAAGGACTCGAAGCAGGCGCTGGTAACGTACAGCCTTCAGTTCTTGCTAGTGCTGATCACGTATCCGGTGCCCAACAATGGAGCCAACGAGTTCCGCAAAGCACTTGGCCGGCTCCACCGTGCGGAAGACTTCCAGTTCATCTGCGAAGGTCTGAGGCAGATCTTGATGCAGCCGGTAAGGATGTTCTTGCTGGGTGGTAAGGACGACGGTTAAGCTGACGCTTCTTTCAGACCTCAGGCATATTCCGGCCAGTCCAGCGTCTCACCAACCAGCCGGCAGCACCAATAGCACCAGAGACGCTCTCTCTGTTCTGGGAGTTGCTGCAGTGCAACAAGCGCTTCCGCAGCTACCTTATCGACACCGACCGTGCCAAAGACTTCGTCGTTCTCGTCCTCTACTACGCCGTCGAGGCCAAGGACGACCCTTCGAGGCAAGGTATTGTGCGCATGTGTGTCTTCATCCTCCAGACGTTGAGCGTCGAGGAGAAGTTTGGCAAGAAGCTCAACACGCCTTTCACCTTTCAAGAGACGCTGCCGCCGGCGCTGCAGATTCCTAATTTCCATGGCAGTTATGCTGATTTCTTGATCGGGGTACGTCCTGCGGAGGAATAATCGCGTGGCGTTAGAAGTTGGCTGACGTGATCGAAGCACATTCACACGCTCCTGACCGGGTCGAACCGAGGCCTCGAGTCCCTACACCCGGCCCTGCTGGCGATCATAAATAACATCGCGCCCTATGTCCAGGACCTGCAGCGCGCTACTAGTTCCATGCTCTTGAATGCCTTCGTGTCCATGTCGCAGCCCTCGTTCTTGTTGGCAAACGAGACGAACTACGTGCTGCTGTTCTCGTTGCTGGACGCGATGAATGCGCTACTTGAGCATCAACAAGAAGGTGCGTTCTCCTGTTGTAGTGATTTGTTGAGAGTGCACCTTGGGAATGTCCTTTGTTCTCGTGGCGGTGGCCCCTCGGGTGGCGTCGATGCAGCGCTTCGGGTGAATTGTCTTTATGCTAACCGCGCGATCAGAGAACCGGCGCTTTGTTGATGCTGTCGTCCGGAGTCGAAAACGATTTGAGGCATTGCGAGACTTTACTGTCGACGGCGCATTGGAGGAGCTCGATCGGTCCACCAAGGAGCGCAAGGATGCTGGCGAATTTGCAGGTGTCAGAAGTCCAATCCGCAACGCGTCTCTCGATAGCGCTCGAGCAACGAGGTCGCCAGCACTCAGCAATGTACCCGAAGATAGCGCTTTTGCAATCGGAGACGATGAAGACGAGGACGACGAGGCGACCCCAAGCATCTCAAGTCACGCAAGCGCATCTGTTGCTGTGCCAAATGACGCCCTGCCCCTACAGAGCCGCAGTATGAGCGAAAAAGCACGGGGCAAGCAGCCAGCAGGACTCTCTTCCTTCTCTCGCTCCACTTCACAAAACACCAGCACCACCAGCTTACACGCATTGAACACACACACATCAAACACTACATACAATCAATCATTCTCTCCTACAGCAGAGTGGGTAAGTCCAGCGCCCCTTCTCCGTCCCGCAAACAAGAGGACAGTGTGTTAACAGTCGCTGTACTAGCTCAGCAGCTGGCTCCCATACGCACCATTGCATAAAATTTTATCAACAATCGACCAGCGTGGCGGCCCCAGGCTCTCCACCTCCGACCCCTCCACCAACACCACCACCCCCGCCACCGCCACCACCGCCAAACACGCCGACCTAGTCGGCGCGCCACCGTCGTCCCCCAGCGAGGGTAAGCTTTCCCCCCTCCTTCTCCAAACCCGCAACGCTAACCGCCCCACTACAGTCAAAGTGCAGACCTTCCGCTGGACCGCGCGCGCGCTGGGATGGTACGCCAGCATGCTCTGGGGCTGGGTCTACGCGGCGGACCCGGCGCGCGTGTGGGCGGGGACGGCGGTGCGGCTGTTCGCCGTGCGGGCGCAGCGGCGCGAGGTGAGTTTGAAAAGTCCCCGCGGGGCCGTCGACGCGGTCGGCGATACGATTGCGAGGAGGATTGGGGGGTTGAGTTTGCCTGGGGGTGGAGGGGGTGGGGGTGGGGAGGGGGGTAGGCAGACAATGAGAGAGGTCTGATCGGCCGTTGTTGCTGCTGCTGTGATTCTCCTCCATTCGTCAAGTCCATTGGTACCACCGCAGCGAGTGAGGTGAGTCCGACTAGCCATACCGGTACTGGAGAGGTCTCGAGACCCCGACCACCCATCTCTGAGACACGTACGAGCTGGCTGCCAGTGTAGCGAGTGATGTGCGAAGCGAAACACCCTGCGACGAAGGAGAAGGAGGTAAATGATATGCCATATTCAGAACGCTCACACACTAACAAACACTCAGACCTTACTTCCCCACCTGCAGAATCGCCTTCCCAAAATTGCTCCCCTCAAACAGCCCCAACAATCCCTCAGCCGCCTGATCCATCCCGACAGTCACGGCCATCTTGGCCTTGAGCGACCCCTCCTTCATCCACTTCTGCACGTTCTTCTGGTGCTCTTCAAAGTACTTGGGGCTGAGATCGGCCACAATGAAACCTTGCATTTTCAGCCGCTTCTCGAAGAAGACTTGCAGGTTGCGCACGCCGTATTTTTGCTCAAAGGGCTTGTTGTAGTCGGATATCATGCCGGAGACGACTAATAGGGGTCAGTGGCAGTTAATGTGGGTGAAAGGCGGGATACGTACCGATGCGTCCGTTGAGTTTGAGGGAAGAGAGTGCGGCTTCGAGATGCGCGCCACCGACGCTTTCGTAGTACACATCAATACCATCCGGCGCCAGCCTCTTCAACCCGTCCATCGGACTCTCCCTCTTGTAGTTGAACCCAGCGTCGAACCCGAGATCCTTGAGGATATACTCCAGCTTCGCATCATCGCCCACACTCCCAATCACCCTCAACCCTTCCCGCTTGGCCAGCTGCCCGACCAACGACCCCACAGCCCCGCTCGCCGCTGAGATGAAAATCGTCTCCCCCCGCTTCGGCTGCCCGATCTCGTAGAACGAGCTATACGCCGTCAACCCCGGCATCCCCAGCGGTCCGAGGAAGTCCTGCGGTGGGAGGTCGTAGGGGTTGTCGAGTTTCCAGACGACTTCCGCCGACAGCTCGGATTCCGGGATGAGGCTGTACTCCTCGAAGTTGCCGGACATGTAGTTCGTGATCAGGTCGTCTTTGGAGAAGCGGGGGTTGTTGGAGCGCAGGACGCGGGCGATGGAGGAGTTCTTGATGGGTTGATCTAGTGGATAAGCCGGAGAGTAGGAGGGGATGGAGACGTCTCGCATGCGGCCGCGTTGGTAGGGGTCGAAGGAGAAGTAGAGGTTGTGGACCAGGATGCCATTGTCGGGTAGAGGGGCGTCGAGGTCGATGGGCCGGTCTTCTACAACGAGGTGTTCGCCTGCTACTGGGGTGCCGGTGGGGATCTTCTTGAAGATGAGGGACTTGTTCTGCGTCATTGTGGTTGAAGTTGGAGGGGTCTTTTGGTTGGATTGTGTGACTGCTAGTTGGATAGAGCTTAAAGGTGTTACGGGATGGATGAAAAGCTGGGATAGAGTCTTGCTTGGGATCTTATATCGGACGCCATATCAAGGCCAAGAGCGAGATATGCCCGCGGGACCTCTTTACAGAGAATGGAGCTTACATGAGCCTACCCTGAAATCTTCCCCAGCACGTCATGGTGGTCCAAGAAGTGAGGTATCAATGGCGTGAAGTCTCCACGGCATGTTCTCGCCACCATGTTTCCTTACGTGATCTGGTGTTCCCTCTTCTCTCGGAAAGCTCATGATGTGCAGCTATTGCTGAGTCAAACTAGACCTTCTCATCTGTTCGTTCGAGGTACGTTCCCCGACTCAAGCGAAATCGCTTGTGTTTTCGGTGGAGTGAAGCCATCTTTCACAGGTTTTTACGGCCCTCGCGGTGCCGAGACTCGAATAGGCTTAGCTCGGAACATCGGACGCAGGGCCGCATTCGACTCCTCGCAGCGACTTCTCCCGCAACATTCTCGTCGACCTACATCTTCAGAGCTTCATGGTGTCGATGCTATGGAGAACCCTGGGGTTGCGAGATGATCTCCGACGTTCTATCCATACGACTAGAACGCCATCTTGCTCACTCGTACCAAAACGAGCTTTGCTCGGATGATAAAGCATCTGAACAGCGTTCCCGGCCAGAGCAAGAGCCCTGATGATGTCGTGTGTTAGTCGAGTCGTCTGGCCTCGACATAAGATGTACAAGTGCCCTCTCGAGAGAGTGTGATATGTTGTTCAGTTTGCTCAACCCTCTGGAAACTTCATAACCTCTCCTGCGCTCGGAAACAACCACCCAACATGTCTTCCGAGTACATCACCTTCAAAGGCTCCTCGTCCGGGAAAGTCGTCCAGACCACCCTCCACCCCTCCCCTGGCCCAACCGAAGCTGTCGTCCGCCAGACTCACTCCGGCGTCTGCGGCACCGACCTCCACCTCTCCCACACCGGCGCCGCCCTCGGCCATGAAGGCATCGGTATCGTCGAGTCGCTCGGCGCTTCCGCCCACTTGATCAGTGATGTGAAAGTAGGTGACCGTGTCGGACTAGGATGGATGCAGAAGTACTGCGGTAAATGCAGGATGTGTCTCTCCGGCTTCGACTCGATGTGTGAGAACAGCAAGGAGCTGTGGGCGGCGGACAATGAGACTGGATCGTTTGGGAAGGGGAATGTTTGGGACGTCTCGGCTTTGAGGAAGATCCCGGATGAGCTGGAGAGTAAGGACGCTGCGCCGTTGATGTGTGCGGGAGCGACGGTGTGGGGAGCGATGCAGCGATGCAAAGTGATGTCGCACCACTGGGTTGGCGTGGTGGGGATTGGAGGCCTCGGGCATCTGGCCATTCAGTTCCTGGCGAAAAGCGGGTGTGAGGTCGTCGTCTTCTCGTCTTCTGACAAGAAGAGAGGAGAGGCGATGCAGTATGGCGCTACTGAGTACCATACCATTGACGAGATCAAGTCGCAGAAAGGCGAGACGAGCGAGCTGTATACCTCGGAGAACATCAAGGCAGCTCGAGGATCGATCAAGCCGCTCGACCACCTCTTCATCTGCAGCGGCGCGCAACCGGACTACTCGCTGTAAGTCATCAGCACTCCAAGCTTGCTGAGCAACGCGGCTGACATTGTCAGTTACATGCCCCTAATGGCCATGTGCGGCAACGTCATTCCCCTGACAGTCGACCTCGCTCCCACGCCAGTCCCGCTCGCCGCAACAATCTTCATGGGCATCAACATCCTCGGCGTCAAAGTCTGCAACCGCACTGAATACGAGGATATGTTCAACTTCTGCGTAAGACACAAGATCCGGCCGACGATACAGGAGTATCCCATGACGGAGGAGGGGATCAATGAGGCGGTGGAGGCATTGGGAGAGGGGAAGGTGCATTATCGGGCTGTTGTTGTTGTTGCGTGATTGACTAGAATGAGGTAATTGAGCAATCGACGCATTACTCTTACCTACCATAGGACTGCCCTTCTCCGTGGAAGTGGCAAACTGCTGTACTACTGTGTTAAGACAACAACGTAGGTACTTGGCTCATACGAGAAGCGTGTCTTCAAGGAACTTTTCCCCGGGTCTTCTTAGAACAAGGGAAACGTGCCAAGACATGTCAACGACTTCCCTCATGCATCCGCCCGTTGGCTTCCGTCTTCCAGCAGCCAATGGCCAGTGTCCATCTCTTCCGACCTCACACCCAACAAACTTCTACCACTGCCACTACCTACACATTGAACACGTCTCTTATCATGGCGCAACAGCAAGACCTCAGCGTAGTCCGCGCCGTCTTCATCGCCTCTCTTCTCCGCTCCGAACCTGGCGTGCCGGAGATCTCTCGCGACGATGCCACCCTCTTCGCCCGCTCCATTCTGCGGACGTGTAATATCTGTACCACGTCCAATATCAAGGTTTGTACTCATCATGCCATTCAAGACAGCTCGTGGAGACATTTGTAAGCTCACGATCGGAACGGTAGGTCGCGAAATCTTTCATCATCAGCAACATTCTCGGCTGTGCTTCAAGAACAGCAGCGCTGTCGAAGTATCTGCTCACCCTTAGCAAATCGTTCGCGCCTCGGGATCTGGAGACACGCGTGGACACCACCAAGCCGAGCGATGAGAATGAAGGCCTCGGAAAGATCGTGGATGGGAAAGTGCAGCAACCGCCAGAGCCAGCCTTTAAACGATTACATCTGCTGTATCTCATGCACGATGTCTTGATGCACTATCACAGCCACAGACGATCAAGTGGTCAAGGAGATATGGAACCTATCAACCAACTACGCCCAGACATCACCAAGCTCTGCCAGCTGGCCGTATGCGGCTGCGGTGGCGACAAGAAAGCCACAAGCACCACACCTCTCGTCCTCGAACTCCTATCCTTCTGGGAGAAATCCAACCTTTTCAGCCCCTCCCACCTAGATCAAATGCGCTCCGCCATCCGCGCATCCGAGACCACAGACTACGAAACCCTCGTCTCCAACATCCCCGCCTCCGACCCCTCCCAAACCGGCCTGGACCCCGATTCCCCAACCAAATGGATCCTCCCGACCCACCACTCCGTCCCCTCCGACCCTTCAGCACCTTGGCACGCGCTCCCCGCGACCAATGGCCTCTACCTCAAACGCACGCGGGGCTACCCCCTCCTCGCCTCCGCATTACCTCAGGGCGGCTTCTCGGTCCCTGGAGGCGGCCACGAAGCAGACGTCCAGCTCAAACAGGACGTTTCTGCTCTCTACGAAGACGTCCTGCGCTGCTTCGACAAATACACTCCCGCGGACGAAGTACAAGACGTCGACGCGTTGGGGAATGTGATCTGGAAGGATCCCGAGCGGGCGACGAGGAATTACTGGGGATTCACTATCGAGGGTATCGATCGGAGGAAGGAGATTGCGGGAAAGTTCGCGGGGATGGAGAGGCAGTATGGGGGGTTCGGTGGGCAGCCGGGTGTCAGTGATGCTGTGGAGAGGGCGAGGGCGCTGGCGGCCGGACGGGGCAGAGGCGGGGAGCGAGGGAGAGGGTATGGTGGGAGAGGAGGGTGGAGAGGCAGAGGACAGTGGTGAGAAACATGGTTACAGAGGGTATATCGTACAAGGGCTTCCCACAAAGTCCATCCATATGCACACCCACCCCTCAAAACTCCAGAACACCCCGCTAAACCCCATCTCTTGCCTCAATTCCCTCAACTCGCCATCGACGTCTCCCACTCATTCCCGACATACTTGAACCAATTCGGCCGACAATCCTCCCGATTCAACCACGCCTCCCCATCCGTCAACCTCCCCTTGATACACCCCTTACACTTCGGACTATTCGGACAGTTGAAGAACGGAATATGCTGATACCCGATGTCCTTGAACCAATGCACCTTACTCGCATCCTCGAACAACCCCAACGCAATCGTATGCACCGGCGCATCGCCCCATCGCTCGTAGAAGAATCCGCCGGCCCGGTCGAGGTGGTTGAAATACGCTTCGTACGCTTCCGAACGCCAGAACTCCATGTCCCCGATCTCAAAGTTGGACCAGAAGTGGCACGTACTGTACCCATTCGCCGCCTGATGGTGTTCCGGGCGGCGATCGCGATCGGTGAGGAATTTCATCGCGTTGTTGTCCGCGAGGTACTGTTTGTTCGCGGCCACGAACTTCATCGTCTCCGGCCAGAGCGTGGTGATGGACGGCGGGGAGTCGTAGAGCGTGATGGTGAAGCCGTACGTTTTGTTGTGGTCCTGCATGTAGCGGAAGACGTCGTAGTCGACGTCGCAGAAGAAATGCACGTTGGGCTCCACGCGCCAGTAGTAGCGGTAGTCGGCGAGCGCGGGGTGTTTGTAGAAGAAGCCGCTGTTCCAGCGACACATTTGGTGGTACGAGTCCATGTGCGCGTACTGCACTTTCTGGTCTTCGAGGAAATTCGCGCTCTCGTGCATCAAGTCGCGGTTTATCCAGCCGGGGATCTGCCAGTGCTCTTTGGGGATGACTTCGTAGCGGCAGAGGGCTCGGGTCTGGTGTTGGGTGACGCGCTTGAATTCTTCGGTGAAGGGCTCGTCGTTGATGAAGGTCCAGGGGTAGTTGAACTTGTGGTTCCAGGTGCGCTCGAGGTCTTGCATGGATTGCACGAGTTCCGTGAGCTCTTTGTTGCGCACGAGGGAGAGGAGGGTGGCGTTGATGCGGTCGCTGTACGGGTTGTCCGGGTCGTAGTTGTGGCCGTTGACGCGGTGGAGGGGCTCGGGGGGTTCGCCGGTTTCTGTAGACTCGTGAGTACTTGCTCGTGGTGGTGTAGATGTGGGTGTAGGTGTGGCTATGTACCATCCAAATTGGGATCCCGCACGAAGCTCTTGTAGTCCTCCTTCTCATTCGAGGCCGTCGGCGGGCTCAGAGGGTGTGGGTTCCGTATCATCTGGAGCATGAGGAAGAAGAACAGGGCCATACACGCAGCTGCCAGCAGCCGGATTGGTTTTGGGACGGCCATTCTCTGCTGTCTCGGCCGGACATCTGTTGTAAGTATAGCCCCTTGTCACCTTCCTCCATGTAGTCGCTGAGGCATTGAGATGCTGTATGTACACCGAGCGACGTGTTCTCCTTCAATCGACAGCGCTCTGAAGTTCACCTCAAAGTGCGCAGCCAATCAGCGGCCTCTCATCTGTGGAGACGCCAGGAAAGCCTCGACTTCGCGTGTCGACGCGACTCAAGATATCACAGACCACTATGGATGGTTGATGATTAACGGCTGATGACCTGACGACTGAGAAGTTGAAATGAAGGGCAGACACTATGGCTCATGCTGCAACGATCAGCCGTCTGACCGATGACCTCGTCCGAAGCATTGTCCCAGCGGCCAACGACGATGACAACGCCCACAACCAGATACGAGACAGTGCGGTAAAGCAGCTGAGGACCGCCAATCGTGCCCGAACCAACCAGTTTGAAGTCCAGTCCAAACTATCTGGCCTAGTGGAGAAGTTTGCTGTTCTCAACCGCGATGACCTGTCAGAAGCCCTGCAGTCAAGGCTGGACGCACTGCCAGAGGACGCAAGATGGCTGCCGGAGATCTTATCGTTGCTCCTGAACCTGTCCGACAGGCCGCTGGAGAGGACCCGGCTTGGGGACGTCGAGGCTTCTACCCAGTCCTTTGCTGGGGAAGCTGAGACCTTGACTTGGGAGGATCTCCTCGACGACGATGCCAACGATGACGGCGACCTGTGGGCTGATGTCGACCGCGGCTATCATTCGAGCGGCGACGACCTCACGGGCGACGAGGAAATCGATTCGGATCTCACCACCTCTACGCAGGCGACGAGTGTCGTGGAGGAAGATGTTGTGACCCGGGCAAGGTCCTTCGTCCAGCCTCTGGAAGAGGACGCTCTTGACAGCGTTGAAACATTGCATCATGAGATCAAAGATGCGCTTGATAGCGGTAGTAGCATCTCGGAACTTACGCTCGTTCGCGAAACACTGTCCATGGTACACGGGCTACTGACGAATCTATACAATATGGACGACAGGTCTGGACAGGTAGCGCCAAAGCCTCATTTGAAGCTAGCCACAGCTGCCATCAGTACCTTGGACGACGCAACCACTTCTTTTGCGGAGATCGGATCCTCGATCAACGTTCTCCGGCAGTGGGTTCGAAAGGAGCAACCGGTCGCTTACATTCAATCATGCCAGGGTTCCATGCAGAAGCTCATCTCAGGTTTTGATCGACAGCTTGCCAGCATTGAGCAGGCGTACGTGCAGCAAGCGGAAGACGTGGTGGTCAGCCTTCTCTCTGTACGAGCAAGAGTTGAAAGATGCCTGAGACCTCTGATGTGCCTGGCGGAGGTGGTCAAGGCATCCGAGAACTCGACGATCTCGCCCTTCGCATTGCTTGAAGGTCTCTATGACCAAGCATGCACTGCCGAACTGTCCGGCGATCAAGACACCTTTGCATCTCTATTGCCGGTGCTTCTGACCGGTCTGAAGACGTATCTTCGACCAGTCTCACGCTGGATCACGAGCGGGACATGCCGTGCTACAGACCCATCCTCTCTGGTCGAAGATCGGGACCCCGACTGCGACCCAGGCAGGTTCTGGCATGACAGGTACGCCATGAGGAGCCTCGCAGATGGCCTGCCTTACATGCCAGCTTTCCTCCGTCCTCGAGCAGGCCGCGTCTTTGCTCTGGGCAAGAATCAAGCCTTCCTTAGGGTGTTACGAACGGAGCATGATGACGACTGCGAAAGCGATATGAACACCGGAACGCCAGACTTTGCGAGCTTGGAGCATTATGCACATGGCCATAGCTTTCTGCCTTTCTCCCAACTGCTCGACGAGACGTTAGATACCTGGCTCGCGGCAACATCGAAAGACTCTACGCCAATTCTACGCCGCGCACTGCTCGAAGATCACGGCTTGCTCAAGACTTACTCCAGCCTGACGAGCACATTCTGCTCAGCAAACGGCAGAGCTTTCCAAGAGTTTGCAGAAACGCTCTTCTGGTCACTTGACCACAAGCCGAAGCAGTGGAAGAACGAGTTCCTGCTCACCGAGCTTGCGAACAACACTCTCGGCATCAGTAACATCACCGCAGACATGCCTCTTACCGTTCGAGTTGATGACAAGTCTAATGACGGCAACCTCGTACAATCGTCCATGCAGCAACTGCAGTTCTTGACCTTGGAGACCGTCTTCCCCTGGCCAGTGCAGAACATCACGCGCTCTCGCTCACCGCAGATATACTCAAAAGCCTTCGCCTTACTGCTCCAAACATACCGAGCGAAATCACTGCTACGAAACCAATTCCTCGACCTCCGCACTGCTGCTGCCCAGGGAAGCTCAATCTCGACCACCACCGCACTTGCGCTCGGAATCCGGTATCGTCTCACAACTATCATCGACGTCTTACAAGCGCACATCACAACCACAGCCAGCACCCTGAACGCTTCTCTGATCCACGAAACGCAAGCAGCGGAGGACATCGACGCAATGGCTGATGTATGGAGTAAGCACGACAAGCTGCTAGAGACGAGTCTGCTGCTTGGCGAGAAGTTGCGGCCACTGAGGCAGGCTGTGGTGGGTTTGCTCGAGGTATGCGAGCGGTTTGATGACCTCTGGAAGACGCTGGTCGATTTCACGGCATCGGCTGAGGATGATGGTGCGGAAGATGCGGAAGCACCGTCTCTGGAGTCGTTCACTGCAGCACTGGACGAAACCAGCAGGTTACTGTCTTTTCTCACAGCAGGTCTGCGAAGTATCAGCAGAGCGGGCGGGAACGCCGCAGTAGAAATGTTGGCGGAGCGATTGGAGTGGATAACTCGTTGAACAACTATCTAATGAAACACGCTATGAACAGGCCAAGAGCCCGAGTGAGCACCGTAACACCATGCTAAGATCAAGAAGGGGCCTCCCTCCAAAGCCAGCCCATAGTGTCACAGTCAACCCTGATATCCTTCGCAATACCCATTCCCATTCCAATGCCTTTTCACAACAACGCCATGTCTTCCACAGGCCCAACCACGTCAATTTCAAAACACCCCAGAACACCTCAACCCCCTCCCTCTCCTTCAACTCCACCACCGTCGTCATCCCCTCTACAACCACGGCATCCACTGCAAATCCATCTGACACAAATTCGACGGATTCGTCGCCTTACTCACCAAATCCACCACGGGCTGATTCGCCGGCAACCCACTCGCGCTCGGATCCCCCGTCAGCCCCAGGGCCTTGTTCACCACCACCTCGGCATTGCGCTGCACATTCTCCCGCAACTCCGTCTCCTTGATATTCTGTCTGTGCGAGGAGGTGTACCAGAACGTCATCTCGTCGCGGATGAAGATGGAGAGGTGGTGTTCCAGTTCGCAGTTCGTGCCTTCGAGGATGCCGTTGGTGGGCGGGGCGCCGTTGGCGTTGGCGTTCGAGGAGGTCGTGGTGGTGGTGTAGGAGGAGTCGGAGGTGAGGCAGCGGGCGATGGCCATCATGGCGCAGGTGAAGATGCCTTCGGTGTGGATGGGTCCCATCAGGAGTTGGAGGGTTGGTGTGAGGCGGAAGGGCACGGCTTCGGAGTTGTGGAAGTAGGGCCGGTTCTGCGCGATGCCGGGTAGGAGCTCGGAGCCCCAGATGTTGCCATTGCGGCGCGCGATGGACATCTTCGCTGGGGTGCGGGCGGTCATGTGCATCGTGAAGGTCATGTACGTGAGGGCCGCCAGCTGATACGAGAACTGCCTGCGGAAGAGCCAGAAAGCGTCGTACGATGGGTGCGTGGCAGCGAAGTACTCTCGCACCAGATCCTTTGGCACGATGCGGTCTTGGATGTGGTGAAGAGACTCCAGTCTCATCGCCTGGAACTGCTCTTGCCTGGCTGGTGGTATCTGCCTTTGCTTCTCCATCATGAACACCAACGGGTCGTCCTTATCGACCTCGTTACGACGGCAGTAGTCGTCCCAAATACCGTTCGGCGTAATGTACGAAGCATCATCCTGGATCAAGCGGATTTGTGGCGATAGCGGCACCATGACCGGCAGATGGAACTGCAGGTTCCGACGCCTGCTCTCCTTCTTCTTGGCCAGGGTACTGTTGAAGATCCGGAACAGCTGCAGCATGCGCTCCTCACGCCTACTGTGCCGCGGTGCGGGATGCTGTACGGCGAACGGATGGACGCTGCCATCATGACCTCGGATCTTGAGCCTGCGATGACAGGCCAAAATGCCTCTGTGGATTTGCACGACTGGCAAGAAGCGCTCAATGCGGACGAAGTCCTGGTTCTTATCCTTGTGCTGTAAGTACTGGCCCGGTACCTCGACCTCGTCGAACCATACGAATCGGAAGCCGCTGAGATGGCTTGTCTCGGCAAGATGGATGGTCTGCGGACGGCGATCGAGCTTCTCAGCCAGCTTGTCTCGCCATTTCCGGCACTTGGTGATGTATTCGAGCATGCTGGGCTTCTTCGCAACGAAGTCCGCTTCGAAAGCCTTCCTCAAATGAACAGGCAGGACTTGATCTGCGAAGCGGTTGATGTTGTTCTCTGTTGTCGGGGGCAGCTTGGCATCCTGGTTGAATGCGCCCGGTGACCGCGCGACGTAGCCCAGTGCATCATTGAGTAGGGCGACGAACAACCGGTACGCATCCTCATCGGCCGGACACTTGAGGTTCTTGACGATCTGGTCAACCATCGCCTCCATGGAAGCGTACAGCAAAGGAAACGCTGTGCGCAGCGTCACCGTCAGAGCCTCAGTGTACTCCCACGGCTTCTTCGGGCGAGCCTGGTCGGATGAGGCCTTCGCTTCGTCGCTGGCTTCCTTCTTAGGGGTACCTTCGACAGCCGCGTTCCCAGGCGTCTCTGCTTGCGCAGACTGCGCAGTACCAGGCCGAGACGCATCAGCGCTAGAAGGACGAGCAGACGGCGACTCCTGTTTGACGTGTTCACCGCCTTCCCGCGCAGCCCGAGCCGCCTCTTCCCTCTGCTTCTTGGCCGCTTGTGCCGCCTGCGACTTGCGGATGACTTGCATGTCCTCATTGCTCGTCCGGAGATGGAAGTGAAGCGCCTGCGGGTACGTCTTCGCCAGGTTCGTCAAGATCTGGTGCGCAATGTTCGCCTCACCCTCCGATCGAGACAAATTGTTCAGCAACTGTGGGATGAACGTGACCCAGTACCACCATGGCTGTTCACCTTTGAAGTTAGCATAGGTCTTCGCCAGGGTGCCCTCAGAATCGTCCAGACTCAGCAGCCACAGTATCCGGCTCAGCAGCTTGCGGGACTTGGCGCTTCGGTATTGACCTGCGGCCTCCAAGTAGCAGCTCAGGGAATTGCCCGCAAGCTCAATGTTGTTCGGCTCTTCTTTGAACAGGTAGTCACTGTACCGTCCCCACTCCGCCCAAGCCTTCGGCAACTTAATATCGAAGAACAGCGCAGTGCCGAACGCATCGTGCGCCTCCTCCTTCTGACCGAGCTTGCTCAAGAACATACCCTTCAGCGTGTAGAACTCCGCCTTCTGATTCTGCCCAAAGTAGTTCAGGTTGGTGTTGTTGATGACGTCCAATCCGCTGGTGAGCTCGCTGCGGTTCTGGTAGTGACACTTGGCCTGCTCCCTCAATTTGAGGAAAGCCTCCTGTATCTCAATGTTGGGCAGGGTGTAGATCTTGCTGAGCTGCGTGATGCAGACCTCTGGCATCTGGTGCTTGCGTGCCACGTGCGCGAATCGATTGATAATCCAGGCCGTCTCGTGGTAGCCGCGGTATGCGTAGGAGTTGCCTGCCGCAGCGTTGGCTCCGGCGGGCGGCAGAAGCTGGAGGTACGTGGTGTTGATGAGCTGGAAGATGTGCTGGCGCCACGTGACGAGGTCCTGCCATGCATTGATGTCGTCCCAAAGGTTGGGCAAGCGATCCCGCCAGGTGCTCAGCAGTACCTTGAGCTCCTGTGACTTAACGTCCAGATTCTGCGCGGTCGTCTGGCCCAAGCTCTGACAGATCACACTGGCGTCATGTAACTCCACCAACTGCTGGAAGTTCTGCAGCAACCCGATATGCGCATTCGTGGTCCTCTTCGGCAGCTTATGCCAATTCTTGATCGAGAGCTGGATGTTCTCATCACACACCCTCGAGAAGTCGTTCACACTCTCCAAGTTCTTATTCAGCTTCAACAACGACATGAACGCCTGGAAGAACATCCGCCGCGGCGTTGGGGCGTCAGACACGGACTTGACGATAGTGTCGAGCTGGTCGCGCGTATCGTTGTTGCTCCAGGCGTCGTAGTTGCGCCACATGGATTCAAGGTAGAGGTCGTTGATGTTCTCGTGCTTAGCAAAATCGCCAAGGACATCCCACTGCTGCAGCTTCTGCGCGCAGAGCACCCATTGGTCCTCCCAGAGCATGTACTCGCCTTGTGAGAACGGGAGCGAGCCTGTGCGGGCTTTGACTTGCGCTTGCTCGTACATGCTCTGCGCCTTGTCCCAGATGCCGTTCTGCTCGTACGATAGCGCTGCGTTGGTCTCCAAGAACTGCGCGCGGCGACGCCATGTGCCGTAGAACAAGTCACCTTCCTCAAGCGAAGCGTAGAGCTCGACCAGCGCATCCAGATTGCTCTCCCGCACGTTGACGCTGTCGACTGGTGGCTTGATGGCATTGTTCTCCATTGCGGTGGTGGCGACATACCATGCATCATACGACTTCGCCAGATACTTCATGACATGCGACGGGAACTTGCACACCGGCTTCGCCCTCGCAATGCCCTCGAGCAGCGTAGCCACGCAATTCGGTCGCCGCTCCGCCTGTCGTTGATGGAAGTCCTTGGTCAGCAGCGCCACAAGCCCTTGCTCGATGTCCTCGCGATCGTCCCTGGAGAGCGTCGACCAGGCCATTGGGAAGTACTCCACCCAGATATCATGCGCCAGTTGCCAATCGGTATGCTGCAGATCCGCCATCGGCGCCAGGACATCTCTCGTCCTCACCGCCGCAACGTCCACCATGAACTGCCTCTCCTCTGCCACCAGCGTCTCGAACCCATCTTCCAACATCAGATCACCCAATCTCGGATCTCCAGCCAGCACAGTACAGGCCCTCGAAGCCGGCATAGTAGTGAAATCATCCGGATGCAACCTCGCCACCGTCCCCTGATCAATGGCCCCAAACATCACCTGAATAATCTGGCTCAACCAGAAAGTATCGCCCAGATTATCCCACTGCTGCTCCGCAATCAGCTTGAAGAACCGATTGCTCGTCGTCCTACTCAGAGCCTTGTCGAAGATCTGCGTGAAGCGCGCTCGCATCTCGACGTCCGGGCTGCGCAGTCCAATGAGGAACGCATGCTCCATCCTGACGGCAAGCTCGGAGCGGTAGATCTTGGGATCCTCGTAGACGCGGATGACCAGCTCCATGAACTTGGTGTACATGGTCGGATCGGAGCGGTGCTCGAACAGCAGCATCTTCTGCAACACTGCAGTCTTCTCCTTGAGCGTTGGGACTGGCTCGGTAGATTGGAAGACCCAGAAGTCCACCTGACTGAGGATCTTCGAGCAGAGGGCGTTGTTTGATGAGCGCTCGACCAGTGACGCCAGAACGCTGAGGTAAGGCCTCCGTGACTCGCCCAGCGAGGAGATGCGAGCGGACAACATCTCGATGACCTTTATGATAAGGTTCACGGTCATCTCCATCTCTGCCGGATTCTGCATCTGCCCCTGCATCGCCTGAGCAGCCTGCTGCGGCGGTAACTGCGCCGCCAGATGATCCTTGGCCAACTTCGTCTGCAGCGTCTTCAGCAGCGTCGGGATATGCGCATCCACATCCTCCGGCTTGCGCTTCGACATGGTGTAAAGGATGTTGATGCCCGCCATATAACTCCCGTTATTCAGCACGTCCCCAGCAATCGTCGTCAAGAAAGTGGTGAACTCCTCCGTCGGGCTCTCAGCATCCGGCAACTCATCCTCCGGCGCCTCGTTCGGAATCGCCTCCAGCACCCTTGGCAGCAGAGCTGTCAGCGCAGCACCGCTGTCCTCACCACCGTGAATCGCCTCCTGGACATCATGGCTATCACTCCTTAACTGCTTCGCCAGCAACTTCTGCAGCTGCGGCAGCCGCTTGAACACCCACTCCAGTGACCGGGCGTTCAGCAATACCTTGACAATCTCGAGCGTATTCACCACCCGCGTGAGCCAGACGTCCGGCTTCTCGGCATCCTGCTTGTGGTCGCTGCAGAGAATCTGCTCCGTGACCTTCGGGAACATAGCATCGACGTCCAGATCGTCCCAGAAAGGCGGGCTGAGCAACTTGCTCAGCAGATCGACCGACGTAACCACCGTCTCCGTCGGCGGATGCATCTGCCCTTCCTTGCCCTTCTTCGTCGACGCAGGGTAGCGCTCCGGTAGTGTGGCGATGAACTGCACCATATACTTCACCAGAATCAACCTCAGATTCGCCGTCGCCACCGCGCCCTTCTTATCGACCACTCCCCCTTGACCCTCCCCAGCCGGCGTCCCGGGCGCAGCCAGACTCCCATTCTCCTGCACCGTCCTACTCTCCCACTTCCACACCAACCCAAACAGACAGACCGCCAGCCTCCTGCTCTCCACACTCGGACTCGGCAACTGCGCCACCTTCCCCAGCGTCTGAATCACGATCCCAGCAAAAGGCTCACGGGCCTCGTAGAACAGATCCGGATGCCGGACCAGAAACTGATAGATGCTGGTCAACTGCTGCACATTCCCAATCTCCTCGCTGAGAATCTTGCGCGGCAGGCGCGCCCACACGCTCTGCCGTCCGTCCGGACCCCCGAGCCGCTTCTTAAGCACCGGCTCCAGGATCTCGAGCGATTGCATGACCAGGTTCTTGCCTTCGGCCTGGTGGGCGCGGAGCAGAGCGCCGTAGACTTGCATGGCGATCTTGGGCGGGGTCTCGTAGTGCGCGATGAAGTAGGCGATGAGGCAGTAGGCGGCGTACTTGTTGATGTGGTCTTCGAGGCGGATGTAGTTCCAGCCGAATTTTATTAGGTCCTTTCGTGCATCCTGCAGCATGTTGTGGTGGTACTTGACCAGGAACGCGGATGTCTGGAGGAGTTCCATCCGGCTGTGGTCGACGCCTTGCGTGCTGTCTTCAGAGATGTCGGTGACGGACTGCGGTTTCCAGAGCTTGTTGTGCACCGCCTTCGTCATATCCTCGTTCAGCAACGGCGTGCCCTTGTTATGCGGCTGGAACAGCTTCTCCCAATTCCGCATCGTATCGTTCGCCAGAATCGGGTTCGTCACATTATGAAACACAAACAGCTTCAGCCGCTGCGTGCTCTGCTTGCTGGTGTAGATGTCAATGCAGCGCGTGACAATTTCCCGCTGGAACTCCACGTCCTCGCTCGTGATGATGCGGCGGTAGAGGTAGCTGAACAGCGCCGGCGTCGCCTGCATCTCGCCCTTCGTGCAGGCCTCAAACACCCCGAACAGCGTGTCCAGATCCTGAGTGTGGTTCTCAAAATACACCACCAGTATCCGCATGATGCGCTCCTGACTCTGCGAAGCCGCCAGCCTCAAATGCGGCGGCAGGGCTTGAAAGTCCCTCACCCCCTTCGCAGCCTCCACCAATGCTTCCCGCACCTTCACCTTCTCCACCAGCGCCTTGCCCACCTCCGGATACGCACAAACCGCATCAGCAACATGCAGCCCATTCACCGCGGCCTGCGCCCTCGCCACCTCCCCCTCTTGCTGTCCCATCAACTCCACCAACCCCTCCGCCTCCTCCAGAACCTTTTCCCTCAATGCGCCACTCTCAGCATGCGCCAGCACCTGCGCGAACAGCCGCCCCTTCGCCTCCTCCCCCAGCACCGGCGAAAAGTACGCCCACGTCTCCTGCGGATACGCATTCAGATACCGCACCAATGGCTCCCTGAATGGACTGCTCCCGGTTCGCCGCAGGGCAAACTCCAGATTCATCACTCTCTCCACCAAATCGGTCAGGAACTGCACCGCGGGACTGGGCAGGAGGTGGAAAACGGCGAAAATCGCCGTCACGACCTTCATCTTCGGCTGCGCGTCGATCAGGCCGAACGAAGCCTTCTGCAGCGTCTCGGGGTCCGCAATGTGGTTCATATGATCCAGCAGCCTGGTGCCGATTTCGACTTTGAAGTAATTCGTCAGCAGCTGCAACAACGTCCTCAGCCCTTCCAGCCCTTCGACAGACAACTTCCGCGGGTCCTGCACGTTCATCAAAATGGGTCGAAGACCGTTCTGCAGCAGATCCTTAGGCAACTTCTGCGTCGCGGTAAGCACAATCTTCAGCCCAGCATTCGCCGCACTCTGCACGTCCTTGCTCTTGCTGTAAAGGCTCTTGAAGAAAATCGAAATGACTCTCGCGCGATGCTGTCCACCGCCCTGCTGTTGCCCGCCCTGCTGTCCCTGCTGCGGCGCACTAGCGCTGAAAGCCGGGAACCGAATCGCCGTCGTCAACAACCTCAAACCCGCGACGCGGAGCCGCACGATCGATTCTTGCGTGCGGTACTCGCCGGGTTTCGCCGCCAACACCTCGTCGTCCGCATCGACCAGCGCCAGCGTCTCGTAGAGTAAGCGGTTCAGCTCGTCGTTGAACGTCATCACCTCGTGCTCCATGTCCAGCAGAAAAGTGATGGCGTCGATGTACCCGATCTGCGCGGCGAAAGGCAGAGCACGGAGCGGCTTGTTGAAGATCGGCGCGACGAGCGGCTCCTTGACAGGATTCACAACCTCGTGCAGGCCCATTTCCAGCGTCGTCGCGAGCGTCTGCAAAGCCAGTTGGGAAGCCTCCCGCACGTTGCGGTTCATGTGCGAGACCTCGACGATGAGGCGGTTGGCCAGCACGTACAACTTCGTGTCTTTGTCGCTGAGCTGCGCCTTGGCCACGCTGTCGCTGTTGGCAAACCGCTTGACGAGGTCCAGGATCGTATCCTTCGCCAGAATCCGGATATTCGCCGGCAAATCCTGTGGCATGTCTTTGATCACATAAAGCAGCGCCTTCACCATCTCGCTCATGCGCTCCGCCATCCAAGAATCGGGAAGCGGCATCCTCCCCTTGTCGATCAGAATACTGATCCCCACCGCCCCCGACCTCTTCATAAACCACTCCTCCTCATAGCAAGCATGCGTGAACGTCTCCGCCAACTTCCCAAAGAACGGCAGAACACTCGCCCTCTTCTCGTCCCCAAAAAGCGTCTTCGCAAACCCCATGCACTCCAGCATTCCCTTCTCCGCCGTCGCCCGCACCTCCTCCAGATGCGAAGCGAAGCTGTCGCAAATCGCCTCCGCGAGGACGGCGGTCTCGATGTAGACTGGACCGTCCCCGGCGCGGACGTCGTAGGGGCGGCGCTTGTGCTTTTCTTTGCCAAACGCGTTGCCGACTTCGATGAGCATGAAGTGGCGGTAGATGCCTTGGAGGAACTTGGCGGCTTCGTCGCGGAGTTGGGGGAGACTGGTGGCGAACATGATGGATTGGAGGAGCTTGAGCATGGTTTGTTGTTGGGCGTCGCGCTTGACGGTGCTTTTCGAGCGTTCGGAGACGCAGAAGAGGTCGGAGCCAGCGTCGAATTTCTTGTCCGCGAGATCTGATGCCTGCAACCGCACTAATCTGGCAAGGTCGTCGGGTAGGTTGTCGAACCCAACGAGCATCTTGATATGACTAGTAATCAGCTTGAAAGCCTGCCGCTTGTAATGCTCGTCGTTCTTCTGATGCTGCGGAGACACCCTCGTCGGTTCACGAAGCATGTCCATCGCCGTCTCGATCCCAAGCCTCGCAGGCATCGCTCTCTCGCCGCCATTGGCGACCGCGCCAATCAGGCGTACATCAAACGAGGCCTCATCATCAGCGTACCCTCTCCACTCGAGATCCGGCGGTCCAGTAATGAACTTCCGATTCCTGCCGCCAAGCTTGCCGAGAATGCGGACAGCCGTGTGCGCGCCGCTGTGACCAGTTCCGACCATATGCGCCGTGCCATTCGCAATAGCATTCGCACTAGTCAAGCCCACCGGCTTCAACATCCTCCACAGCGAGCCCATGATGTCCTCCATATAAGGCTGCATGATGGGGTCCAAGTAATCCGCCGTCAAATTATCCACACACAGCTCCAGCGTCCTGAGCCCTTGTGCCGTAAGCTCCGCCGAGCCAACGCCTTGAATCGTGCTGTTGCCGCGTGGGCCATCCTTCGCTTCACCGGCACCCCTCTCGCCACTCCGCAGAGCCACGGTAAGCGGGCGCATCAGGTAGCTCAGATGCGGTAGCAGATGGCTCAACCGCGCCGGCACCGTCAACGACAGCTCCACGAACAAGTCCCTTGTGTTCGCGTCACTCGCCGCCGCGAGCTGGGTGTTCAGCACCTCGAGCAACATCTCCAGCAGCGGGAGGATCTCTTTGTAAAGATGCTCGAACCTGCCTCCGCCAATACTCCTGAACAAATTCCTCAGCAGCAAGAAATTGTTGATCGGATCCTCGGCATCGACAGAAAGCTCGATGCTGCGCGTGATGATCTCACGCACGTGCGGAAGAAGGACGCTCTCGTTGTGTACACTAAACAGCGTGACAGCCATGAAACTGAGCTTGAAAAGTCGAAGCAACACTGACGTCTTCGTAGGGTCCTTCTCCCCAACCTCTTCGATCTTGCTCATGAGGAATTTGAGCAGCATGCCGCAGAAAGCTGGGCTAGTGGCTTCGGAGGCGAGGAGGAACTGGGGCACGTGGAGGAGCGCTGGGTGGTGGAAGCTTTGCTCGTAGAGGTAGGCGATGCCGGAGGGAGAGCCGGAGCTGAAGATCTCGTGGAAGGTGGCTGGGTCGAGGTGGTGGAAGATGGTGGCGAAGGTCTCGAGCAGGTCCTTCTCTTCTTTCGAGTGGGCGGTGGTGTTGGACACGGCGGAACTGGCGACAGCTTCTGTGGTGTCCTTTTCTGAGCCATCCTTCTCGGTGGGTAGCGGTGCGTAGTACTGGAAGCATTTCGCTCCTTCTCTGAAAAGTTTGACCAGCACTTCCACCTCTTCAGCTTCGAAGCCGGATGACAGGTCCTTCCAATTGACCGGCGCGTTGGCCTCGTCGATGTCGTCCTTGACTCTCTGTGGGTTGCTGTTTCTCAGCTGAAAGAAGAATGTCTTGAGCCCATGTAGCAAATTCTTGAAGAGGAACTTGTTTTCCGTCACGGCATCCGTGGCTCGATCCCGCGGCGACACCGCCTTGATCGGCATCGCACTGAAGATGTCAGTCTCATCCCAGTCCGGCTTCGCGTCCTCCTCTGCCAGATAATTCTCAGGTGTCGCATCAAGCCCCGATCCCGCCTCCTGCTGCCTCACAGACAGCTTGACAGCATTCGGATACGCACGGTTCATGGCGGCGAACTTGTCCGCGATGCCGTTCAGAACGGTCATCATAAGATAGCGCGCCGTGCGCTTGTCTTCCATCTTGGACATGCACTCAGCCATGTTGAGCAAGAGCTTGGCGGACATGGTCTGGTAGCTCGTGCCCGGTACCTCAAAGCCATCATCACCGGTCAAGTGGGAAATGTAAGTGGTAACCACTTTGCTGATCTGCTCGGCGTTCAGCTGTTCCCGGACGTGGTGGACCAGGTCAGCCAGCATGGTGTACGCCAGTGGACGCAAGGTCACGTCCGCGGTGAGACTATCACCGACGAGCGTCCTGGTGTCCAGCAAAGGCAGGATGACACGCAAGAAGATGCCGCGGAAGTTGAAGTTGATGATGTGTCTAATCGCAACCAGCAACTCCTTCCTCGTCGCGGTGTGCGCTCGCGGAACGTCTTGTAGTAATCGAACACAGAGTTCGGGGAGGAACTCCAGAAACTCCTGCATCGAGGTCTGATACGCCCTGAGCAGATAGGCCAGGAACGACATAGTCTTAACTTGAGCAGTGATGAAGTCCCCAAAAGCCCCCAATTGGCCACGCATCTTGATCTCCTTGGCAACACCAGTGAAGATGTCACCTTTCGCAGATGCCTCTTCGTGCGCCCGTTTCTGAGGCTCAGCTTCTGCCAGTAACGCGGTTTTGATCCGTGGTGCAAATCGGGCCATGTTCTTTGGGCCGAGTGCACGGTGGGCCTGGAAGATGGAGACCACGATGATTGGGCATTCAGCCACGACCTTGAAGCTGTTCAGCCCTTTGATGAGTGGTCTTGACTGCTGTTCCTCGCCGGCACCTAGTGGCTGTGATGTAGATGCCACAGGCGATCCGGGTGTCCCGTTGTTGCTCGGCGTGCCTTGCGCGTCCGTTGAATGTGATGCAGTGGGTAATGGGCCATCGAAGGTGTCCTTTATCGTCTGCTCCATCCCGTCGAAGATGTCCAGAATAAGGTCGAGAAATGGCTGAGCCTTGTCTGCGACTGCTGGAAGCTTGGTGTGATATCTGCAGAAATCCATGACAATCTTCAGACACAGCACAGCATTGTCCTCATTCTCAATCTTGATCAATTCCAAGCACTTGTCCACCACCCTTTCCGCCAAAGGCTCCATAACCGAGCCATCCACCGTGTTGAGAGGAAGCCGGTGTATGATTTCCAGCGACCGTTGTCGACATATCTGCTCGGGCGAGTTTGATGTGAAGCTGGGCGAACCCGAGAGGATGTCGACGAAGACAGGGAGCATCTTGGACAGGAAGGTAGGGTAGGTGGACGGCTGGCTCCATGATTCAATCTGGTCTCGGATCTCGGTGAGCAGGGCACCTTTGGTCTTGAGGTCGACGCTGCCGTCCTGCAGCTTCGCCTCGTAGGCGTCCAGGCTTCGATCCGCCATGGTGGATGGTTGTGCGCTATTGTGTGCGCATGAATGGGTCGTGTTGTTGTATCATGACAATCGTGAGATGGTCCAGGTGGGCTCCGATCGATCAGGCCACCTTGCTCGTCACGCGACCGCTTTGCGAGTGAGTACTCGTCGATATGTTCTCGAAGCCGGAGTTGATGGGTGAACTCTGGTCGCCCTCCTTCTACGAGCACCTGGTGTTGTTGGAGTATTAAGAAGGTGTTACTGAAGTGTTTCCGAATGGTATCGCACGGCGAAATCGTGTTGCTGGCGAAGAAGAGGCAGAGTGATGCAGGCGTCGCAAGGCTTGGTGTCGTGTACGAATGACCTTCAAACCTCGAAAACCGAAGAGCTGGGCGTCGAGCGCGACACTTCACATTGCGCTAGAGGGGCGGTCCGCCGCCGGAGTGTGGAGAGGCCAATCGGCTAAAATTCTAACCTCCGATCATGTCTCCAGCCTTCGACCTTTATCTCGACATTGAAGATACATCGATTCATCGAACTACAATACAACGAGGATGCTACGACGGGCTGACCTGTCGGAGAGTCTTCTACCAACACCATGATCATCGCATTACATATGATATGGAACTACGGCTGTTGAGGTAGCGGGCAACACGGCATGCCGTGCATTTCGAGCACATGACGACCGTGAAAACACTTCGAAGAGCCTATCCTTGTCGGCCGTCACAAGGATACGAAATGTTTCAAGACCGAGTAAGAGTGGAATTGACTCACTGCAGGGACGAGCACATGCGTCGGCAGGATCTCGAGAAACTGGGGTGAGCAGTTCGATGCCGAGGTCCATCAGCAGCTTACCGTGAGACGCCGATTACATGAACAACCTCGTCTTCCTCTACGTCCGTAGGAGTCTCCTTCTATATCTCACACCTCCCATTGCAAAACCAAGTCAGCTCAATCTCTGTTTTCTCCTACTTCCTCTCTACCTCCACGTACGCTCTGGTAACCAGCCAAGATGCCTTTCAATACGGCGCTCACCCGGAAGCTGGGCATACGAGGTATGAGCTACTCATGTCAATCCCGATCCCAGGAGCTTGTACTGATACAATGCAGTCCCCGTCGTGCAAGGCGGCATGCAATGGGTCGGCTACGCTGAAATGGCCGCCGCTGTATCCGTACGTCCAACACCGCTTTCCTCCCAACTCACCCAGGCACCACTGACCTCTCCCCGTTCACGATACACAGAACGCCGGCGGCCTCGGCATCATCACCGCCCTAACCCAACCCACCCCCGACGACCTCCGCGCCGAAATCCAAAAATGCCGCTCCCTCACCCCCCACCCCTTCGCCGTCAACCTCACCCTCCTCCCCGCAATGGTACCTCCGGACTACCCGGCCTACGCCCGCGTCGTCCTCGAAGAAGGCATCCGCATCGTCGAGACAGCCGGAAACAGCCCGGGAGCTATAATCAAGCAGCTGAAAGCCGCGGAGCCGCCGTGCGTTATTTTGCACAAGTGCACGACGATCCGGCACGCGATGAGCGCGGTGAAGCTTGGGGTGGACTTCTTGAGTATCGACGGGTTCGAGTGTGCGGGACATGTGGGGGAGCATGATATTACGAATTTCATCTTGTTGTCGAGGGCGAGGCAGACGATGACGGTGCCGTTCATTGCGTCTGGAGGGTTCGCGGATGGTCAGGGCCTGGCTGCTGCGTTGTCTCTGGGTGCAGAGGGTATCAATATGGGCACAAGGTACCAAACCCATGGGCAAAACCCTATCATATCCGAGACATTGGCTAACCCTTCTGCCCTTCTGTCTCCAGGTTCATGGCGACCATCGTACGTCACACCTCCCCCCACATAACCAGAACCCTGCTAACCTCCGTCTTTCAAAAATCCAGGAAGCGCCCATCCACCACAACATCAAACAAGCCATCGTCGACGCCGACGAAAACGACACCGAGCTCGTCCTGCGCCGCTGGAAAAACACCTCCCGCCTGTTCAAGAACAAAGTCAGCCAGGAAGCCGTCAAGATCGAGCGCGAAAGCAGCACGGGCAAATTCGAAGAAGTCGGCGGTCTGGTGAGCGGGAAAAGAGGTCGCCAAGTCTTCTTAAATGGCGACAAGGACTTTGGTGTCTGGACGGCAGGGCAGGTCATTGGGCTGATTCATGATATCCCGAGTTGCGAGGAGTTGTTGGCGAGGATTGAGAGGGAGGCGATTGAGACGATCAGGACGGCGGACAAGTTGATTGTGGACAAGCAGCCCGAGGCGGATATTCGGGGGAAGAAGGCGGGGAGTAAAGAAGATCCCAGGGATGCTGGGCCCACCGTGACGAAGAGTCCGTGGAATAGTAAGCTGTGACATAGGTTATGATAGATGGATGATTGATATGTGATGATCGTGCACTTGAGTTGTTCAGTGGGAGTCCTTACTTCTATCGGGGGGCCGCGGGCGCGGGGGGGCGCCGCCGCCGCGGCCCGCCCGCCCCGGGCGGCGGGGGGCCGGATGGCGGGCCAGGCCGGGGTGTGAGATATTGGAATATGAAGA